CATCACACTTTTCCTATTACCGCCTACTTCAAGAACGGGCAACGTTGGGCGAACTTTCCGCCGTTGAATGTAAACGCCCATGTTTTTTTGACGGGTCGCATCTTCGGCCTCACAAAAGAGAGTCGCCAATTGGCTATCGTCACGGATGATATACATTTTCTCCCAGTAGCAAACCACCATCTACCCCCAACTCCTTCCTCAACAACCGGTAAACGGAAGCGAGTCGATCGTTGGTCCCAGAGGGCTGGCCCCACCACCCCTTCTAAATCAAATACAAACCCCCAAAAATGAGCCCTCTCTCAGCGACCTGCAATATCCTGAGCCAACTGGAACAAATGCCCCTGATGTTGAGGACGACGAAAGCACGCAAATCACGTGGCCAGACACAGCAGACGAAGTCAAGGCCTTACCTCGTGCTAGCACTCCCACTCCAGAGAGACGCTCCCAGAGGCCAAGGAAAACTTCATAACGACTGGTACCGAGTTTAACAAATGGCTTTTTTTCGATTGCGCTTATTAGTCATCTGATCTTTCCTCTCATTGGTCAATCTTATTTACAATGCACCTCGAACTGCAATCCACGCATTTTAATGTTTCTTTTCACCTTTCCGTCTCTTCCTTCCAGTGCCCTGAAACGAACGAAGTGAGAGAAAGGGATTCTCCGCTCGCGGGAATACCCCTGTTTTCCAAAACTTTATTTTTTTGGTTGATGTTAGCCAAATTGTGGCTTCTGGTTCGCTAGCCTGATCCACTGCTCGCCTCTGATTCAATACTTTCTGATTTCTTCTCATTCCACGACCTCTTCTGATTGCTTTTCAAGATTCCATCATCTTGGGTTAGTGTTGGCGGTTTTTGTCCTGGTCTACTGGCTCTTTCCCCCATAACCCTAACAGCTGACCCCTTAACCCTACGGTCTGTGCTTTATATTTGCTGCTTATTCGTTATATGCTCACCTTCATTGCTTGCATGCTTTTGGTACGCACTTCTTCAAAGTCTTCATTTGATTGGTTTTCCGCCTGTAGGCCCTTCGTGTCGCATCTGACGTACCGCACTAATAGCAAGCTGAAAAGGAAGCGGGGTTAGGAAGCAATGCGTCAAGATATCATTCTCCGAATATGGAGCAAAATCAACGGTCCCCAGAACAACCTACTTATTTTGGCCCGCTGATCCGGGTTTATGGTCTGCCCGCTCTGATTACATTTTCGCTTCTTCTATTACGCCTAACAATGAAAAAGAAAAAGAACCAGTCCTCTCGCTACTCCACGTTTGAGTATAGCGGCGCTTACCCCGAGGAATCCAACCCTCCACCACCGGAGGCACAGGATAGGGAGGATCAAGAGACAATTCTCGGGCTCATTGCGAGGTGAGAAATATCCAGCTCATCTACCCCAGCATTAGTACAAATAATGCTAGTTCACTAACATGGCGTAGCTTGCATCTCAATTCGGACTACAGCGATTTGACCATTATTTGCAAGGATAAGATTCTCTCGGCCCATAAGCTTGTTGTTTGTCCTAGATCAAAGTACTTCCAGAAAGCTTGCTATAGCGGGTTTAAGGTGTTACAAGTTCTGTCTGTTAACTACTATTAGACCAAACACTGATAAGCGACGATGACTTACAGGAAACCGAACATCCGATTCGCCTAACCGAGAAAGACCCGATCCTTATTGAGAAAATACTGGAATTCCTATATACAGGAAATTACACCGCTCCATCCCCTACGAAAACCTCAGAAACCACACAGGCTGATAGTGGAGACGTACCCGTGATGGATAAGTGGCCCGCAGAAGAGCCATCGTGGGAGCACCAACCAGAAAATGATGTCACTAATGAAGTTAAGGCGCATTTAGGTGAGCACTTCACTGAAACAGTTACGAGAACCCTGGAGAACACACCAGAGGCCCTTGTACCTAGGCTACAGATGAATGAGAACCCAGCTTCAATTAACGAATTTCACCCAGAATACGCAAGTAAGGAAGGGGATAAAGGGGGCCTTACAGAGCCAATCGTGGATTCATTAGCCGACTGTCATCCATGTTACTTCCATGTGCGCATGTATGGCGAAGCGGACTACTTCATGATCGACGACCTAAAAAGCAAAGCAGGAGTGCATTTCTGCGCGTCATTCATGACTTCTCCCGAAAGAGAGTCCTTTACAGACACCATCGAGGAACTATATTCGACACGAGCCAATTACCAGGAGCTAAGGCAACTAGCGATCGAAATGCTAGTTGCTAATTTGCCGAATCTCCGAAATAGACCCACGCCGGTAATTACTTCAGAACTGATGAAGTCGATTCCCAATTTCACATACGATTTATTTCAAGCCACTCTAGATAAGTATGTGCGAGAGCCGTCCGACATGGAAGGAAATCCGTCTTATATGGAATCTGATTACTGGAGCCGCTCAAAAAGGTACTAGTTTGCATTTTTGGGTTGGGATGTGTTTCATATTTTTCGCACCACAAATCCACAAGATAGTGCCGTGTCAATAAATATCTCTGTGCCGTTTTACCTGAACTTCTAGAACTTCTAGATCGTCGTTTCAGGGCTTACAGCGTGCGTCAGCGCGCGTCCCCTAGTGTACATATGCAAGACTGGAAAAAAGAAGAGGCTTAACTATGTACGGTCTGTTCCGCCACGCACCCTCGTGATTCGCCCCTTGCGTTTCCTCTTCGAGTCTGGTGTGTCAGGGCTTAGGGTTCGCCGTGCGTGTATGCAATGCGTCTGCACGTTGTCCTCTTTGTGATTGCTTCGATCTTTGTTCTAGGGCCCTCTTTTACTAGGACGCTCTATTGTTTATTGCTATATAGCGCCCGACGATATTATTGTCAGATTAGATAGACCCCGCACATCTGCTGACGAGACTGAAGTGTGCTACCGATGCTCAACATTGCCTTACGCAAAAATTATCCTTGAGACTTAGAATACTCGTTGAATACCTTTTACTTTGCTCACTGATATATCGCCTGCAACACAATAGAGTGCCTAGGTGTTCCTATTGACCATCGACTGCGGCGAGTGATTCGTTAGGCAAGACGTATTGATAGGGACAGATAAGGAAAATTCCGACTATATTCAGCTTCTTCATAGCTTTGAATCATCTCTAGAGGTCGACGAGAGTGACTACCCGACATATGACCTAAGCTTCGGACTCGAAATGGCGCGATCGGAATTGAAGGGTGGTGTTTTTATTGTACTAGAACGGCCTTATTCGAAATAGGAAAACTCGGACGGCTTTATAGAAGGCAAACGTAACTGCCGAACCATTAATATAGTGTCGGATCTTATATCTGCTATAAACAACTATAAGTTAGGTTTTGACGATGTCAGCTTATTTGATGCAATACCTCTTCTAGATAAGACAGTCGTGGGAAAAGATCACTAGGATATCACCGATAAAGCATAGAATGTTTTCGCCGATATGGCTAGAGCTAAAGACCCTGATATCATTCTATGCTGCTTTAAAGCTAAGATTCAAAACTCTCTTGTTAAGAAACTTCAGAGCCGAGGAGTAGGGCGGAGTTTCTACCCTGATATAGTAGTTCCGACAAACGGTGTTACCACCCACACTCTTTCTATGTTTCTCGAACCTAGTGCCAAGAAACACTAAACTACACTTAGAAGAATCTCTGTCAGCCTTATTGGTTTGGGCAGTATACCGTAAATTACCGGATTATCATAATAGCGAGAAATATATTTATTACTAAAAGAGTGTAGGTGGCATGGATGATGTATCTAATATCTCTAACGTCTATCCGTCCTTACTACTCTTCGACCTTTTCTTTTGGTTATTCGAGATTCGTTCGGTAAATGATTATAAAGCCTGGTCTATATTCAGGCCTTGATAGTCTCACGTTTAAGAGGTTGCTATTAACGAGCACGCACCGTGGGTGCCGGGAACACGCAGAATGGACGAATGAGGAGATAGAGAAGTGGGATCTGGTAGGTATCTTCGGCCTTAAGGGTAGAAAGCCTGTCATCTAGATCGGACTTTAGGTTTAGGGCAGATGGAATTGCCGAGCCGAGAAAATCCGAATGGCAACGGAGGCACTGATGATTCATCACTTTTGAGCATAGTACTGCATAAGTACCCTGTCATTTAGTTAATAAGAGAGTCTGGTGTGTAATGACATACAAGGAACTCTCTATATTACATTTCTGTTAATGATTGCTGACTCTTAGCTGTTAGGTATTACGATATGAAGCTAGTAATTGCGCACTAATAGACAAGGTCAGCCTGGTAGAGTGATAGGGCTAATTGCTGTGTTATGACTGTTATGACCGACTGTTATAAATCTATATTCGGTTAGATTGTAGTAGCTTTAGTACAGCGGAAGCTAGCCGAGTCTATGTCCGTATAATGGTGTGTAGTGCCATTACATCCTGCGGTGTTAGCAGAAGACTCCGCCTATAACCCCGCTTGGCTAGGCTGACTAGGTGCATTTAGCCGCTCTGTCTCGCAAGGCTAAATCTAAACGCTGACATTAAGCTTGCAGCTAAAGGGTTCCCCCGTTAACTCCGGCCCGTTGTCATCCACTATCATCTGCCAACTAACCATTATGTTATTGATTCCACTTTTTATAGTAATTCCAGCGTGAAACATAAAGCTTCTATATAGCTAACCCCGCCTAAAAAGTGCAGATCTATCCACCTAAGTCTGGTTATAAGCCATCCCACTCGCACACTACATTGATCTAGTGAATTATGAGGTTATGCCCCACAATTAATTCCACTAGACAGTAATCATTCCTATATATCCTAAGGGGGATCAGGTTCAATAACTCTGTAAAAGACCTCTTTCCTAACAATGAGCACTTACCAATATAAGGATTTCATTTACAATATTTACGGAGTGCTCAATTTGCTGTCCTCAAGGTTAGTCACCGGAGTGCTAAAAAATTTCTTTACTACCTCCGGCTCCTTTCACCTAGCCTTCTAGTCTTAATATGCATAGACTCAATAGTGGAAACGATGTCAAATTGATAGCATCGAAAGAATGCCTAAAACACTCATTGTCCCCAGCTCCTCCCAAGGCAGCCAGCCAATCCTCAAGCCTACTACCACCTTCACGGGCGATGTTTATCTCGACATTTTCCATATGGATGACACCACTGCTATCAACAACGTGACCTTCACCCCCTATGCGCGTACCTATTGGCACACTCACGAAGAAGGGCAATTTCTAAAGGTTGTTGCCGGCTTAGGTTAAATCTGCGACAAGGGCGCCGAGCCCCGCCGTATCAATGTCGGAGACCTGATCTAGGCTCCCCCGGGAACAACCCACTGGCACGGCGCGGATAAGGGTGGCACTATGACCTATTTTGTTGTCGCCTTAGGCAAGACGACCTGGCACGATGCGGTGACGGATGAGCAGTACGGGGTGAAGAAGGATTAACACATTTCTCGCTATTATGATAATCCGGTAATTTACGGTACCCTGCCTAAACAAATGAGGCTGACATAGATTCTTCTAAGTGTAGTTTAGTGTTTCTTAGCACTAGGGTACGAGAAACATAGAAAGAGTGTGGGTGGTGACACCGTTTGTCGGAACTACTGTAACCTAAAGCTTACCGGATTTGGTTTTTCGCCTACCCCTGTGAATGCATTTCACCTAAGTTACGCTATTAACTATTATCCAATAACCTCTTGCTTCAAGTAGCTCCTCGTTCTAGAGTTTTCGAAGGCATTTGCTCTTTGGAGGCAGAGCTAGACTGAAAAGCCATGGATGAAGGGGTTAAGAGATAAATGCCGGATTAGAGCAAAAAGGAAAGTCGGTGGTAAGAAAATCTAACGTGACATACCCTAACACTTTCTTAAGGCATTATACAGAAAAGAATATCGACAAGAAATGGAACCGGTCGTATATCAAATAGCAGTAGGAAGAAATTCTTACATCCCTAGATGCATAGTTTGAAAAGTGTTTCTTCTAAAATTCTAAAGACATTAGGACTAGAGATTTACTGCGTAAGCTTGTGGATTCAAAGATCACCTGGCTATCTTGCGACATTGCATGGATTCTCGAGGAACTAACTCCCGAAGAAACAATCTATTTGGAATTGCCGCAACAGTTGTTATGCAAGATTCCATGATGGAGTCATAAGGCGTGACCAGAAGACCAACTTCGACGCAATCCGACCAGACCAATACACCTAGACCTTAAATTATGTCACTTACGCTCGAAGGCAAAAGATGATTTTTTTCTATTCTTTCATTTTATTTTCTATGTATCTATTGGACGTCTTATTCATCGCTAACCTTAGGCTGAATCTAGCTCTCCTAATAGGCTAATAGGTCTTTTACAGGAATTGTGATTGCTTTTTAGTGGAAAACCTGAGCCAATATCACGTCGATCACATATCTCAATCCATGGAGCATGAACAATGGAAATATAACTAGGAATACGCTTTAATCCCTGGCACGCTATGCTATCTACCTCTTTGAGTGATAAGTGACAGTTAATAATCAGGACGTGTCAAAAGACACCTGAATGGATGTTGTTTTGGCCCTAGCTGTCGCTAAATAGAAACTCCTCATACAGTCTATCGGACGAATTAGCTGCACCCCATAGATTGAACTGAAGCAGAGCCACAACCCCTCTATAGCGTCCTACTTCAGCAGCCTGGAGTGAACTATCACGATAAAAGCCATTCAGACGCTGTTCCTCCGCTTTATGGCGTCCTGCTTTAGCAGCCTGGAGTGCACTACCATAACAGCCACCCTGCGCGTTGACGTTGGCACCTTCTTTTATTAACACCCGAACAATCTCTTCATGACCTTGATACGACGCAGCTTGGAGCGCATTACCATAACGGCCACCCTCCGCGTTAACACTTGTGCCAATACTTAATAGCAGCTGAACCATTTCTATGTCACCTCGAAATGAAGCATCATAGAGTGCATTGACATTGGCACCTTTTCTCCGTAATAGGTGTATAATTCCTCTGTCACGTCGGAATAAAGCAGCCTGCAGCGGATTGCCATAAGGACCGCCCTGTGCGTTCGTATTAGCACCATTCTCTAATAGCAGCTGAACAATCTCTCCGTGGCCTCCAAGTGAAGCAACTTAGAGTGAATTGCCATAATCGCCACCCTGCGCGTTAACGTCGGCGCCGTTATCCAACAGCAGCTGCACTATCTCCTTACGACCTCTCTCGGAAGCAGCGTAGAGGTAAAAGTCGGGCCGTGGGGATTAGCGCACTCAATGCCAAGACCGAGACGGTTAGCAAGACTCGTAAAACGGCAGCAGAAGCAGCCCTTTTTGGCCGCCATCTAACCGTCACATCGTTAAAAGGGGATATATATCTAACAATAACGAATTGTATGAAATTTGACGAATGTCGAATGCTGACTTTAGGGTTAAATGGTGTAAAAGAAAGTGAGATAATAGCTAGGAAGCTTCAAAACCCCCTGAATTAATTGCTACCCCTCCTGATCATTATAGACTAGTATTATCGAGGTTGTTCTATTCGTCTAGAGTGCTGTAGTAGCGTCTTTGGTGCTAATCGTATACCGTAATAGTACACCCCAACAAAACATCTCTAATTTTCAATCGCTATTTTCTCAATAATTACTAGGCTATGCATGCTCCAAAGCAAATAGGAGATGTTTCACGTAGTCTATTATAACTCATAAAATTTTTAGATCGATCGGAGTTCATTAGACCTCAGGAGTCAGGGTGAGAAAAGAACCTGGAGTCAGGGTGGCCCCACTTTTTATGTCCCATAGTGAAGGGAAGACCCTAACCTGGAGTCAGCCATGACTCCGCCCACCCCCGTGGGATAGGGGGCTTAAAATTCTGTATAATACAGCAAATCGCTATACACGTGCAACCTCTGTGCCCCTCCTCCTCCGCTGTCCGCCGGCTAGGTCGTAGGTTCACTGAAGTTTAAGTATAAGCACTTCATTAGCTCTGTTACTTCTATATATTGTTATCCAGGATCTTTTCCCGCGGAGTCAACGGCTTGAAGCATGAGAAATTCGAAAAGGTCTAGTGAATGAAGACGCCCTCACGTGGAGATCTGCGTGTCAAAGCGCTAACACTGCGCCCGCTGCAATGAGAGCCTCATCTACACAGCCCCTTTACTGTACCGCCCGCCTATATTGGAACATACATTTTTGTCGCTCTGTACGCAGCCCAGCACCTTTATATCGCCGTCATGTCTGGCCTTGAGGCCCTCGGTGTCGCGGCCAGTATCATACAGGTCGCAGACTTGGGCACTAAATTATCCGTCAAACTATTCTCCTTCTACCGCCAGGTCAAAAATGCCAACGAGTCTATACAGCTCTTGTCAAACGAGGTCGCACTAATTAGCGCCATTTTGCGTGAACTTGGCGACAACTTGAAAGCGGAGGAGTCGGCCAAGCTCTGTTCAGACGAGGCATTTCGAACACTGGAGCTTGTCCTAGACCAGTGTCGCGATGTGCTTAGACAAATTGAAAGAGTTGTTGGTATTAATGATCACTCCGGCAAGACCCGTTTGCAACAGGTCACTGGGAAGTTTCGACTAGTTCTGCTAGAACCGAGCCTGGATCCGCTGAAAACCAACCTGGAAAGGCTGAAGTCGACAATGCTTCTTCTGCTCAATGTCATCATGTTTGTGGGGCAAGTTCGCAAGTAAGTTTCAATTTCTAGAGACCATGCCACACTTCTCTAAATGAGAGACAGCCACAATATGTCAATCCTTCAAGAGCAGCGTGCCTTGATAGAGACACTTTTGCAAGAGAAAGAAGAGGACGGCGGGGATCCAATTTTACCAAAACACAACCAGGGTCAGCAGAGGCCCGACTTGAAAATGATCCAAAATCCCTCAAACGCAAATCCGTATCCGATAAATGAGTCTGGTGAGGTGGAGGAGTACAACGCGCTTATTCGAAAAATGCTCCGCGAAATTGATTTCTGCAAATCAAAACTTGAAAATAGCCGCCATTCAAGGATAAGGAAAGGTGTTTTGAGTATACATGATAGCGAAATCATTCGATTTCAGCTCACTTACGGACATTCTGTTCTCCATCATTTTGACAAATCACTTCAACAATACATCCCGGGGTCCGCGGCTTCCGGGATGCAACAATCGGGCCAGCCACGTCCTATGAACGTACCACAACCTCCTCCACCTCGAAATCCCGTACCGACGCCACCTCCCATGAGAACACCTGGAGGAGCGGCTTATGGGGGCCATACGCAATTCCAATCACATTGGATACCCCTCCGCCGCCTCCGATGACATCCTCCCATCCACAGAATCAACATATGAATCATGGCCGCCCTTCTACTGCTCCCTTCTCGATCCCTCCCCCTCCTCCACATCCGCCTCCGCCTCAAATGAACAACGCGAACAACACCCAACCTGACAACGTGCCACTCACATCCGCAACTGATATACCACGGCATAACCAACCACTTACATCCGCCACATATATTCCCGGTCATGACACTATGGGCGTCGGTATCCCACCCTTGTTTGAAGCACGAACGCCGTATGAAGCATACAGCCATAATCAACCACGACTGAATCAAGCGCACGGCATTTCAAGTGTCGGTGGCACATACACAAGGGACGACTCGGCCCTCTATGGGAATGTTCACTACGACAAGGAGCAACAACCGGGCCCAAGCCGGGCCCCCGATGTCGGGAAGTCGTCTAGCAATCGTCACAACGGGACCGGCAACCTATCACCTAGCGAAGCCCCTGATCATTGGCCATTGGACCGAGTTCTTTTGTGGCTTGCCGCAAATGGATTCTCCGATGACTGGCAAGAAACATTCAAAGCATTGGAGCTTCAAGGGGGCGAATTTCTCGAGCTGAGGCTTGGGTCTGGTGGACGGGGCAACCTTGGCAAGATGCATCAAGTTGTTTACCCCCAGTTGGCCAAGGAGTGTGCCCGCCGTGGCTCTAAATTTGACCTTGGCCACGAACGCGAGGAAGGGAAGCGCATGCGTAAGCTGATTCGCCAAATTCACGATGGTTCAGAGGAGGCTTCGGTCTCTACGCCACAGCGAACGGATCTCCCACTGTTCTCAGCGGAGGCGCTACCGGGTTTCTACTCTAATGCCGAGTCTCGTTCTGCTGGGGGTAGCAATGACATAGGCACTCGTCCTTCTCCCCAAGACCGCCAATGCAGCTCAGAAATATCGTCCTCACTTCCGAGAGAGCATAACAATGGTAGTTTCAACTTCCTTCGAAGGAAGGCTAAGGCTGACTCGAGCCATCCGTCGCCGGAAGATCAGTTTCTGGAGTCTCCAACAAGCCCAGAAGCCCATCAGAATGGGCCTTATCCTCTATACCTGAAGCCATCCTTCAATTCCAGCGACGTCTCTGTCGGCGAATGTCCGTCATCGACGCACACGTCGGGTCATGAGAAAGTCGGGAGGACAAAACACACTAGCAAAGGCAAGCGATGGATCCCTGTCACCATGGATGGCTGGAACTACCGCCTAATTGATGTGTCTGAGATGGAAACTGCCGAGTCCTTGCGTACCGGTATCTGCCATTATCTTGGTATTTCCGACTGGGGTAATGCGCAGATCTATCTCACTAAGCCTGAGCAGTCTGAGCATGAGGAACCCATAAATGATACCAATCTGTCGCTCTATCGCACAAACAGATCCGATCCTTACGGTTCTCTGAAGTTGTTCGTGCGAGGCGCTGTTGACCAATCGGCGCAGAGCACTCCACGAGTCCACGGTCTTGGTGTCTCATTTCCAGAGAAACCGGCTTCTTCCCCCACAACCTTACAACATCAACTCCATAGGAAACCACTAGATGAAGATACTCTCAACAGGATATCGCCGCACACTCAAGTCAAACCACTAGGCTCCCCCTCGCATCAGACGTTCAAAACTTTTCCTGTTGCAAATGAATCTCAAGATCGGACCACCGACTCCGAGAAAGATACCCGTGCTCGCTATGAGGATAACTTGCGCAAGGCCGAGCGCAAGCAGAAGGCTTATCGAGGTTCCCAGTTGCACCACTCGCAACAAACCCTGAAAGACGCTTCCGGCGACATGGTCGACCCGCTAGTGCCTCCTCAGAGGGCACCGACTGCGCCAAATGAATCTAGCACGCTTACTAAGGTCAACTTCGCCAAAAGAATTGCCTCCCGTGAGGCTCGCCCTCAACTACGTATCTCAACACACGGTCTTGGAACCGGCCTTACGAGCGTCGGCCGCACGACTAGTGCAATTGGCACGCCATCGCCTTCAGTGCCGGTTTCTTTTAGCACCCCGAGCTGGGACAGTGCCAGCTCGGAGTCGGAACGGCCAGCTACTATAGATTCTGTTGTGTCAGCATCGAGCCAGTCAGCTCTGCGTAAGTTCTTGCGGTATTTGTTTGCAGCACAATTAACTAACGAGCGTTTCAATACAGTCCCCTTAAGACCCTCTCCGAAGCTGACTACCGAACAAGAAGCACAGAAATCTCAGGAATCATTTGGTGCCCCATCACCAGCGATGACGCATTCTTCTATAGCATCGCAGGAGCCGCCTCTCCAGTCGTTTGGATCCAAATTCAAGTTCGAGAAGCACGAAATATCCTTACAGCGGTCTCCTAATCCGCTAGAGGATTCTAATGATAGTTCCAATGATGGTCTTTGGACAATTCAGCCGTCACACAAGGCTAAGCAAGCAGAGGCTAGTCCTCAAAAGGCAAAGCCCACATTCCCTATTGACACGGAGAATAAAAGAAATTCAGAAGTTCACTTCAGTATTGAGAAACTGGGGGATGAGAGAGACGACTGTGATCATGAAGCAGAAGAACACTCTCATACTGATTCTCCTTCAACGATGGAAACAAGTTTTGCACTACCAGAGAACTTTGAAGAGTTACTCTTGCGCTGGACCAAGCTTGGACGGAATGAGGTTCAAGCGCTCGGAAACCCTAGATCTCAGATATGGACCGCTGCTACTACTATATGTTCACTTTCTGATATTTGAATGTCATATTATATAAAAGATAGATATGGTTCAATTGTCTATTCCTTTCCGTTTGAGCCATTCTGCTGTTGGTGGCTAGATCCTAGATCCGGACTGTGTTATTATACGACCCTAATGTAAGTCGGCTTCTATCTAGCGACTAGGCAATCGATTGGATCTAATCGCTATGCCTCTCGAGAGTGGACACGCTCTAGCCGGTAGCTAGATCCTAAATGCGGACTATGTTATCGAACGACGCTAATGCAAGTCGGCTTCCATCTGGCGACCAGGCAATGAATTCAACCCCTCGAGCGTTTGAAGACAGGGACTCCAGTTCTCCTCCACCACAGGATCATTCAAACCAAGCCCGCTCTCTCTTTCTAGAAAACTATTCTGGTGAGGCTCTTTGATAGGCTGAAGATAAGAGCCGAGCAATATACTTATAGAGGACCGAGCCGACCACCAGGTAGACCGTGGGCCCGGAGTAAGTGTCGCACGTATAATACTGTAACCATCCAAAAATGTACAAAAAGGTACATCATAAAAATATGTCAACCACGGATATCTCGAGAACTAGAAGGCTGTGCAAGCTCCGAGGCGAATCGGAGATACCTCACGTGTATATCTATAAGCTATGAGGGTTTTAGACCGATCGGAGCTAACTTGACCTCTGCAGTCTAACGAGGAAAAAAAACCTGCAGTCTAACGAAGAGGTTACTGAAGGTACCATAGTTAAGGAAAAGCCCTAACCTGCAGTCTAGCAGACTGCAGCCACCCTCGTGGGATAGGGTCCACCCTAGTTAAATAACTTAAACCACCATAACAAAGTAAATAAAACAGGTAAAAATAGGCGGATTGAAGATTGAGAATCTATAGTCATAGATTCAATAGGGCAAAATATAAAAGGCCGGATAATGCTTATATAAGCCTACGTTAAGGGCCATGTTTCGAGTAATTGAGCTTCTCTGGATGATCTGGTCCTCGTGCAATACAGTACAGCACAGTCTTTCTGGCCTCTAGCACTTGCACCTCTTGTCTCCCCCTCCTTCTGTCCCCGTGATGTTACACGTTCCCTGATGACTGCACGAGTCCCTGCTCGCTTGCTCCTGCAAATACCGCAAAAAGCATGGCAGCGTCCACGGAGCCTGTCTGTTCCCAAAAATGAGACGATCTCGTTTCCTGCATAGCCAGCTGGTAGCAATTTTCCAGCAGTTCCCTTTCGGTGGGGCGACCGTCGGTCTTAATGCGCATCGCAATCGCCATCGACATATAGACATGGAACTTCGCCATAGCTACCGAATAGAGTCTGGCCTGGCCGGGGAAGATTCCGAGCTCTGGAGCGTCGATGAGATCCAGGAAATGCTGGAACAGGGAGTGGTCGGCGTGGTAGCCGAACGAGCCTGCTCTTTCGCAGAAGACGTCCAAGAGCGTGTCCATCTCAAACCTGGTTGGCAGCGTTAGAGATCTCGCCGGATGGGAGGCGCTGTCGGTCGATCGGGATGCTTCAGCGCCGTGGCCGAATGACTCTAACGCCATGATGGGGAAATCTTCATCTGCTAAACTCACAAACTCAAGACTGGAGAGGTTCGCATCTGGATCCAAACCAAGCGAAGAGATGGACGAGCGCCGGGAGATGGAAGATGTCTCTACGCCTGCTGGAGTGAGGTACGAGATGGTATCACAAGCTGGCGATGGGCATGCAGAGATGGGAGGCGACAGCGTGAAGGGAATATTCGGGGGCATCAGCCATTCATCCCAGCCCGGCGTCATGGGACTGGATGCTCCCGACACTGCGGACAGCATCGACGGTGTTGGGCACAGCGACGCTGGGGACGAAGCGCCGCTATAACTGACGATTTCTATCTGTGGGATATCGAGTGCCGACGCGCTGTCGTTTGGAAAGAGGTTCCCGACCTGCTCCAGCTTGTCGAACGAGGCGGATCGCCCATGCGGCTTGAAATTGGTATCCAGCCGGAAGGACGGAGTCATTATCCTGCTGTCCGGCTGATCGCTGCGCATCTGCGAAATCCGCGCCTCTAACTGGCGCACACGATTCTCTAAGGCGGTATGGGTCTCCCTGCACATCGAACCATGAATCATGAGCACCCGCGGAAGCCAGCTGGATATCAGTGCGGACTACTTACGAGCTGGTTCTGTCCCTGAAATTGGGAGGTCGCACACAGGTGACTGCGAACCGATGGCAGGTGGCACACGGTGTCTCTCCATCGCAACGGATCTTTCGCCGTCGACACCTCTCGCACGCACTGGTCACAGATTTCACTCGGGGAGCCCACGGACTTGGGTGTGGAGACAGCGTCTCGCCGAAGGTGCTGCGCCGTTCAATGCGTTGAGGAACCGGCGACGTCGGGACTGCATCCATGACGGCGAATAGTGGAAATCGTGCATAGATGTCACAACCCAGTCTCTTCCTAGACACGGCGCGGGTGCCATCAGTTCATTTACTGATGGAGTCAGTTGAGGGATTGCAATTGTGAAAACCGGTCTTCTCAATCAACGGATTTGCAAGAACAATCGATGACGATGAAAGTTAGTCAGTCCCAATCGATGTTGATCACTACGCCAAAACCCCACGATTTCGACGGTATTATAACTAAGTATATATAGGTGGATCGTGATTCATCCTTTCTGCGGTTTCTTCCCCGCAAACCGCACTCTCACAATGGATTTGGAGTATTAGCAGTCGTCGAGAAAAAGCCAGCGAAAAGAACCGATAGCCGGAAATAATCCGAGGTGCACTGCCACCGCCTCAGATTCTTATTTTGCGTTTTTACCTCTCTTGTATTTCACGTCCCGCTGTTGCCAAGCGTCCGTGCGCTCCACATCAATATGAACTTAACAACGTTGAAGGGATCCAGGCGTCGCTTGGACGGTAAATCTCTGGCAGATATCAAGTAAACTTCACTTCCCCAAATCATACCGAACATACCATCTTGTGACCTTTGACAATGATTCCCGAGATATACCCCGCCCAACTGTGTGGCAAGTAGGTAAAATAATGTTGCACAAACATGGGGCATACTATCGCTAGACCAAAAATGTACTATAGGCGACAATTTTAGTCTATACGGTCATGTCTCTGTTCCGACAGTTAGTGCTGAGTGTGGACTCAGGATGAAGGCATCATCTACGAGGCAGGCATAGTCACAAGAGGTTATCTGTCTCACATCACGGTCTTAGAATAGTTGTTCAGAATAAGTATCATCGAATATATAAGTTATAGACAGGCCCACATGGCTAGTGTGACACACTGCAAAGAGGAGTTGTATATATCACTATCAGTGTGAGAAGAAAGACCGAAACATATATTTGAGTCCTCGCCAGGTATCCTCCACGGAGGTAGAGTGACCAACATCAGAGCTGCCCTTGCAACTGGAAGCGATGTCAGTGATATCCCTCCATCATCCTCTCCCGTCAGATCTTCTCCACATGCGACGCAGTCACAATGACCTCGGTCTTCTCATCACTGCGCACGCTGCCCAGCTCATGGTCGACCAGCGTGGGTGCCCCAAACAGCGCTTCCATCTCTTCCAGCGTCTTGCCCTTTGTTTCAGGGACAAAATACCAGGACCAAAAGCCCAGACAGATCATCAAAGTCGCAAAGAAGAAGTAGGTGCCATAACCAAGCGAGGTGATCATGTAGGGAGTGGTCCGGCTGACGATGAACGACCACAGCCATTGGTCAGCCGTAGTGATGGCCACACAGAGCATGCGAATGTCAATGGGGAAGATCTCGGAGCACACGACCCAAGTGATACCCTGGGAGCAGGATGGTCAGCATTTGTGCCTTGAATGCTGACACCGGGAGATATTGGACTTACCTGCCATGTGGCGCAGTAGATCAGTCCATACAAATATACACACACCATGGCGAGATAGCTCCAGCCGTTGCGGGACGTGTCGCCTCTCGCCGCTGCACCCTCTGGGTCAGCCTTGAATACGTAGCCGCCGATATACCACATGGGCAGGCTGCCGATAAAGGCTCCCCAGATGAGTCCGCTGCGTCGACCAACCTTCTCCACTAGCCAGATGCTGAAGATCACCATACCCAGGGCCTTGGCGATCCCGTAGAATCCAGTCGCAAAGAGCTTGGTGTCAGTGCCGGTAATGCCCAGGGTCTCAAAGATGCGTGGAGAATAACTTTCCTTGTTAGTAGATATGGATAGGGGAGAAGGCTATGGGCCGCAACACTCACTAGGTGATGATATTGACCCCCGTCAGATTCTGGAAGGCCATGAGCAGCAGACCGATGCCAATGCGGTTGCGGGTGCCCTTCCGCCACAGACGCTGCACATAGTAGTGCACAGAGTGCTTTGTGCCGGGCGGTGGAAGTCCGATCAGAATCTGCTCGCGGATCTGCTGCAGTTCGTCCTGGATAAATGGGTCATTCACCGGGAGCTTGCGAATCCACGTCAAGCTCTTTTCAGCATCCTCCCAGCGATCCTGTTTCGCATACCAACGCGGTGTCTCGGGGCACCAAAAGATGCCCGCCAACAGCAGAAAGCCGGGCAGCAGCTGGATACCCAGCGGCACCTGCCATTGCGCCATTCGTCCTGAGGAGATCGTGCGGTTGACGACGTAGTTGACCCAAAAGCCGCACATGCCTCCTCCTTGGGAGGCGATCTCGAAGATACCTACCAGACGACCGCGGATGGACGCTGGCGACTACAAAAGGACGGTAAAGGTTACTCAGGGTTCCAAGCTTCACAAGGTACAGAAAGAGTTCCTTACTGTCTCAGCGATGTATACAGGCACCAGCAACGACACAGAGCCGATGCCGAAGCCGGCGATGGCACGCCCGGCATAGATCAAGCTCACATGACCTGACGAGGCCGTCTAGATATCCAGATCATCAGTGTCGGTTTCCCCGCTGGTGGTTTATCCAAACAGCTTACCATCAAACTGCCGCCTACAAGGAAGATGGAGGTCGCAATAGTAATGGCTATCTTGCGGCCAAAACGTTCGGCCAGCGGGAAGGTCAGGAGAGACCCGAAGAAGCAGCCGGCCTGGAAGGTAGAAACAATGTTGCCCTGCAGGGTATCTCTGGCCGTCGCAGTGACACGCGATATGCCAAAGTCGTTGCGAAAGGAGTCCAAAGCCATGGTGCCACCTATAACACTGGTGTCATAGCCCACTGCGTGTTTTGGTTTCGGCTGGTCAACAAGTGCTCTCTGTGGCTTAAAGAAAAGTTCATTACTTACTGGCAATGGCCCCCATACTCACGATGATGGCAATGAGATGCACCCGCCAGTTGCGCACCTCTGGCGGGTCATTGCTGTTGTCGGCATGCAAATTGAAACCCATTGTTGGCTGTGGGATCGACGCTGTTGATCCTTGTCAATTGAACACAGGGCTGATTTTTGCTTGAGGGAGTAGATCGTCTTGGTCAGGTAGGCTGTGTCTTCTTATAAGTGGAGACCATCAGTAACCATCTGTTCGTAGAGAAGCGTCCCGTGTGTGCTGCATCTTCCAGGGTTCTCTCCCATGCTGTGCAAGAGCGGCCTTAGCAATATGAGCGCCAAACCACAAGAAAAGAGCGGGGGCTGAGCCCCGCGAATGGTATTGGATGGTACCCCGCAAAGTCAAACCCTGGACAAAGAAACCCCCGCAAAACGAGATCCCGCAAAAAGAGAAGTCATTATTCTGACTTGGAGACTGCAGCCGCGGGCTTGGGGGCTTGGCGTCCGCGTTTTAGCGCCTTAAATGGCGGGCTTAGCCTCCGCTCTTGGCGCCGTATCTCTTGGCGGAGGGCGTTTGTAGATAATAACCGAGGCGGAGATTTCTTCCGAACTACTTTTGCACAGCCTGCAACGACATGAATAAGACTCCTGGATCACGTCCATGTCCTTCGGAAGACCAGCAGCCTACCTGCATCTTCCAGTCCAACGTGACGTTCGCCGTGAACTACAGAAGCGACCAGCTCTGATCACCATCGCCTCTCCTTAAGACCGTGGAAATCGCCTTCACCAAGCATCTGTGCCTTCAATCATGGTGCAGATACAGGTAAGAAGACCATTGCCTTTTCCCTCTTCGTATGTTGACCCCTATTTCTCTAGGACAACAACAATACCCTGAAGGTGCCAGAGGTTGGTACTGCAGGAGGGAGTCCCACGAGAGATCAATCGTTCAGCAATCTCAGCAGCCTGCGGGTGGCCAGCATGCAATCAGATAGAAGCCGGGATAGAGCCCTGAGCGGCAGCACCGGCTCGACCATCAGCCCACATCTGGAATTACCCAACTCTAAACTCCAGATCGAGACGTGCGCCACCTCCATTGTATCCTCGATGAATGAGCAGGAAGACGCACTGCGACCCGACCCGGGCTGTGAGGAAGACTTTGTGGTTGAGAATAGCCCGTTTGCCTACTCCCCGGGTCAGCTCAACAAGCTTCTGAACCCCAAGTCCATCTCGGCCTTTGTGGCCCTGGGGGGAATCCGGGGACTAGCTAAGGGCCTTCGCACTGACCTCAAGGCCGGTCTCAGCTTCGATGAGACGACTCTGCCGGGCGCAGTCAGCTTTGAGGAGGCAATTGCATCTCATAAGGAGTCCACAGACATCAGGACGTCGATCCTAAACCCAGCTACGCCCCAGGCGGCATCTGGAGGAGTAACACCCTCGGACGGGTCCTCCCAAGCCTTCAGCGATCGCATTCGCATTTACAAGCGCAATATGTTGCCTGAGAAGAAGCCAACACCGCTCTGGAGACTCATGTGGATGGCTTACTGTGACAAGGTGCTGCTGCTTCTGACTGCGGCTGCCGCTATCTCTCTGGCACTCGGTCTCTATGAGACCTTCGGTGCTGACCACCCGCCTGGATCCCCCATGCCAGTCGACTGGGTAGAAGGCTGTGCGATCTGCATTGCCATTTTCATCGTAGTTATGGTGGGCTCATTGAATGACTACCAGAAGGAACGAGCCTTCGTCCGGCTGAATGCGAAGAAAGAGGACCGCGAGGTGACGGCTATTCGCTCTGGGAAACTGGTCAAGATCTCTGTCCACGACGTCCTAGTGGGCGATGTGCTTAACTTGGAGCCCGGAGATCTAGTCCCGGCTGATGGCATCTTTATTGATGGTCATAACGTGAAGTGTGATGAATCTTCCGCCACAGGAGAGTCCGATCAGCTTAAGAAGACTGGCGGAGATCAGATCTTGCGGCTGCTAGACCAAGGTCACACCCGGCAACAAGACTTAGATCCCTTCATTATCTCTGGCAGTAAAGTCCTAGAGGGTGTTGGTACCTATCTAGTAACCTCAGTTGGCGTTAACTCTAGCTATGGCAAGATCCTGATGGCTATGCGCCAAGATATGGAGGCAACCCCTCTCCAGAAGAAGCTGGATGGGCTGGCTGGGGCGATTGCTAAGCTTGGCAGCAGCGCAGCGGCCCTGTTGTTCTTTGTCTTACTCTTTCGTTTCCTGGGTTCTCTATCCAGTAACCACCGAACTGGCTCAGAGAAGGCGTCGCAGTTTACTGATATCCTTATCGTGGCCATCACTGTTATTGTTGTGGCCGTGCCCGAAGGCTTGCCGCTGGCCGTCACCCTGGCGCTAGCCTTCGCAACCACGCGCATGGTCAAGCTCAATAACCTCGTGCGTGTGCTAAAGTCGTGTGAGACCATGGGTAATGCAACCACTGTGTGCTCTGATAAGACCGGCACTCTGACCCAAAATAAGATGACGGTCGTGGTGGGCACCTTTGGTAATGATAGCTTCGACGATAAGAACCAGAGTGGCAACGAGCGCCGATCACCTGCCTTCGCTAGTGAAATGGCTCCTATTGACAAGCGCCTGATTATTGAGTCCATCGCCATCAACTCAACCGCCTTTGAGGGAGACGATAATGGTGTGGCGGGCTTTGTCGGCTCCAAGACTGAAACGGCTCTCTTGGGATTCGCCCGTGATGTGCTCAACATGGATTCACTGTCCCAAGAACGCTCTAACGCCACAGTCGTCCAGTTGATGCCATTTGATTCCCGCTGTAAATGCATGGGAGCGGTGCAGCAACTGCCTAACGGAACATATCGCTTCCTCGTCAAGGGCGCCTCTGAGATCCTGCTGGGTTACAGCTCAAGGGTGTGGATGCCGACTGGCGAGGTGCGCCTTAACCGAGTGGAGCGCGAGCGTCTGGAGAATGTCATCGAGATGTATGCAAAGCAATCTCTCCGGACTATCTCGCTCATCACCCGGGAGTTTTCGCAGTGGCCTCCGCAGAATGCGGTCAGTGCAGAGGATCCTACATCAGCCAATCTGGATCTCCTGCTGGAGGAGATGACCTTCCTCGGGGTCGTTGGGATTCAAGATCCTATCCGCCCTGGGGTTCCTGAGGCGGTCGCCAAGTGCCAGCACGCTGGAGTGAGTGTCCGGATGGTGACTGGAGATAACATGGTCACAGCTAAGGCCATCGCCACTGACTGCGGCATCTACACAGACGGCATCGTGATGGAAGGGCAGGTGTTCCGCACTCTGACGGACCGGCAATTCCAGGAGACTCTCCCACAGCTGCAGGTCCTCGCGCGTTCGTCACCTGAGGATAAGCGGATCCTAGTCACCAAACTGCGTGAGATGGGCGAAATTGTCGCTGTCACTGGCGATGGGACTAATGACGGACCCGCGCTCAAAGCAGCTGATATCGGATTCTCAATGGGCATTGCTGGCACTGAGGTTGCCAAGGAAGCCTCTGCAATTGTCCTTATGGATGACAACTTCGCCTCAATTCTGACTGCGCTTATGTGGGGTCGGGCAGTCAACGATGCTGTCCGCAAGTTCCTCCAGTTCCAGATCACTGTCAACATCGCCGCTGTCTTCTTGACCTTTATCTCAGCCGTCTCGGACAGGGAGATGAAATCTGTCCTAACAGCCGTCCAGCTTCTGTGGATTAACTTGATCATGTAGGTTCAATTATTTGCATTATCTCGGGATTCATACTGACCTGTGTTTCCTCTTACAGGGACTCCCTCGCTGCGTTGGCTCTCGCTACGGACCCTCCGACGGAGGAGATCCTCAACCGTAAACCTACCAAGCGTAGCGCTCCACTGATATCGACCACCATGTGGAAGATGATCATCGGCCAGGCGATCTTCCAGTTGACTGTCACCCTGATTCTACACTTTGTTCGGGGTGATGGATTCCTCAACTACCCAGACGAAGAGAGGCGGTCAATTGTCTTCAACACCTTCGTGTGGATGCAGATCTTCAACGAATTCAACAACCGCCGACTAGACAACAAGTTCAACATCTTCACCGGCCTGCATCGCAACTGGTTCTTCATCGTCATTAACTGCATCATGGTTGGCTGCCAGGTCGTGATTGCGTTTTTCGGCGGCAAGGCGTTCAGTATCGTCCCTATTAACGGTGTGCAGTGGGCCATCTGTATTGTCGTTGCCGCGCTCTGCTTGCCCTGGGCCATCTGTGTACGCTGCTTCCCAGATGAGTGGTTTGCCGTCCTGGCCAGATTCGTCGGCAAGCCCTTCCTCCTTATCTACCGCCCTCTGAGGCGAGGCATGACCCGCCTTGGAAGAGTTTTCAAGCGCCGGGCCCAGGAGAATGAGGCTGTCGAGGACAACGGCGTGTTAGAGATCTCTTCCGCCACCAGCACTGATTTCAAAGATGTCGAAAAGGGACAGGCATAAGTCCCTTTGAAACTTTCGTAAACTTCTCATTTTCCTAAATTACTAGTTACTATACCTCTTTGCCTGAGACAGATACGTCGCAACAGGAGCCCGACTGCTTCGCAGAATTGAATAACGGAGTTATCCCATGGCTCTCTAGGGTGTGCTGCTAGAGATACATATCGTCAGCCATCTCTTGTCAAATACTGTCTGTGCTTGATGTCTATATGCCCATGACCTGACTGCGATCCTTGACTTGCTTGGTGTCTGCACCGTCAGATCTTGAGGTGGGAGAAAAGTGTTTCCCAATTGGCACTGCCACTTGATTGTCCGCCGTGGGACTGTGCTGAAATTCCTAGGGCATCGTGTCTATTTGGTCAGGAAGGAATGACATTATTCATAATCGCTAAGGAACTCTTCAAGCTAGTTAATGAAAAACTTCTCGGTCTTATAATCTCTCATGTTAGTTGAAGACTTCTTGAAACTGTCACCGTGTACTGGGCCATACTGTATGGAAAGACCCTAAAGCTAACTCGTCTGCCTAGAGAACATACTCACTATTACTGGTATTAGCGTTATAAGTTGGCTAAAGTAGTAAGACCAAGTCGGTTCGCATATTGTAGTCTCTAAATTCTAATTAGGCTATTCTCAGTCCCGTCCATAGTAGAAAACTAAAATGAAAAGATTGACCAATACCAAGAATCCAGTAAAGGAATGCCACAATCCCAAGATAATTGCAACCTTTTGGGTGGCAAAATCAGTAGTCGACATCCGGCTAAGTAAGTTCCTTGTCTTCTAGGCGGGTACTTTCAACTTTCATACTCACTTTTTCTTTCCGCTAGGGGTTCGGTTTGATTTTGGGGAAGAAGATTTTGCTCCGCGATCATTAGATTTAGAGATTTGTTGCCTTTGTTTGTTCAACCGATGTACATGCTCCGTTGATAGGTAATCCTAGCAAAATGCACCTTTTCGTAGGTATTTTTGACATGATAAGAGAATTGAAAGTTCAGATATAATGATCCCAACTTTAATGAAGTCTGAAGCGGCCGGTATTTCCGCAGGAGTATAAGTAATAGGATGCCAGTTGATCTTATCCATTTCAGTATCATATTGATAATGCCATTGGTCTCGCAAATCCCCGTACCTAGTCGATTTGATATTTCTCAGCTCCTCTCCGAATAATATCTTCTGTTTTTGCGATTGAGGATTCCTTCACAGCCTGCTTTTTCTTCATGCGGCGATTACTAGCAAGAACATGATGGGCCACCAGATTCCGTAGTTGTTTGGCTTAGCCAAGACAATGCTTAAATTAGAAAGTGCATGTTCTTGCAGTAATTCTCTCAATCGTCCACGGGAATCTTCGCACGCATTATCGATTTTCTCAACGAATCTCAGGGGGCCGAATGTCTAACCTAGTTTACGATTTACCTTCTCGGGTGGCTCGATGATATCACACAAGATAAAACAGAGAGACTCAAGATTGTCTACTCGTTAGGATTGAATGACAGCAACGCGAGGTGCAATTTCACGGTCACTCTGTTGCCTCTCCGAGCAGTCAAGCTATATAAAGATTCCACACGAGCGTGGTTGCGCACTTTGGCTTCTAAAAAAATCATAAAAGCCGGGAGATCTTGTCCCCTTTCCCTAGGTCGTGAACTAGTAAAGCCAGGTGTGGATGGCAGAGGAGCACAGTCCCAGTCCCATTGGCAAAGTCGCTAGGCTACCAAATATACATTACATGAAATTCATCTTTCAAGCTTGGCTTAGGATATAAGCTTCAAGTTTAGGCGCGCCAAAAATGTACGATGATTGTTTACTAAAGGAGCTTCAACGGTGCCTCCTGGCGATGTCTAGATCGTAGGGCCCACTCGACCCACCCAAACTCGACGTTACCGTTGAATGTTCCTCTTCTTTGATCTACAATCTTATACTCATGACGATGTGGTCAGCCAATAATTTAAAGATAGAGTGAGCGTGTAGACAACCCCATGAGTTTTTCAGATTCTAGGGTGCACCGTGGCCGGAAAGGCCCAAAATCCCGAAGTAACTTATCCGCAAAAATAAACATGTACTTGGCCCGTCTCACGGAGACGTACGCCCAGACAGACATCTACATCACACATCTTGCTATCTTCGCATGCCTTTGTTATCAGAGATGATTTACGACGACACTGTTTCGAGCGCTTTGCTTTCTTGCTCGGACAAGTCGACTCGGTCGGGTGTTTAGGACAGAAGCCATTTCCAAGTAGCGCCGCCCCGTCCACGAATAAACACTTGCGTCACTTTAGCCAGGTGAAAGAGAGAGAAAATAAAACAAGGGAGCTAACTAACTAAGTATTCTCAACATTGGACAACACCTTTGCAGTCCTTCTCGCTGCTGGTGCTTTTGTCAATACGAAAATTCCTCCAGAGTTTGCGGGACTGGGAGAATTGGTGAGTGTGTTGCCAGTCATTGCTACTACGCTGCTTCTACGCTGATCGAAGATCTAGGCACAGAGCACTATCATTGCACGAGTGACAACAACTAAAGTTCCACAAACTATCCTTAATATCTAACTAGAATCGTCGTTTTGAAGAGTGGATAGGATAATACAAAAACGGCTACATATTCTTACCAAGTTATTTACGACTTTCGTCCAGGCGATATTTATTCCGTGAAGGAGGGTTTAAAGCTTTAGATCACACCTAGGCTTATTCCATAACGAATTAGAACCTTTCTCAAACGACTCTTAGGAGGAAAATAAAGTCAATTTCTTACGCAAGTTGACTCGTATAAAGCAAGCGTCTTGGTTCCAAATATAAAAGCTAGCCACGTTAGCTGCCATTCTATCTTACATCACAGGCATCGCAATGCCACCCGATTTGTCTACGGGTGGAACTTTCTAAAAGACACCCGTACGCCTTAGCCCGTTACTAACAGCGAATAACTTCTTCACCGGTAAGACTTTCGGTGTGAATTCGTGGAGACTAGTGCCAAGGGTTATCATAGCTTTGACCAAAAAGCTCGACAGAGATGTTATATGCCAACATCTTTTCATGTGCAATAAATTTTAGCGAAAGCAAATTCTCCCAGGTTTGGATAGGCTTGACTGACATCTGGCATCATTTTCGGAATTCTTGGTTAGAGTAAGATTAGCCGTCGATGTCCCCGAAGAGAGGAACATATTGGATTAGACTATTCACATTTTCCATTGCCGGAATGCTAGCGGGTTGCTGTCCATAGCGGACTTTTCACCGGCCCCTCCAGCGACATAATTGAACGCTCGCGACCCCAGCGCATGGAGGGCCTGTTCCTCTAGATCGCGAAAATCGGCAGTAACGCCTGGTTCTTTAGCGCCAGGGGCACCGTTACGGTAGATTTAGGTCATGTAATTCCCGTAGTTTTCGGACATAGTAAATAACGTAATTCACATGCGAGCGGCCCACCCAAGCGAGCGGCCCAGCTCAAAACACCATACTAAATGGGATAAATTACAACTTGATATCTTAACAACCACGTTTTCAATTTACCTTATTGCTCGTCGATAGCCATTAATAAGTCTTTTCAATGCTATATATCAGCTTCAAGGAAATTGATAGGCTGCAATATCATGATATCGAAAATTACGTTGCTGTGAGCCAGAAATATAAATATCTTAACCACTAAGTCCAAGAAATTCTCCAAAGTCCCTAAATAGGCTAAATATCAACATAAAAAGCATTAGGCTATAATGCGAAGTTCTTACACACCACCGTTGTTGAGATATCAAGTTGTAATTTATCCCATTTAGTATGGCGTTTTGAGCTGGGCCGCTCGCTTGGGTGGGCCGCTCGCATGTGAATTACGTTAAGGTGCGATTTGAAGATACTGGGGTTGAGTGAATCTCGAAATATTTATTTTGTGTGAAGGAATTACTACTGATTGTCGGTGGAGGGCACAAAGCATATTTATTTTTTATAGATTCACGCACCACTGGAATCTCAAGCAAAACAGCGAAAGGGAGATATCAGCGTGGCACCCTACTGTAAAATGCCTCACCTACAAGCAGCCACCTTGTGGCTGGTTGTAGTCGATCGCCTGGACAATAGCAAGTAATCATCATCTACGACTTCAGTCCCTGTGATTTTCTTTTCTCGTTTTTCTTTCCGTTGTGATCCCGTAATATTAAATTAAGCTCCATTAGGATCACGTAGAACAAGACCTGAAAAGGTATTCTTCGTTTTTAGTAGTTGCCATGGTCTCTAGGGTGGGGGACATGTCAACGAAATGCCGAATTGGTCTCCAAAACGGAAGGTCCTTTGCTCCCAGCATACTGTATCCTGGCAAGGACCAGTACCCCACCTGGGCGCGCTCCCTAGTTGTTAAAATAAATACAATACAGTCTCGATGCCCCCTTAATAACTTCTGAAGGAGCTCGGTGTCTCTTCTATTGACATCACAGACAATTTCTCATCAATTCCCAAATATAGTGGGATATCATTTCAAGATCATTGTGCATACCACCACAAGATATGTCATCTGTACAGCTTTGCGGTCGTGATGAGCCATGACTCAAGGTTCGTGTAAGAATCTGAGTCCTCAGGTTATAAATTAATCTCCCTTCAATTCCAACTGGTTTGTTTATCCATAACCAGTTCATCCCCAGCAGAGACCATGCTGTCATTCATGTTTCGGGTGCTTTCGTCGGTGAGAAGATTGGAACATTTAGTGCCGCTCAGTCGAGCGACATGGTCATAGCTGTTGAGTCAGCGACGAAGGCCTTCGAAGGAGAATGGAGACAAACCCCAGCGGTAACCAGATGGTAGCTGCTACTTCGACTTCAAAGAATCATCGGGGATAAACGAGACTCACTTCGGCTTACAGCCATAAATGAACGGCGATTAGGACCTACTACGGCACCAAGTCATGACATAGGATTGAACACCCCAAATTAACTAAATGAAAGGGCGTGCCCTACTAAATATTGACCAGCTATTCAACCCAGGGGACAGTCCGAAATAAGCCTTTACTGCCACGTATACATTCTCATTCGAGTCAGGGTGGCAGGACTAACTCCGTGTCATATCCTTACCCACTGGCGGACCCTGTGCGGTATTAACTTAGAGGCTTTGCGCCGTAAATATGTAGTAGGTAATCGACATCTAGTAGGAATTACGCTAGAACCCGATGCCTGACGCCCGATGAAGACTCGTTCTGGTAAGGCTGTGCAATGATCGTGACTGATTTCACAACACAACATTTCGGCCCAAATATTAATATTCTGATCCAAGAGTTCTTTGAACCAAATTAATAAATGGTTAATACGTTGTGATAGGGCTGGTGGTAAAGGTCAAAGGTTCCGTTGGCTCCGATACTGGCCCCAGTTTCTTTTCTACAGTGGACGCATTCGTCACTTCCAATTCCACCTCCGTCAATAACACCGCCAGGAATACTTTGACCTGCTGTAAGACGAATCCGGTACACGGACAACGCCTGTGTCCCGTGAGAAAAGGCAAGTACTTGCACTCGCCCTCCATCGTATTCGGGAGGAGTCCGTCCCATCGCTCTGGTCGAAATCGTGAGGCATCCTCGCCCCAGACATGAGGGTCTTGATGTAGCATCGCAAGGGAGACAGCCACGCGAGCCTGCATGGGAATGACAAGGCTGGCACCGGATTGAGTTTGCATGTTGATCGGGCGATCAATGGCTCGGGCGGTAGTCGGGATTGGGGGGTGTAGGCGAAGCAGCTCGTTCACCACCGCATTGAGGTAAGGAAGTTTCGAAAGGAGTTGCAGCTCCTGGCGATGGTGCCAGTCACTTTCTTGGAGCTCTGTGCGGAGCTTTTGCTTCACCTCGGGGTACAAGGTTAACTCCCTCAGCGCCCAGAGGAGGAGTAGCGTCGGGGCGGGAAATCCGTGGGAGAAGATTTGCCTCGCGTGGGCGAGAACATCCGGGGTGATAGGTTGTGTTGCGCTCCCGCCTGTCTCGTGGGATATCCTCTGGAGGAAGCTCATTTGCTCGAGGGTTTTCACGGCCTCCGGGTTGAGGAGGTCCGCGTTGGCCTCCAGAAGCTGGAGGACACAATTTTCAATCCTTTCATGGAGATCATTCTCGTAGTAATCTGGTTCTTCAAAATTCCGACCGCACATGAGATTGATCATGGTGTGATGGAGTGGATACGACATACTCGCCGCCATCTGCACATACTGGGCAAATGGCTCCTGCCATTCCCTTGTACATTGGGAGGCATTCTCCAACCCGAGCCCCAGACACCATACCGCGTCCATGGCATAATCCTGCAGGAGACTCTGGAGGTTGTCACCCATCCCGACGTCTCGGAGTTTTTGGACGTGGCTCGTCGCAATCGAGATCAGCTTCGAATGAAACCCCTCCATAGCAGGTCTGTTGTGGAAACCCCGGGTCATATCAGCGTGCCAATTTCTGGCGACGTCTCCATCAGCGGTAATCAGGGCACTGCGAATGATACGTTTGCCGGTTCCAAAGGGACCTCTGGTCTGGGTTCCGCACCGACTAATAGATTCTGCATTTTTGACAAACACCTGCCGGATCAAGGCGGGGTCTCGAAGGTATATCAAGGGCACACCGCCGATACGCGTCCAAGATATACCCTCCTCCGCGGCTGCGTTGAAAAGGGCCCTCATCGACGTTGAATAGAAATCATGGGACCATTTCTCTGACAGGAGGCCCAGGGTAGGAAAGCAGGAGGCGTATGGGATGTCAGCAAGCGGATTGTTTCGGAAACCGAAGAAGGTGCACAGCGCAGCGGAAATTGTCTGGAGCATTTCGACCGCTGGGAGGGAATTCAGTCAATCGGCTGATGGGTATCAGCGGACGGCTGACATGGGCTTAATGGTGGATGCGAATTGCAATCACACAGGGGAGTATAGATTAGGTTTTGTGGGCAAAGACTTTATACCCCTGGAGCCATTGTATGATGATGATATACAGTAGTCGCTTCCGAGGATTCGATGTCTGATATCGATCGCGGGAGGCCCCCAAAGCAGCACAGAGTTTTCGATATGCGCATGTTTGCAGATCCAGTTCTACAATTTGAACCAGAGAATTGCTATAGCCTGTGGATTACTTCCAGAATTGAAATAGTTCACCGGCAGAAATGCCCCGATTTAGAAATTGAACAACACATGAGCTGGCGGCGAGCTGAATATGGATCACAGTTCTGCCCAATCGTCACAAGTCACTACCTCGTATCACAGCTGAACCCATATTTTTCTTTTTTTTTTTTTTTTTTAGAAATGATCAATCATATTTTATCATGAATTTTATTGTTCTTTTAATATTGATAAATAATTTAGTTACTGTCTATTTTGTCTATTTCTATGATGTAAAATTTCTTAGTTAATATTCTATATATTTAAATTAGACTAGTCAATCTCATCCACCAAATTATCAGAGCCGGCGAGGCTCTCTGTATGGTGAGTGGTAGCGATGGTCATTTATTATATCTACAGTATAATAAACTGTCTTCCCCCATCCGCTTCTCGGCCCAATAAGGCGCCCACTTCACCGCCGATCTGTGCACTCAGCACACAGTCCCCTTCAATACCTGTCCAAGATCTGTTTCAAAATCTGAACCCTTTCAAATTCTGTCCTCCATTATGGTTCAGTACAAGCTTTTGGCATGCCTCCTCGTACCCTCCCTGATGATGATCAACTGGCGTGCCTCCCACAGCCGCAGAGTTTCCACCAAGATCCCCGAATCCGTTGACCAAAATGTGATCATTCGAGCTCTACACGACCAGCCGAGTTTCATCAAACTGAATCCGGTGGTTATAGACGTAAACCAGGTCCCGACCGACCCCGCGACATACGAGGTCGAATTGTTTCAAACCTCCAAGACTTGGGATCCGATTGAGACATATATGCTAAGCAGCATGATTACGATCATCCCATGGATCGGTCCATGGGGCCAGAAACACATTCAGTTCGGGACCTGGTTGAGAAATACCGAGTCCGGCATCAAGACCTACGCTGATGCACCATTTGGCGTATCTGTGAGAAGCCAGTGGATGGTCCAGCCAGACACTACGCGTGGTGCAGAAGGTAGGAATTCAGGCTCCATTTTTGGAATATTCAACGCTCACCGGGATTCAGGATGGATGCTAGTAGTTGAGAGAACCGTCGAGTGTGTATGGTGGTTGATGCCTTTCGTGGCATACACGTATGATGGAGTCCATGCGAGCGTTGGTCGAGATTTGGTGGAGTTAGCTGGGGTGAAAGGGGCTTAATTTTACACAAGCGGGATTTTCCTGAACCGGCATAAACCCCTATACCAATATGCGCTTAATTAGGTGACCTGATATCTCTCTTTGGCGGAGTGGTAAAATTGGTTGATGAGAGGAGTAAAATGCAAGAAAATAAAGGAAAATCAATTGGCGGTGCCGATGGGGAAGTAAAGAAAAGCGGGAGGGAATGAGATTTGAAGAGGTCGCTACTCTTGGTAAGCTCATAGATGCCGAACGTACGCTCGGTAGATTATGGCATTTCCAGCGCTTCCACGTAAAGTATCGCACGCTCCATCCAGCTTGGGGGAAATTCCACACCTTAGTATCAGCGAAGGGAGAATGATACTTTCCCCCTTCTGACTTAGCGTGAAGGCTAAGAGAATATTTGTATTGGGGCAATTTTCTCCTTCAAGCATTATGGGCGAGAGAAAGTATCTTGGTAGTCACTGCAATGTTCGCTCCATCAATTGATATTCTTTCTTGTTGATGTAAGCGCAAAAACACCACAACGTCTATCACTGAGGCAGTCAATATACTGATTCTTCGAAGTAATATTCATAACTTTGTTCTGAAATGGAACTCATTCATCATCCTCATATCCTCCGCCGCCATTGTAAACAGGAACCTTCGCCAGACTGAAAACCGACGGACAAATCTCATGCATAGAGAAGTAAGTGAGCTGACGAGCAGCCAGATCATAGAGACTATCAATCTGCACTCTCATAAATCCCCGATATAGGTTGGTGCAATAGCTATTACTCTCCGAATAGCTAGGATCATCCCCACGAACCCATCCTACTAACCATGCCTATCGTACTCCCACCCCTCTGATCCTTAGGGTTATCGTAAGCCCGTATAATCGATTGCAAGCACTTTTCGTCAATAACAAGACATGCCGTAAACCGAGGTACGTCATCCCCGACTTCAACCCCTAGTGATTCCAAATGTGCGTTGAAATCTGCACGGATCTAGTCCTATAACGCCCTATCCTAGCGCTCTCGATCTTCAAGAATAACGCTCTTATATGTCTCCTTGATGATGGTTTCGGGGAAAGGGTCTTGGCTATCGTACGGCTTTCCGTCGATATAATCGATCTCCTAATAGATATAACGGGTAATCTTATCGAGACAAGAGGTCCACACTTTATCTGATTTCGGGGTATAGACAGTGCGATAAATAATAAAACCCTAGGGCCACTTAAACTTGCCTATGAAGTTCACCGATGTACGATCGTTATCTTTCCACTAGGGCTGCTGAATCCAACGTGCTCGGCGTTCATCATGAGAAACCATAAACTCCGGATGAGTCCAGCGTTTAGGCCAAGAAGGGTGGTGGAATGACTCGTCGTCCGACTTATCCGCTGTAGAAATATCTGGTTGAGACATAGTGATAATCGTGTGCATAGGGGTGTAATAGGGAAGTTAAGTGAAGTGAGACAAATATCTTGGGGGGGGGAAATGTAGGGCGCGGACAAGCGCCTTGGGAAAATTCCTAGACAATCAAAGATATGATTTTGATCCGCTCTGTAACCACGCGAGGAACGGCAGTGACTGACGCGTCGGAAAACCTTGATTCGACTACCGCGCCGCGGACCAGAAGACAGGCTCGCCTTAGCGACGGCTCTCCAACGCAGCTCGCTCTATTACCGAGATCACGAGCTCCGTAGACAGCAGTGGACGCGTCACGACTCGGGTCTGACGACGGGAGAAGTGACAATACCCAAATAGATAATAAACAATGAAATGAAGCAGAGCACTGCGTTGTCCGGCCAACGTAGACCTTAGATTCCCACCTTCGGTGTACCCTTGAGGACGCCTGAAAAACACTACCATGACAGGATATCCAGATATAACTATGGTAATTGTTCTCTGCCCGGTCAAGGGGAACAGGGAGCTCGCTCCATCACTTGCACCCACATATTTGAAATTGCGAAAAGCCCAAGGTAGTTCCGCGCATCCCAGGGACGCGTCGGGTTGATAAGCGCCAGGTCAAAGTTGCGCAAGAGCTGTGTCCGGTCGGCAGTCCGGTTAGCGTATCCTTGAGAAGAAAGAAGGCAAAAGCAGATATGCGGAGCTCGTTCTATTCACCTCGAATATCACCTTTCCGATCTCGATTTCGGCCACTGTCTTCCCTAAGCACTGGAATTTGCCATGGCCGAATATGAGTTGGTTGGTCCGAACCATGACAGACAACTTGGCAGGATCCGACTCGAGCCACCGCTCAGGCCGGAAAGCCTTTGCGTCCTTGCCATAGACCTTCTCGCTCTGGTGCATAGCGTACGCAGAGTACCCGATGCAGATGCCGCCCGGTAGGAAAACGCTCTGGCCATCGACGACAATAGTGTCGCCACCTGGAGGTACATCGCGCGGGAAGATGTTCGTAACAGGCGGCCAGACTCGTAGAGCCTCGCAGATCACAGCCTGGAGGTATGGGAGCTTTCTAGCCTGGGCGGCACTAATAGGGCCTTCGCCTATTCTTGGAGCACGGCTGCAGCGCACGCCATCGTCGACCTCGCGCTGCAGCCTAAGGTAGACGCGAGGATTCGTCATGAGGTGCAGAAGGATGCCCCGAATGGCGCCAGCAGTGGTGTCGGAGCCCGCAATAATCTGCTCTAGCGCCTCAGTGCGCAGCTCATTGCCTTCTAAGCCGTGGCGCATGAAGGAGGCCAGCATATCGGACCGTTCGTCGGTAGAGCCGGCAGCGCGCTCGTCGACGAGGCGGAAGCAAGCAGCCATCATCTTACCGAAGCCGTTGTTGTCCTTAGGTGAGGGTGCAATGAACCTGCCGATGAAGGGAGCTTGAGTAATCCAGCTGAAGCCCATGGCGAGGGCAGCATTGCCGATAGCAAGTCCCTCCTCGCTCGATTGGAGGTAGTCATCCACGTCCTGGTCACTCTGTAGCATACCAAACGACTTGCCGAGGCCGACGCTGCTAATGACATCTAGTGTAAAATACTGTACCTTCTTCGCTAGGTCCATAGGCACAACACTGCGGTCGGACGAGATATATTTGGACCGGATGAGGTTCAGGAAATCTTGGACTTGTTCATCCACAGACCCCTCGAGGTTGATATTCTCCCTTCCCGAATACTTTATGACAACTACCGGTCAGCGGCCTATGATAGGTGGGAACAAAGTCAGAGAGGAAGACGACGTAGCCATCATACCCCAGGAGCCATCTGCTTCCTCCGTCGCTCGTGTTTCGCGTTATCCGTCTGACTGAAGACGTTGTCCCTCCGATATTCGATCCGCGCGGCTTTATAATACCAATCGGAGCGCTTGTAGCCAGGCTTGTTGTTTACATGCATCTAAACTTCAGGAGAGGACGTGAGCAGGACTCGAGGCGCGACTCGGGCAATCGGACCTGGCTCGAGTCGGAACTGTTAGCTGTAGGAAGTACGGCACCCCGGCAGAGATGCAAGCGCAATAGGTGCCTGGAAGATGCCCCGCACCGTGTTTCTTGTTGACTTCTGCATACCACTCGTGGCAACTTCCCCGAAGCATCGCCATGCTATGAGGCCAGTTCGAGATGCCGGTCCACGAAGGTCCCGTGAACTCCCTCAACTTAGCATATGTCGTGATCGTCCTGTAGATGTAGAGTCCCAAGAGACTACAGAGGAGTGCCACAGCCTGCCAAGATAACATGGATACCCCTATGGCGGAAGAAACAACAGGACAGGGTTGGTCAAAGTGAATGAAGTTTGAAAGGGACATCCAGGTATCGCGGGGCATGCTATGTGCTACTGCACTATTGGACCCCTCCCTTTCACTAGAGCACCACGGGGGTTATTAATCAATCATCCGTTCCACCTCACCACCTCACCTCACCTCCTGTTTAAGGATCCTTTTTTTTTTTTTTTTTTTTTTTTGGCACGTCTAGGACCCACGCTTTACCCACAATGGCATACATCATGTTCCGTGAGCCGGATCTTGCACTTATCATTCTTAGAACCAACCCAGTGCTTTTCGACAGACAGGGCGAGATGGTGGTCTATTCCGAGGAATGCTTGCGCGCAACAATGTGATAAATCTGCATCGCTATATTGAAAACCATGGTCCCCGTGTCTTTGGTCCCGTTGAGGTATATTATTGGAGTCCTTTCTACATTGTCGCAGAAAATGGCAGTACCGGGGCTTTTCGCGAGTTTCTGGAGTTCTATTGGTCTGATTCAAGAGCTGGTTTTTCCACTCTTTGAGAATCAGTTCTATTTTTGTACTTCGGAAAGATCAGGCGTACGAGCTCTTGCTTCACACGGACCGAAGCCCCTGCATAGCCATTACGATACAAGTTAGGCTCAAACAGGTTAATAAAATTTTGATTGATTGATTGGTCTGTTTGGTCACAATGTGAACACATCGGGGGCCGGCCATTTTGACTCCTGAACATCGCCTACGCGAATGCACAGTTTGAGACAGCGCAGTTTTTGTTAGACAGCGAGCCTTCCTTAGGGCCATTACACGATCGCGGTTTGTGGAAAGACATATCTACGGCACATAGACTGAACAGTTATAAAATGGAAAAGCCATGGCACCAATTGCTGGATTTGGCAGGCAAGAAGTACAAAGTATTTTCTTCGTGTCTGGTACCATCAGCTACTTACTGCGTGGGATCACTCCGGCTTCTGCCATACCTAATAGGATTATAAATACCAGAAGTCCTCCATAATTAGTTGCTCCAATATGAGCAATGACTATGACTCTCCAGATAAGAAGCGGTCCACCCATATACTTCGCAATCGTTAGTCAGTACGAGAATGAAATAGGGGATTTTATAGCTAGAGCAATAGTATCAATGACGATAATATGAGGCAACATGGAAATGACAGAGGTGAGCTAAAAATGGGCATAATTCTCCAGCCGATAATCCGAAGCAACTTCGCCTCACTCCTCAGGGGACAGCTGCCCCGCTTCGACGTACAAGTCGGCACCACTATCGTGGGTTTCGCCCAGGTGCAGCATACTTCTCCACAGTGGAGTGAGGTCCACCTTGACGTCTTTGTTCATCGTGAAGTAGAACAATTCTAAAGACGGAGGAAACCGGTTTGCAAAGAGAACACATGTCGCTTATAGGACTTGCTATACGGGCTCACCTGCGGGCAGCCATGGCCTGCATGTTATCGCCGCCAAGTAGATAAGCTTGATTATCTCCTGAAGTTATTTTTCGGCAGATGATAGAAACTGCGGACAAAAGTCCGTTGTGCGGAGATGCCAAGAAATGCGGACTACTACCCGCCATCTCCCCCCACCTTTCAACATTTTATATACTTGGCGTCCAGATGAATAGGCTTGGTCTCTTCGGGGTCAATTGACATTTCCACATCTAAGAGAAAAGGCGCAACGATATGGCTCGGCAAATCCAGGACTTTTCACTGCTCGACGCAAGCATCTCGGAGCTCCAATCCGCTCTCTCTTCAGGCACGCTCTCTAGCGTCGATCTTGTATCAAGATATCTCCGAAGAATCAGCGTATTCGATGCAAATGGCATCAAACTCAGTGCAATCCCAATTATAAACCCGTCCGCCATCGACGATGCAGCGGCCTCCGATGCCCGACGCGCAGCGGGTCTACCACCGCGGCCACTAGAGGGTATCCCATACCTCGCCAAAGACAGTATCAAAGTCAAGGGCATGAGCGTCGCGAGCGGATCGCCAGCTTTTGAAACCCTGATTGCCAACGAAGATGCAGCGTGTATCAACGTTCTCCGCGATGCCGGTGCGATCCTCCTAGGCCGCACTAATATGCCTGCAATGGCATACGGTGGTATGCAGCGTGGCTGCTACGGCCGTGCCGAAAGCCCATATAACAGCGCATATCTGGCTGCGGCGTATGCATCAGGCTCATCGAATGGATCTGCAGTCGCTACTGCAGCCAACTTTTGTGCCTTTTCGCTCGGTAGTGAGACCGTTTCTTCGGGCCGTTCGCCTGCATCTAACAACTCCGTCGTCGCTTATACACCTTCGAAAGGCCTACTTCCTCTTCGCGGTGTCTGGCCTCTCTACGCCACCTGTGATGTCCTGGTACCTCACACCAGGATTATGGCCGACATGTTCCACGTTCTCGATGTCCTAGCCGTTTCTGATCCTACCCCGAAAGGTGATTTCTATCAGGAGCAAAAGCTCATTTCTCTGCCTTCAATCGATACACTTCGGCCGCAATCATTTTCAATGCTCCGGGACAGTTTGTCCTTGCGCGGGAAGCGTATCGGCGTGCCATCGATGTACATCGGAGGCGATCAGTCATCCCTCAACCCCGCCAGCAAAGTCAATACACGTCCCTCAATTGTCAAACTCTGGCAACATGCCAGAGAAGTACTTGTAACGTGCGGCGCGGAGATAATCGAAACAGACTTCCCACTTGTAACAACTTACGAATCTAATGCCGACAAAGGCCAGCTTGTCACAGTTGCAGGACTACCAAAAGGCTGGTCAGCAATGGAGCGAAGCGAGCTAGTAGCGCACATCTGGGATGATTTCCTCATTACAAATGGGCAGGAAGGTCTCAGCTCTCTGGCGCAGGTCGATCCAGCTACCATTTTCCCGCTCGCGCCGTGGTCATTGAAGGGGTCTCCCGATGCAGCGAATGCGCTGCGATGGGACGATATGGTAAAGTACCCGCTCAGGAGACCTGATTCTATTTTCGATATCCCGGGACTTAAGGATGGGATCCAGGCGCTGGAAAATGCGCGCAAAGAGACGTTTGAGAGGTGGATGGATGGGCTTGGGCTTGATGCTGTGGTTTTCCCGGCTAATGGTGATGTGGGGGCCGCGAATTCGGATCGTGACGAGGTTTCTTCATTATTTGCTTGGAGTAATGGGGTTAAATATTCCAATGGGAATAGGCCTATCCGGCATCTAGGTGTGCCCACCATTTCGGTTCCTATGGGACTTATGGAGGATACGGGGATGCCTGTGAATCTCACTTTTGCTGGGAAGGCGTATGACGATAACAATTTGCTTAAGTATGGGTTTGCATTTGAGGAGGCGATGAAGGGTCGCGTGAAGCCTTCGTCTGTACCTGCCCTTGACTCCGATTGTATCAAGGTTGGTCAGAACACTTGCTCATGGACTTCTCACCCTGCCGCTGAGTTGGTGGTGCAGGCTCAGTCGAAGAAAACGGAGGACTCCAAGGTTGTTGTTCACATTGAGGGGTTGGTGGTACCTAATGATATTGAACTGGATTTACTATCATGCTATGTCAATGGCCAACCCTTCAACGCTGTCTCGGATCGTGGTAGATGGTCCCTTGTCGCATCTTATCCTGCTTCTGAGCGTGATCAAACCTGGCAGAGATGGTCGAGTCCTGCTTTAACCGAGACTATTGTTGTCATTATAGCTCGTACAAAGTCTGGTTCGACCGCTGGAAAATTGATATTGCTGTAAAGGCTTGTTAACTGTATAACATCACATAGCTTCTTCCAATATTACACGCTTAAATCCAATTAAAACCTCTGATTGTTTATATTCCATTAAATTATCTTATAGCAGCTCTTGCTGTATAGTTCCACCCAACATCATGTCCTCCATTATTGCTAGCAGCCGGGTGCAGATAGCTCTTCTTCAATTGCTCCAGGCACAAATCACAGTCTTCCAGCAAGATCAAGGTACTGAATTCCACTTCAGATGTACCAACATTCCACATGACTTTCTGTCTCAAGAACTCAAACAAATCCATCTTCGGCATTGCGTCCGTCCAGTAGTGGAAAAAGCCAGTCATGCTGGTTGCACATGTAGAAATAGGGAAGTTATTTGAAGAAACCTGAAGCCGAATGCAGTGACCATCCTTGTACCGACTTGCGTTATCTTTTATCAAAATCAGAGTCTGGCCTCCGACACACTTCTAAAGAACACTGGCACTCCAAGAGATTGGACACATCGTTCTATATTGCGGCAATGGAACTTAATTCTGCGGCGCAGGAAACTGCTACGCTGGAGAATGTGACACTGACAACTGGGGCCCATCAGGCAGCGGCGAATGCGGACCTCTGTTTGCTGGCAACAAACGTGTACTGGGACACAGTTTGTTGATTGTTATTCGGTCAACGGATACTATGGTAGCAGCAACGATTACTGCGTCCCCCTAACTGTTACTTAAGGGCTTGTTTAACGACGGGATACACCTATACGAATGGAGAACGTGGTCTCAAATTTGCGAACATGACATGTGTTAGATCATTGTTTGGTAATTGTTGTTCTATGACTGGATATTGTGGCAACTCGAATGATTATTGCTCGGGTACAAATTGTTACAGTGGCTCTTGTGTTGGCCAATGAGTAATGTCTGTATGTCCTTCGCAAAGGCACGTGGCAGAATCCAGATGGGAATAAATGTAAATGAGCCCAAATATACAATTCTTCGACCATGGTGCTGACGAAGTTTTTAATAATTGAAATAAAACGTGCATTTTTTTTGACTTACCCCATAAATGGACTCAGCGCTAGCCAATCCCTACAGAGAACGGATATAGCTGTTTGCTGATAGAAACTGCCTAAGTGCTCACCTTACCCATTCCCAAATAAAGAGTGAAAAACCAAGAGTTGCTATTTCCTGAGGAGAACGAAACTCACTACTAATCTGGTTGTAAGTTGTCGAATATACAGATGAAATGAAAGTACTTTGCCATCCACGTTCTAATTAGTTCCCCAGTCGCCATGGAGCGCACACTTCTACGCAAAGTGAACCCCTGAGAGGCGGAAAGTCCGGCTTACCATTGGAATGAGAATAACTCGATCTCAGTGATTCGAAGCTTCCAAGAATGCGGCCAAAACGGTTGCATACCGCACTGGGCTTTTTTGGACTCAGGTTATTTCAATGTTTGGCGTTGCTGCAGCGTTGTACATAAGCTAACTATCTTTTCACGGTGATCATTTATAGGGATTTAGGCTCAACTGGCTTTTAGTCACCATTCGCAACAATCGGAACAAAGATCAATAACTGATCGCAGCTTCACCGATTCCGCCGGATGGTACATGATATGCATCGTAGAACATGTGATAGAAGTGGAATGGCTCGGGGTATACCACTACGGGCCGGTTGTACCCAGACACTTCTTCTCTTCTTTCTACACTGCCATGCCAATAACAGGACTCTTCCAATATAGTGAGAGTTATCCTCCGTCTCCGGGCGAACAGCCATGAGTGCAGTAGACCGCCGCATAAGACCTAGGTGGGCTGGGCCCTAGGAATCCTGAACCATACCTCACTGGTTGAAGTTTTCAACCAGAAAGTTCGTCCGAGATAAGTCACTTTCATCCTAATATGAACACGACGTATTCAGTTGTATTCGGTGGGAACGTCAACAAATCTTCTGTTTAGTATTCGTCTCCTTGAGTAACTGCATTGTGAGTAGTGTATTTTACGCAAATTATATTACTATCAAGAAAGATCATCGATCGTTTCTTTCTGTCGAGTCCACGCTGTATAGTTAGGTCCTGGAAAATTCTCACTCAACTAAAAAACAAAATTGAGGAAGAAGACAAATACCCTACCGCCACAGATTCCTGCAATGGGTCGTGGTTTTTATATATCCTGATAGGAAAAGGGAATGTGATTTCAAAGTCCCTCGAGGAGTTTAGGGATGAGAACCTCATCAAATTCCCACAGCTTGGTCTGGAAATTCACCGCGAAGGCACCCCCTGTCCACCACGTGGAACGAGCACCCTGTAGCTTGTATAGGTCTTGATAGAAGCCATCTTTGACTTCTTCGATGGATACACGAGCGTGCATCGGGCCATGCGTAGAGAAAGCGGCCCAGTTGAGCTCTTGGTCCTGGATGGGGCCGGACAAATGGCCAGAGTTCAACAAGGTGTTGAAGCTGCTCTGCGCCAGGGCCTTAGCTTCGGCAGCAGTGGAGGTCTTGTTACCGATGATCATCACTCGGAACAAGTGTCCTAGACCAGAGTAGGCAAAGCTTGCCGTTGTTGGTTCCCTTTGAAAGACCAGATAGTGATCTGGAGCAGCGGAGGAGGGCAAGTTGAAGTACGAATAGCTTTTGTTAAAAACGGCATTGTCAACCAGGCCAGTGAATTCATTCGAATATGTGAACTTTGAAAGTGTCTTCCACTCGGAGGGGCTGAGATCCAATGTAGCCACGTTGTCTTCGGTGGGTTCGATGGCAACGAGGAGCCGGCGGGCGACGATGACGCTGACCTTACCTGTTTTGTGATTGCGCACAGTCAGAAATACGCCGAAGTCAGATCGACGCATCTCAATGACAGTAGTTGAGTAAAGGACGTCATCACCCAGGTCCGTAGCAATCGCGTTGTAGAGGGACTGGATGCCACCAGATGTGGGCACAAAGAGGCCCATTTTTCCCGTCAGGCCGCGCGCCATATCCCAGCCAAAGCTTTGCAGTGCGAACATAGTGGCTACTTCACTCATGTTACCTACTCCAAGGCCAGTAGTTGAGTAGATAATGGGCGCGCCCTCCTCGAGGTCATACTTCGTCAAGAATTCCCCAAAGGGGATCAGAAGATCCTCAGGGATCTTATCGGGCTCAGGGAAGTTCCAGTAGCCAGGTCGCAGCATTGACTCCCATGGCTCAATAACTTTGAGGAATTTGGAGACGGCAGCGATCTGTTCGGTGTACGAGGGTGGCTCAAAGTCAACTTTCTCGCCGGTGTTGAAGTCGATGTACTCGGTGATAAGGGAGGGGCCCGTTGAGCTGCTGCCAACAGAGATGTTGAACCGGTCAAAAAACTGCATAGAATTGCTAACATTCAGGAAGCTCTGAACACCAAAATCATAAGTGTTTCCAGTCTTTTCCTCAACAAACGTGTCGACCATACCACCCTGCACATCGAGCACGCATTAGCAATTAAGACCAGAATTATCCGAGCTAGAGGCCTATAAGATGATATGGAGACTGTGAGGGTGAATATCATGATCTTACAAGGATGTTCTGCTTTTCAATCAAAGCGATGCTTTTACCAAAGTCGTCACGCAGACGGACGGCAGCATAGGCACCGGAAGCACCTCCGCCGATTACCACAACATCTCGGTAGAGGAAGTCCGGGATAGAGTTTGCAGTGGTAAATGGCAAAATACCACCTAGGCCAACGATAATGCAGGATAGGCAAAGCATGTTCCTGGAAAGAGGACAACAAAATACGCCAGTGCTTCGAAGGATTCGCAAGGGATGATGTTCGTCCCTAGCGACGATGAGACAACTTTGAAATGATATATGCAAAGTAGTTAAACAAGAATATTTTTGGTGGGAGACTTCACGAATAGAACGAAATGCGGCGGGGGGGGAAAAACTGTTTAGACCTCAAAGGGGCGGCCGCAGCGATGCATGGCGAGCTCGGCAAATATTCGGGATTCGCTTTAGAGGTCGGGGAGGAGAGGAGAATATCAGCAGAATGCCTGCCCACTATCACTGAAAGTAACCAATTGAAGTTATTCGGCTATGCTAGATTGGTGGACTCGGACATTATGTATAATTCGAGATAGTTCGCAGGCGAGCGGCAGCCCCGCCCAACAGCGGCTCGCAACGAGTAGTATACTATATTCAAAGTTTCACTATGCCACCACGCCGCGTTCAATTTACGCAAATCTCCATTTGGCTCGTTATAGAGCATTTACGAATTTGAATTGATCGCGGCTAGCCGCATGTGAGAAAATAACACCATTGTCAAGCAGCACGTCGGTTCTAATGGCTCCGACCCTAAACCACTCTCCGACGCCATCTTGACTAAAGACACTTATGAAGCTGAAATACACGCTTATAATGATAAACGGACCTCATTTTGATGGAAAGGCCAAAATGTCAGCTGAGGCTTTCGGTAACACCATCCCAGCGGGCTTACGGTCGCTACAGCGAATTGATTACTCGCGTGGAAATAAGGATAGTTGACCTCTTGACTAGTATTGATTAAATGCAATTAATTTCGGCAAATGCACCTAAAGCATACTGGCTCTAAACCGCAACCTAGCCCCCCTTCCTAATTCAATTCTGCGGGGGCCAAATCTTGATTGATGAACTCCGGTAGGCTTCGAGATCATCTCATCTCAAATTTACCCCCGCATCGCCACGCTTGTCTGTGTGTAAGTATATTATGTATGTAATGTATGTATTCTTATGGAATTTCCGGCGAAATAGACTAATTCAATCTGCCCTGGCGAAGTATGCGATCTCTACCCTCGGTCTGGCAACCAGCCTACTGATTCCCAGGCGCCAAGTGGGTCGTGCTTTTAGGCAAGCAAACTTGATTGCGTTTTTATCAAATTAGGCGGATTACCGCTATTGCTGCAGGTGGATACAGGGATTCGACACGGACTGCGGCACGTAGAATCCTTTGGGGCACAAGCGTCGAACTTGCAGTCAGTTTCGTGAAGCCCCGGCGAAAAGAGGGGGAAAAGGACAAATTTCGTCTCTCATCACGGTACAGAGTATTGGTCATATTCAATGGACATGTCTATATGAAAATTCCTTGGTTTACCTTCTACCCACCGGGTCACTAGTTTGTTCGCACACAAACGCGATAATGACACCGAGTCTGACTTTGACAGAAGCCAGAGATTCTAATCAACCTGGGAAAGCCATCTCTCCCAAATCGTTGCTGTGCAAACTGTTTTGACGTTTCTGGCCGTTACGGCTGTCGCCTTGCGTCTCTACGTTCGGATAAAGTTGATCAAGAATCCCGGTGCCGACGACTTGACTATATTTATTGCAGCAGTATGAACCCCTCTCAAAACTCCTTTTTTCTTTTCTTTGAATTATGACTTTTACGGCCAAGCCTCAACGTGCAGGCTGTGAAAACAACGCACAGATTTCCGAGTCTCCCAGGGGAGAGCATGGAACAAAGTGCTAACTCTGGAAACGAGCAGCTATGCGCCGTAGCCGGATATATTCTCTGGATATTTGAGGGTGTCGATAGATTGGGTCATCGCGATGCCTAGTTTATTCAAGGAAACGGCGATGAAGCAAAAGTCGCACAGGGCTCTTTCTGGCAAGTGATCATCGACTCATCGCTGGGGAAAGCCATGCTCAAGGTCTCAATTGCGTTGTATCTATTCAGATTGAGTCCGGCCCGCTGGTATATCTATTGTCTGTGGGTGAGCATGAGTAGGTGATAGAAATTGAGTTCTTTGAGGACACTGATTCGAGCATGTCTTACAGTGTCCTTCTGACTTGAATGCAGCTGACAGAACTGAGTTTATCAAGTCATAGTTGTTTCCTACTGCTTCATGGGCGCTATGGCTCTCTTCCTTCAGAGCAAGTCTATGTCGGCCTTTGGACTCACGCTGCAAACTCTCATTGCTACTCGATTGACCTTTTTTGTCACATTCGCACTCGTGAACACTTGTGAGGCTTTTCTTCCCCCAGGTCTACTTCCAAGGATCTTACAATTCAATTCTTATTCTAGCCTTCAATATCTTTACAGATGTTCTCTTTGCCACGATACCCATTCCGATAATCTGGAACCTCAAGATGCGACGCAAAGTGTGGTTGTATCTAATAGGCATCCTCAGTCTGGATATGTGTCCGTTCTTTCCATTTGAAGTTATCGTGCAATCCCAAAAGTCATCCTATCTAACTCATTATCTCGAGTATAGCGCCGTTATATTTGGCGTTCTGACCGTCATCTATCAGATTGCATTTCAAACGACTCAAGATCAGTATCTGTATGTTTATTCCTCTGTCTAAGCCTAGGATAAATCTAAGTCCAATCTAACATCTACGCCAGGGATGATTGGATTCTATTCTGGGCAACGTACGGTTTCCATGGCCCCCTATCTCCCTGTACACTATTCTTACTAATCTCACACTCAGTGCTCAGTTCAACACGCGAATTTTGGCAGCCTGCATACCCTCTCTCAAGCCCTTAGAGAGCACTGTGCTAAAGCGTTCCGAGTATTCTAATTCCAACTCCCAAACCCGCGGTCCCTACGGCCGTCATTCCCGTCGCCACGCACCAACAGGTACTGGAGGTAGCATTCCTACCACATGGCGCGGTAGCGGCAACCACATGTGGTCTGTGCATCGAGGCGACCAGTATATGCTTCAGGATCTTGGGAGTAGGGACTCTAGTGATCATTTCCCTGAGGGTTGCCCCAATGGGGAGTACATCGTGACAGCGGCATATGCCGAGGAACGGTCTGCGACGGTTGCTACGCAGCCACCAGGACAGGAACATCAGACAAAAAATGAAAATATTAGAACAACGGAGGTCATTGTCAATTGACCAGGTGACTTTATTATTTGAACCTTTTTCCAGTCTCTGTCCTCTCTCACCGTTGCTTAAACCCCTCGAATTTAGGACATTGTGGTTGTTTGTATTGTAAATAATGTGTATAGACGGAGTTAGGTTCTGTGAGTATATTTTGAGAGGCTGAGATTACATTTGTATTAAAGATCAATAGCACCGTCATTGGACTTTATGTAATTCAAACTTCCCGGTTCTCCGTCCCTATGGCTATCCGTATATGCAGATAAGAAAAGTCCCGATTGAGTGCGACCCTATTATTGTATGACTGAGCCAAGGTCAACTAGTGGTTGGTAGATCAGACGTAGAGCTCAGTTTGTCAAGTTAGGACCCGTTTTGCAGTCACAATCCTCTACATACCTCACATATATACCATCACTCTGCGACGCATTAAAGTCAGCTCTTCACTGATGTCGTTGTAGTACATTAATTTTCGGCTCCACTGAGTTCTTGGGGTGTTTGGGAGTTGCATGTTGATATATGTAGACTCAATGCCAGCCAATAGTGTTCAATGTGGGGGTGGGGGGATTGCGGGACCCCGTTGGGTCTCAAAGGGCCATTGATCTGGCGCAGGTCCTCCACTCCTAACCTTGGGATATCGGGTAATCCCTGTAGTTCGATTACGCCACGGTGAACCGCCCGAGCCAAATTACTTTTACCAAATTTGCTAAGTTTCGGGGCTAGATAAGCCGAGATGTGTTCCTGGGTCCGGTAGGGTGCTTGGCTTCTGTCAGCCTAAGCAACCTGAAATGCAATGGTGCAACATGACTGCTTGCCTTGGAAAATATTCCGTGATCCAAATCATCCCTCAGTTTTGGTGCTGCTTTGTTGTCCTTAAGTGTACGGATAGGTCTATGAATAGTCTGTCCTTTGTTTTTATTTGGCTTTGGCCGACGCTGTTCAGGCTCAACAAGCGCTCTACCGAGCAGGGGTCTATCTGATTACCAGCAGACGCAGTCACTGCCTATCTACAATCAATGTTGACTATGTCATTCGATGGAAATTTCAAGAATTACAATCAACGCAAAAAATGAATAATACCCAAGCCGTTACTTATATGTATGTCTTAAGAAAGGACATGTCAACATGCGATGTAACTACTCAATGGGTTCCTTCACCAATACTTCCTTCACTCGAGAAAGCAAACATCAGAAATTGCTTACTCAATATTCTCCGCGCAGATAGGAATCTTGCTCAGCATGTTATTGCCTTAGTAGAGGAGCCAGTAAATCCCAAATTGATGAAGGTCTCATAATTCCAGTAGTCTGCTTGCGTGCCCTCGCCATTAACTTTGGCAGTGCCAAAAAACTTTGCAGTCCAGTAAGAATGGCCTCGAGTGTAAGTTTTCCATGCTGCAATCCCGGTTTGCAGATTCTGTTCCCGACTCGCCAGGGTGTTGAGAATCTCCGCCTGGATAGACCACTCTCCAATAAAAACAGGGAATTTGCCGTCACCGGCAGCGTTTACAGCATCTTCACAAATATAGTGAGTGAGATTTGCCGAGCTAGCTCCACGGCCAGCGAAATAGTAGTTGTGCACATCAAAAACCAAGTTGGTTCCGGCGGCAAAGTTGGAAGACCAATACTCCTCGCCTTTGAAGCTTCCCTGGAACATCACAGGAATCTGCGCATTGACAGCTCTAATCTTTGTGATGACTTGATCAATGTAATTTTGCACCCATTGAGCACCACCTTCAGTGAGACAGTAGGGAGTTCCGAAGAGCGAGATATCGGGGACGTCGACAGGTTCGTTTATTGGTGCGATCGTGAATGATTGTGGAAACTTAGAGTCCATGACAAATTTGATAACAGCATCAACAGTCTGGAGGGAGTAGCTAAGTGCCGTCGCATTGTTGAACCAGCCGTAGTGTCCCTCGGCTTCCCCAAAAGCCATTCCATTAACACCTCCAGGAAGAGAGTGGATATCGATGATGATGTGCATGCCGTGTCGTTGAATGGCATAAGTCGCAATAGTCTTGAGGAACGACACTTGACCTCCAGTGTAAAGCTGGGAGCCAGGCACTTTGATCCAAGCAGCATAGCTGGTCGGGATGCGCAAAACGTTGATTCCTGCTGCAGCAAATGTATCGATATCGGCAGGGGTAATCCATGTTGCATACCGTCGCTCTAGAACTGGTCCGCACTGAGAACCTAGATTCGCACAGAGACCCCATTCATCGGGGGCTCCGCCGGAGTTCTGTGTCCACCATTTAGTATCAATGGTAGACTCCTGTACGAGCCAGCCGCCAAGGTTGACACCACTGGCATTGAACGTCTTCCAGTTCAGGTATGTTGAGGTAGCTGCAGAATGAACAGCTGCGGCATTTGCAAAAGCAAAAATCGACAGCATGGAATGAAAGTTCACCATTTTGTTGTTGGTGAAGGATTACAGGACTCACTTTTCTCTCGAAGGTCTGAATGATATGACCTTTTCCTACCCAAGAAACGCTGCAGAACCCATCCTTTTATAACGGAGGTATCTGCCGCAATTAAAAACTTTGACGATCATTACCATTTTACTCCCCACAATGTGTCTGCAACCTCGGCAGTAAATATCAGTGGCAATCTAAACATTGGAAAATCACACACGTGGAGACACTGGTGACTGCGAAGCTATTCCTAGCTGATGGATGTGGCTATGTTTCTGCACTACGGAAGCTATCTCCACTTTCCGCATCTATTGGGGCTGGTAAAATACCCCATTAAACTTTCTGTATAATGTACTGCTGGATATACAATTGCATACAATTGAAACTGACAGATCTGATCTAAGGTGAGAATTTGCTATGCAAGGTTACCCAGGTAGGTAGTTGTTTAGTATTATGTACTCGACTCAAGCCAGATGAACTTTCGGCGTCAGATTACGATATCTGCCTTGATGAGAAGACCAATTTAACACGGGTCTACATTGACTCAAATTCTGAATCCAGGGTATCATCGGGAGGGTCCAAACTAAGGCCGGTAGATTCGAAATAGGGATTTGAGAGTTTATTGAACCACCTCTAATAAAGAGGATTAGCCGTTGGATACATTGAACTCGAAGATTAATTACCTATTTCCCTGACATGGTAAGGTCGTATTGTGGAAGACGAAACCCATGCCAGATAACAAAGATACGTATAAAGCTGCTGTTTGATATTACGCCTCTTTATGCTGACATAGATATCCACAATTTAGTAGCCTAGGGTAACACGAATAGGTCCCTCCCCCACAGCCTGAGCTGCCAAGTGATCTACGTCAGTTTTGTCTCAGCTGAGAATCAAAAACCAGTGAATCGGGATGTGGAGAGATCTTCAAAACCGTCTCTTTAAAGACAAAGAGCAATGTGGCTGATACGCTTTGGCTATACTTAGTGTGCTGCCGAGTAATTTTGAGGATAGTAGTAGCATACATGCACTTGATCACCATTGGCAAATTATCGCCACATGCTTTATTCGGTAAGAATTAACACGAGTTTATTGGCCTGGGATGCTCCTACTTCACTGTAGGAAACTTTTGCGGTTCTGGGAGTCTATGTGGAAGAATCCACTAGAGCCTGGAGAAGGAGATTCATTTTACCTAAGATTCGCTATTTTGGCCAGAGCTTTCGTTCATTTTCAGGTCAACTACGATATTCCAGTTCCCACAATTTATCAAGTTCGACTTTTTCGCCATTGAGGTATCTTGCCCTCCCACCATTCCCATCATGGGGAAACCAATCAATGCGGTTGAGAAGATTGAAAACGCGAATCAGTTCCCTGGTCCGCAGCTCGGACTAGATCCAAGGCAAATGAAATGACGCGCGATTCAACAGCAAGATCATAATCGCGAATATCTCCAAGCTCTACGGAAAGACCTTTAGTTACTGTTCTGGATAGGCGTCACACGATGCCGAGGGTCATCTGGAGCGATTCAAGTTTACATTGGAGGAGGTGGAGACCCAAAAGTCCGCTTCTTACACCAATTGTTTCCGGGGAACGAACCTCCGCCAGACGATGATCGCCACTCTGGTCTTCCTGTTGAAACCCATGTCTGGACTGGGATTTGTCTCCAACTACGGGACTCACATGTACCAATATATGGGTATCAGCGATCGCCAGTCCTTCTTGATTCAGATTGGTGCCCAAATTCTCTCTATCTGGAGCTACTGCTTCGTTCCTCATCAGTGATGTATTCGGGAGACGCCCAATGTACATCGGATGCTGTATTGCTCTGACTATGTTACTCTTTTGTATGGAGATTGCTGGCTCAATCATTACTTCTACTACCATCAAAGCCGCCGTCGGCTTCTATACCATGTATAACGTCTTTTACATTGTCGGTGTTGGCTCCAACGTCTACACCATTGCTGGAGAGGTACCTATTTCTCGGTCCTTCGCATCGAGACTCTCGCTGTGGCCCTTTCAGTGTCCGCAGCTGTTAACACCATGTGGTCTTTTGTCGCCCCATATATGTTCAACCCACGGTATGGCAATTTAAAGGCCAGGATCGGATTTGTGTTTGGTGCTTTCATGCTCACTTTTGCTATACTGGCAAATGTTGATATGGGAAGTCCTTCATGCTATGCCAGAGGCAGCATATATTTCAGATATCAGGCGTTGGTTTGCGTTCCTTGTTTGCTCCGATGGCATGAATAGGTGTTTGGCATTGGATGCAGATTGGTCCACTTCTAATGTTTGCTCAAGCATCGGTCGGACTAATTAACAAATCATATGGGCGAATTCAGCAGGATCAATGATTATTTCTTTTGGCAAGAAATCAGAGATGTGAGCTGCAAGGAGTTTGCCGAATATTTCTTGGCATCCTTCTACCACGCCAAACGATCAGCTGCATCAATAAGGTTGCTGCGTAATAAGGTCCCGCACCACACTTTCCTGTGTTCTGCCGCTAATCGGGCGACACACGAACGCGTCTTTTCTGGCCCAAAAGACATATTTATACATTGAATGACAGGGTTATGGCAAATTTACCTAACCTGTTTTTCCAATTCCCCGCTAACTTCTGCCCACATATATAACCAGCGGGCTATCAGTCCCGACCTGTGACAAGGCCGAGGGTTACCAACAGGCTATGCCACCCTTTCGAGTGGACTTCAAATATACCTATAGTGATTGGCAGACTAGCATGACCGGCTCGCTTATCGAACACCTGGCCCTGCTTTTACAGTATACAGCTTTTTAGCTGTGTTGAGCTAGTATATGTCCGCACGTGATCGGCTCAAACGGAACCCCCGCCCGATATAGACCGAAGTCGCCGATCACAGTCAGTCTTCACAGATAGGCCGATTTGCTCCAAACTATTAAAAATCCCACTTCCCTATCTTGTTCTTCTTGTCGATTTAAAAGCGCATTGCATCCTCGAGAATCATTACTGCGACACAACCCATTTAGGTCGTTTCAAGATGGCCTCAAGCAACCCCTCGTACCTCATTATCGGTGCTGGTGTCTTTGGTGTATCAACTGCCTATCATCTCATTCAAAAGTATCCTAATGCATCTGTGACCCTAATTGACCGTGATGCATACGATGCCGAGTCTCGTGTGGCTGCTTCATGGGATTGGAACAAGGTTGTTCGCGCCGACTACGACGACAAGGTCTACTGCAGATTGGCTCTTGAAGCTCAGGATATTTTCAAGTCAGATCCTCTTTGGCAGCCACATTTCCATCAGACAGGCGTATACTGGGCGTGTCGGAGCGACTACGCGCAGAATGTCATCACCCACCATAAAGATCTCGGCCGCAACGAGGATATTATTGCCCTCCCTGTCGCCGAGGCTCGAAGACTTTACGGTGGAATTTTTGACAATGCTGATTACACAGGCGTTAAGGAGGTTCTCATTAACAGGGCTAGTGGCTGGGCGGCCGCTGGAGATGCCCTTCGAGCAGTTACGAAAAGGTGCCTCGAATTGGGTGTCGAATACGTGACGGCAGATGTCTCCACTTTGGTGTTCGATGGTCGCGGCTCTTGCATTGGACTCAAGACGAGATCTGGCGAGGTCTTGTCTGCCACGCATGTTGTTGTTGCTGCTGGCGCCTTCACTCCCACATTGCTAGAATGGAGCGCTGCGACGAGCGGCAACCCCGGTCTCCGAGCTGAGGAGCGAATTTTGGCTGCCGGTATTACTACAGGAATGGCACAGCTCAATGAGGAGCAGTACAAAAAGTTCAAAGATATGCCTGTTGGATTCCAAGGATACACACCCCAAGAGGGTAAGATATCTGAATAGATATGTGCGAATTCTGCTCACAGTAAACAGGAAAGCCCTTTATCGGTAGTCTACCCCCTACTAAGGATGGAGAACTCAAGTGGTGGGGATCAAAGATTTTCACAAACACTAGAGAGGTGTTGCCTGGGCGGTCCATATCATCTCCTCCACCTGCGCACGACTACAATCAGTGGAAGGTTCCTGGGCCTCTCAAGCAGGATATTGTTGAGTCAAGAAACTTATGGTATGGACCAGAGAGTGCGGATTGGGAAATGACGAAACACAGGATCTGCTGGTTAGTACCTCTTTGTGGAATGGCGATTGCAATTTAACACTCAAAAGGGACGCGTTCACGACTACCTCTGACTTTATAATTTCCCCTCACTCTGCTTCGAAGGGGCTCTACATTGCAACTTGCGGATCATTCCACGGTTACAAGTTCTTCCCCGTGCTTGGCAAGTATATCACACAAATGCTGGAGGGGGAGTTGTCACCGGAATTGGTGGAGAGATGGGCTTGGGATAGACAACGGTCTGATTCTTCTCAAAATGTGGAGTACCCGAACTCTGAGATGAAGCATCTCTTGGGGCCTGCAGCAAAGTTGTAGTGGAAACAGGATTGGCTCTTAAGCTCGCGTTGGGCATGTCTAGCGCATTCACGTATTCTAAATTCATTAGCTTGAAAGTCTCAATGTAATTACTCATAACTAGGTCAGCCTAATTGGATTAAGCCTATGGACTCTCCTATCTATCAGACCCGACTATTAACTGAGATACAAGTGTCAGTGGATGATCGCAGGAAATGGAACGGATAATACACTCAATGACGTCGGATGGCCGACTAAAAACGAACTGTTCTATGGAATCCTGACTGTTGAAGTATGCCATTGGTTGACCATAAGTATTCGAGCGGAAGGAACGCGTTTGATTAACATGGTGCTAATTTCTATCAAGAAACACTCTCTCATGAATTCATATCCGCATACGCCAACTGCAGTTTCCTATCAAAAGTGCAGATGTTCCGGTCCAGCACTGCCAGACATTCAGAGTATAAACCACACTGCTAAGGTTAGACGACATTCGCAACGTGACCTTTCCTGTGGCATCTGGAGTCCACCGTGCGACCCATAAGTTATCTGAAAAATGGCCGTTGAAGGTGCACCTCCATGACTGAAGGATTTCTGGTATTGCCAACCATGGTGATTTCCCTGACCATTACCTGTATACCGTAACAACTGGAAGAAGCCGTCTGTCTTGGCAAACGAAAGCTTCACCGCGGACCCCCAAGCGCGGAGCTCCGGTCACGAGACAGAGCCAGCCCTGGCAAATTGATTGTCATCTGATAATCGGCCGTTCGTGTTTTATGAGGCTCAATGGAGATCGGTTCCATGATTACGTCGGTGAACAAGCAGCTCCACGCCCTTCCAGGCAATCATCCCGGGGCCATCTGATATTCTGGCATCTGACTATGTCACTCCACCTCCCAGCTCAACACGGAAGCCTTTGTATTGGTCTGAATCTATCGGACCTTGTTCTCAAGGCTGTGGTGTTCATTGGTCCAAGTCGACAGTGTCCCATTCTCATGCGGGAGTTCCCGTCCCGCTCACAGTGGAATATCGTCGTAGACGTCTACCATCACACAGAAATAAATGGAATTCGTGTGTTTGCGTAATTTATTGCTTCCACGCGTACTCGCTTGGGCATACTTCACCGGTTAGACTAATCTCTCCATATTTGCTGGAATGTTCGGGTTTTTCCCTAACCGATATCTCGGACCGGGGTTTGCAGTTTTCATTGCAATTAATGAGTTCGGGATAGTATTCCCGTGTTGAGGATTACACAAGATTAATGAAGCTGCGCATATTTCAGGGCATGCATTACTGCAGCCTTCAAATTGCCATCAGCCCTACCTACACGTAGACATCAGTCATGTGTGCTGGCTCGCATTTTAACCAAGGTGACCCAAAGCGAACAGGCCTTGCGACTGGACGAATGATGCTATCAGCAAGAGATTAACGGATGAAAGTGGTGTAGTATTCTCTATGTTCTATGGCAGGATTTCAGGTCCTGATAATTCAAAATGCATAGTCCTCGAGTGCACTTGAGACATACGCTAAGTTCTGAATGACAGCCAGGCCATACTGCGCAATATCATTGGTCGCCAGCCATGCTGCCTCGTCGACAGCTGTCAGAACCGAACTTCCATTTACATGTGTAATATTCCACGGCGCGCTTATCGTAAATCCATCACTGGAATAAAAGTCTTTCCATGCGCGCAACGCCAGGCTTGTGTTCTGTGTTTGATACGCTGCATACGCTGCTAGACGTGAATGTGCCTGATAAAGGCTCAGACTGCCAAACTTGACCCCATAACGGGCCACTTGCTCTGCCGCTGGCGCATGATAGTAGTAGCAGTAGTCTATCCAGGCATCCTTGAATCCTGTCGGAAGATCGTCACCTAGATAAGTGATTGCTTCTGACACAACTTCTGGTAACCCAAAGACAGCAGATAGATGTGACACAGACACGTTGCCGAGGTTGTCTGGGTCTGCAGGGGGAGGTCCCAAAGTCCAGGTAACAGGGTCATATAGCCCCGATCCGGTCACGAAACCGTTGGTCAGGTTCGCAATTCCGGAGAGTGTGTTGATCAGCTTCGTCTTGGCCTCTTCCCATCTGGAGCCGCGCCGTTCCCATTCCATCAACCACCCTGCAGCGAGACTCGACCAATCTGTCCCAAGACTAAACGCAACCGTAGAGTTGGGGCTAGGTGTCCAGCCATCTGTTCGTACCTTCCTCTGTGGATCGAGAATGCCATATGTTTTATCTGTGTCCAACAACTCTTCCAGTAATTCTCCAATGCGTTCGTCTCCGCCCGAGATGTAGTAGAAGTACTTCCGGTACAGTGGTTGGGAAATGCGGGCTTGCTTAGCGCTATCCCCCCAGTGTTGAATGCCGTGACGTGTACCGAGCCCTTTCCAGTCGCCGATGTGGTACACATCTACTTCCCCCGTGTGTCGTGTCAGGGCCTCGGCGAACCTGTATGCATCTTCGTTGCCTGTGCGCAAGAAATATATCCAAAAGAAAAGGTCTGGAGAAAGCTCAGAGTTGTCCCAGGCGTAACCGCCGATATCGTACCGCCAGGTGTGTCGGTCAGTGTCATAGGTATGCATAAAGTCGCCATAGTCTAAAAATCCATACCAACGACGCTGCTCAATCTGCCCTCGGTAGAAGTCAAGGATAAATCCGAGGTGATCCTCTAGGACCTTTGCAGTATCTGTCATGGTGCTAGGCAGGCCCCAGTACCCACCAACAGCTTGCGTCTCATGCATATATTCCGGTCCAGCTACAAGCACCGGAGGATTTTGAATGTGCGCTGCGAGGGACGCGAGTTTCTCACTCGTCGGAGTCTTGTCGAATGCAAACAGATATACCTCGCTAGTTCGTGCGATTCCATAGGGAGTGTTGAAGCCGGATTCCCAGTCCTCGTAAGTGATTTCAAGGGCATCCAGTTGGTCCACATAGTCATCCTCATTCAGACCGTCATGGTAGGGTCGGAGATCCAAGGGCTCAGCTGCAGGGCTGTATAACCAGAGTGTAATTTCGCCTGAATCAGATGCAGCGTTGGAAATATCTAGACCTGACGGATACCGTTTCCAGAAGTCGCGTAGTCCCACGGCCAGGCCTCCCTTTGTGGCACCGCCGAGATAGGCGAGACCTTCTGAGCGTGTTCCACTGGGAATTTTGACCCATGACTGGCCGGGCTTTGTACGCTTTTTGAAGTTGAATCCATCCGCTGTCAGTTGGGTGAGGCTGTAATCTCCCCAGGTGGGAATCCACTTTAGACGAGTGGTCACCCGGGTATCCCAAGTGTTGGTGTCTGGCAGTTGGCGGCCTTCGTACTGGGCCGTCTTAACCTCTTGACCAGGATCTCGGCGTAGCCCGGTAATACCCTGGACAGCCTCGTTGAAGATACCACCGTCTACGCCAGCGATTCTGACGTGTCTGTTATATTGCTCTTCGCCTTTCAACGGAATGTCAAATCGAATTCCGATCCCAGTGATAAAATCACTTTCGGCTCCCCCATCGAAAACGATGCTATGCATCACCTTAACTGAGTCGGAGTTTGCATAGAGATAAAATCGGATAACGAATTGCAGCCACGGTTCGTGGTCGGCGCCACCTGTAACTTTGTGCTTGCCATGGACGGTTACTAGTGCCCTGGCAGAGCTTTGGTTCACGGTGACATTGTGGATATCGCTGTCAAAGTTGAAATATTCAATTGACGCATTGCCTCGGCTGTCGGACCCGTCCGGCACCCAATTCTGAGACTGAAGAACAAGTCTTCCATTTTCGCCAGTCGTTTTCCCGTCTTTTGTCTTGATGGCATCGACAATAATGCTTCCTTTCTTGAAAAAGGAAACACTAATCTTGCCTGTATTGACAGTTATCAAGTTCCTCCGGTCTGTGACAACCAGGGAGCTGGTGCTATTGCCGAGTGACTCAGATGTAGATTTGTCGATACAGCCAGACGAAAATGCAGTGACAATGTACTCATCATAAATCTGGTCTGATTCCCCTATGGCATGGCCGGTCCATTTGAGCGAGCCATCAGCCCAGTGACCGGTCGCCCATGACTGCAACTCTTCAGGATTCCCAGCATCGCCCACGATGCTGAACTTGGTATGCTCAGGCCAATATTTCCCTTGTGGCCAGGGTAGACCAAATGTCACGCCTTTGTTGTACGTTGGCTTCTCTCCGAGCCAATTGACTGTCGTAGATGACGAGGTGCAGTTCAATGCAGCCAAAACGCATTGCCCAAGCGTGGCAAGCGCCAGGAGCTTGGCACCAAATTTCGGCATGATCTCACCACGAGGCAGGTTCGAAAACCGAAGTCTAACTTGGATCGAGATGCAGACTGCGTAGGGATTCCCGGGCTCTTAAATGCCCGCCATTTGTCGGGGCCATGAGCACGGAAAGACCATTCTTGGCCTTTCCACTTGGTTATTAAAAATGCGGACTAAATGACACCATCCGCATGGGAATTCCGACGACCCTTGGTGGAGGAAGGGAAATCGTCAACGATTGGTGGTAAAGTGAAGTGGAATTTGACCGAAAACAAATGCCCAGCGATTCCCCGCACAGTTCGGGGTTCAGGGGTATTGTATGCCGAACTGCCAACAATCAAGACAATTCTTGCTTGTGTTCGACTTGATGTCTCCCTTCAATGCAACGTCTTTCTCGCAGCCTTTGGGGCATGATCTTTCTAAGAGCTGATTGGACCATTCCGATGTTTGACATGTCTATTTTCGTCTCACTGCGGATAGCATCACTGGATATTGCCAACTAGCAATTGCTATCAAGTGTTTATTGTGATAGTGTTGTGTGGACGGTATGGACTATACTAATCAACCGTTCCTTTTTCGTATATCGGAGTCCCACCACCTAGACCCTCATCATGGTTAGCCAAGGGGGACTTAATCTGCGTTTTAACGTGGAAAAAAATTAGGAATAAACATTAGAAGTCCCAATGGCCCACTGTCAGAGTGAATCTCTCGTTAATATTTGGCGGTTAGTTACATATTCTTCCTCCCGCCGATGTGATGTACAATTGTCATTATCAGGCCGTCTCGTTCTCCTCCATGATTGTAGAAAATTTGCTTAGAACCTGCTTCAAAGCAGGTCTTCGAATTGGTTTGCTGGTTTTTGTCAGCCGCAGATCCGTGCCTCGTGTTTTGATCGACTAACCTTATGAACATATCCATGCCAGAGTCCATGCAGTCTTTGATGTTGCTCTCTTCCGCAAAGGCGCTTAGTGCGATAATGGGTGCAGAATATCCCATCTGCCGTATCAGTCGCGTACTTTCGAGTCCATCGAGAATAGGCATCTGGGTCAATTAGCATGGTTCATAAATAATTCAACGCAGTCATTCATACCTGAATGTCCATAAATATAAGGTCAAAGACTTTGCCTTTTTCCATGTTCGACTTGACGGTGTCATATGCCTCCTGGCCATCCTTCACAATTGTTACATCATAAACTTCCTCCAAGGCAAGCATGCTATTATCCGTCAGTACTTCCACGATATCAATGTTGGGGCTCACTGGTTTCCCCACGCACCGTCGAACGACTTCTTGATTAACAGTGTTGTCCTCGGCAACCAAAACACGAATCCTTTTTGATCCATCGCCATTCTCTGCGGTAGTTTGATTTGACGGAAGGTTTGTTGATAGCGGCGGTGCAGGAGATGAAAGCATAGCCGGTGCGAAAAATGGTTGACTTAGTCCGACCAGGCGTGGTTGGATCTCCGACTTCTCAAAGCCAGGTGCATGAGGTTCATTTCGCACTGACCCATGATTGGAGGGTGTTCGCGCAGTGTTGGAAAAGTCTTCCAGAGACAGGACGCTGGGGGTCCGGGATCCTGGAATGCTTGATGTATGTGTGCTAGGGGAGAGCTCTCTCACAAATCCAAGGGGAATTTTGAGTGTGAAGAGAGATCCTTTGCCCTCCTCGCTATTAAGAAGAATAACACCACCCATGATGCGGGACAACTGAGCACAAATGCTCAAGCCCAGGCCAGTTCCTCCATACTTCCGATTCAATCCGAGATCACCTTGAACAAAAGGATCAAATATACGTCGATGCAAATGTGCAGGAATACCCGGTCCATTATCATGAACTTCAAATTCAAAATTCACCTGGCGGAGATTGGGTTTCATCGTGTTCTGGCCCTCGGGTTGGACATCATTTGCGTGAGCCCTGGGACCAATGGATGAGGTTGCACTCGAGGCCGTCGGGGGCCGGAATCTTGAGTTACGTCGAGTTCGATCATTGATAGTTACCGGCTCATTGCTGGGAGAATCATCAATACAACGGATATGGACTTCCACTTTTCCATGCTCAGGCGTGAACTTGAGGCTGTTGCTGACCAAATTGATGAGCACCTGAAGGATTCGATGCTGGTCACCCCATAGAACCATATCTGCGAGTCGGCCGGGTGCAGGCAGGCCGAAAGCTAGACTAGTTTGCTCAAATGATCTTTCACGGCAAACGGTGCCCTTAGACTCGGTGATTCCACCGGAGACAAAGTTAACACTGAAGTCGATATGCTTCTCATGCACTTGATTCTGGAAGATAATGGCCAATTGTGATCGGATGTCGGATAACTTAAATTCCTTTTCTTCAATCTGAATTGCTTGATCGATTTGGTTTTTGCTGAAGGTGAGTAAATCATTCAAAAGGTGCAAAAGGAGATCCCCTGATTGATAGACCACCTGCAGAGACTTTTTGATTCGAGAAAGGTCCTCCTCGCCCATACACACTGCACACATGCCAAGGATTCCATTGAGAGGAGTCTTGAGCTCATGAGAAATGTTGGCGATGAACAATGTTTTGCTCTCGTTGGCTGTCTCTGCTGCCAGTTTGGCCTTTTCAAGCTCTCGGGTCCGCTCAGCCACTCGCTCTTCCAGTCGATTGTACTGAATTGTTAATTCGTCTGACATTTCGTTGAATGTTTTGGTAAGCTCTGTGAGTTCATCCGTCACACAATGGTTCCGTTCCTTGATCCTCCCAGGTATCTGAAAGCTGCGAGAGTTTGGGGGGTTGCCAACGCTGGCGGCACTGTTCAGCCTCCCCAGGGGATTCCAGAGACGCTTCATCCACGTGGAGGGAGGCCCCTTCTCGCTCATGTGTTCTTCGATTTGCTCAACCGGATCCCCCAGTCCATCGTCCATGCCTGGATATGTCCTCTGTGGGTCGCGGGGAGCAGGCGGTGGCGCCATCTCAGGCTCGACCGACTTCTTCGCGGCCTCACGCAATCTTCGGATAGGAGCAACCGCCCAGTGAGTTAAGATAGGGACGATGAGGATAATTGCGCCAGCTGTACCAAACACGCACGCGAGGATAATCTTTCGTAGCCGAAGAATGGGAGCGAAGGATTCGGAATGTGTTTCCTCTACAAGAAGAATCCACTGAGCAAGGCTATTTTGAGGACGCACCGCCCCTACCGCCACGTTGACTCCTCGCTCATTCTTGGTTGACAATTGGCTGATAGCTTTGCTCTCGTATGATTGTAACATGACCCTCAACGCCATGGGGTACGTGGAGAGTACAAATGGCGTGTCGGTCGAAATTCCATTGTGTCGGCTCACCTGGCTGGGCAGGGGGTGGGCTCGAAGACATAGTGGACCTGCGCTGCACCAAGTGCCGCCGCGTGAGGGGCTGATGTGACTGTTGCAGGTTGGGCGCTCGTGGCGAAGGTGTTTTCCGGTTGCAACGGCCCTAATAGAAGCACTTGTCCGGTATTCCCCAAGCCATCCCGTGAGCTCACGACACTCTGTAGATTTGCGGCACTGGCGACGATACTGAGAATGGTTAGCTTTCGTATATTTGGTTTCCGGTGGGCCTTGCTTGTAGAAATGCTCACGTCACAAATCCCAGAATATCCGTGTTGGAGGTGTTGTTGACGATCGGCAGGGTTAAGGAGACGAGTGAGAAGGAAGAATTAACTTTTAGGGGCCCAAGGAGCAGTGCCGAGTCTAATCCAAGGATATAGTCAGAGAATGCATAGGCATTTGTCGACCCATTGTCGCCCGACGCGCCGTGGTAGGTAAGATTCGGATAGAGCGAGGGTGGGTAGCCTATCCCGTCATTGCCCAGCATCACAGAGCTCCCATTCGGATACGTATATGGAAGCGTGATGTCCGGGACTGTGTCACTCGTCACGTTGAGCAATGTCTCGCTGCCTCCTTGTCCATCTTTGGAATAGATGACGGCCTGGTAGAGGCTCAAGTATCCCCGACTTCCAAGCGCAGATTGGGCATCGGCGATCGAAGTCACCCAATTTGCGTCAGTGTTATTGCCCACATAATAGCGTTTCAGGGCTGATTGGATCAGAATGCGGGTAGCGATGGTCTTGCAGGTGGTCTCGAGGAGGTCCAAATTGGAGGCAATCTGGCTAGCTTTGATGGTCGCAACGAGTTCGAGGCTTTGTGATCTACTCCAGAGTCAGACTTCGTCCGAATATATGACAGGGTGGTGCATACTGGACTCCCACCACAAATTCATAGGTGGTAAACCACTATGATTGTCAATTGGCTTTTTCCGATCTCTGAAGGGCGTGACACGGTACCGTAGCAATCGCGAGTACAGCAACACCGAGGACAGCTGTCAGAAGCACTAGCAGCCCGAGCTGCACCGCAATTGGAATCCGCATCCGATCACACCCATCAACTAGCAGAGCAGACCCAAGGACAGGCGATCGTAACGAGGGCAGACAAAGAGGTCTGACACAGCGCAAGATGCATACCTGATCTATGAGTCAACTTCATGAAACAGTGAATGTGTGTGACCTACATGAGATGAAGAAATTTGCAAAGATGGAAGATGTCAAAAGGTAAGACATAAGGGGAGGGGGTGTGGAAGTAGTCTAGATGTGTCTAGATGCAAAGTGGCGGAGGTCCGAGGTTCACCAAATTCCAAATTGGCAGGTTTTGGTTTTGCAACGTTAAGGCGAAATTTGCCGACTTCCTTTGCCATCCCATTGGTCTTGAGAATTTATCCTTCTTCGCATTTTTCGGTGAATACTTTTCTCTGGGGAAGTTGACTTGTCAACCTTAAGTTCTTAATGTTAACGTTAAACAATCTTCTGATGACTAATAAACTATATCTAACTTAACTAGTACCTTGGTGTTTACCTACATCCTTGCTGCCTACCCGGAGCTTATTTCTCGGGTCATTTTCATTTTCATTTCCTACCTTTAGTTGATCTCGTTTCGGTCTAGTATTCTACCCTATGGAATGAATATTGTTGGTGATTCAGTACTCTCGATGATATATGATCCAGGCCTAATAGTGCCCAACTTGCCGGACTCGGATAGAACGAAAAGATGGATAATATAATTGTCACAAAATGATATCTGACATAGTCGCGACTTTGTTAGATTTCAAGATTTCAAGTGTTGGCTAATTAAAAGGAGTGTATTCGACAAGCTTCAGAAGTCAAGACGATAGATCTTAATGGTTCCCGCCGTCAAGGATCAGTCGGCTCTATACAGTGTAGAGATCACCATCACCGAGCTAGGCGAAGGTTCTATCCATTCGGCTGGAGGCTCTCATGGCCTTTACGAGGTGTACTTGCAGCCGTTGGGGTTGGATGTCTCCATAACACGAGCGGCAATGCTAACACAGTTCTCGTTGCCAGCAGGGTTATCAATACCAGCAGAGGCCCAGATGCTCCAGGCACCATCAATGCTGTTGGGGCAAGCGATCAAGTCCTTGCCAGAGAATTGGAGGTGGCCGTCCTTCACTGCCCATCCCTTGCGCTGGGAGTTCTTGGGAGCGGGCTGAGCACCGGTGGTGTATCCGATCTTGCCTTGACCTTTTTCCTCAATTAGCTTGGTCCAGATTGATTGGGGAAGAGAGAAACCGTACCCATGCCGGAGGCGTCAACATAGATCTCTTGAGGAGTGGCAGATTTGTCATAGAGGTAAAGGGCGCCGTCGTTGATATAGAAAGTGGCGTCCTGCTCCTTGGGACGGGCGCAGCTGGCGCCGGGATTGGCCAGACCAGCAAAGATGCTGCTCTGGGAGGCATCAAATGCAGCGTTTTGGACACCGCTACCAGAGTGAATGGCGATAACACCGAAGGTCTTGTTGGACTCGGTAGAGGGGGCGGCAGAGACAGCGGCGCTGACCGAGGCGGCGAGGACAATGTTCTTGAGCTGCATTTTGAAGATGAAAGTATGGATGTGCGAATAGACTTGTGAGAGGATGAGAGGATGAGAAGATGAAGATGATAATGGGATGCCTTTCCTGCAATTGAGCCTACCTTTATACCTGAAGCCTGGGGACGGCAAGACGGGCAATAGGCGCCACTGCCGTGCCCGAGGTTGAACCCGAGGTTGATGTCTCACAAATGACAGCTATTCATAGAGCCAAGCAACGGTGTAAACCGCAAAATGACATCAAATTGGACCCTTATATGGGGCAATTCTATGTTGGTCCAATGTCTCAACATTAGTGCCAGGCGATCTTCCCGCTCCCCTTTTTTTCTCATCACACTTTCTCTTTTCAAGGGCATGTAACTAATAACGAATTGTCGCGATGCACCGCTAGAAGACCATTTCTTGCTGAAGAATACCACTTTACGTGAATAAATCCTGAATAAGATCCTGTCATTCCGTGCAGACCTTGAATGCCAAGCGCTCTCCACATGTTTCTCCGACTTACTCATAGCGTCCGAATCAAGCCCAATCATGTTCCAATGTTGGATTAATGAGATGCTATTAGCGGGGAAACACGCAGACCTGTTTTGCTGCTCGGTCGCTTTACTTTTTGTGGCTCGAGTCCGCTATCCCCAGGTGCCCAGTGGCGGATATCTAAAAATACGCTCTTTAGTGGCTAAGTCCCTGGGACATTCCACAATTTCTTTTTTGTCAGTTTTGCAAATCGTCAAGTGATCTGCATCGCTATTGATTACTGTATTGTAGGTAGATCGGTCATGTGGTCTATGTATTCTTGCTAGCTCCAAGCATAGGGGTTTCTTGCTGCGTATGCAAGAATTTTCCTGGTGGTAAGTCCTGTCCACTTTTACTTCCCAAGGCTCTAAGGATTTTAAATGGCGATATTGCCTAAATTCAAATGTGGTCGGTATCGTTTGGTGTGTCTAGAAAATTGTTTGGCTCCTCGAGGCCATGTGTACCGTAGGTTAACTGGGCAATCCGCAATTACGGTTATATATAAGTAATAAAGCTGGGTAGATTGCAGGGGTTTCAGGTGAATTTGTGTCCTCGGATTTATTACTGCTCTAGCGTTTCCCTTCCCTTTTGTCGCCTGATAGGATGGCTACGTTCCACTGAATGCGAGACACGGGTGGTTTGCACAATAAAATACACAGTACATTTCGCTTTGAGGGCTTGTCCTATCTGCATCTCCACACCTTACAGTTAGGGTACAAGTTGACATCGTTCACTGTGCTTCCAATTCCTGATACTATCAATCTATCCATCCCGTGGGTTGTTAGGATACCATGCCCACGGCAACTAGACGATTTGCATCCATTGCGCTTGGACACTTGCATCTCGAGTTGATGTGAGCGGTAACAGATGTGAAAATCGAATCAGCAGATCCCTTGAACTGGTCGGTTCTGCTGACCACGAAGTTTGACCTTCAAACAAAGATATGAACCTCGCATATCGACCTTAGGATAAGTTCGGCTGAAATATCTAAGCGATTGAATTTGCCAACCTCGATCATGGTCATCGGTTGCCGTCAAGCTCTTCTTCTAAGACAGAGTCTTGTGGCACGAAAACTCCATTCAAAACGTAATTTCCCAGGTTGGAAGGTTTCTGGCCAGGCGCTGGATGGGGTAACCGCAGTTGAACGACGATCTAAAGTCATGCACCACGAAACGTAAAACAGTCTAACGGTCGGAAAGAAGAAAACGCTTTAAATCCCGAGGGTATACGTAGAGTGTCGAGTTAAAAGCGTTGGCATAGGTGAAGTCTGTAAATGAGTTCTGCTGCGAACTCGCTGATATATGTAAAAGGCGGGATTAAGATATATATAACAGCTCGGTGCACAACATATATAGCTGCGTTAGCAGGGCTTGGGCTCTAGACCCAAACGATTGATGTCTTTCTGTGGATTGTAAACATCACGGTGCGTAGATCAATGATTAGTGCAAGACAAACCAGCGCTAATGGTGATGAAGTGGGGAATGATACAACTTGCTGTTCACAGAGCATGGCCGTCCTACCACGCTTTTCGCTAAGTGGCAGCAATCACCTGGTAGTGCACTGATGCTTTCTGATGCTTTGGAGGGGAAAAAGCATTTTGACTCCACATTCGACGGGCCTCATCAGATATTAAAGGAGTGATGAACCACCACCTGATTTCTGAGCCACAGGTTCTATCACCAGGTACCACTTTTGAAGAATCGTAATATCCACGGAGCAATAATGCTATCATTTCCAGTGACCTCAAAGCGCCCTTACGTATGGACGCAATGTTGATTTTACGTCGGGGCCTTGGGTTTGCGCTGAGTTCTTTCCAGATCACCAGAAATTCTGGAGGTGCAGTCGGAGGAAATTTATAAATTTTAAAATAGAATTGAGTTATCTAAATGTTGATAAATTGAACTATATATACAGGTTTCGCTTCTAGATCCATGCTTCCGTAGATGATGTATCGTGTAAATGCAATGCAACGCCTAAATCGTAGATTGCTAGGTCGCAAATCATAGCGCTGGTCCCAAAGCAAAGAGTGTTTCTATCTCAGACCAACCAGGGTTGATAGAAGCTCTGTGCAAGCACCAGCTTGAACACGCTCTTCTGTCTTGGGATTGCCAGTAATACAGGGCAAGTCTTACTCAGGAGCAGCACATGAGAAGACACCGCCAACTTCTCCCTTGGCGTATTTGATGACCTGTGGAAGTCAAGTTAGTAAAACAACCCTAGTAAAAATACAACGGTAAGGTAAGACTTACAATGTCATCCACGCTGGAGTATGTTCCACCGACGAGAACCACCATGCCGATGATGAAGATGAAGGCGTTGATAATAGCCAAGGCGATGTTCTTCGGCTCACTCCAGCTACCCTTCCGAAGAAGCATGAACCACATCATGGCGGGGAAGTAGAAGGTGAATCCAGAGATGAAAAGGGCCGAGGAAATGGAGAGCAAATCATTGAAGAAGGGGATGACCTCAGCAATGATGAATGCCACGACGGTGGCGGCTGTGATCACCGCCAGCCATGTCAGCCATCCCATCTTCGTGTTAATGAAGCGAATCGGAGAGTTGGCGAAGATGCGACCGTGAACCAGGCGTCCGAAGACAACGGTGTTAATCGAACCACTGATGAAGATCACGGGCAGGGCAACACCGTATGCAACACGACTCAAAAGCGTTCCAGCCGAAGTGAGGGCGGGACTAGAGACGTCCTGGCCAACAAAGGCGTAGATCAGAGCACCGGTAATCGTGTAGATGAAAATCTCAGTGATGCCAAGCGCCCAGATGGACTTGACAAAGTCCCGTGGCGTGTGCATCTCATCCATGAAGGAGAACTGGCACATGGCAAAGCTGTATGCGAAAACGATGTTGGTGAGAGCGATAAAAGCTTCGGTAAAGGTGACGCCCTCTTTAGGCCAGGCCGACCATTCGACTCCACTGAGTCCGCCGGGGGAATCTCCTGCTTTTATGCCAGTTCCGATGATCGTGATTCCAATGGCGAGGACGATTGAGGCGAAATCGACGTAGCCTAGAATGGCAACCTCGGTGAAACTGGGAGGAATGGCAAGCAACAGCAGAATGATTGCCGAGACAACAGCAAAGACAATTGAGCAAACGCCACTCTTTGTGATGTCCATGAATGCAATGGTTCCGGTCAAACAGTGCGAGGCCGTAAGGAAGATCAACTGGAGACCCAGCATGGCGTTGACGAGCTCGTATCCGAAACGTCCGCATCCCAACCGACGGCCGAGCAACCGACCTGCATCGGCATAGGTTGCCACCTCGGGGAACGCCAACTTGACCATTCCCACAATGTAACTGGTATAGATGGCGATGAAACCGATACCCACACAGCAGATCACACCTGCCACCATGCCTAGCGTCGCAAAGGTAGAAGGAATCGACAAACTACCCAGCGCAATAGCCTCGACGATGAGCACAATGGTGAGGCGCTTCCAGCCGAGACGGCTAAACTTGTTGATGCCGTGGTCGTAGATATTCCTTTCTGCCTCACTCATCTCCCCCACCATGTCCCCTTCAAAAGGCGGCGGTGGGGAGTAGGGGGCCTTCTCGCCTTCAGCTCCCATCACCTTGTCAGTGTCATGGTCGTTTGAGATGTTGTCGATGCCCATGATGGTGGTGGTGTACTAAACCAAGGGGAGAGGGAAGAGGGTAGAGGGGGGCTATAAGAAGGGAAATTTCACAAAGTTCTCGAATGCGGCGCTATCGGGAGGCAAAATTGCAGATTTCGTTGACTAAGGGAATTTCGAGAACGCTGCTTGGCCGGTCCACCACGTGGAGTACGACGCTGCTCCACCGACAGATCGTCTATCCAACGAGGGCGCCGAATGCAGGTTGGGATCGTTCCACACGGGTGACACTAGGCGAAACTCAGCCCGCGCCCCGTTGATAGAGTCGATAAGAAGGTTCGAGGTTAGGTAAAAAAAATGCAACATCGAGTGGCATTGGATGTCGAACGCTTGGGGACTGGTTTGGAGGGTATGTCACTATGGAGTCTCCCCGCGTTTGAATACGCGGGGAACGTGGAAACCGACGAGAGTCTTCATATTCATTGTATATATATGTAAATGTAACTGATCATAATAGAGATATTGTAGATAAAAAGAAGTTTTTCTTAGTCGCGCCACGATCTTCGGATGATTGCCGGGAAGAGAAAATAATCCAATGAGGGTTGGGCTGGGCGGAAACAAGATTTTGCCCATCACGTGAGTACCGCAACCAGATATCTTTCGTATAACGTTACTCCAATCTTTCCATCTTTTTCCATGCAAGGGCGCTGATCGTTGGGCAGCTGGGTTTCTCCGATTCTCGCTCATTGCCTTACTTTCAACCTACCGAGTACAATCCTCTCTCCCCAGAAACTCACTCTTGGGGTAAAGGACCTGGAGTGGTGGAGCGCCACCAACGCCATTAGGTTTAGCCGTGCCGGCCGGGGAAATTAGCGCAAAATAACCATGGCATGATTCGCTGTGCCGTCCGAGACTTGTGGGTAGCCCAGTCTGCTTATGCTGAATAACATGGCTATAATTGCCTCGAAAACCCTCCTCCAACTGCCCCAGACTCCGTCCGGGGTCTTTGTACGTAATAAACCCCATTCCCCGACTTCCATAGATGCAGAGATGCAGAGGACACTTGCACATCTTCATGTTTGGAAACACTATTCAGCCCGGGGACTCCACTAAATCTCACCATGCGGCATTTTTTTGTCGTGCGTTATCGTCGGGTGAATATTATCGTCGTGTATGCAAGCCGCATGCCTGACCGTTCCATATTTCGCGCAATCCCACTTCCGACTTTGGTAATAGTGGTTGCCAGGTGGAGCTTGAGTTGCTGTACGTCCCTTAGCCGCGCCTCAATGAGTGCTAGGTGTATTCCCCGGCCACGGTAATCGGGCTATGTACTATCCAGGTAGAGGTGAGCTTTCTTTCCCATGAGTGTTTGCATACTCGCAAGAGCAGTGCTTGCCGGCTATCCGATTGTCGATTTTGGCCCAATACAGACGCGTGTCCTCCCTTGTTGTCGCGATCCTCGTAAGTGCATCAAGTAGTTCCCGCGAACGCCCGTTGTCCTGGAATCCAGCAATGGAAACCTCGAGAACCTTTTCCGTCTCATTCCGTGCTGCTTCGACGATGACCACTCCGTTGGTAATCCCTGCTTTGCTCGCTTCGTTCCCTCTGCCGTCGGGGAAGGCTGTTTCTATGCCGAGGTCAATTCTCTTTGTATAATCACTGGACGACAGGACTTGGGTAGCAGATGAACGCGCAAGTGGGCTCAGATGCACCTCACATGCGTCCTACCCCTGCCAAGAAGGCCTCCAGCTGCCTGAGATCTGCTTCCAACCCTCGGCCTCGCTTCCCAACACCAACGGCTCGGTTCGACTTTCACTAGAACAGTTCCAATGTCTGGATGACAACGCCTTCGCTTGGGACCGCTTGGACAATAATTTCATCTGGGAAGATCTGCCGACAGGTTTCGGCTTGCCGACGGATGTGAATCGCTTCTGTCTCTTCACATTGCTCTGCTGGAGTGATGACCATGCTGAAGGGTCGGGTGTGTCTCGATCGGCCAAAAGTTGGTTAACAAGAGAAAAGCGAAGCAAGGTCTTCCAGCAATGGTAATATTGTGCCACTTGGGCAGATATATGTCTATGCCCCTGGGCAGGTGGGCAAGTCGACCTCTGACTCATGACCAGTCACATGAGGCGACTAGTCCTGTTGGAAGTGCAGGAAACAAGACATAAACCCAAGGAATTGTGTTATATTCTGTCTAGAGGTGCAATTAACAAAACAGAACACTAGCAAGTCTCGGGTTCTGTCAATGCATATCACAATCTCGACGCGAGGCCAATCCCACGGAGGACCCGGACCGGACTAGCATTCCTGCTTCAAACACTCGGCTATGGATTGTCCAACGTACTCTACGTTTCCATCGTTGAGACCGGCAATGGATATCCTAGAGTTGTCTGCCATATAGATGTGATACTGCTCTGTGGTCCTCAGAGTGTCAGCATACGAGCATCAGCGATTTCAAGGGGAGAACGAACCGCGCAGTCGAAGGACGACACTGGGGGACAGTCCCAAAAACCAAACATCCCGGATTGGCGAATTAGATGCTCCCAGGACCCCGGTGCGCCTGGCCATGTTAGTGTGATTGCTTACTTTATTCCAGCAGACTTACCCGTCGACACCAACTTATCATACAATGCCTTTCTCATAGATCGAATGCGGTCACTCATGGTGATCAGATCGTCATACCAAGCCTGCCGCAGGGTAGTACTAGATAATATGGTGTTCGCGATCTTCGCCCCATAAGCCGGTGGATTTGAAACTTCGGACCGTTGAAGCATTTCAAGCATTGACTGAGTCTTCACGGCCGCTTGCTCGGTATTTGTCGCGAGCAAGAAACAACCGACTCGCTCCCCTAATAGATGTTGTAAGATTTCATTCTGTACGTCGGGCTCGGGTTCATACCATAGAGACCCATATTCTTCGCAAAGGACAGACAAACTCCAGCTTCTAATCCTGTTTCCTCAATGAACCATCGGATTGCAAAAGCATCGCGGTCGACATTGCCTGAGTTGAAGCCAAGATAGGCAGCGTCAAACAGAGGGAACAGCTGTCTTTCTTTGAAAAGGTGCGCAAGCTCTTGCCATTGCTCCTTGCTCGGGTCACACCCGGTCGGGTTATGAGCGCACGCATGAATAATAACCACAGAGTTCGGTTCAGCCGATTTCAATGTCGCATAATAGGAATCAATATCCAAGTCTCTAGTCTCGGGGCTGTAGTATCTAAAACTTTTGCATTGGAATCCAAGTGATGAGAACACCTGGTGGTGGTTAGACCAGGTCGGCTCAGGAACGTATATCTTTGGCAAAGGTGTCTTGCATGCTCGTAGCAATAGCCCAGCAAGATGCAGTGCTCCAGTGCCGGAGAGACTTTGGCATGTAGCGAGCTGTTCTGGATTAGCCCCTTGCTGCGGAGATGGAGTGTTGTGCATACCTGGTTCTGTTTCTTTGCGAACAGCTCATCGCCCAATGCAAGTCTCGCAGCCTCTTTGCGAAACTCTGTCAGACCGACAATTGGAAGATACTCGTGGTTCAGCCCGTGCGATGATAATAGCTCTCGGCTCTTGTTGACCGAGGGAAGAACCCATGGACTCCCATTCTTGTCTCGATATGTTCCTTGGCCTAGATTGACCTTACAAGGAGAGGGATCTGCGAGATACTGAGCCGTCAAAGCAAAGATCGCATCGGGCGGGATAAAGCGAGCCCGATCAAACCACGATTGCGTGAGGGTTTGTGTTTCAGTGGCCATTTTGCAAATGTTACTCAAAGTGAAAGTTGGGCGAAACAAGGGCATTTTAAGATGAAGCTGTGAGGATGAAGTAGATCCCGGGTCGCTGGCCGAGTTGCTTTCCCATCATTTCCCCTTATCTTTTTCCCTCGGAAGAGAAACCGAACAATTTTCAGATGAGCAGTGTTGATGATCGGGTCGATGGCCCGAAGGTGGACTTCGAAGTAAGTGTGGGGGGCTTCGGTATTGGCATCCGACTACTTGCCCCTCATCGATAGTTATAAGTAGAGAAGTGAGGGATTTGGGGAGTCAGAGTCGAAATTCTCACCACGTATCTTCATACTTCCATCATGAGTGCTCACTCTGTTGCCTCTCAACCTCATGTCCCCTCGTCCGGGGTCTGGTGTCCTGCAGTCACCTTTTTCCACCATGGCACCGACTCACTAGATCTAGAATCTCAATCCAAGTACTTCGCCTATCTGTCCACAACTGGGCTGACGGGTCTGGTGATCTTGGGCACCAACTCGGAAGCCTTCCTCCTCACTCGCGAAGAGCGATCTCAGTTGATTGCGACTGCGCGTGCAGCCGTGGGCCCTGATTTCCCGCTGATGGCCGGGGTTGGTGCACACTCGACCAAACAAACCCTGGAACTCGCCCAGGATGCTGCCGCTGCTGGCGCCAACTATCTGTTGGTCCTCCCTCCGGCATACTTCGGCAAAGCAACAAACATGAATGTGGTCAAGCGCTTCTTTTCCGAAGTGGCCGCAAAGGCGCCTCTCCCTGTGGTGGTCTACAATTTCCCCGGCGTCTGTAATGGAGTCGACATCGACTCTGAGACCATTGCCGCTATTGTGCAAGAGTCGGCGTCGTCCCACCCAGATGGACAGTCCAACGTGGTCGGCGTCAAGCTTACCTGTGGATCTGTCGGAAAGATTACTCGACTGGCAGCGACGTTTGCGCCCGGCACCTTTGCGACCTTTGGTGGGCAGTCCGACTTCTTGATTGGAGGACTTGCTGCAGGAAGCGCTGGGTGCATCGCAGCTTTCGCCAATGTCTTCCCCAAAACTGCAGCTCGGATCTATGCATTGTACCAAAAGGGACAGGTGGATGAGGCTATGACGCTACAAAGAAAGGCAGCCCTCGCAGAAAGCCCTATCAAGAGCGGAATTGCATCCACTAAGCATGCGGTAGCATGCTATTCAGCCCAACTCGCAGGGATTCAGGATGCGGCGGCAAACCTGGCCCCCCGACACCCTTACGAGGAGGTGGGGGAGGGTGCCAAAACGGCGATCCGAACTGTGATGGCAGAAGTCGGTGAGATTGAGAAGAGTCTGTAGGAAGAACTTATAGTATATAAATCTAGAAATAAGCATTAAGTACAATAGATCTCGTTCATGTTACTCCAGCAACTATAATCCCCACTGTAAATCGTTTATATCAATTCTGAACTAACTTCAGCCTCAGGTTCTGATTCTGTTGAAGAACATAAAATGGGCTTTTCTGGCCCCTGAGACAGTTTGCTCCCTCCGGTTTCTACGGGGGCTTCTCTCGTCACAACGGCTAACAGCAGCGTTAAATCATATCACACGCATCGTGGCTTTTATCAACCCAATAAGGATTATAGTATACAGCCAACTTTGTGTAAGAAGTTTTCTTGTATCGCCTCGAACAAAGATGTATCAGAGGTCCACGAATGCGTGCTTAGAGTAGGCATATCTGCCAAGATGCGCTGCTATGTTGAGGGTTTGAATAATTATGCAAAGCAAATAGAAATACAGTGTACTCTGTCGCAATAGAAGTCAGTTATTGTACATGTATAAAAACAAATGAACCTCGGCTAAAACTCTTCCACCAATTAGGCCTATCGGAGAGGCCGAGAGATTACTGATCGGGCCGAGTGGGTGGGCCGAGCGTCGGGATCTAAGTTGAACAGCCAATAGATGAGGCTGTTCAGCTCTTTTTTTGTTACTTTTTCTTTTTCTTGATAGCAAAATACTGCTTGATGGGTCCACTTCTTATATCTCACCACCCTAATGCAGCAGTGTCTCCGGGCTGATACTTGGTGGATCAGACTACGGAGTACGTTATTATAACACAAAACTAGGACTCTCTGCCGAGGTCTAGGACTTTTCTCTTTTTTAAAAAATCTCTTGAGCCCCTCGTTTTCACAAGCTCATTCAGCTATTCAGCTATACAGCTATACAGCTGTCGATCATGGCCACAGAGATGCACTCGGCCAAGAACCTGCAGCTCCCGCACAAGGTTCCTTTCTGGCGACTTGTTACCAACCCTGGCGCGATCACCCAAGATGTGGCAGACTATCCTTACGCCGGATCAGGGACTGAAGATGATCCATATGTGGTTCAGTGGCTTCCTAACGATTTTCGAAACCCTCTCCAGCTGAAGCCCGCTTTGAAATGGCTCATCACTGTCGTCGCGGCCCTCGAGACACTAGTCGTCGCTCTAGTCTCGTCGGCATATACTGGAGGCATTATTCAAATCGAAGAACAATTCGGAGCGACAACGGAGATTGCGACTTTGGGTGTATCACTCTACGTGCTCGGATTCGCCTTGGGTCCCCTTCTGTGGGCTCCAATGAGCGAGCTTTTCGGCCGTCAATCTGTCTTCATTACTACGTACTGCGGCCTGACCATCTTTTGTGCTGCCTGCATTGGCGCGAAGAACATTGAGAGTCTGCTGGTCTTTCGATTCTTGGCCGGTGCTTTTGGTTCCTCGCCGTTCACCAACTCTGGTGGTGTCATTGCCGACATGTTTATGGCCCGCGAGCGAGGTCTGGCTCTGTCGGCCTTTGCATTGGCCCCCTTCCTCGGACCTGTCATTGGACCTATCGCCGGTGGATTTCTCGGTATGGCCGCGGGATGGAAATGGGTCATGGGCCTGTTGACCATCCTCTGTGGTGTGATGTGGTTCCTGGGAGCCGCATTGAAGCCCGAGACTTATGCCCCCGTTCTCCTACGTCAGCGCGCGAAGACTCTCTCCAAATTGACTGGCCGGGTGTACTACAGCAAACTGGACATTGATCAGGGACGTGTCACTCTCAAGGCTGCCTTGAAGACTTCTCTCTCGCGGCCCTTTATCCTTCTGTTCCGCGAACCTATCGTTCTGCTGCTCTCAATTTACCTTGCTATCATCTACGGAACCCTCTACATGCTTTTCGGTGCATTCCCAATTGTGTATGAGCTTCATCGTGGATGGAACCAAGGTGTTGCTGGTCTCGCCTTCCTTGGTGTTATGGTGGGTATGCTCTGTGCTATCGCCTATTCAATTCCTGAAAATTCGCGCTATATCAAACTCCTCGATAAGGAGGGAGGTTACGCACCTCCGGAGGCCCGTCTTCCGCCGTGTATGTTGGCCTCGCTTGCCCTTCCGATTGGACTCTTTTGGTTTGCATGGACCAATTCTCCCTCTGTCCATTGGCTTGCGAGCATTGCTGCTGGAGTTCCATTTGGATTCGGAATGGTCCTCGTCTTCCTCAGCGTCTTCAACTATTTGATTGATGCCTACACCATCTTTGCAGCCTCTGTCTTGGCCGCCAACTCCCTCCTCCGGTCCATGTTCGGCTTCGCATTCCCGTTGTTCACCTCATACATGTTTAAGAACCTGGGAATCCACTGGGCATCTTGTATTCCAGCTTTCCTGGCCCTTGCATGTGTGCCGTTCCCCTTCTTGCTTTACAAGTATGGTCTTTCCATTCGAAAGCATTGCAAATACTCTGCCGAGTCCGAGGCCTTTGTTCAGAGCATCCTCCAGGGCATGCAAAAGGTCACAGAGGAGCCTTCCGACAAGGAGGAACCCGAAATTTACCACGCCCGAGAGCACGATGCGACTTCGATTTCCCAGGCAAAGGAACAGACTTCAGCAGATGTCCACTCTGTCCACCGCACACTCTCACGCACATCCACTCACACTATACATGCACACCGGGTCCCTACGTACGAGGCCAATCCTTATAACATTGACCGTGTGCATACCCGGGAATCATTTAGATAATTCCGAGGATATGTTGGGAAGAGGAACACTGGCGTTTCGGGGGACATTTAAGTATAAAAGATGAGCGATATGACATGTCTCTTTGCTGCATTGGCTTAGGTTGCATATATAGATAGCGTTGACTAATAATTATAATTGGTTTCCATATTCAGTGATTCAGTTGGAAATGTGCAAGCACTTCTTTAGTGCCGTAGTTCTGCCAATGTTAGACCGGATATCAGGCCTCCGCAGTCTATTAATAGCTGGTACACGCGAGGAAACGAGACATACCTCCTGACAGCTGCTACGATACACATTCAGCAATCTTACTGGCCAATATAAAGGGAGTGGTCAGTTGTGGCCATCTGATTGTGGCGCGCTAAAGCTGCAGAACAACGTCATCGGATGGGCGTTATATCGAGTTACAAGCCGTCTTTGCATATCTCTTTAATCCGCTTTCATCAATCTGTCAGTGCGAAGGGAAACGTATCTGGACTGTTCCATCTAAGACTTGTACATGTACTAGATAACTTAACGTCAGGATGGCAACGATCATGTGGAGTATCTGCATGACAGTGGATTCCGGGGATTATCTGATCGGTCCATTGATCGATTGTCTGCTTTTACATCGTCTGCTGGAAAAGTGAGCTGAAACAAGGGAGTTAGAGGCTATAAACGCATGGCAATCTTGACACTAAACAGCCGTCCATCTACACTATACCACATGTAACACTTGTAAGACTGGTCAAAATACATCTCACACTTGGTTTAGGAGGTCGCAAAGATTCGTAAATTTGAACTGAGATTCTACCTTAATGCATCCCGTTCGTGGCTCCGTTAAGCACTCCATTGGCGAGCCCGTTGGGCAATGCGTTGGTTGTTCCATTCGTTATGCTGCTGTTCATGCCATTGGAGATGCCATTCTTTATGCCATTCGAGAGGCCGTTGATCTTATGGAGAGGCACACCCGGTGGTATTCCGCAGGAGACGCTGCTCCTCTTCCGAACTCGCTCCGGGGCAGTCCAGATAGCCCCGTCAGCGAGCAACTGTTGGCCCAATCCGAGCACTTTAGACGGAGCTTCGCCCAACCATTCCGACTCCAGTCGGTTAATATTGTGTTCGATCTCCCAGGCACGACCTCCTTCAACGAACATGGACGTACCGTTGAGTGACGGGTCATTCAAGACTCCAGTGGCCACCGTAGCAACCTCGTCCGGAGTATTGGTTGGAAGATCAGCATTCTTCCATTGTGCCTCAACCTTTTTGATGCTCTCGGTCTGGGTCACCCATGGACATATCGTATTGATACGGAGGGAATGCTTATACGGGGAGGAGATGTAGTTGCGTAGGGAGCGCATGAGCCCAGTGACACCGTGCTTGGAGGCCTGGTAGATGAAGAGGGATGGGCTCTCCTTGAAACCAGAGACACAAGAGAACAAGAGAATAGACCGATCGGAGTTGCCTCCGCGGTTGTGACGCAAGTATACAGATGCGAGGCGGGAGACGTACATGGAGCCAAGGAGGTTGACATCCAGGACTTTATGGGTTGGAGTCTGGAGATAAAGCATTACTTTGGGATGCCATGGATAGGCCAAGCAACCATGGCCGTTGCCTTATTTCACATACCTGGCGAACGTCCTCCAGCGTAAGTCCAAAGTCAAACCAATTGCCGATTTCTACGATCCCCGCCGCAGAGACGACGTGATCGATGCGTTTATAGGTCTTGAAAGCCAGATCGAACAGCGCCAGCACCGATGGATAGTTCGTAACATCAGTGGTCTGAAAGATTGCCCGTGGGGGCATATCCTCTTCCTCTGGGTGGAAGTTGTCGCGACAGTTCTTTAGCAGACGCTCACCCGAGATGTTATCCAAGTCGCCAATGCAGACGTTGGCGCCGCTTTCCAAGCATTGCTTCACTAGACAAGCACCGATTCCATTGGCACCACCTGGAGCCAGGTTAATATAATAGGACGGGGTCCCTGGAGTGTGGCATACCTGTGATCAGGACGACCTTGCGATGGAGAGAATCGGAAGTAATTTTGGGGATATACTGTGCCATTAGGGGATCAATTAATGCGGAGACTTGACGATGAAGTGGGTCAAGAGCGAAGAACGTGGAGCCGAGTAGAGCAAAAGATATGCGAACAGGAAAGACAACGCGCGGGAGGCATCAGAGTTGCTTTTATAGAGTCCAATTGCGCTGGAGATTATTGGCCAGGGGGACATGATGAAAATGCCTCATCAAAGCGGACTCAAAGCAACACATGTTCGAATACAGCATTTGGCCATGAGTTTGGACGCGGGGAACGGCAACTCAGCCGAACGTTAAGGGCTCAAGGCTTGGCAGCAAATAAGAGAATCATCGAGATCTCGGTTTGAGAGGTTTAATCCAGTAAGTGATGCGGATAATGCGGGCAATGCGGGGGCGCCATGACGCTGAGCAGAGACGAGACCACCAAAACTTTGTGCAAACACGGCAGAGAACTAGCCTAGGAACTATCAATGTCCGGTACTCTGAATAGCATCGTTTGTATGGCCGCTAATCTTCTAGGTTTCCTTGGCCAGTCCCGGGGGCGTCTCGGATGTCTGTGGTCCGAGGTCTTTCATGCTTGGCCGTAGTACATTGCTCGTGATAGCTGCCTAAACCTGTCAAAAAGTGAGAGAACATGTAAGATAACCCGTGCGTTTCACTCGGATGGCCGGCTGAATACGACTGGGGTGCATATGCGGGTGTGGTGGGGGGGAACGGGAAGTTGGAGCGCCACAGGGATCTGAGCGCAGGTATTTGTGAAATGCTTCGATAAATTAGATCTATCGTAGATGCAACGAAACAAAAAGCACTCGCCCAATATACATGGTACACCATGAAGCACAAAATGCCAATCCAGCTGCAGATGTGGGGGAATACCGGACATGACCAAAACGAAATCCTATCAAACCAAGCCCTCCCGGAAGGGCAACCAAATCCCAAAGCCAAGACAAATGGAAATATTTACAGCTGGCTCGCAAGACCCAGAAATTTTCTAGCGGCGGGAGACGCAGCACAAGATACCAGACTTGCCCAAGAACCACAGCGATCCAATGAAGCGGAAAATCGACAGACCGGCAGTCGTCCATAGAATAGCAGCGAAGTATTTGGAGGTACGAACCGTAGATGTGTTCTGTAAGTGTCAGTGGGGGTGAACAGCTGAGTTGGGAAGAGAAACATACCGTAAGACAGAAACGGGTGATGCCTTCACTGGTGATACACAACGTGAGAATCAGGTTACTGAAAATCCAGATCAACACCAGGTTGGTTCGGAAAGCCTTGTAACCATCATCCATGCTCCGTTCATCCTTCTCTTCTGGCTCCACATACGGTTCCAAAGCACGTTTGACCGTCGATTCAAACTGACTGTCAATATCGGCCTGCGGCTTATCGACTTCCTCAATGAAGTTCGACTTGGCATCGTCCTTCTTAGTCTCAGCGACGGGTAGCGAGTCACCCTTGTCAGATCCCTTGGTACCCCAAGAAACGTCATGCCAGTTGCAGAAAGCGTAAACCATCAAGATATTGATGGAGCAGGTCATGCCAGCAAAGTACGCCCAGGAAGATGTAAACATGTGCCAAGGATCCATATACAAGAAACTGGCGATGAAGTAGATACCATAGGTAGAAACCAAGGCGATCAGAACAATACCGGCTCCGCTAGAACTGAAGAATGACGAAAGGAATTTCCCGACACCTTCGTCCAAAGAGAAGTCGAGGGTGCCTCCAGTGAAAGCATTCTTGACAAGGTAGAACGATAGGACAATGATGTAAGTTTGAACAATACTGAAGTAGACAAACGAGAGCGTGTAGGCCAAACGAGAACTAACCAAGTCAGTATTTAACCTTGTGAGATAGGTTGATTCAGAAACTCACCCTTTAGGTCTGTTGCCTAGCGCCAGAATAAATTGCAGCATCAAGAAGAAAACGTAACCATACTTCAAGAAGTTGTTCACGATTGGAGAGGCGTCGTTGCCGAAAGGCCATCCCTTATTCTTGTTGGCCTCACTGGGCGTTCCGACAAGATCCATGATAACAGAAGTAGTCAACCAGAACGAAGCTAACGATTGGTTAGTGACAATTTCACGAAAATAAGAAGCGGAGGCTCATACCGAGAGAAAACCAAGTCATGACAAGACCAACAAAGTTGTAAGTCATCTGGATGTGAAGGAAGAACAGCCGCAGGATATTGTGGCCGCTCTTATAGATACGTCCGAAATGCATCATAGCATACAGACTAGCAGCGAATGAACCGTTTAACCATCGGCGACGCTGACTGATAAATTCTGCTGCGCCCTCCGGCACATCGGTCTCACCCTTAGACGCCTTCACGTAGGTCAAATGCCATTTGAAGCCGGCTTTTGCGACAAGTTCGAAACACAGGATACGATCCTCGGCAAGGAACATGTTCTTCTTGAAGATATTCATGCCCTCGATACCCTTCTTGCCTAGCTGCTTCGAGAGAGTGTGGTCGCCGTGGAAGTACTGCTCGAGGGGACGACCCATAATAGCGCGATAACGGTACGCAGAGAAGGCACCCGGCAACACACTGACGTATCCGAAGGCGCTCTCTAGTGGCTTGTCGAGAATATTGGAGATTTTGTACTCGAAGTTCTGCGCGGCGACCAGAGGGTTCATCAAGTTCTTCCATCCCTTTCCTAACATCGCGTGAATCTCACCACAAGACCCGCCTAGGTTCTTATCGTTGTAGAACGATTCCCACAAAGCAAGAAGCGATTTCTTTCCGGGCTTAGTCCCGGCATCGATAAGGATCACCACTTCGGGGTTGAGGATGCGACTGAAACCGTTGAATAGCCAACGGTGGGAATTGATCTTCTTGCTGTTCTTTTGCTTCAGACAGAAGATCATCTGGACAGGAGGAAGGTTGGTCGACTCGTTGCCCTGAGGCCGGATCAATTGCTGGTTGGAGGTCACCGAGAGTTGTGTGGTGTACTCGAAAATGTGAGAAACGGTTTCCCGTCCGTCGACGGAGCGCTTCATGATACCATCTTGGTAGATACCGATCGTTGCCAGCATGTCAAGAGTGTTTTTGTCACATGGATCGATTCCGTCAAAAACCAAGCAGCAAACGATCTTTTGCCAGGCCGGGCCTCCCTTATTCCAGAATTCGGACTTTTTCAAATTGACGATATCCCGGATGTTCTGCATAACACCGTGCAACGTCCGAGCTGTCAGAACTTTGTCTTCGTTGTAATAGGTAATCGCAATCAGAAGCTCCGTATGTCTGTTGTACATGGCCGGTCGCAGATTGTATCCGTTCCGCAGGGTGAACTCGTCGGGATCACAAGTGGCAGCCGTGTCTGTATCGAATTAGTTTAAACTCCGGTCTGAAATCGCATTTGGAAGACGTACAGCGCAAGTGGGTGAATTCTTCCGGGAATCCTTCTTCTGACTCTCGATACTCCTTCTGGATCGCATTCTGGATCGCACTCGGAACAGGGTAGTCCACACTCAAAACTGAGCCCTGGACAAGCTTAATCTTACGGGTGGCATAGCGGCGCAGTCCGGAACCAGGCGCCTGTCGGTTTTGCCAGGCTTCTGACGGAGTCTCTGACATGGGCGATGCAATGCCAGAACGACGGTTCAACCCACCCGCTGACTCTTGATATGGGCCATCAGGGAAGATGGTGACACCGGGATCATGGAGGGTGTAGCGACGAAGGGAATCGGTCGAGGCATAAGGGTCATCGAAGGGGGCGTTAAATGGACTGGGTTGATTGCGGTAAAGCAGGGACTGTTGGCTCTCCGCGTTATCATTCTTCTCTTCGTAGGCGTAGGCTTGCTGCTAAAACGAACCGTGTTAGCTTCTCCGTGTGTTCCTATGGCAGATCGTCTTGGTTCAATGGGGCGGTTCACTCACTTCACGAGTTCCATACAGACTGGCCTCGCTCGGCCCAGGCGAATGAGATGAGTTTCCCGAGACAGGCGAATGGGGAGAAGTTGCTCGCGGTGGTAAAGACATTGTGCACAGCTCCCCAGCGGAAGAGATCTTTGTTGTGAATGAAACTAATAACTAAGCAGTCTGTCTGGGATCCGAAGGAAGCTCGCGGATCAGAACTGTCGATTCACAACACCTGACCTGAGCACATTCAACGGTAACCGCGATCTGTGGTGTTAGAGACAGGCGATCTATCCAGAGATCTCCAAGGTAGGGCAGTCTTCCCAAGTCGAGAAGTGTAGAGAGATGTGCAGGAGAAGACGTATCGAAGATGCGCTAGACAGGAGATATTTTTGGTGCAGAATTTGATTGGAGGTGCCGATGATGGGCTGTGAAAGGGCGAGTGGGGACTCCAGCGCAGTATACAGTATGTCGTTCGTCATCCAACCTCCCCTAGATCCACCAACGTACTCAGAGGGGGTTGGTTGTTCCCCTGCGCAGGCCCGAAAAACGTGAATCTAGTAAGGCCTCTTGTGCTGTCCTTGTGCTGTCCTTGTGCTATTTTTGTGCTCTCCCACTTATCCATGGTACGGGTGTGAATTCGACTCCGGGATCCGAGGCTCTGCGCACGTAACTCGTCGAGGATGTCCAAGGCGGGTCAACAACGCAATGCGCCTCGACATTGGCCCACGGAACGGACCCATCACACTCTTCGAACATTCTGCTCATCCCTTCGATCTTTCTGAAACACGCTGGGGCGACACCCTGTAGGGGCAACGAGGGTGCCAAGCATCCAGAGTGGCGGCTGGGGCCCCCGAGGACTGCCAGACGATGACGACAAGGCAAGGAAAGGATCGGCCGTGTCTCCCAGGGGCTGAATTCTGAGGCTGCAACTGGTCCACTGAGGCCCACAATTGCCGCCACGATTGGGTATGCGGGAGCCTCTTCTGGGATGAGGAAAAATAGAGAGGGCGACATGCCACGACGTGGCTGTGCGTCACGTGAGATTAGCTGTTGAGGATGTATACGTGGACTCAACTGGTCTATTTATTTCTTCTCTAGTCTAATACACGTATGTCTGCATTATTTCCTCAATGGAGAGCCTTATTAAGTAATCTAGGCGACGGTGTAACTGCTGCCTCGGGGAGTGATCGGCTCCCGGAGCACAGGGTGAGTTAGCCTTGACAATAGGAAAGGAAGCAATAATATGTCAATGTTATTGGTTCGGAAAGGACAGGGGGCGAGAGAGAGAGACTCGGTCAGCGAGCTCTCTGGCTAATATGTAGTCTTTTTTGGTTATGAACAACTTGAGATGGACGTTCTTCTGGCAAAAGAACAACGTTGCGGAAAATGTCTGCCTAGCGTACGCGTCCGGATGATACATCCACACTTGATGGCTCTCGTCAGATATTGTATGTGTAATCCGATTGCTACATTTATGCGGGTGTTATTTTTAGGGCATCTTTTCTGAACAATTGGCTTATGTGGTGTGCAACGTAAAACAATGACTGGGTTTTGGCGTTATGTAAGTATAGGGGAATATATATCTGAGAAGTCTGAGAAGTAACCAGCTGCCTTTCGGCTGTGATCCGAGGCCAAAAAACCACATCGGACTTCCTTGCGAGGTATAACAGTTACAGTATGCCGATGCAACATGCGGGGTAAAAGGATATGACAATCGATGTGACTTTAAATTATCGCATCTTACAAGTTCTAATTTACAAACCAAGTCTTTTTCTGCTAATCCATTCTGTACATAGACCAGTATGTCAGTCCAAAGACCCGAATTTGATTCCTTACCCTTGCGCAAAGATGGACCGGTCGGTAACGCTTGGGGTATGTTTGGGGATCATGATCAGCTGGGCATGCTCAATCTTCTGACACCTGAGAATACTGCTGCGGCTGCCCGTGAGATTGTCGAAGGTGTGCGTGTCTCAACCGACTGGGCTCTCAATAGCATGACCACCCCTTGCTTTGGCCGATCTGCCTTTGAACACGTTCTGAAGAATAAGGCTCCCCGGGCCGTCAACGATGATATATTAGTCTTCAACACACAGAGTAGCTCTCAATGGGATGGCTTTCGACACTATGGATCGAAACAAGGAACTTACTACAATGGGTGCACACAGGAGGATATCCGGAACTCAACCCGGAATGGCATTCATGGTAATTCCCATCCAGCCCATAACATTCTCTGTACTGACATCGTCCGTAGTATGGGCTGAGAATGGGGGTATTGTTGGACGGGGGGTTCTTTTGGACTATGCCGGCTGGGCAGAAGCCAAGGGACACGATGTAAACTGCTTTGAAACCCAGTCGATCCCCGTTTCAGTTCTTCAAGATGTGGCTACTAGCCAGAAGACCACATTCCGACCTGGGGATATTTTGTTCATCCGCACTGGCTGGACTCGAGCGTACGAGAGGCTGTCCCCTGCCGAATGCCAGCAACTGGCTGATTATACCGCGCCTCCAGTCATTGGTGTAGAGTCATCCGAATCCATGCTGCGCTGGATCTGGGATCAAAGCTTCGCTGCTGTCGTGGGAGATATGCCGAGCTTTGAAGCATATCCATGCCAAAACTCAGACTTTTTCCTTCACGAGTGGTTGCTGGCTGGCTGGGGTGTTCCGATCGGAGAGCTTTTCGACCTGGAGCGACTGAGCCAGGAGTGTCGCAAGAGAGATCGCTGGACATTTTTCTTTAGTAGTGTGCCATTAAAGGTATAGACCAGTCCGCCCCCTTGTGACTTCACAACTAATCATTTTCAGGTTCCTGGTGGAGTTGCCAGTCCACCAAATGGCGTGGCTATATTTTGATCATGTCAGTTTTGGCTCAAGTACAAGTGTGTATATTTACTTGGGTAGATGTAAACCCTCAGAAATGGAGCCTTCTCGTATTCGGCCCGAGAGAGATAAGAAGTGGAGAACCCCTCAACTTCACCTTCTACCCTTAGCATCGTCAACTATGGTACTTGGCAATGCAGGCGTGTCGCGCCGGTCGGAAGACCGATCTAGGAGGTCAATGGTAGCGTATGTGGGATGTGTGTGGGATCTCTGATCGTGTGCTGAGAGAGGTACAGATGTAACCGATGCCGGGGTCGAAAAACGCGCTGTGCCGGCAACCCGCCGCATCCTTGTGCTGCATGTGTGGAGGTGGGCAAGACATGCGTGTACTCAGAAGCAGAAAAGCGTGTCTCCATCACTGAAAGGTTGGCGAAACCCCAGTTGTTAAGGTCGACACTGACGATGTGCAGCTACTATCGTCAACTACAATCACAAGCTCCAGGTATGTTGTCCACCACACAGGATACAACATATTTTAATCTCAGTGTAGAAGGCAGCCAACCTATAGTTTCCAGTGAACCATCAACGTCCACTCGCTTTTCTGACAGCGAGGCGCCCCCAGAACGGGACGATTGGTGGTACAAAGGAACAGACAACTTGTTCCTTAACCGATCCGGAGAGCATCGTACGTGTTCATCTCAATGGGGAGAATATATTGTCTCACTAACTTTCCTCAAGATTTCGTGGGTGCTTCGTCCACGACTCATCTCGCCAAACGGCTCAACCCTGGGTCCACCAATCTTGCGTGGGATGTGCGCCCACTTTATGATGACCCTTCGTCACTAAGACGGCCAGTCGGTGCTACACTTCCTCAGTTACCTCCTTTTGAGTTCGCCAAGCGGTTGTTCTGGGTGCAATATGCCTATATTGGAACTATCTTCTCACTGATCCACCCTGCAGAATTTGAAGAAAGGCTCGACCTGGTCTACCATCAACCACTCGACCTTTCGCATCGAGAATCGAGTTTGGTATATTGCCAGACTCTACTCGTCATTGCGTTTGGCTTGATGTATTCTGTAAATCAGTGGTCGGGTGATGACGGCCCACCGGGATTCAAGTATTTTAAGCACGCGCTGCGATTCTTACCTGATATCCACGAAGAAGGCTCGATTTTCTTTGTTGAGGTGTTATGCTATGTAGCATACTACATGCAGAACCTTAATCGACGTGATGCTGCTTTCCTTTACGTATGCAGATCTTCTAATTTTCTTCTGCAACATTGCTAACGATGTCAGATCGGACTGGCCTTACGCATGGCCATCTCTTTAGGTCTTCATCAAGAGGTCTCGGACCCAACAATAAGTGAGGCAGACCGCAACCGTCGACGTCGGGCTTGGTGGTCTGTCTATAGCTTGGACCGGTAATTGCAACCTATTTTCGTTTTATCGGGAACTACCGCTTATATTCGTCAACAGGATACTTTCGGTCAAGTCTGGGAATCCTATCACCATCCATGATGAAGACATTGGTATAACCTGGCCCGCAGCAGTGGTATGTTATCTTGGCATATCTATGTGATGTGGTCTGATTCTCTTTCTAGGATGGAACAACCTTCGATCCATGGCCATCAACTGTCCTCACTCATTACACAAAGCTCTCCCGTATCTTGGGAAGGATTGGCGAAGGTAAGACTGCACATGCACCTCATGGCGTGCCAACGCTGACCTAGGGACTGTGCCAGAAATTTACCGAAAGAAGCCCGGATCTGGATCCAACCTCATTGCTTCTGTTCAGAGTATAACAAATGATCTTTCTGGATGGCTACGTCAGGTTCCTGATCGTCTTCGTATTGATTTCTCCACACTTGACACTCATGTCAATCGGGAGTCCGTCTCGATCAACTTACACTTTTACTCATGTGTGAACATGACTGCACGTCCGTTGGTATTTTATGTCATTCAACGACGACTTGATGCAGAAGCCCTTGGGTCCGCCACAGAAGATTGGAAAGAAGGGCTCGCCCCAAACACCGTTGCTGTTATTGATAGCTGCATCACAGCTGCGCGAGCAACCACCTTAATAATGGATGCAGCCGCAAAACACAATCTCATTGGTAAGCGATCACTAAAAGACTATGTCTTGGTCTGTGCAATTATCTGATAACAATCGATTAGCTACATATGGTTACCTTGATGGAGAGTATATCTTCTCAGCTGCACTGCTGCTTGTCATGGTGAATGCTGCATTCCCGCCCAATGAAACCAGTGCACGAGCCATGGAGACTGCACTGAACCTTCTTCGGGGAATGGCTGATCGTGGAAACACCTATTTGGGCTCACGCCATTCACTATTGCTGGAACTCCGGGCTGCCATTGTGACTAGGTCTGCTGCAAATGACACCGATCGAGCGAGCTCGGCAGGCCTGAAGGTCCCATTAACGCCGACAACTGAGCACGGCACAAGTCTCACAGAGGAGAAAGAAGATATGGCATCTCAACTAGGAACCTCACAAGTGCTTGCTCCTGGGTGGCCACAGAACGAACTCCCCTCATTCCGAGATATTGCCTTTCAGTTCGACCTGAACGATGATCCGGCACTCTGGGAAGGGGCCTTGGACCAGATTGATATTGATATGGATACCGACTGGATTGAGAATACTCTAAAACGATAGGAATACATGTATATCATAATCCTGTTTTTACTCTGTAGCTCGATCTATACGAAATAGGGCCTGAGGCCGCAGATCTCATACATTTGCATAGAATCCCCACCACGGTCCATGAATATCAAACCAATCCTAATTCCCACTACTAATTTACCCCTTTTCTCCTTTGCCTCATTATTCACTTTATTCTCTATTGTCTCTATATCTCTCACTCCTCCCACCCCCTACCCCGCGCCTTATCATCGGGCCGATCATCCCGACGCGGGTCTCCATCGGCCCGACACGTGACCGCCAGTACAACAGTAACGACGATCAATGGAGATGAGCGTGGGATATCGGATCGCTCTCTCTGACATAAATGAAGGGGATCGCTTCTTTGCATTTTCATACTCCCACTTTCTTTTCTAAACTATCACAATCATGCCAGTCCCGATGTCTGACTCGGGGAAGATCACTATCGCTATTGACCGCGGTGGTACTTTCACTGATATCTGGGCTAGCATAGGGCGGCCAGATGAAAAGAGTAAGTGGACCGGGATCTCGTTTATCTTATGGATGCAAGCTAAGAGGCGGTAGATGATTCCACAGAAGCCCCCAGTCGTCCAGACATCATCTTGAAGCTTCTCTCTGTCGACCCTTCCCACTATCAGGATGCACCAACTGAAGGCATCCGCCAAGTCCTAGAGTTGGCCACTGGAGAATCATATCCTCGAGGCCAGCCATTGAAGCTTGATCGCATTGAGTGTCTACGAATGGGCACAACCGTTGCAACTAATGCCTTACTCGAGCGCAAAGGCGCCCGCTCAGTGCTTTTCACAACAAAGGGTTTCCGAGATCTACTGAAGATCGGCGACCAGTCTCGGCCAGCCATTTTTGATTTGTCGATGGCCCGTCCGGGAGTGCTACCAGAGGGCGTGGTCGAAGTCAATGAACGCGTACTCCCTTGCCATCCTTCCGCCGATGAAGATTGTTTCACCGATTGTCGCATCGTTGAAGGCATAACTGGCGAGAAATTCCGGGTTGTTCAAGAGCTGGACCTCGTTCAAGTGAAAACAGAGCTCCAGCGACTAAAGGAGCGGGGCTACCAGTCACTTTCGGTAGCGTTATTACATTCTTTTGCTTATCCTGAACATGAGCGTCAAATTGGCGAACTGGCTCAGCAGATGGGATTCTCAGTTACACTTTCCTCAAAGCTTCAGCCTATGATCAAAATTGTGCCTCGTGGCATGTCAGCCGCTGCCGATGCCTACCTCACCCCTGTTATCAAGACCTACATCGACTCCATCTCTGCCAGCTTTGAAGGCGGCCTGGAGAGTCAGCATGACTGCCGATTTGAGTTCATGCAGTCCGATGGTGGACTAGTCGATTTTCGCAAATTCAGCGGACTGAAAGCAATTCTGTCTGGCCCTGCCGCTGGCGTTGTCGGCTTCGCAGCCACCAGCTGGGATCCCACCGAACAGACTCCCGTTATTGGCTTTGACATGGGAGGTACATCTACTGATGTATCTCGCTTTGACGGTCACTTGGAGCATGTTTTTGGCTCTAAAGTCGCAGGTGTTTTGATTCAGTCACCCCAACTGGATATCAACACTGTCGCCGCCGGTGGTGGATCTATTCTCAACTGGCGCAACGGCTTGTTCTATGTCGGACCTGAATCTGCCAGTGCTCATCCTGGCCCGGCTTGCTACCGCAAGGGGGGCCCTTTGACGGTTACAGATGCCAACTTATTCTTAGGTCGCCTGCTGCCCGAGTATTTCCCACACATCTTTGGTCCCAACGAGGACCAACCCCTGGACACGGAGACCACAGCACAACTTTTCAATGATTTGACGCAAAAGATCAACGCTGAGCGCCGAGAGCAGGGACAACAAGAATACACTTCCGAAGAAGTTGCACTTGGTTTCCTAAAGGTCGCAGATGAGTCCATGGCCCGGCCAATCCGTAATCTTACAGAGGCACGAGGTTTCGAGACTGCATCTCACCATCTGGCATGCTTTGGAGGCGCTGGTGGCCAGCACGCATGCTCAGTGGCTGACTCACTCGGTATTTCACGAATCATTATTCACAAATATTCCTCAGTGCTGTCAGCATACGGCCTCGCTTTAGCAGAGGTTGTCAAGGAGGCACAGGAACCGGTATCATCCACCTACTCATCCTCCCATTCTGCTCTTCTTCAACGCTTTGATGAGATGGCAGCAGCCGGAACAAAAGAGATGGAAACCCAAGGCTTTACCGCCGCTCAAGTGCGCCACGAACAATACCTCAATATGCGCTACGAAGGTTCCGATACTAGTCTCATGATCTTGAAGCCCGAGAGCTCATCAGACTTCTTGGAAGAATTCCGCGTGCGCCACCGTCGTGAATTTAACTTCAACTCCGAGCGACCGGTTCTCGTGGATGACATTCGCGTGCGCAGCATTGCTTCGTCTAAGGTGCGAACAGAGCAGAGTCCTTTGGTTCAGCTGAAGAATGCCAACTTGCGAGATGTCACCACGGCTCCAGCAAATACCAGCTCAGCTTATTTTGACGGCCATTCAAACCGCATTGACACACCGGTGTATCTGCTGGGCGAGCTGGAGAAGCATTCTCGCATTTCCGGCCCGGCGGTTATCATTGATCAGACTCAAACAATTGTTGTGGCTCCTAACGCAGTGGCAAACCTCCTCGATACCTGCATAGTCATCGATCTCAAAGACGAGCCAACTGCGTCTCCCGCAGGGAAGTCTCTCTCGGCAGAGATTGACCCTATCAGACTCAGCATTTTTGGTCATCGATTCATGTCTATTGCCGAGCAGATGGGTCGTACTCTGCAGAAGACTTCCGTTTCAACCAATATCAAAGAACGGTTGGACTTCTCTTGCGCCCTATTCTCACCTGATGGAGGCTTGGTGGCCAATGCACCGCATGTTCCGGTTCATCTGGGATCGATGCAATTTGCCGTGCGATACCAACACCAGAAGTGGCTGGGTAACCTGAAGGATGGTGATGTGTTGGTGGCCAACCACCCTAGCTGCGGAGGCACCCATCTCCCCGATATTACAGTAAGTCATTATCCGATCGTGGGTAGCTTTATTTGGTGCTGATCATTATTTAGGTTATTACGCCTGTCTTTGATCGGCCTGGAGGTTCCGAGATCATGTTTTACGTGGCATCTCGTGGCCACCATGCTGATATCGGTGGCATTTTACCTGGCTCTATGCCTCCGAAATCTACCGAGCTTTGGCAAGAAGGTGCTGCTATCGAAGGTGATAAGATCGTCAGTGATGGCATTCTGGACGAGGCGCGTCTAGTGGAACTGCTGGTCACGAAGCCTTCACAATACCCTGGCTGTTCTGGAGCACGATGCATCAGCGATAATATGTCTGATCTCAAGGCTCAGATTGCTGCTAACACTCGCGGAATCAGCTTGATCCAGACTCTGTTCAACGAGTATGGAACCCAAACAGTGCAAAAGTACATGTATGCCATTCAAGCCACAGCGGAGACTGCCGTCCGCAATCTTCTCAAGGAGTTATATCAGAAGTTTGATGGTCAGCCATTGGAATCGGTTGACTACATGGATGACGGTACTCCGATCTGCTTGAAGGTCACCATCGATGGTACCGACGGATCTGCTGTCTTCGATTTTGAAGGCACAGGCCCCGAGGTGTACGGGAGCTGGAACGCTCCGATTGCTATCACTCACTCAGCTATCATCTACTGCCTACGCTGCATGATCAATGCAGATGTTCCACTGAACCAAGGATGCCTGGCCCCAATTGACATCCGTGTACCATCACCGAGCATCTTGTCGCCAACCAAGACTGCTGCCGTCGTGGGCGGTAACGTCGTTACTTCACAGCGCATCACTGACGTGGTTTTCAAGGCCTTCCAAGCGTGTGCTGCCTCCCAGGGCTGTTGCAACAACCTCACCTTTGGTACAGATCCCAAGGTTGATCCATCTACTGGTGCTCTGATTACTCCTGGATTTGGATACTACGAGACAATCGCCGGCGGAAGTGGTGCGGGCCCAACCTGGAAGGGCGAGTCTGGTGTGCAAGTGCATATGACCAACACACGGATTACCGATCCTGAAATCCTGGAGAAGCGTTACCCGACTATGCTCCGTCAGTTCACACTCCGTGAGGGATCCGGTGGGCAAGGCAAGAACCCTGGTGGTGAGGGAGTGGTCCGCGAGATTGAATTCTTGTCGCCAATGAAATGTTCGATCTTGTCAGAGCGACGCGTGCATCGACCGTACGGATTGGAGGGTGGTCAGGATGCACAGCCAGGATTGAACCAGTGGATCACTCGTGACGAAGAAACTGGTGAAGAGCGTCACATCAACATTGGCGGCAAAAACACTGTCTCTATGAAGACCCACGATCGAATTGTCATCAAGACTGCCGGCGGTGGTGGCTGGGGTTCTCTGAAGGCTGCATGAAATGACTTAATCGGAATTGCCATTGTATAAGGTATCTAAAATATATAGGTAGATTTAAATAGGCCTCTATAATGTCTCATGAATCATTTACATTTTCTTCACAGCTTCGCTCTTCCAAATGCTGGCCGCCACATCTCATTCTCTAGTCGACTGGTGTTGATCATCTCGGGCCGAAGTTGGTCGAGCGATGAAACCCCCAGCATCTTCATTGTGATTTCGACTTCCTCGGCGAGAACTGCGATGCTGTTAGCTTCTGATATAGTCTCTTGAATCAAGGCATGACTTACTATCTGTGCATCTTTCCACTCCTTCAGCACCATATGCCGCGAGGGCATAGTAATATGGCCGACCAACTCCTACAGCAGTTGCTCCAAGACATAATGCCTTGAGGACATCTGCTCCATCGCGGAGCCCACCATCAACAAATACCTCGAGCTTGTCGAATGCGTCCGGATAGTATGTACGAATCTCCAGGAGTGTCATCAACGAGCTCGGGGCGGAATGGATTTGTCTACCTCCATGGTTGCTCAACAGAATTCCCTGCACACCACGTTCAACAGCCATTTTGACATCTTCGACACTCTGTATTCCCTTGAGGACAAGTGGTCCATTCCATTCCTTTGAGATCCAGTCCAAGTCCTCCCAAGTGAGACCAGCATCCACTGAGCCGGGGACTTGTCGGCCGCCGAATGCAGGCGCGTAACTGTTCTCAATATTGACTTCCCCGGTACCAGCTTTGACGACTGTCTCCTTGGGTACTGCAAGATTCTCTTGTGCCTGAAGATAGCGGTCTGCCGTTCGCTTGCCCAGCGTTGAAGTATCCACGGTGACCCAGAGGCTTTGGAACCCGGCCTTCTTGACCCTCTGAATGAGGGACTTGGCCTTTGTGCGATCAACAGGGACATAAAGTTGGAATGAAAGCTTAGACGGACTTTGGTTGTTGAGTAGCCGTTGTTCGTCGATGTGTGCATCCATGATCTCTTCCAATGTTTTTGTCGACGCCGTGCTGATCATGGTGTTCAGGCCTTTGCGAGTAGCTCCCCGGACGAGCAAAGGCTCAGCCCCTGGATGGGAACTACCCAGTGTACCCATAGCTGAGATGAAGAAAGGGAATTGCGAGGTTGAACCGAGAATGGACTTTCTGGTGTCCATTTTGTCCACGCTCCTCAAAATGCGAGGCCGGAAATTGATCAAAGACCAGTCGTCAATATTGGCCTTCATTGACAGACCCGATGCTGCCGAGCTCGATACATATACCCATGACTTCTCCGAGAGCACATCCTTTGCGACCTTTTCAAAATCCGTTGCGGTGACACACAGCGAAGGATCGGGGAGAGTTTTGGCTGCCATTTTTTTTTTTTCAATTATTTTCCGAGATAATTGGAAGTCGATATCAAAAAAAAAAAAAAGGCGAGCAAAGAAATGCCAATTGTAGATATAAATGAATCTGATAACTCCGGCTCCTGTACGGGGCCGACTTCGGCGCCGGCTGTCGAACTTCGTCGGCTCGGCTCCGTCCCGTTTAGGAAAAAGCGATCGCCGAGTTACTGTTCACAGCTTAGCACACAAGCGATGCATCGTAGTGAGCTCTGATTTGCTTGGAATCCGGGGAATCTGTCTACCCCGGGTTTGGCTCTCGCCCGAATACGGTGGATCGTTGTACATATATCCCGAGCTTCCGAATAGTCTGACTTGTTGATCCTAGCCCTACTTCAGTTTCTATTCATAGCGGAAATGGGGTTCCGAGCTATCGAGATTTGACCAACGCCACGGGAAGTTTATAATTGGTGATTATACTCTGAAGCTTCGTGGACTCCGATGGGATCCTTGAAGTATGTGATTCCCGAATATTTCGGCCGATAGGTTGGACTGATGCCGACTCAGATTTGGCTATGATTCTGCATTTCAAGGGCACGACTATTACACGCGACAGTTTCCTTGCGGACTTCAACATCACTATGTACATCAAATAGTAGTGCTATTTCCAGTAATATTAGATCAATCTTCTAGGCGGGTGCATTCTTTGAGGCTCTGTTTTTCTGATTAACTCATTCTCTGTAAACAAAGAAACAAAAACTAGACGAAGGGCATACCTGAAACGACAACCTTTCTGTATCTATATCCAGAAAGTTCATTTTGCTCTGGATTGGTGTCTTGGCTTTGCGTGAAAATAGTGAGGGGGTTTCCGTTAGGTTGAGCGCAGGACTTCACGAATTCTCCGATTGAACCTCTACAAATCGATTCGCCGAAGATGCATTCCGAGGTGATATCGGATTCTGGCTTGCTTTTTGTTTGTAGGTAGAAATGGTCCAATTTTTCTCGATTCGGGTCGAAGAGATTCTCGTGAGCAGTGGTCTCCCGAAGGGCGGTCTTTTCCTGCTCGATATTCGCGAGGAACTGGACGTAGATCAGGTATTGAAGGTCGCGTTTCCCATCCGAAGAGTTGTTCGTGACTGTGACAATATTTTTTTCATGTCCCAATGTAAGGCGAAGTAAATTCGAGTCCACAGATTGGACTTCTGCCGTTTGCTGCTGCTGCTCCAAAACCTCCTGGATATGCTGTAAGGTCGGAGTCTCCTCGGAGAGTGCGGGCGGGGGCGGTTCACGGAGTCCATAATCAATTTGCCCATAAACATGTGTCGAATAGATTCCTCTAAAAAGCTCTTTGATGTCGGAGCCTATTTCACTCTGGTCTGTTGTAATATTCACATTGATATCGCGAATTTCGGGATTGACTGAAATGCCCCACTCGGCAAAGGTTTAAAGCTCAGTGGCCGGACTGTCAAGACATTTAGCATGTCCAAATTCTTCACTGTGGACGGAAGATTCCGGTCGAAGCTAATCCACCAGGGCCCTGTGCTGTGGTCATTGTCTTGGAATGAACCTTAGAGGTAGCTCTTCGACGTGAGAAGGAAGCAGAATCCGGACATGAACTGATCATTGAAGCCAGTTCGCATGGTTGGAATCAAAGGTGGAAGAGGCTGGTCATATTCGCCTTCACGCTGTTCGGCTTGGAGACGCTTGCGATGGGCAACTTCACGACGCTGATGCTCCACGCAAGCCAGACCATCCGGTGGGTTGTATGAATAAATTTCCAAAAAGGGAAGCTTGCTGAGGTCAAAGCAGAAATATTGATACAACTTGTTGAGCTCCTCCGGCTGGATGGGAGTCGTGCTGTGTACTTGAAGTCGGTAAGCTTCACCGTCCTCCGGCCTATAGAACTGGCTTTCGTTGGCGGCGGCCACCTTCCCCAGAATGACAGTGTTGCCTTCATGGTCGGCATATTCCCGTTGGATCCATCGTCTAGGTTGGTCGGATGGATCCCGTGACAATCTGAGCTGTTCTCGCCATGTTTGAAAGATAGAGGGTAGGTGGTTGAAATGGGACTGGGGGCTGGAGGTCAAGTATTATCCTAACTGGACCGTATCGCCAAGAAATGAGAAAAATGACGATTTGTTTCGTGTCTCTACCATCGGTTTAGCTATTTTTATGTTTTTTCTTTTATGACACGATTTATACACCTTTTTTCATTCTGCCTGTAATGATTGTAAAAAAGGAGGTGTCCGGCGGCCACTATCGGCCTTACAATTGTGCAAATTACTTCTTACTTCTACTCAACAAATCTATATTCAGAGACAAAGAAATAAGACAAAAACAACATTTCCAAATACATGGTCTTCTCTTCTCACTGAATCGCTTAGAAACCGAGGGCACCTTTCATACACGCTGGCCTGGCCCTGTACGGCAGCCGGGTTCTTTGGGAACGTCGTGTCGGTAGCACTGGCGCCACCACCATTATTCATGAATTGAGTGACGGAAGTGTTGGCATCCGTGCTTTCCTGCTGGCTAACACCAGGGATTTGGTTCACGTTCTGGAGGTTTGTCTTCGCAGTTGTGGCCCAACTACTATACTGTTGCTCTATACGCGCCAGGTGTCTGTCGATCCAGTAGCACCACAACGTTCGCATGCACCAATTCGTGACACCATTTACTTGTTGTGGGTGCTCCAATGCCTTCCGAGTGCGCGTAGACCCGTAAGTCCTTTCTGGAGCCTTGCCCCAGTAGTTGTCGTCGAAGAACTTGCAGACCTTTCCTTAAGAGATGCAGGTAGTAGAAAGTGACTATGTGAGGGGGGCGCTCATTTTCAAAGGCATCTACAAAGTGAAGAATCTTTTTGCAACTGAATGATGATGACTTCTGCTAACCAATGTTTTGTGGCATCTAAACCAAATCCTGAATAACCTCCGCAACTGTACCAACTTCTCAAGATTGAATCACGAGTAGTCCGTAAGTTAAGGTGCATGTCACCTCAGCCGAAACAATGATTAAAGCCACTTTTTCTTTTCGAAGTCGAAGATTCAGGATGAAATCTTACTCTTGGCTTGATGGGATACCTCAGAGTGCAACGAAAGCCATGAAGCTAAGAAGAGCTGTTCCAAAAAGTCCACTTGTTAGCTCAATTGACTTTCCAGCTGAGCTTGTTGAAGTCGATGACGCAGCATTCGAGCTAGTAGAACTGCTTGTAGCGGACGCAGTTCCGCTCATAGAGGTGACTGATATATTTCCACTGCCCGAAGCCAAGCTGGGAGAAGTCATGCTGGCAGAGGAGTTTGATGTTGCGGAGGCAGAGGTGGCAGTAGCATCATACGTGGTCGAGGTAAAGGAGCACTGGCGGACAATATCATTTGCATCTATATGTATTAGGATATCTTCAATTTCATCTCACTAGGGCAACATACCGTTGTCCTTGCCGTCTTTGCTGTACTTGTCAAGACAAGCAGCACAGTCTGGAATGCTCTTCGATGCGCGGGGGTCATTGCAGACACATTTAATCTCAGCCGTATCGTCGTTATTATTCTTCCTGTCGCAAGTGGAAGTGAGGCTGACAACCGGGGCGCAAATGTCCTTGCACTGGGACGGGATATCACTTGAATCCACATCTTGAGCCACGACAGACGTAGCGAGGCCTAGCAGAGAGAAGATGAAGAAAGAACGCATTCTGATCAATTAAGCAAGTTTAAGCTTTGGTTTCTTCGGATAGTGAATTTCTCGGCGAAGAAGCGTGTTATAAGTAACTGCTGTTGGAGCTCCTTGGCTATCTAAATCTCATTTTTGGAGCATAACCGTTGATCATCCAAGGCATCAGCTTTCCAGGTTACGCGTTAGAACTTTCAAAAATAACTTCAAACTTTAAACGGCTGCCCCGTTAGATTATTGGAGGAAATGTGTCGCGTGCCTATGGGTTTCCATGCAAGGTATGAATTTTCAGTCGCCTAGCAATACTCTCTACAGAAAATGATCGTCGTTGCCCCATGACATAATATAAATCTGTTCTAGTGAGCCAGTCGACACGACCAACCAGAAGATCATGCCAAGCACTACCCCAAAGATCCGACTAGTGGATAGGCGTTATCTTGGCATAAAGCTAGCCGATAATTCGTTGAATCAAACATAGATTTGCGAGTTGAGATATTTCCCAGCCTTCTCCAACTTAGGTACTATTTTTAATTTTCATGCGCGAGGTCAACATTCAAAGAACATGATGTAACTTATACACTGTATTTATGGTTTAGTCAAAGCAGTTGTCTCGCTAATTTCTTACATTGGAATGGTTGACAAGATTGGCCGTGCCGTCCAGTCATTTTGTCATCTCTAGCCTGTGCTCGCTGTTTGTGGTATGTTGGTGTCTATGTTAAAATTGGCAACCCTGCAGGCGTCGTGGCTGGAGGAGGTACTTTATCCCCATCAAATACTCGCGGTGGTCTGGCTGCCACTGCTATGATTATAATATACGCAGGCTTTTGGTCTTAACGGTATCCAGTGGATTGTCTCTGCTGAAGTATTCCCCAGAGCACTACGAAACTTCTCGAGCACACGGGCTGCGCTGGTTTAATGGGCAACGCAATTCCCAGTCAGAAAGTGTCTGCCTTATATATTCAACTCATTTGGCTATGGCACCTGGCTCTTCTTTGCTAGCTTTTTGGTCATTGATATGATCTGGTCGTATTTCATTTTTCCAGAAACTAAGGGGCTGATCGTTGATCAGATGGATATGATCTGTTTCTTACCATTCTTTATTAATTATCTCTTTAGTGGATATAACCAGCCAGGGCATCGTGGTACCCCATACTCGGCTTACAAACGTACAAGCTCTCGAAGAACAAGCTCAAGCTACCAATAAACTTGCTCGCGCAAAGTACTTTGAAGAGGTATAGGCGGGAAGTGGAATAAAATCAGCCTATACGGGCCTGTTGAGCATATCTATATCGCGTTGCCTAGAAACTTGTTTGTGCTTAATTGGATCATGTACCTTAGAAAGGAGGCAGCTGGCGCCGAGCTTGTAGTTCAGAGATGTTGATAAATAAGGAATGAACGAGTCTCGAGGAGACATCTCTAGCCCCAACTAAATACATACGCATAACCGCATATTTCGCATAATTCATTGAAGTGACAGTGAGCAGCTCAAACATTTATAGAGCCTTCAGCTTTCCACGGCGTGCATCCCGCCATTAAAACCTGTTGTAAATTCTGTGAGTTTGTGGTCTCCTTCCAGATTGTTTAAAGAAGTTCATATTCATACGGAAGCATTCGTTTCTGGGCTTCCATTGAAGCAGTAGGAGTGGTATGAGTGGTATGAGTGGTAGATGACGTCCTTTTCATTGGTACCGACATGGACATGGATGCGGATGAAGACGTAGGCTTTTGCATACCCTGAAAAAGGGGTTAGACTAAATGAAACTGGCATATGACCATTATCATATTTATACCTTTTGGTGCTGTAAGAGCTAAAGTCAGTAAGTCAAACGTAAATAGTCGGAGCAGATGAGACGTACTTCCTGGGCACCGCCATGAGGAATAGCAATAGCGGCTCCCATGAACAGGGCACAAATAAATCCGAGACGCATGATAGAAGATTGTATAAATAGGTTGTTCTGATAAAAGGTTGGCCAAGTTGGACTTGACCTAGATGTTTGATCGTTGGTAGAAGTGTTCTTGGTCAGATTGAACCAGGGAGGATGAGCCTTTATATAGATAAGAGGCCTGTCGGTCGATTTCGTCGTTGCAATGGCTCCTTAGCTTCAGCGTCATAACTGATGGTCTAAGAAGTTAAAAAAAGAATGATGCGTTACAGAATTTGCCTGTCGTGGTGAAAGCGTTGCCAATCTTGAGCTTAGCTCGCCACCGAAATCCTAGAAACAAAGCCCATTTCATTGCACACAGGACTCTGACGGGTGCAGTGCCAACTCTGATGTCAATGGAATGTGGGAGACGTGAGTTCCCATGCCCGGTGACGCGCATTCCATTTTCTTCGATCAACATTCCGGGCCGCAAATGGGAGACCTTTTGGTTGCGTCAAGAAAACTGTAACCCGAGAAGACTCTGAAACTACAGAGATATAATATGACCTAAAAGGGCTATCACAAGCATCGTCGTGGATAAACAATGTACATGTAAAAATGCATCCAAAATGTAGAAACATTTTTCAGCCCTTTTGGTCTTTGCGATACCGTCGCCAACTCGTAAACATGAAACATATTGACACCACAAGGCCCAGTCCCGCCAGTCCAATTCCCAAATACAGCGCACCACGGTAGCCACGAATGATTATGTGTCCTGTGTCATTGATATTGGTTTCAACTGTGCCCGCAAATCCAAGGCCCAAGGAGATGGAGTAGTTGACCGTGGTAGCCACGAGGGATGCAGCGAGCCCTTGATGGTGGCGATGCATGGAATTACTCAGAATTAGCGTTCCAGAGGGGAACGACATATCCCTAAACCCAAGTTAGTTAAACGCATGATCAAGAGCAAACGACGCTGGACAGGTTGATACATACATTCCCCACGAGGTGGTGATGCTCACCACGAATGCTTGTGCCCAGTAGGTTTGGTCGACAGGCACGGTGGCAAATATTGAGAGACCAGCCGTGAAAAATGCCATTGCGCAAAACATGATCACGCTGGGCGGAAGGCGACCAAGCAGGAATCCAGTGATAAGTGCCGCAATGGCACCGGAAATTGCTGCAGCAGACCATTTGGCTGTGGCCAAGAGCGGAGAGTCCCCTTTGACTACTTCCATAAATTGATAGAAGTAATATATGATGATACCAAAACTTGACCAACCAGCTGCGATGCATCCAAGAACCCAGGCTAGATCGCCTGTAAAAACAGCCCGTGGGAGCAACGGGCATAGTGATTTGCGTTCAATCAATGCAAAGGCGCCGAGACACAAAAATCCAACAATGAGAAGCACATAGGTGTAAGGGGTTTTCCAACCCACAAACGCAGCCTGGTTCCAGGAAAAATTGATCAGCACCAAGCCCGAAATACCTGCAGTGGCTCCGAGGAGATCAAGACGCTGCCAGAAACGAAGATCGTCGCTAAACTTTGGTCGCGGATTGTGGGGGATTACTAGTCTTCCGATCAAAGCTAGCATGGCACATACGAGTCCCATCACCCAATATGCCCAGGGCCACCATACAAGCTGAGCAAAGATGGATGAGAAGACACCTCCCACAATGAATCCTCCAGGAGCGGTAGCACCGAACAGACTGAAGATCATTTCCTTCCGCGGGCCGGGGGGATATGTACGTCCAAGAATTGCAATAGCGTTAGGAAGCAGTATAGCTGGTCCAATTCCCTGGAGAGCACGACAACAGTCAAAGAAGATTTGGGTGGACCAGACGCTAAAGCCAGCCAGCAAGGACCACAGGCCAAACCAACAGAAGCCGATCACAAACATTCGACGATGGCCATACAAATCCCCCAGTCGGCCTGCAACCAAAATAAATGTACCGACACTCAAACTATAGGCAGCCGCAAACCAGCTCAGATTTGCGGGATTAGTGGTGCCAAAGCTACGGCCGATGATATGAACTGGAGCAATAGAGATGCAGAGACCGGCCTGGGTCATAAATTGCGCCATGCAAACCACAGCTACAAAAATGACCTCCCGTAATAGCGAGTCTGGTGGCGATATCTGCGACTGCGAAGTCTCGAGCCGCGTTAAAGCCTCATCATTGCCATGCGTGGGCGCCTTTTCTAGGTTGATGGGGTCGACATGTTCTTGGGACGAGTCTATATAATCCATGGTCAAAGAAAAGACGAGATTGAGCAGATATAGAAGCTACAGAAACATGGCAAGAAGGTCTCTTTTATCAGATCTGGTGTGGATCCCGAGCTTAACATCCGTCGGATCCGAACCCGACGGATGACATTAAGCTTAAATTGGCAGTGAACTACTTAGTGAGTACTGATTACTGAGTACTAGGTAGATAGCAATTGACTAGTTGATTATTGAGTCATTCAATGGCTAATAGTGTTTACAGGAGAATGAAGAAAAGATCTCCCAGGCAATTGCACAGTTGTGCTTCAGTAGTTGTACTTGACTTCAAATATGGCATTGGCCAACCTGGAAAGCATTGAATGACGTTGAGGTCAGGGTAAAATATTTCTTCTTGCTATGCATCACCAATTGTAGCCGAATGTGAGTATCAAGTGATTCAAAGATCCAAAGATTCTATACTTCACCTGAGTATGGTTACATAAGCCAATCACATGCCCGGACATCAGGATTAATTTCTCCGTCTTAATCTCCTTCAGCTTCCAGCTTTCATTGTTATGGTCGCCATGATGCCTTGGCTGGTCATGGCGCGCATTCTTTGAATTCCATTCTCGCTTCATCTTGTTTTCGTGGCTCAGCTTTTGCTGACATCCTAACATTCCAGAGAAAAAGATAAGTTGCAGCGGGTTCCAAGTCTACATCTTGACTCGATGACAAAATCACCACCGATTGTGTTTATAGCCAGGTAAATCTCATTTGCCTCGTGCTTCTCTGCGCTGCTAACTGGGCTGAAGACATGGCGCCCGCCTCGATGCTGCAGACAAAGACTGGCATCTTACCTCCCCTACGCCTTACGACCCCCCTCTCTCCTACGGTGGGTGGATGCAAGCTCGCGCCCTAGGTGTACGGATCGGCAGTCTACTGAAAACCCGGCAATTCACCGGAGAAGACTCGCAGGACCAGCATCATCCGACCTCGGATGATCAGGCCAGCCTAAAACCCGCCCCCGCATCTTCGGACGTGTACGACCGATATAACGTCATTGTCCATACATCTCCATACCTGCGATGTCTTCAAACTGCTATTGGTGTCAGTGCGGGTATCAGCTCACACCCTATCGAGACACATGAGGCAAGCCCTTCCCTACTCCCAGCCTCGCCAAACCCCGACCCACGATGTCTGCTTCGCGTCGATGCATTTTTGGGAGAATGGCTGTCACCAGACTACTTTGACCAGATCACGCCACCTCCTAGCTCGGATAGAATGGTGGCGTCTGCCAAAGCGGAATTGCTGCGTCGTGCCGAGGTCATCTCTGCTACGGACGGGTCGGCAAGGGCTTTGTCAGGTCATTTTCCCGGTGGCTGGGGCAGTCACTCTCATCCCAATTCACCCACAACCGAGGAGGAGGAAGGCTTGCATTCTAAATCGATCCAACACGGTCCACGACAACGTGCTAGCACATATGACACCCAACAAAACCCTGTCCATGCCAAGGATGCGAAGAAGCCTCTGGGCCGTCTAAATACAGACCTACCGTCCACTCTAGATGCGTCCTATATACCTCCCACGCCGAGCTATGCGGTCTCTTCTTCCGATCCCATTCCTACCGGATATGTTGGCCATGCGCGGAACGCATGCACGAGGATCGATTACCAATGGGACAGTTTGCGCACACCGTACTGGGGAACTGGAGGTGAATATGGCGAAGAGTGGAGTACTATGCATGAACGGGTTCATGATGGGTTCCAGCACATGGTGAACTGGTACCAAGCACAGGGATCATCTGACCATAGGTCTGAGAGCACCTCGAATGGGGCAAGTACCGACGGTGATGCGCAAACGGTCCTCGTTATAATCACACATGGCGCGGACTGTAATGCGTTGATCAGCGCATTGACTGGTCACGCGGTCCTCCTTGATATCAACACGGCCTCACTCACCATGGCTGTACGACGCGACCGCATCAAGAACCCCGCCCCGGAGGATGCGCGTAATTCTCCAGAGCGCGTGGGGAGCCAATCGGTCTCACGGGAATACTCCCTGCAGCTTGTGGCGTCCACTGATCATCTGCGTCCAGGAATCAACCCCGCACAGCTCACCTCGCTGGTATCTCCCTCCGCATCACAGGCTGTTCCATCAGCTCCGGTGTCGTCTTATCGGAATCGGCTTACTTCTCGCTCATCGCTCCTCCAGGGCACATCAGCAACTGGGCCGCCGCTGAATTCCATAACGAGTCCTCGAGGCTGGACGCTGGCCATGCGCCCTTCAACTAATCCTCGCGGTGCCTCTGGGCTCTGGGGGTCGATGTCTCCCGACAAGACCGATAAGATCGAGAAGACCGACAAGCCCGACGACACAGAAGACGATCTTGTGCCAAACTTTGGTGACCGTCCAGTCAGCCGAGATTCAGCACTTCCTGAGAAGCCTGTGGATGGCTGGACAAAACAGTTACCACAACGAACGCTGTCGCAGCGTGGTTTATGGGGGAGCGCACAATCGTTGGAGGATCGTGAGGGTGGATCAAAGCGGCGATGGACAGTGACGGAGCAGAAGTTATGAAATTATGTGTAAATTCTAGGATACCTCTATGCATGGTGGGCGTTTTGCTTTTTTTTTTTGAGTTTTTTTTTTCCCTTCATGATAGCTCAACTCATTGACACCCCAATCTTCAGGCAATAAATCCAAGGCATCCCAGCCACCCAGGCACCCGGGTGGCGGTTCCCCTCATTGTGTTTGTCCCTTCTCCCCTTCTCCCCCTTAGCTATTCTTTGTATCTTTCTGGACTTCTTGGACTTCTTGGGTTTCACATGGCAAGCCTCGACACAGACGGCCACTCCGTCACTTATTGCTCAGGTCGAACCGGATCCCCGGATCTACGGCTGATCCACTACAATGATGTTTATCACGTCGAGTATGCGCCCCTCTCGTCCAGCTCGCCACCCTGCCTTGAATGGAACTATACTAACATATTCTACTTAGGTCTGGCTCTGCAGAACCTGTTGGCGGGATATCTCGATTCCAATCCCTCGTGAACTACTACCGATCTCACTCGCAATTCGCCGGGCAGCCCGATATCCTCACCTTCTTCTCCGGCGATGCATTCAATCCGAGTATCGAGAGTACAATTACAAAAGGCAGACATATGGTACCATTTCTCAACACAGTGGGAACCGATGTGGCTTGTGTGGGTGTGAGTATGGCAACCAGCAACCCGCCTGGCATGTACACCGCTAATTCATCCAGAATCATGACCTTGATTTTGGAGTGGTCCAGTTCCGGCATCTTGCGAGCCAATGTCATTTCCCGTGGCTTTTGGCAAATGTGCTTGACCCGGCGTTAGGAGACGGTGTTCCAATCGCCGACTGTGGTAAGACCCGCATATTGACATCATCGAACGGGATCAAGATTGGCGTGTTGGGTCTAGGAGAGAGAGAATGGTATGCATTCCAGACGATACGCTCTTAGCATCTTCTGCTTACACGACTTTAAGGCTCGGCACAATCAACGTACTTCCGCCTGATCTGATTTACAAATCCGCATCTGAAACAGCTCGAGTACTTGCTAAGCAACTCCGGGAACAAGGAGCAGACCTTGTCATCGCTGTCACCCATCAACGTGAACCAAACGATCATAAATTAGCCAGCAATCTATCGCCCGATCTTGTCGACATCATCCTCGGAGGACATGACCACTTTTATGCGCATTCCATTATCAATGGAATTCATGTCTTGCGATCAGGGACTGACTTCAAACAGTTAAGCTATATTGAGGCTTTCCGCAAACCTGGTGGGAAAGAGGGCTGGGATTTCAACATCGTGCGGCGAGATGTAGTTCGCTCAATTCCTGAGGACCCTGATACGGTGAAGTTGGTGGCCCGGCTCACATCCAGCCTCAAGGCTAAACTGGAAAAACCAATTGGGTTCACTGTTAGTCACCTCGATGGTCGTTTCTCTACTGTACGCCAGCGTGAATCCAATCTAGGTAATTTTGTCTGCGATCTAATGCGCTTCTACTACGCCGCTGACTGTGCCATGATGGCCGGTGGCACCATTCGCGGCGATCAAATCTACCCGCCAGGGATTTTGAAGCTGAAAGATTTGTTGAACTGTTTCCCTTTTGAAGATCCCGTCGTGCTACTACGCCTCAGTGGTCAGGCATTGCTGAATGCACTTGAAAACGGGGTTAGCCAACTTCCTGCACTCGAGGGCCGGTTCTCGCAAGTGTCGAATATCAGCTATGGGTTTAAGCTCACAGCACCCCCGGGCTCGCGCATTACATTCGCGCGTATCGGTGGTGAACCCATTGATCTGCATCGTGATTATGTCCTCGCGACTCGTGGATACATGGCGCGAGGTAAAGACGGATTTTCCGCATTACTAGTTCAGTCTGAAGGAGGTGAGGTGGAGGAGCTTGTTGATGAGGAAAACGGTGTGCTCATTAGCACCATTCTTCGCCAATATTTCCTAAGTCTGAAGGTACTCGGTAAATGGAATCGCTGGAGCGCCAGTTTGCGCCGACACTGGGGTACTGTCCATCGCAACCTGCATGGTGAAGGCTGGCTAAAACCGCCATCCGCCGCGACGTCTCCCAAAGCCGAGAAGCCCCCAGTCAAGAAGCTAGGGTCATGGCCTGCTCTTAAGCGGACAAACCATGCAGAATACTATTACGGTCGATTCCCTGAAGAGCTTGGACAGGATATCAAAGCTCTCACTGGGAATGAGACTAATGGCGATGCCATGGACTCTGATTCCGATGAGGATCCGGATATACTGACCTCATCGCAACCATTCACCAACTACGTTACCTTGCCAGCGCAGTCCTCCGCCGACGAAGAGCATCGCTTGCAAATTGCGCGGCGAGTTGTCCGGAAGTGGATGCGGCACGCAGGACTACAGCCTACAACGTTGAACACCATGGACGGTGAGGGAGAGTTCACTCCAGCTTGGACGTCAGGTATCTCTCCTCGGCTGGAGGGACGAATTGTGGAGGAATAGACACGCCCGTCGGCGTTCCTTTCAGGCATTCGTTTTCGGGTTCCGTTTATATGTTCAGTTTTATATTTGCGTGCTGTCCCTATCTTGCATCTTGCATAAGCACTGGTGAGGCCTCTCGGCGTTTTTGCGACTGGCGAGATGGAATGCATAATACCAGGCTTTGAATTAGTCAGCTTTCTTCTTAGGAATCTCCTTTCGCAATAGATAGTCCCCTCCTCTCCAGGCTTTGTAGACTCCGTACAATCCACTGAATGGCCAGACATCCCAAAGAGTTCGTTTGACCATTCCCTTCCATCCACTTTCGAAGACCCCGCGATGCGCACCCGGGAGATCCGATTCGCGCACCCGTACCTTGTCATACAGCGTGGGAAGGTGTTGTGCATGGTACTTGCTACGCAGAGTATCGTAGTCCTGTTTGTTGTAAATTTTCCAGAACTCTGCCTCTGTATAGTAAGTATGTGCATAGAGCCATTTCTTTCCTCCAAGGCTATGAACCTTCTGTTCGAGCTGCCGATTTTGAGCCACAAATTCGGCTTGTCCAGTGGTGGTTGATGGTCCCCAGATTCCAAAATTCATCAAAGTTGTTTTCTCTGGGTTCGAATCATCTGCTTTGCTATGGTTCATCGTCTGTCCTTCCAACCCACCGGCGCTTCCAGGGGGTAGTGGGCAGAGCCAGAGAGGATATTGCCCAAAGTTCTCGGGATGGTCCAGCCAGTCGAGGAACTCAGAAGCGGTAGATACTGGCACGCCGACGTCTTGAATGACATACTGGCGTGCGAGACCACTGACATGCAAAGCGTGGTACATCACCCGGGTATACATAAATCTGTTGAGGAGCCAGCGCGTAAGTGGGATGAACGGGACGCAGAAGTAGCGGAAAGCGTAACGTGCAACCCAGAAGCCGCCCCGGTCATAGCGGAAGAGATAGTCTGTCAGAGGAATGTAGTCCACTGCATCTGGAGTGTGAGAGCCAGCTTGCTTCGTGAGAGATTTGGTGATCCGTTCGACGTGCAAATAAAACCAATCATCTTGTCGACGAGTGAACCGATGGACTGTTATATTGGGACTTTTGCTCACTTGCCGTCCAGCGCAAACAACGATCTTGTTCTTTGAGTAAACGATACCGTCGAGATATTCAGTCTTCGGATCAGCACGAGCCTCCTGGAAGTCGCACAGTGCTTCTTTCATATTTGAACTGACATAGTATTTCAATTCGATCAAGGGTTCTGCCTTCTTTAATCGAACCTCCAACAAGGTGACCACTCCAAGAGTACCAAAGGAAGATGCAGCGCCCCAGAACAAGTCCGATCGTTTGTCCTCAATATCCTCCTTCAACTCGACGCGGTCATTGAAGGCCTTCACCACCTGGCCATCTGCAAGAACCATTTCAATCCAATTGACCGTATGATCAAAGAACCCTTCCCGAAACGAGCTGCTCTCGCCCGACGTTCCGGAGAATCCGCCTCCGACGGTGATACCCGGAAACTCCATAACGACGAGCGGGACCAGGCCCAGAGTTCGGGAGGCGTGCACAAGGGCATCCATCGGGACATTAGGCTCGACCAGTGCCGTGCAGCTGTCTGCATTGATCTGCAAAATGTGGGTGAGATCTGCAGTGCTCACTGTGGTAGATGCGGAGTGGTTGGAGGGTCGCGTGCTATTGGTTGCGCCATGATAAATGCGAAATGGTTGTTGGCGGCGGTAGAAGTCAGTGACCCGCGCCGATATCTCCTGCACAGCTTCAGAATGAGTCATGAGGGAGGCCAATGCAGAATGCAGAATGCAGGATGCTGGATGCAGGATGCAAGGTTAAAATGGAGAAATCAGGCCGAAGCTCGGTTTCCCCGCAAAATTCTTATCGATAAGAAATTTAGCACGCGTTAGGGCTCTTTCTAGTCGAAACGAAGTGTTAAAGCACTTCGCTGCTAAATCAGGTCAGGTTAATCCTAAGATTCAATATAATATAGAAAGAGGTGTACCTTACATACCTTACAGACCTTAGAGATAGAAAATACAAGATGGAATTGGAATTGGACTCGCTTAAACTACAGGTATCATAAAGTCATTATTGAACTCCAACTGGGCGTGCTCCTGAGAGGTTGACCACCCGGCCCCCTCCGGCTCCTCCTGCTCCTCCTGCTCCTCCATTGGCTCTAGGTGCATTGAACCCGGTAGGCGGGGGCTGAACCCAGCCAGGAACGCTGGAATCTTCGTTCTCATGCGAAAAGATGGTCTGCCAAACATTTGGGAAGCCTGTAGGCAAGGCGCCTCGGAGTCGGGCACCCGGAATGGCGAATCGAGGGTTGCGGTGGGTGAGGTACCCGCGCATCAGACCTTGTGTCAGTAGGGATGCAAATATCGACTCGATTTCCCGCATCAGAGGAGACGGGGTGTGGGAGTATCTGCTGTCTTCGGGTTCGTCGGAATATGGGTACATGTCGCAATCGCCATAATCATCATATGGCTCGCCATCCACCAGCTGACCGGTTTCACTGGGCTGCCAGTACCCTTCATCATTATAGAAGCCATCTGGGGCGATGTAATCGCCATATTCCGCGAGTATTTCACTATCCTGGGGACCAGTATTCTCATCTTCCCCTGACAAGCCCGCGTACTCGGAATCTGTGGGTTCGAAAATGACCTGTGAACCATATTTGTTGAGAGCCGCTGCGGCACCAGTCGGGCCATTCCCGGATAATGTATGCTGTGATTGAAGCCATCGCGTTGCTACAACGGCCTTCTTGAGATAGAGATACGGGGGAGGTCCGCGTTGCGCCTGCGCCTGCGGATCTCCATGGAAACCTCCGTTGATGAAAACTTTGCGCGCAAAAGAACGCCATACAAGAATCTCGCATCGATTGCGGAGAGTGAGCAAAATCCCTTTGCGGGCGAACCATTCAGCGGTGGGTGAGCTGAGGGAGAGATGTTGTCGGAATGCAAGGTAATCTCCTCGAGTGATCAACCGACATAGAGGTTCGAATTGTTCGGCAAGACCTTGTGCCTCCGGTCTTTGCAAAAGCGCCCGGGAGGGGAATCGGCCCAGTATGATGTTGCATGGAATCAAATAGGTGAGGATTAGGTGTCGTTGGCTTGTTGCCTGGCGGTGGCATTGGTCATAGGCAGCCTGCAGGGCTGTCTGAGCGGGGAAAAAGAGGTTGTTGGCGAAGAGATAGCGACCGAGGTAGTAGAGGTAGGTAACACGCTGCGAGGCAGGGAAGTAAGCCAAGGGGGGCGACTGCGCGGTGATGCTCGCAAACATCTGTTCAGCGTTGCGAAGCTTGCCGCACTATTTTTCGTCAATAAGAATATGCGGAGGGAAAGAACCAAGAGACTTGCATACCTGGAAGAGGAGTTTTAGACACAAATTGGCCATGAGATAGATACCGATCCGTTTGCCCTCTGGCTTGCCATGCGGGCCAGGAGTGCCGGTACGGTCAGTCAGGCACTTGATAAATGCTTCGCGCACCACGTTGGCCGATTTTTCTACCAAAGTCACTTTCTCAATCGTATCATCTTGGTCTGATTGTCCTTCCATGCGTAGGATATGCGCGATCAAATCCGGTCGACGATCGAGACCCATAGCCAATTTCGCCAGGACTTTGGACAAGTAGAGCACAGTAGGAAGAACAACGACGCCCATCTGGCTATCCCCAAGGGCAAGCACACATTGGCTAAAGTTGTAAAGAATTGAGTCAGTGGTCAGGCTCGTTATTGCGGGCATGTTGCGCCGTGCATTAGACCTCTGCGGGTTAGAACCTACTTGAGCAAAGCTTTCAACAAATTATATGTCTCCAGCAAGTTTTCCGTCTTCACGTCGCGCAGAAAGGCCAGGTAGAGCTTGAGAAAGGTCGGAAAGGCGGTCCACGAGGAGCTACCCTTGGATCGCGGCACAAGGCGATCACATCGTTGGAGAAGCTCGGCATCAGATTTGGGACCTGGGGGAAAGTTACTTCGTAATTCCTCGATCATGCGCTCGTAAATTTCAGAGAGGGGCGGCTCGATCTGAAGGAAGTCCTGTACTTTAGCACCGTCGCGATTCTGGACCAATTCCCCAAGGCTGCCGAGGAATTGGTCAAGAACGGGTGTGGGACCCATAGTGAAATATGGGACTGGGCGCTCAGGCTGTTTATCGCAGCGGTCGAATGAAACTCAAGAATAAAATATCATGACGCCTATGAGGAAGTTGACAAAGAAGAGTCAACCTTGAAGACTGCGGATGGCATTGTTGCGGCAGAACGAGGTTTACCGCCCAGGGGTTGTATGCCATCGGATTTTCGAACCGGGTTTCTACTCAATTCATCAATGCCATTGGGTGATTTAGTTCATGATATACCAATATCTGTAGTGCAGGTTATGTACTGGTTTGGTCAATTTGAAAATATTTCCTCATGGTATCTACAGTCAACTCTCGCTTATACCACGGTGGGATATTGCACATTCTTGATAATAACACATCCCTTGCTTGGATGGCCCCTTCATTCCAGTTTTTTCCATATAAATTGACAGAATATAACACATTTTGTTTTACCACACTTTCTTCCTCTCAAATCTGCTTAGTCAGCGCAATCAACCAATCAGAATGCCTCAATCTACAAGCTCTCCTACCCTCCCGACCCCACCCAAGCGCGTCAGAATGGGACCAAAGCGTACCAAATTGGGTATATCAGACGCGCAGAAACAGGCACTACGGGCATTTTGGTCTAATACTAGCCCAAAGCCCACGCAGACTGCATGTGCTAAGTGGTTTGAGGACCAATTCAAACAAGTGATTGACCGGTCAACCATATCAAGGATCCTTTCATCCAAATACAATTATCTTGATACGGGCCCTGCAGGGGCAAACAAACGATCTTCATCCTCTCATTGGCCATTATTGGACCAAAAGCTATATGACTGGGCAGATAACCATATTGGCAATGGAATACCAATAAATGGCCCTTTGATCCAAACTAAAGCAGCTGAGCTTTGGAGACAAATACCGGAATACAAAGATCGGACCAAACCTCAATTCTCTGAGGGTTGGTTAACTCGCTTCAAACAACGCCACTCTCTTCAATATCATACTTTCCACGGAGAAGCTGCCTCAGTCCCATCCTCGGTACATGATCAGATCAAAAGCACCAAATCGATTTGCAATCAATTCAAACCGTCCGAAATCTACAATATGGATGAAACTGGCCTATTTTGGCGACGTATGCCAAATGGTGGTCTTTCAAAGGGAAAAATTGCTGGCAAAAAGCTTGATAAAACACGAATCACTATTGTTGTTGCATCAAATGCGGATGGTTCCGATCGAGTCCCTTTATGGTTGATTGGCACAGCAAAAACCCCTCGCGCACTCCGGGGGTTAATTTCCGAGCTCTGGGATGTGTTTGGCGTCACAACAAGGCAGCATGGATGCGTCATGACATTATGGAGGACTGGTTGCGATCTTTCTATGGGCGTATTCCCTTAGATAAGAAAGCTTTGCTCCTTTTAGACAATGCTTCACCACATGTTATTGGACTCCAGCGAGCGCCACCACCACCCCGGATTACGGTTGTTTTTTTGCCAGCAAACGCAACTTCAATTTATCAACCCTTGGACCAAGGTATTATCCAAAACTTGAAGCACCATTATCGGAAGAAATGGATGCGCTATATGATTGCTTTTCTTGATCGTGGGATAGACCCAAAACAAAGAATGAGCATTTATTATACTGTTACCTGGGTAACGCAAGTTTGGAGAACAAGTGTATCAGACCAAACGATTATCAATTGCTTTAAACAAAGTACTTTGATTAGTCCAAAGTCTATACCTATACCTGAGTCCGCGCCCGAGTCCGCACCTGAGTCTGCACTATTTTCCGAGCCCGGATTGAGTGATGAGATTGAAAGTCTATATAATCAAGCAATTGATAAGCTTGGTGATAAAGATATTGTGCCATTTGACGAGTTTTTGAACCCTTCGGACGAAGACATGTTAGAAGATGGGACTGAAGGGCGAGATGAGACCAATGAGCAAGATATATATATTGCCCCAACAACCTCAGAAATTCAGGATATTGACATTGATGGGCCCCCACCTGAGCTTCTGTCTAATTCTGCTATATTGGACAGCCTCCAGGATATCCTACTATGGGTTTGTAGCAAAGAAAAGGGTACCTCGGACCATATTAGACAAATTGAGAGCTTAATCAGCGACTTTGGCAGGATTCAGATTGATGAGAAACGTCAGGTGACTTTGGATCAGATGATGGGATGGAAGACTAAATAGGTATTAGGGCTTAGAGTTAGCTTGTCAAATATTATGTCATCCTCTCACCAAAACACAACTCAATTATACCACGTAATTTGGCTTGGATAGTATGCTGTGGTATAAGCGAGAGTTGACTGTACCAATCGTGGTTTCGATCTATACATACCAGATTTACACATAAACGGCGAGATGTCTCCCTGCTTTCTATGAAAATCTCATTGTTCCCTCTCGCGGCTTTGCTCGGCTACCATTCGAGCTGAGAGGTACTTTTTTGGTTCACAAAGACATGTGAAAGTAACACTTTAGAGCAGTGTAGGTCGCACATAGCCCCATCCAGAGCTTGAAACGTCTAGTCTTCTATGAATTGACTCTTGTGACGGCATCCCGAGGAAGATATCTGTGGATCCTGCGGCCTAAAGAAGCAAATAACAGTAAAGGAAGCGTGTGGATAGAACAAACAGCCCTGATCGAAGTATGAAATTCTTGAAATCTTCCGACATGATGTCATGTCTTCACATGAAAGCACTGAAGCGTCCAACGTCGTATAAATATTCTCCCGGCTCTCACCATTTCTTTTCTCATCTTCAAACATGGCGGCCTCTAGCAATGAGTCGTTTATCTTGGCGCTGATCCGGCATCCATTTGTAGAAACCTTTACCTGGTTCTATATGGCCCTGCAGGCAGTCCTGGTCTACGTCTTTTCTCCCGTTCCCCCACCCCCAACCGCTCAAAACGCCAACATCCCTCGAAAGAGGGTTGCAGTCATTGGTGCTGGATTGACTGGAGTGTCCTCTGCTGCCCATTGTGTGGGTCATGGCTTCGATGTGCAACTATTTGAATCACGACCTAAAGAACAAGGTCTCGGAGGCATCTGGAGTGTAGGATTCTCCCTGCTTAGTGGAATAGAACTTCAACTAACAAGCTATAGAGAGTCAATTCGACCTCTGCATTGCAGGTCCACAGTCTCATGTACCGGTTCCACCCGTCTGTCCACTTTGATAGCGCATATCCTTCCCAGCAGCAGATCAAGGAACAGATTATCAAGGTCTGGAAACACTATAACTTGGAAGGACGTACCGCCTTTGAGACCCATGTCACCTCCGTGAAAAAGAACAAGAACGGCAAATGGGTCATCAACGACGACGAAAGCCAGTACGGCGTCTTCGACGGTATCTTGGCTACAGTAGGCGTGTGTGGAGACCCTAAGATGCCTCCACTTCCCAACCAAGAAAAGTTCAAGGGGGAAATCTACCATTCCTCTAATCTGGATGGCAAGAGTGCCAAAGGAAAGAAGGTGTTGATTGTTGGAGGCGGCGCCAGCGCCATCGAGGCACTAGAATTTGCTGTCAAGAACGGTGCCGCCGAGATCGACGTCTTGTCTCGGTCAGACAAATGGATCATCCCCCGAAACGTGCTCGTGCAATCCCTGCTGGCTTGCAACATCTTTGGTCAGGAGATTTCTCTCTCATGGATCCCCGAATGGTTGCTGCGCAAGTTCTTCTACCGGGACCTCCAAGACATTGCGCCGACTGAAAAGGGAATCTTCACACAGACTCCCATGGCCAATTCTGAATTATTCGACCAGATTCGGGAAGGAAAGGCGCATTGGCTGCGAGGCGATATTGTTTCAGTGGAAGAGAGGGGTGTGACATTCAACTTCCGATCCAAGGGTGTGCCCAAGGGAGGCCCTGGCCAGGAGCGCCTGGTTGAGGGTGACATCATTGTCATGGCGACTGGCTTCAAACGGCCTTCATTGGCCTTCTTGCCGGAGGAGGTTTTCGAAGAACCGTACGGCCCGCCCAGCTGGTATCTCCAAGTCTTCCCACCCAAATACCCGGACATTTGCGCAAACAATAGCACCTACGTTGACGCCATTGGAACAGTGGGCAACATGCATATTGGAATCTACACACGATTTTTGCTCATGTTCCTGACTGACCCATTGACCCGTCCCACTGAGGCTTGGATGAAGACCTGGATCGATTTCACACGGTTCATGAAGCGTCTGGCACCCACGGGAGCGTTTGAGTTTTTCACCTATGCTGAACTGATTTACTGGTACTTATTTGTTCTGGTCATTAACCCATTCCGTTGGAAGTGGGCGTTATTTGTATTCTTCGGTATCGGCCGCGGATTGCCCTTGATGGTCGTGGAGCAGGAAAACGCCTTCCGCAGGGAGTTGGAAAAGCAGCGCCCAAAGAATAAGACTCAATAAATGTGTGAAATAAGAGGTGTGACCAACATAGCAGGCGATTTATTTGCAGCGAAAGCAGCATAGCGATGAAGCCAGGACTTGGGTTTTGATTGGCTCTGAATGAATAAAGAAAGCTCCACAGAGATCTTCAATGCATGTAATATGAAGCAAAGAAAGTTCAGTGCATACATTAAGTAACAGGTATCCATTAACAGCAACCTTGGACGATTTGAAAGCTAATTCCGATGTCAGTGCTCTTTAATCTCCGATATTTTCTTCTCCATGTTGTAAGCCAGGTTCCCCCCTTGTAGAAAGCTACCTGGGATATAGCGCTTTTCTTCCAGCCATAATATCGGCCAAAGCAACGTGACACCAGCAACACAGAACAGCGTTGCAATCAGGTGCCAGCCAAAAACAAGCCAGTATCCAATGTGTGGCATGATGAACTTGATAAACTCCGAGGTTTGGTATAGATCTTCTTGTTTGGTGATGTAGTATAGTCTGTGGTCCCCATTGGTCGTGGCATCGCTCTTGGGAGATTCAAAAGTCAAATCCAAGACAGTGGTGAGCGTGGCTGGAGCAACATGGAAAGGAACAAGCCATATAGAGAAGATTTGTGACATATTCACATAAAGTTTGAGCTTTTCCTCGTCGAATGCTATAAAGATGTTAGATTCTTTACTCTTCTATCACGGTCGCGTAGTGACATACCGATAGAATGGACCTCCAACTCGATTCGAGGCGACATAATCTTGTACCACTGAAAGATCTTTGCAACCCACCATCGGCTCCCCTGGAAGCTGGGAACCCGACAGAAGGGATGGACAAAAGATACATTGTTGGTGAAGAACCGCCCCAGGACAGTTTCCTGCACAGACGGCGGTGACTGCGTCAGAAGACGGATTACCGCTGGAATTTCAGCCACTGTGGACCATTTTAGTTTGGCAACACTAGAAAACACCACATCTATAACGTACCAGGATTCTCCATTTTGGTGCAAGTGTGTTGCAGAGAGAAGAAACGAGTCGAGCAAGATATCAAAAGCTATGACATCATGTCCTTTCACATGTGAATCAGGGCCAATTTGCCAAGTGAACATTTCTATTCTACTCCGTAGTGCGCCTTGTCATTGAAACAGTAACTAATTAATAATAGGAAATTTCTAGTTTACACTGCGATTCAAGGCTTTACCAGAATTCGTTGGCAGCAAATTGATCCATGGATGGCTATACAACCGTAAATATAAATCAAGACTACCACAACGGACAGTTATTAAACATGCACTACCTAAACTGGCCGTGATTTGTCCTTCTGAACGCGCTTTGATTCTGTTTAATAACGGCCCGCTGTATCAGTCTGAATTCAAAAGGTGTGACTATATTGTCGAAATTACAATTTTCTTTTGACTTCGAGCATATGGCTTCACAGGCGGCTTGGCGTTTCCAATATACGCATACGACAAGATGCCAACTACACCGAGGACAATGCGATGGGCTCGGTGCCCAAAGCATCTTCCAGGCCGAGCCCTGGAGGACTAGCTGGTTGCAAACCGTATCAAAACCAATGCGGGATAGATTTCTCGGCCCGTCATGAGTGAAATAGTCCACAAACAAGGCGTAAGCAATGGGGTTGACCAACATAGTCTCGTGAAGATAGAAACTCCCAGCAGGCTTTCCAGGACGTGCAGCTGAATTTGCGTATTTGTCACGCCCACATTCCGAGCCTCATGGAGAGTTGTTGAAGCACTGGGGTCACTTTGAGGCTGCACAATCTCATCAACGCCAGAATATACACTAGTTGTTGGGGCATATGCGGAATCTCCACCGTCGGTACGAAGGGCGTGGATCAAATTGGATTCAGATCCCTGTTGCTTAAAAGCCGGAGTGCATAACGGGCTCGGGACTATGCAGGGCAATTCAAATAGGGGGACCCATGGAAATCAGCACTGATCGCCGTGAAATTCTCAAGGACTCCCTTGTAGATGGCCAATATTTCAACGCCAATTGCACATACAATCTGGCCTTGTGTCCAAGAGACGGCGGAATGTAGCTCTAAGTGGCTGGGCAGCGCTCTAAAATTCTGTTGAAGTTCATAAAATAACGAATATATGCAGCAGTATACTTGGATTGCTATATTGAGGCCCAGCATACAAGTTAGTAAGACCGTGAGCAATGTTGATAGTAGAAGACAGATTACTTCGATTTTCACCATAGGGCCAAACGCCTATCTCCCCCACATAGCGAGGTATATATAGCATGCAAGATGTCGGTGCATATATGAATAGATCATATGCTTCAAGGGGTGTTATATAAGATAGATACAGGTATGTAGCAGGTCAAACCCGACCTTTCAACCAAAGAAACTCCGATAATGGTCAATATCATTCACAAGAAACGCCTTTTTGGACTTGGAAATTGCTCGCCACATGAGCCACAATTTACCGCTTCCAGCTGTCGACCTTCTTTCGTCGCTTATCGAAGATTTGGCCCATGCCCACGCCATCACCACGTTGGCCATCCTCGTTAACCTTTCGTTTCCGGCTCTTCTCCAGCGCGGCACCGCTGCCTTTGGCTCTCCGAGTGAGGCGCTCAATATGATCCGCGCCTTCATTGAGACCCTTCCATTCATCGCCTCCGAATGTGGTATCCTTTCCACGACCGCGTTTGGCCAAGTCTTTCTTGGTCTCCTTCGGCAAACGGACAAAGTTGGTCTCTTCGTAGGTAGTGCGCTCGGCTTCGCGCTCGCGGTCTCTCTTCGACTTTGTCGTTCGGCCACCATCGATAATTGTGCTACCAATACTGGGCTCAGCCATAGGCGCAGAGGACATCTCAGCGCTGACGAATTCGTCAATGACATTGGATCGAAGGGGTCTGCGGTCCTGGCGTTCGCGACGCTCTGTCGTAGGCAAAGAAGTCGGCATGATCCTCGGAGGGCGGTAAATGCCATCTCCAGGGCCCTCGTCGGCTGCCTTGGAGGGTTGGGCCTTCTTCTGCTCGGCGACTTGCTTGGAGAAGGCAGAAACATTGGGACGATAGGCCATTTCATCAATATCCTCTTCATCATCGCTACCACTTTCATCGTCTGACGCTTCACTATCCGAGTTTGCGGCCTTGCGGCTCTTTGACTTCGTGGGCTGAGCCTTCTCAGATCGTTCCGCATCCTCGGCGGCCTTGATGACCTTATCTACCTGGTACTTCAGGCGTCCCTCGAGAGGGCGAACACCACGCTCAAGGAAGACCCGAAGCTCGATCAATTTCTTCCGAATATCATCTTCGAGGGAGTTGTCCGCGGATTGGGCCTTCTCTTTTGGGATTTGCTTCGAGGTTTGTCGCAATTGGAAAATAATCAGGAAAACAAGGTTGTGTAGATAGGAAAGCAGGATCTCGCTCTTGGTGTCGAGGAGGGAGATGCCGTCCTGCGGAGGCTCGATCGTGACATCGGTAGGCGCATCTTTGTGTGCCTTGGGTAGAGAAGTCGGTGTGTTCGATAGACATGAGTTCAGAGTCTCAAGCAGTGCAGCCAAATTCAAAGGGCGCGAGGGCACCTGAGAAGTCATGATTGCAGATGTGCAGATATGAAGATACGAAGATGCGAAGATCAATAAATTCGCGGGAAATTTTTGTCCTTATCGTTATCAGTCACGTGCAGAGGCGCGCCGGAGCTGTCCAGGTGTCAACTCTCCTTCTCTCTTGTTCATCTTGTTGCTTTGGCGGATTTCCCACGGATGAGACCGTGATTCTCTCTTTTCGTGGTAGCTTTTACTGTATGCAATCTGTCACCCTTTCATCGAACCTGAGCCTTACCGCCATTTCTAAACAAACCATCGAGGCTGACTTGCAAGGGCCCCCATATTCTTTGGAACGCTCACCATGCGGTTCACCGATCGGGCCTCGCTCCTCTCGTCGGTTCTCCTTGCAATTCCTTCTTTCACATCAGCCTTTTACCTCCCTGGTGTCGCCCCAACGTCCTACGATGAAGGTCAATCAGTTCCGCTCTACGTCAACCACTTGACACCCGGTCTCTCGCGCGACGACCAGCTCCATTCCGTTTTCTCCTACGACTACTACCACCCAGCATTTCAATTCTGTCGTCCGGCAGATGGCCCCAAGGATGTAAGGGAATCATTGGGGAGCATTCTGTTTGGTGACCGGATTCGCACCTCCCCATTCGAGCTTCACATGGCAAAGAACGAGACCTGCAAATCCATCTGTGCAGAGGCCAAATTCGACGCCCGCAGCGCTAAATTTACCAATCGACGAATTTCCCAAGGTTACAACATCAACTGGCTTGTGGATGGACTGCCGGCTGCGCAGTGGAATTACGACGGTGTTACCAAGACCAAGTTCTACAACCCTGGTTTCTCCCTTGGTGATCTCGACGACAATGGACAAGCTCTGCTTAACAATCATTATGACATCGTGATTGACTACCACAAGGTGGGCTTTGGTGGGAAGGATAAATATCGCGTTGTTGGAGTGCTTGTCCAGCCTGAATCTCGCAAGAACTCTCGGAACTTGGACGACGGAACCGCTGAGTGCGGAACTCAGGGTGACGTTCTCGCGCTGAGTGAGGATGGCGAGACAACTGTTACCTGGACATACAGTGTTTACTGGAAGGAATCTCCAACTGCTTGGGCTACCCGGTGGGATAAATACCTCCATGTCTATGACCCCAAGATCCATTGGTTCTCTCTCATCAACTCGGCCGTCTTTGTGGTGTTCCTTGTGGGCATGGTCAGCATGATTCTTATCCGCACACTCAAGAAGGACATCGCTCGTTACAATCGGCTGGATTCGTTCAACCTTGAGGATTTGGATGGTACCTCGGCTGCGATCGAGGACGGCGTCCAGGAGGATTCCGGCTGGAAGTTGGTCCATGGCGACGTCTTCCGGTGCCCCAAGTCTCCGCTACTCCTCAGTGTGATGCTGGGTAACGGCGCTCAATTGTTTATGATGACTGGTGTCACTGTCGGTACGTATCCCGGCTCTCATTCTTTGCCTTCTTGATACTGACATTCTTATTTAGCATTCGCCCTACTTGGCCTCCTTTCTCCCTCCAACCGTGGTTTCCTGGCCACCGCTATCCTCCTCATTTCCGCCCTCTTCGGTTGCATTGGCGGCTACGTGTCGGCACGAGCATACAAGTCGTTTGGCGGCGAAGCATGGAGGCGCAACATTATCATGACGCCTCTCTTCACGCCAGGAATTATCTTCGGTAGTTTCTTCATTCTCAATCTGTTCGTCTGGGCCAAGGGCTCCAGCGGTGCTGTGCCATTCGGAACCATGCTTGCGCTCGTCATGATCTGGTTCGTAATCAGCGTGCCATTGAGTGTGGCAGGCAGCTGGCTAGGATTCAAGCAATCGGTATTGTCAACTCTTTCTCAAGTTCATGTCCTTTATCACTGACGTTGTTTTCCACAGCCCATCGAAGGCCCGACAAAGACAAACCAGATCCCCCGTCAGGTCCCGCCAATGGCTGGCAGCCTGCGCACGATTCCATCGATTCTGCTGACCGGAATCCTGCCCTTCGGTGCGATCTTTGTCGAGCTATACTTTATCATGACCTCCCTCTGGACTAACAAGATCTACTACATGTTTGGATTCTTGTTCCTCTGTTACGGTCTAATGATCATCACCTCAGCGGCCACGACCGTTCTGCTGGTATACTTCCTGCTATGCGCAGAGAACTACCGGTGGCACTGGCGTGCCTTCGCGGGCGCTGGTATGACCGGAGGCTACGTCTTCGTGAATGCGCTCATTTTCTGGGCCACGCGGGTGAGCTTTGGTGGATTGACTGGGGCAGTGCTCTATGTGGGTTATTCGGCGCTGATCGCCTTCGTCGTGTTCATCTTGACTGGTATGTTCCCTTCCGCCTCCAATTGGGCTTCGCTGACCATCCAGGTTCCATCGGATTCTTCGCCAGTTGGGCATTTATTCATCGCATCTATGGCTCCATCAAGGTGGATTAAGAGTCAATAGCTGTATAAGTAGGTAGACGTGATGTATATAAGTAATGAACTGTAGAGTGCCAAGCCTCCCCGGATGTTCTGGACTTCTTCTCGCCGCTTCGATCTTCAGTAACTTCTTCTTCCTCTCTTCTTCTTCTTAGTAGTTACCCTTCATTCTCTCTCTGTTCTCTCTACCCTCTTTCTCGATATTCGTCGCTGTGTGTTTCTCCCCCTTACGTTGACTCCACGCCACCAAGACTCAGCCACACATCCCGTTTCCACCGTTTCTACCCCGCGTCACCATCTCCGCCGCTTTCGTTTTCGCATCGTTTTCGCATCGTTTTCCGGACTTGCAGCGTCTGTTTATACCGGTCCTCAGGTGTTTGATCATGGGCAAGTCGTAAGTGCTACCTGTATCGCCCCCTCCCTGCGGTTCCGAACGGGTGAGCGGACTCCGGAGCACGCTTTCCCCCTCGCCAGAACAAGATCCCAGGACCAGAAGTCTATACCTCTTGCGTGGGCTATTTATGGCCGCCGGATAATTCGAACGCGCTGCAGCATGAGATCATACGCTGACTCGTGCCCCGCAGTCAATCAAAGCTCTCGCCGACGCAGCTCGACGAGCTGCAAAGAGCCACACATTTCGATAAGAAAGAGCTACAGCAATGGTACAAAGGTATGCAACCACTCCAAGGCCTCTTAGAGATTCCGGAGCGATCGCTGACTGTAGACACGCTTTCCAGGGTTCCTTAAGGACTGCCCCTCCGGCACCCTGACCAAGGAAGAGTTCCAGAAGATTTACCGACAATTCTTTCCTTTCGGCGACCCATCATCATTCGCAAATTATGTCTTCCGCGTTTTCGACTCCGACAATAGTGGCATGATCGATTTCAAAGAGTTTATCTGCGCGCTTTCCGTGACTTCGCGGGGCAAGATGGAGGATAAGCTAGACTGGGCATTCCAGTTGTACGATATTGACGGTGACGGAAAGATCACTTACGACGAGATGCTGGCCATTGTCGAGGCGATTTATAAAATGGTATGTTAAGTGTGTATACAGCATGGAAGAAGTCTTCTGACCGATGTTTAGGTGGGATCAATGGTGAAACTCCCCGAAGATGAAGACACCCCAGAGAAGCGCGTACGGAAGATCTTCCGAATGATGGACAAGGACGAGAATGGCAGTCTTGATATTGAGGAATTCAAGGAGGGCAGCAAACGGGACGAGACCATTGTCAGTGCCTTGTCGCTCTATGATGGGTTGGTTTAGATGGGATGGCGGGAATGTGCATGTTTGTGTTATTTTTTATTGGATTCCCCTATGCCTTTTGTATATTGTAGTGAAGTACATTACTCGTTAGACGGCCTGGTCGAAACACTTCGACTCCAACTTCCTTTCTGCTTCCGGCTATTCGGCTAAAAGCTACAATTGTATTCTTCAACCTACTCTATACCAAAGCGAAGATGATATTGCTAAAGGAGCGACTTATGCAAGTGGCACCTTTTCATTCCTGGCCATTCGACTCCCTGGGGCTCTGTCAAGACCGACTATTCTGACCTAATGCCTTGATCAGCATAGTTTCCGGGTTCTGCTGTTTGCGATGCGCCCAATTGAATGTCCAGGTCGGTGGCCGTGCCTGGTTTCTACATGTATCTCTATCGGCCATCCTGCAGCCGTGCCTTGGCGCTACTGCAGGGAGTACTTGACGCGCATGCAGCTTTCTGAGACATCCATACCTCAGGATGGAAAAGATTATAGGTGGCTAAACAAGCTTGACATAAACAAAGGTTAATCCAGGCATCTCTATGCTAGTCAATACATATTGTATAGGCTTGTTACCCGAGGTAACTTATAATGGAGACGAGCGATCCACATCTAAGCTAGTGATCAACTCATATTGCCCGTGGGCTAGAGTGAACTTTTAGCAGAAGTCTGCAAGCCTCTATTCCTGTAGGATGGGGGAGATATCCCTTGCATCTAAGAGATAATTGTTTTGATATTATGCGCCGACCGCGCCAATATACCGCTGTATACAGATGCATTGGTATTCACGCTGTTTAAGAGCTCAACAATGCTCTAACGTTACTCTTTGAATAGATTCAATGTTGCACGTAGTCTGATATCGGTGATACTCCGTATGTATGTATGTCAACCTTGCAATAAAGTAGCTAAGATTCGTAGGGACGGTTAGAATAGTACATGTAGTGTAGGCCGATCTAATAGTGGTGACCTACAATAATATGTCGACCAGGGCTAGTTATAATACGCACATGTATATGTACATAGGTCATCGCCAAAATGATATCCACTCCCTACTATGACGAAGACATTCTGATCTCGCACGCTTCTCTGTAGATGTTGTTCATACTATGCCTTTTATCAACGCATAAATACCTGATTCTAATCCCACCCTACACGTAGACTCTAATTGTCCATGTACTAAGCTAAGATACTAGGTCACCCCCAAGATGCATTTCTCCCTACCAATTGCCTTCCTTCTTGCAGCCATTCCTCTGGCTACTGCAGAATCTTGCCCAGGTGGAAAGGTCTGTCAATCACATCCTAATGTGGGCTGCTGTTCAACTAAAACTTTTACGACCTTCAGATCACGAGAATGAAACCTGAATTTCCATACACGAAAAAAAGGCAATAACGGCGAGGTTGATTTCTGTGTATGCCTCCGGGGTAAGTTGACTCATTTTCAACAGCTGCGATAATTGCTGACCGTGATATATAGATTATAGTGTCACCAATTACTGAGAATATGGTAAAGGATCATGACAGCGTTTTGAGAGTTTGCTAATATATGCAGAACACCCATGTGGATTGTATCCCGGATGAATTTAACGATGGTACGGAAAATGACGATGGTACACAAAATGGCGATGGTAGTGATTGTAGCGGTGGTACCTCTATTCCCACCAAAGGCCCTCATAAGGGTGGTAAGCCTAAGAGTGGTAACGGTTCCAACTGAGCAAAGTCGAAACCCAGAATGCTTTAGCGTCCCAGATCGCCAATTGACCCACGTTGGAATGTCGGCACTGTGATCACTTTGAGAAGAAATAACTTACACCTCCTGTTTGGGCAATAGAAGAACAAGAAAAATGAACAAAGTAGGGCTGAACTGTCAATCCACTGTCTCGTATATAGTATGTCACATCACATCAATTGCCCCTTCGCAGACTACCTACCAGCTCCTCTGCATTCTATCTGGAATTGATGTACACGGGTATCAGGAAGATCCAAAACCTCCAGTCCTCGGCATGCAGGGCGCGATCTAAATGTACTAGAACGAAAAAGAAACATTGGGAAATGAGTATGTCAAAATCATATCAGAACAAGGAAAAAAACTTGTCAGAAAGATCAAAAGAAGATAAGAAGAAACTCGTGAGACAGCGTCAATGGGAATCAGGTGGAACCAAGATCAGCCAAATGCTAATGATAAGAGCACAAATTGCACGATGTCCGGGCTACACGGCACACAACCGTCAAGCTTCAAGAGGAGCAGTGCAAGGGACGAGCAGCTCTCTGAAGGTGCGATGGGATCATCGACGGTCGAAGAACCAGCTGCTGCGCTTACCAGTCGCCTCTTGCGATTGTACGCCTGCGACGTTCGCGTTCGCTGGCCCGTCCGAGGTGCCACCGCCGCGTAGCGGCTTCGCGATGCGCGAACCCCCGAAGCTAAAACTCGCATTGCCATCCATACTAGGCAAGCCTCGGGTGGAGCCTTGCTTGGCTGCCTCTAGGCGCTCCTTGACGGCAGTGAGCTGAGCTTCGAATCTGTACAAGTAATTAGCATTTAGCGCGCTGTGAGCATCTGAGAGCTGCAGAAAATCATACCTGTGGTTGGCCTGGGTCAGCTTCTCCTGGCTCTCCTGGAGCAGGGCCTCCAGGCTGGCAATACGCTCGTTGCGTGCAATCAACTTGCGCTCAGCGATGGCCACCTCCTTTTTGAGACTACTGTTCTGTTCCACAAGCTGGCGCTGAACATGAGTCAGTTGCTCAAGGTTGCGCTCCAAGAAGGCCATCTTCTTCTGTTGAGCGCGGTTGTTGGATGAGCGAAGGACGTTGTTGTACTGCTCCCGCGCATCATCCAGGGAAATCTCCAACTCGACCACACGCTCACAGCGGTTTTGCAGGTCACGCATGAGGGATTTCTTCATAGCATCGAACTCGGTGATTTGCTGCTGCAGAGTCTTGCTGGCAGCACCGTTGGTTGACGTGCGGGACTGGGTATCAACAAGGGATTGGCGCAACTTTGTCAACTCCTCATCTTTGCGCGAGATATCAGAGCGAAGATCCTCGGCTGCTGCTGTCTCGGCCTCCTTCTTCGTCACGTAAACCTTCTCCAGGCGTTCACGAATTTCCTCCACGTCGCCTTCGCCAAGGTTTCGGGTCAGAAGACCCTCGTAATCTTGCTGAAGTTCATCCAATTTCTTCTCCAAGTCTGCGCGGCGGCTGTCCTGCAGCTCGCCAAAGTCGCTTCGGTCATTTACAGTCAACTCGGCCTGTCGAATAAAGCCCTGTGCCTCGAGTAGATTCGTGCGGAGCTCGAGAATGTCGTCTGGGGCAATTGTTTCCCCCTCGGCGCTGATCTGGTGCAGGACGTCAACGCGTTGGATCAAGTCTTGTAGCTTGCGTTCATTGTCGGAGAACACATCACCACCAAGGTCGAAACCAGCCATCATCTTAGCCATCTTTTCTGTTTTCTTCTTTTCCTTCTCATCAAGCGCCGCAGTAGTTTCCTTGGCTCGCATGCGAACATCCAGAAGCTGTTGCTTCACCTCGTCAAGCTCGCCAGTGAGCTCAGAATTGGCCTCCCGGAGGCCGTCCATCGTAATGGCCGCTTCCTTGCTCTCGTATGAGACCTTCTCGAGTTGCATGCGGAGCTCGTTGACCTCTGTACCCAATCGTTCGTTATCCTTGCCAGTTCGTGCACTATTTTCCTTCATGGATCTGAGCTCCTCCCGTGCCTCACGGAGGCTGCGTTCCACATTGACAATGTGGGACTCCTTCTCTGAAATCTGGTCCTGGAACTCGTTCTCACGTCGCAAGAATTCCTCTCGCTCATCCTTCTCCAGCACCAGGCTGGGAGTACTGGAGCGATCCCCAACTCGAGAATCTGGACGCGGTGTTTCAGAACGAGCAGTTTCCTGAAGACGCGAAGGAGTACCTGGCCGTGGGGCACGTGCTTCGGCCTTTGCGGCGCTGAGAATCTCATTTCCGCGAGAGGGGGTCCATTGGTCCTTGGGCACGCTATCACCGCTACGCCAGAGGCTGACTTCGCCCTCCAAGGCAGAGATGTAGCTTTCGAAATTTGTCATTTGGCTCTGCGCCTTCCGCAGCAGTTGCTTCATTTCCGCTGGGCTGAGCTCTGCGTTAACCTTGGCCTTGTTCTTGATTGCCTTGGCGCGTACACCGAATCGTAGGGTTGAGATTGTTTCCGCATCGTTGTAGCTGCTGGGCGAACAATTGATAATCAGGGTCGTCCGTGAATTACCTCCCAGGGACTCTTGGAGAATTCGGGTAAGTTTGGAGTCACGGTACGGAATATGTGTCGATTTGCCGTCTGTCAACGCGTTGATGACCATTCCTAGGGCACTCAAACTCTTGTTGATCTTCTTGGCCTCCTCTAGGGTCTGGCCACTAGCGCCGGTCTTACCGACCTTTTCACTACCAGCCAAATCGACCAAGAACAGCTGTCCACTCTTGGCGGACCCGGTCTCGACATTCTTCTGAGTGACGGTGATAACGAAGATGGAGTGGGAGCGAGATGATTCCTGGTTCATGTTGGTCGCAGCCACTGCTCGTGCTGTTCCTCCACGGCGCATAACTTCGTAGACTTCTTGGACGCTGGACACGTAAACCTCGAGCAATCCTTTCACGTAGACTCCGCGGGATTTTTCCTCGTGAACTGGAAGGTTATCGTTCTGGGGCACCAGCAGATCGCGAATCCGCTCCATGTAAATTTCCATATAGCTGACCCGTACCGTGTACTCGATGTTGCTCGGGCTGGTCAGAATGCTGGCGAAGATCTGCTCAATCATTCGGGGAATGATACCCTTGCCCTCGTCGTCGTCGATATCGGAACCCATCATGGTGTACGACTTTCCGGCACCGGTCTGACCATAGGCGAAAACTGTTCCGTTATATCCGTTAAGGATATCGTCCACGGTAGGTCGAATCGAGAAGTCGAAGATGTCATTTTGCGCAGTGTTCATGGGGAACACACGATCGAAAGTGAAGGACCCGGTCCCCTCGCGAGACTGCATGATCGGTCAGTATAGCCCTGGTGGGTTGTCCATACCAACTCACGTTAATGCTACAAGACTCTTCATTCTCGAATTCAACAATCGGCTGGCCTCCGGAGGACAGTTCGACCTTGTTCTGCGGACGAAATCTGGCCACCACTATACGTGTCTAGTCAGTCTCGCGGTCCAAACCAGTACCTCTGATCATTGAGCTCAGCTGTGCATACCCTTGATGGTGTTTGACCCCGCAGCCCTGTCGAAGCTTTCAGTCAGCGTCGCCGCACGATCGAGACGGAGGTTGTACTCACGCCATGGTTATTCAGTGTGGTTCGTGTATAACAGCTTAAATGAATAGAGAGACCCCAGGAAGGGGTATGTGGGCCGCGAAACTCGTCAGAGACGTTTGAAATAGGGCTTGGAATGTCTGTTGCGGTGTAGTGACACGGAGGGGTTGAGGGTCAGGGGGTCCACGCGCACCAGGCGTGGAGCAAAACGCTAGAGACTAAGCAAAATTGAAGAAATAAAACAGCAGCGAAGCTGCCAAAAGGGGGAGTGAAGACACCAAGGGTACAAATGGGACTTGCTGTGGAGGGGGAGGAAGATCGTGGGATTTGTTGACAGTCGCCCGTTCGGGATTTCTTGGCCGACCGCCCCGGACTCGGGATGCATAAGCTTAATATCTATAGACATGCAACAACCTTGGGACTTGTGCGTGAGTTCTGGAGGGTTGCAGGAAAAGCAGGCTAATGCACTAATGCAACTATGAAACTATACTCGCAACCATGGGCCTCGAGCCCGGGAGACTCGAACTATGAGAACATGAAGTGAAAAAGAGTAAAGGAGACCAAGCGCCAAACCCCACGCTGTGCAGATCAAACGGTCAAGCCGTTGTGCTATATCCCTGGATATTAACCGGCCTCATTTTGGCCCATGAGCCTTTCAATCATCCCAGCTTTTCTCAACAGTCTCACGCACGCGCTTCGTGTATTCTTTGCGGTTGTCTTTGTACAGGTTCGAAGCCTCGACGTTGGCTGGAGATGAAGTGTTGGGATCATTCAAAAGACTGATTTCACAATAGTGTTAGCACCTGCAAGTTGTTGGAGCGAACAGCCAAGCTTACCTTTGGATACTAGTTAGGATGGCAGCAACGTCATAGGTTGGACTCCAGCGGTTCTGTAGAATATCCAGACAGAGCTCACCAGTTCCATACACATTGGGATGGAACATCTGGCTGATGAATTTAACACCAGGGGGCTTGTTGGGATACTGTTCCTCGAAGTTCATGACCAAGCGGAATGTGCCATCCTCGAAGGGGGTGTCGGCGGGGCCAATGATGACGGCATTCCTAAGAATTGATCAGATATTAGATCTCAGAGTCGAGGGAGGTAGACCTACCATGTCATCACATTATCGGCCACCGGGGATGCAGAGACGCCAGCTGGGGGATCAGTTTGCATGCGCTGTAGTCGCAGAAATGTCAGAGGCGAACCACAACCTTGGGGACACAGAAGGGGCAAGATGGAAAGCAAGCATGATAAGACTTGAACATGCTGAGGAAGTCGGCTTCTTGCTATACAGGGCCATATCATTCCGGTAAAAGCTCAAAGACGATGTGATTGTCACACGTACCTTGAAGTCCCGCATGAGACGGCGGCGGGCGGATGTAGACATGATTGATTGGCCGTAAGGATGTGAATATGATAGATTATTTCAACGAGAAGCCGAGCCTCTGTACAACGATATCAGTACAGATTCGGGGAGGTCAAAGACGGAGAGGAGGATGAGAGTCCTCAAGTTGATACAGCGATATGCGATAGAGGGGGGCCCGGAATAGATATCCTAATGGAGAAACTACCCCCATCTGGACTAGCTCCATATACAGATCACGGGACTGGCATTATGTCATAATCGGAGAAACAGCCTCGGTCCAGGCGGAGGAGCGGTTATAGGCGGTTGCGCGGCGGCATTCCGTATACTCATGTGCTTTCGGCCTTCTTGCTTCTCGCCTTTCTCCTCTCTTCCTCTATCTATCTTTGCTCCTTCTGTACAGCCTTCCTCTATACATAACCTAACATGATCTCTCCGGGCTTGTCTGCTCGTCTTCCCAAGGCGTTCCCCGCATTTCGTACCCAGAGATACTTCAGCTCCGCACGTCCGACATGCAAGGAGATTCAGGATGCCTACATCCTGAGTGCATCTCGAACACCAACTGCTAAGGTGAGTTAGCCATGAAAAGGCTTCAAAAAGGCAACATACCGATCTCATTGGATTAGTTCAATGGTTCATACGCTTCAGTGTCAGCACCTGAGCTCGGCGCTGTTGCCATCAAATCGGCTCTCAGCAAATCCAAAGTCCCCGTGGAAAAGATCACAGATGTTTATATGGGCAACGTTTTGCAAGGCTCCGTGGGCCAGGCTCCCGCACGCCAGGCGTCTATCTTCGCCGGTCTGCCGTCCACCGTCGAAGCTGTCACAGTTAATAAGGTGTGTGCTTCTGGCTTGAAGGCAGTAGTATTTGCTGCACAAAACATCCAGCTGGGTCTGGCAGAGGCACAGGTGGCAGGCGGTATGGAGAACATGACTCGTGTCCCTTACTATATGGCTCGTGCTAGCCAATTACCACCTTTCGGCGAGATCAAGCTGGAGGACGGGTTGATCAAGGACGGGCTGTGGGACGTGTACAACAAGTTCCATATGGGCATCTGCGCGGAGCAGACAGCTAAGAAATATGAGATCTCCCGGGAAGACCAGGATCAATATGCCATCCAGTCGTACGAGCGAGCCCAGCAGGCATGGAAGGACAACAAATTCGCCGATGAGATTGCCGCAGTCACTGTCAAGGGTAAGAAAGGTGACACGATCATTGAGCGTGATGAAGGCTTTGAAAATTTGCGTGCCGACAAGTTGAAGACACTCAAGCCTGCTTTCCTGCGGGATGGTACCGGTACTGTGACCGCCGGTAACGCATCGACAATGAATGACGGAGCATCGGCACTGATCCTCGGTAACAAGGAGCTTGCTCGTGCATATGGTGCTGGTGGGCGTGCTTTGGCTCGTATTGTGTCCTCGGCCGATGCCGCTATCGACCCCGTAGACTTCCCAGTCGCCCCTGCCAAGGCAGTCCCAATCGCGTTGGAGCGTGCCGGTATCACTAAGGACCAGGTTGCGGTTTGGGAATTCAACGAAGCTTTTGCGGCTGTTATCAAGGCCAATGAGAAGGTTAGTACCACACTTTTCCCATCTGGTAATATACGTATCTAACTCGTGTTGTCTAGATCCTCGGCTTGCAAAACGCCAATGTCAACATGCTTGGAGGTGCCATCTCCCTCGGCCACGCTCTCGGCAGCTCAGGCTCACGTATCCTTGTCACCTTGCTCCACCAGTTGCAGCCTGGAGAGTATGGTGTGGCTGCAATCTGTAACGGCGGTGGTGCTGCTACTGCGATGGTTGTACAGAAGCTGGATCGGGTGGATTGATTCCCCAAGGTGCTGTCGTGTCTCTGACAACCTGATGATACCCTGGCATGAAAATCCCCAGATTGGATATGGAGATAAGCATAGTATTTTCTATCAAAAGCAGATTAGCAACACGTAGCCACATAATTATCTCAATCTAAGCATATTCGATGTATACCACAGATCCGCGATGTTGAGGCCTCGACACCTGATTTCTCAGGACGCCATACCCGCAGAATGCTGCCGGTCTGGGCCACAACAACACAAGCTTCTTCAATATCTTCACATTGCGACTTCAAAGACATGCTAGTAATACGGAGCTCTCAGTCCTGACAATATGCTGGATCCCGTTGAGCTATCTGTGTTCCCCTCCTGCACTGACGCCATCTCTTGGTCCTCTGACGGCGAGCTTGCAGTTGCTGCCGGGGATTACTTTCAGATCCTGGTATCCATCTAGGCGCTCTTATTGCCTAAATCGATGACTGATGTGTTTAACAGACGCCAAAAAGTGGCAAACATGAGGGAACAACACCAAATGCAACACGGGATTGGCAAATAACCCGCGTCAAGGCTAATCTATTCACGCACCCTGAATGGCCCACTTTCCTCGCCCAAGATCGGAATGACTTCTCGATCGCCGCAGAGCAGTCGAATAGCACAGTAGTTGGTTTGGCCTGGTCACCACCTGGACTAGGCAAATTCCGACGCAGTGTGCTAGCCGTGTTAACCTCTAATCTGCTTCTATCCCTTTGGGAGGCAGTCGGTCCACAGAAGCAATGGACCCGAATCGCTATCGTCAACCACGCGTTGCGGTCTCAATCGGAAGATTCCGAGCAAGCGGAGGGCATCTCGTTTCGAAAAGATAAAATTCGATCCTTCAATTGGTGTGAACCTCTAAAGGCTTCGACTCTCCCCGCTGGTTCTTCTTTTCTACCCGCATACGAAAGTCGTTGGGGTATTCCCCTTTTGACTGTGGTGAATGAGCTCAACGAAGTAATTCTAATACGCCCCCGTAGATCAGAACTGTCAGAGGGCTCTTTCTGCTCTCATCAATTGCATGTTTTGGCAGTTCACCCCCTCGAGAGCCAGGAACTGAACAATTCTCACCTCTGCTCGGGGTCCCTTCTTGAAAATGCTTTCAGAGAGAAACAGCGGGTCAGCTCGGTTTCCTGCGGTCCATGGCTAGTTTCACCACTGGCGAGCCCCAAAAACTCTGGCTGTGCTGTCGCCATGCTGGCTCTTGTATGCGGAACCCAACTTCGACTTCTGAATATCCAAGTCTCTATTGGAAACTCAAGCGTGGATGAGCTGCCGTCGTATGCCTTGCCAGCAGCATTTAAAGAGCATCACTGGAGTCTCTCGAGCGAGAAATTGGCATTCCATAACATTACCGGTCCATTGCAATGGCTACATGATGTATGTTTTAGTCTTCGCACTGTGGCTTCTTTTTACTGACATGTTCATCAGCAATCGTGCACCCAACTGTCTCTCGTAGTTGGCATCATGGCAGGGTTTATCACCATATCTGTACCCCTAACACTTACAATGGCCACGACGCCAATTTCGACGCTCTCGCAGTTCGCGAGTGGCCAATCTATAACCCGGGAACAGAGGAAAATACGAGATATAATGAAAGGCACTGGGAGCCTATATCTGGTACATTTTCCAATCTTTCTCATTAAGCTTCTTGAAACTGACCTGTTTTAGCCATGGCCAGTTATGTGGATGAACAAAATGACACATGCAACCTTTGCCTAGGTACTCTAGGCGGAATTGGTCTGACCACGGAAATGCGCCAACTTCAAAATGGCGATCAGTTGCAGCGGCCACGATGGAAACATATCATCGATGACTGCCAAGAGCAGTTTGATCTGGACCTCGATTTAGGTGGAAACTCAATATCCAGGATTTGGGGACTCTCATCTTATCGCAATGTCACAGCGATCCTCTTCACTAGACACCCGACAGATATGCTCGAGTATCGAGTCGCGTCTGACGACAAATCTACAATCGTCTTCTCGTCAGAGCTAGAACATGGCCCGGCCACCTCTTTCCTCTTTGCGCCACAAATTTCCAACGGCGAAAGTCTGGTGCATGTTCAGCGAGAATCGGCATTGAATTTCGTGTTGCCTGGTGATGATGGTGACGTCGAACCTGACAAGGAGAGCCAGCAACTGGTTTATGTCGCCATCTGCTGCACCATTACGGGTAGTAAAAACAAGTCGCTTCTGACACATGCTCGAAAGTCTCTAGAGCGTTTGGCAATTGTTACAGGCGCAGACCTCAGTGAGGAAATGCGCAAATGCAACGGCGAATCAACCGCAATTGCTGCGAGGTCTGCGGATCAGCTCAGTGGTCCAGGCGGCCAGATTTTCGAGCGGTGCGACATCTGTGATGCTGGGATCGGATGGCACTCTGCCCAGGAGGCTAAGTGTGCGAATGGTCATCTTTTCAGTAAGTCGCCGTGTGATATGCGCATGCGTTGGTCCAGACATGTTAACCCTTTTCGTCGATTTAGCTCGATGCGGATTGTCTTTTCTTGCCATCCAAGAACCCGGGATATCCAAGTATTGTTCTTTGTGTCAAACAGAATACCTTGACGAAGACTCTTTGGTTCTGATGCGTGGTGGTAAGCTGAGCCGAACTTTCAGTGAACTGTTCGAAGCTTTCGATACATGTCTATATTGTGGGGGAAATTCCAGCCAGGTTTATAGGATTCTATCCATGATTTACCATGACACGAGAGATGCTTTTTGCGTAGCAAAGGCCATCAAAACAAAAGGATTATTTTCTTTGCATGTGCAGGTATCAATATGTTTGGATTGGATCATTAGGGCCTACGTTAAACCAAGAAGAGGGGCCGCAATAGGATCCCATTCATCGTCCCAACATCGAGAACTTTCTTTCTGTGCGCCTTGACGAAGAGTCTCCAATCTGCCGCTGTTCCCGAACAAATCGGTCAAGTGCTCGGCCAACTCCTCAGAGCTACCAAAGCCGAGCCCATTGACACCCTCAGTCACCAATTCGGGCCAGGCCTCGAAACGGTCCCAGCCGACTACTGGAAGACCAGCGCCAAACATATCTACAACCTTCATTGGGAGATCTACCCCGCTGCTGCTGGTATGCAAACTGACACCTAAAGACGCGGATGCCAACAACTTTGCATAGTCCGGCACACTCAGCCACGCAGTTCGGATGGTGACCTTTTGAAGTTTGCCAGAGTCCTCCAGCAAAGCAATTTGTTCCAAATACATCTCTTTCCGCGGACCTTTCCCTGTGATAATTGCCAAGACCTCTGGAAGATGAGGTTGCGTCGTGGTGGCTAATTCAGAGTACCTGAGAAGAGCATCTATGAGGACGGAGAAATCCTCATCCGCAGTCCAGGAAGTAGAACTGACAAGAACACGGAGGGTTCCTGCTGTTAAATAGGAGCGAACTTCCTTGGTTTCCGGTAAAGTTGCAAGGAACTCAACCCGTGCATTTGGGTCGAGGATGGGACTGAAGTGGCTGGCGGGACGGTCGTGCAAAGACAAAATGGGGGTTTTTAGCTCAAATTCTTTCCTAAGGAAAGACTTCATAGCATCTGTCACACACAGATGGGCCGAGGCGGATTTGCAGAATACTTTCTCGTACCAGGTCGATAGTCTCACCAATGGATGACTTTGGCCAAGTTTTAGAGCGAGGATAGAGTATCCGAAATTGTGCCAGTCAATGACAAGCTTTGTTTGGCGCAGGAAGCAAGTGATGGAGGCAATTGCTAGTGTAGGAATGGAGGGTGGATTCTGTAGATCCGCTAGTTAGTTCGCCATATCATCCACATGGTATCTGGAGAATATACCTGAACCAAAAGCCACTTGGCTGGTTTTGTAGTGTATGCAAGACATTTCCATAGGCAAAATACCTGGAATAGGACTTTCAAAGGTCCATAAATGGTGAACAGAAGTCTGTTACTAGTTTGTAGTATAGCGGGGTGCGGGCGAAGTGGTACAATGTTGATATTTGGATGAGATGCGATATCGGGATGGGGATCGGATTCTAAATGGCAATTGACTGTCAGCAAGCTTATTCTCAAGAATCATATGTTGTAAAGTGTTAGGTCTAACCTTTATATCCAATGATCACCACATGCCCACCATGTTTCGCAATGCTCAATGCATGATATTGCATACGTGGACTGCGACCAATATCCCCAAGCACAAGTATTTGGATAGTGGGCTTTTGGGTCCTGCTGGTGGCGCCCGAAGAGGCTGGTTGCTGTGGTTCATATTGTGAAGGAAGTAATAGGATCAGCACCGTGAGCACACTAGAGAAGCAGAAGGCTATGCTGATTAGTGACTCGATCATGGTGACAGTAACACTTTGAAAACATCCCTCATATCAGAAATGGCATGAACAAGGCGAAGTTCAGGTGAAGTCGCGAAGGACAACACGCCCGATAAGATAAGAATCACGTGCGTTACAGTTGGCCTTCAAGGTTCCCATTGACGGCTTGCTGTCTCTTCAGTGAATTGTTTCTTAGGGCGCTTGACGCCATATTCTTATATTTACATGCCCCTGTCCAGGCAATGCTGAGTCTGACTTGATCTGCGAGGATCCGCACTCCTCCCCGATATCTTGGCATAGCGCCCCATCTCCTATCTTGCTCGGACTTCCTATTCAGCGCGCATTGCCAGCCTCAGACATGTCGACGGGGGGACCGTCCCTGAGTGTGGATCTCACTCCGCCTGTCAATGGACACCACAACCATGGCCATACTCGTCGCGGCCACTCTCGATCGAATCGCTGGGCGCAACCTCCGCCTCCCATCCCACAGCCGGTCAACAGCCTCCCCCAACCTGAAACCAATGGGTTGAATTCAAGCTATTCATACGGACATGCGCATCAATCGTCGAATGGCCATACACACTCGCATTCAAGCGCCCACCATGATCACCATGATCACTCACACACACACCACGATCATGGCCATCATCACGATCATCATGACCATGACCACGACCACCATAGCCACCACGGCCACCATGGTCATACCCATAGTGTGTCTTCGGTTCATAATGATGCGCTACACAACCACGATTCGAAAAGTGCTCATGGATTTATACCCGTCGATACAACCATCAAGGCGGATTCTAACCCCGATCAAATGTATGTGAGCTGGATGTTGCTTAGAGAACAGTAACTGACTCTCCTGATAGCCATGAGATATTCACTGGCGCTCTCATTGTGTTGCCTTGGATTGTGCTATCTTGGCATAACAGGCAGAGCGTGCAAACGCCTGGATCGACTCCTACAGAAACCGCAACAGTGCCCATTCCCATTGTATCTGTCGGACAAGTCGGACAGAAAACGTGCATTTTAACTGCAATCACGCTTGTTTTGTTCGGTTGTGGTCAGCTCCTGCGAATCAAGCTCCAGAAGACTGGATCATTGGGAGCATCGTCCATCAAATTTCCAGCAGTGAATGCGAAGGCCGTTCAAGCTTCTCTTTCACAGATCGTTTCGGTGGCACTGCCGATTTTTGCAGCGCTGAAAGTCGGTGGCTTCTTAGTTGCCTTTGCGCTCCTCCTTGCGACTGCAACAGGGGTACCGACTATCATCAATGGGAACCCACGCTCCCTGGAGCGATACAGTAAAAAGAAGCTGTCCATTGCGCTTCTTGCACTGGCCACTGCGACGAGTTTCTTGGGGCTGAATTATCCCTGGGACCCATCTCCTTTCTTTGGATATGTCGCGCTCTTGGTATCAATTTTCATTATCGCTCCTCCGTTCCCTTTTCTTCGCCAACATGGTCCTATCCCTGAGCCGGGTCTTGTTGCACTGCAAGGAAAGTCTTCGGACCTGAGCCAGTCTTCCGTCGTGGCTACAACCGATGCGCCATTGGCTGTCATATCCGGATCCTCTCTTGCACTGTTCACTCTGATTTTCACTCGAGGAATCGGCTTCGGCATGTCAGATGTAATATACCTCCTTGTTCCTACGGGTCTCTTTGCACTTTCTCTCATGGCCTCTCTGCCCGAGGGTCTTCGATCTTCCAACAAAATCGGGCTCGCCATCTGTGCTGGAGCTGCAGCTCTTCTATGCTCCCCTCATATGCAGGATGATCTCCTTGTACTATATGGCGCGCGTGGGATCTTAGCAACAGCCTCGTTCTTTGCTTCTCGAATGGATGATGGCCATTTGCATTCCGATTCCCACGCACACAATCACACAAGCCACAGCCATTCGCACGCCACTGTCGAAGCGTCGCGTGTGTCAAAGTGGCTCCTCCATAAAAGCGAGCCATACCCTTTGCTACATAGCATTCTGAAAGAGAAGGATTCCCGCAGCATCTTCTACTTCATGTGGTGAGTCAAACCTCTAAAGGATCCAGCTACCATCATTGAGACTGCTAATATTATTGCAGTCTAAACTTTACATTTATGCTTGTCCAACTGTCATATGGCTTCCTGACTGGATCATTGGGTTTGCTTAGTGACAGTATTCACATGTTCTTCGATTGTCTCGCGCTTGTGGTCGGTTTGTGCGCTGCTGTCATGAGCAAATGGCCTCCGAATGCTCGTTTCCCTTACGGCTATGGGAAAGTCGACACTTTGTCTGGATTTGCCAACGGCATCTTTCTTATGTGAGTATTATCTGGTGGCGCTCAAAAGGTCAACTCTAATAAGTGCCAGGATTATAAGCGTGGAGATCATTTACGAAGCAGTGGAACGGCTGTCATCAGGAAGTGAGATGCAACGTATCGGGGAGCTGTTGGTTGTTAGCATTGCTGGTTTGGCTGTCAACCTCGTCGGTATCTTCAGCTTTGAGCATGGTCATCATCATGGCCACGATCACGGACACGACCACTCTCATGGCAATGAGAACATGCACGGCATCTTCTTGCACATTCTTGCCGATACGCTTGGGTCGGTGGCTGTCGTGATATCGACCATCCTTGTGCACTATTCTGGCTGGTCGGGCTACGATCCCTTGGCATCGTGCTTTATTGCCATATTGATCTTCGCCTCGGCGGTTCCCCTGGTCACAAGCACCGCCAAATCCTTGCTGCTCACTCTGCCAGCCGATATCGAATATAATGTTCGTGAAACCTTAGCGGGTGTCAGCACCTTGAGGGGCGTGGTCAGCTATACAGTACCCAAATTCTGGCTCGATGATACCGGGACGACGTCAGAGCACAGCCATTCGCATGACCACTCCGGTCATGGCGAATGTGGACATCAACACGATCATAGTCACAGCACCCATCATAACCACGACCATGACCACGGCCATTCCCATACGCACAGCCATTCTCATGCACACGACCATGATCATGAGCATGACCACGAGCACGAGAAAAAGCCGCAAAATATCTTCGGTGTGATCCATGTCATTGCGTCACGCGGTGCAGATTTAGAAGATGTGCGTCAACGGACCGTCGACTATCTCCGTGAGAAAAACATGGATATTCTGGTCCAAGTTGAGCGCGATGGAGATGCACGCTGTTGGTGTGGTGGCGGAAGCAAGGGCTTGTAATTGGTCGCAGTCAATCTTTGTTTCACCAGCAACCAACTCATTTCGAAGGGCAGTCCAGATACGCGGCGCATTCCCGCTCTTGGTCATCAGGCCGAGGTCTATATCTCTCTTGTACAGACAGGATTGGATACCCCAGTTCGCCGAGTGGATTTACCAATCAGCAGCACATAGTCTTCACAGTCAATGACATCGAATTTATTATAACGCGCATACCAGCTTTCTTGCATCATATGTAGGCATGTTCAATATCTATAGAATCATTCCATGGTGCCTCGTACGACCCGTTTCTCGGTTACTGGCGGTCCTGAAGGGAATCTCACGCTCCCCTGCTGGGAGATATTCAGGCACATTGGATGCAGCTTGTGTCCATCTCAGTCCAGATCGCCACGAACGGCTACATGATCCTCTGTTGAGTTGCACAACACCGGACCTCCGCTACACATGGCCCAATGCCATATTGGTTGTACCTCAGCCTGAAAGCAGGAATTAGCTCAATGTTACCAGAGATTGCTAATTTCCTGTCCCGACTTGACACCACTGGTCTCCTTATCAACAAGCTTCACGAATAAATGCCGATATCCAAGCCCGCACGGATGCAAGAGTGACATCGAGCCTACTGTGCTACCCATATCCGACTATCGAGTTTCATTCATGTTCAAGGGTCATTGATATATGTTCCGACATGGACGTCCAAGCTCGGCGTAAAGTATTCAATCCTTTGCGTCGTGCTTCATTCCTTCACAGAAACACCAACAGGATCTTACGTGTGAATTCCACAGAGCTTGCGCAATGTCATCAGCTTGGATCGTGAACACCGCACATGCCGATGAAGTCGTGCGAGGGGGTTATGGAAAGATATTTGAAGGCCACACCGTCTTCTTGACCGGGAGCACTGGGTGTTTAGGAGGTTGTCTCTTGTACAAGTTGGCTTTGCAGCTGCCGACTCGCAAGATCTTCGTCTTGGTCCGAGGAAGCTCCCAGCAGGCAATCGAAAAATGGAAAAAGTCTATGCCCAACCACGCACAGGCCATTTTAGCTACCAAGAAAGTCGAGTTTGTGATTGGCGACGTCAAACTAGTCGACTTCGGGATTCAACCTACCCTTCTCCAGAAACTTCAAGACCAAGTCACGCTGGTCATTCATACGGCGGCCAAAATCACACTTGAAGGTCCCATTCAAGATGCACTCGAGAGCAACTGTCTCCCTGCGCTGGAAATGGCACGGATTGCCTCGTTGTTCCGGCGATTGAAACTCCTTGTGCAGCTTTCTACTTCATACGCCAACAGCCATCTCCCTGATGGCCCGGTTCTAGAGCGGATATATCCATTGGGGAATGATGATCCCGAAGAAGAACTGGCATCAATGTTGGCACTGGGCAAGTCCATATACGCAGCTCAGTTCTCGTCCAGTTACACCCTAGCCAAGCACCTGATGGAACGTCTGCTACTCAAACGCTTCCCACTTCTCCCAATCCTGTTGGTGCGGCCAACAATCTTCGGTCCTGCATTGAAACATCCATACATGTTATACGGACCAGAAGATTCCACACCTCTCACCAAGTTTGCCAGATTCTGGTACGCCGACCGCGGGGCCACCCAGATCTGGCATGCCACCGAAGGCTACAAATCCGGTGCGAACATCCTAGACGAGATACCCGTGGATCTGGTAGCAAATGCATGTCTGCTACATGCAGCAGCACGCACCACAGGGATTGTCCAGATCGGATCCCAACTGTACCACCCGGTCACCTTTGACGAGTTCTTCGACCTGGCTCAGGAAAATGCCACGCCGCTTGCCCAGCGGGATATGCCAAAGCTCGTTTTCACGGAGGACCGCAGTGCACCGCAGTGCTTCCTTGCGGAACTGATCCAGGTTGGAACGCGTAATTGGCTGTTCGATTGCGGCCGGTCCTACTGGCTGAAGCAGGTCAGCGGGCCGTTAAGTATACGGGTGTGCAAACATGAGGCCGATGGTTTGAACAAGATGCGGGTTCTCGATGTTTCTGGGATTTCGAAAGAGAAGGCTCGAATTTGAAGTGCTCAGGTTCCCGGAGACTGGCTCTAGTATACACGTTTGGAGTAGGACAGACTGAGTGCATGCTTTTGAATGAATAGCGTTGATAAATCTCCAAACCAACGCCTTTTGGTTTGAAGTGAGGTATCGTACAAATATGGCAGTGGATGGTCGAATGGATTCCTTCGAGATCTCGCACCAACAGCCCCGAGACTCCATGATGGTCTCGAATGTCTGATAGATGCTTTTGCCCCACAGTAGGTGTCATTCAAGTGATCATGTCCTGGAGGAAGGGTTGACATGCCAGCTGGAAGTTCCAATCCAGATACCAGTACGCGCGTGTGGCTTAGAATCTGGCCTTGATTAGCTCATGCCAACGTTGTTTGATTCTCGATCCCAATGATGCTGCTGAAAGCCGCTATCGAGGTTGAACCGTTCACGTCTGATCGGACTTTGGGGGTTTTAATTGTTGGTTGTAATCGCATTTCCGGTGAACATTCCAAATTTCAATACGCCACGGTCATTGTTCAACCGATGGCTAACCTCACAGCGCCATTTTTTTCTGGGGCCAAGCAACAGCGTCCGCCCATTGGGGGTCTCCGGGGCGCAATGCATCCAATAGTTCACGAACCAACACTCGACCCGAGCCACGAGCCCACCAATGCTGACCATCAAGCTCCCCAAGTAGAACTCCCCAATGCATGAGAATCAACAGTGCCAGAGGCTGACGCCGTCGCACATTGTCCACAAACTCCTTATCGACCATGGCTAGCCAAGCCAGAACATTCGCCGCATCAACTGAAGTGTTAAGTCTGGTAGAGAAATGCCGCAGATAGAAAATGGCGTCTTTGTTGATCTGATGCTGGTCCGGGTCGATGGTGGCAAGAGTTTCGTCGTTCAGAGTACCAAGCCGCTCAAGAGCCGCTTGTGTCTCACTGTCCAGTCCAATCACCCCTGTATCCCAAAAATTTCTTCGGCGAGAAAACAGCTCCAGTTTGATCCAGGATTCACCGATCCGGTGGATCTTTTTCACGCCTTGCAAGAGCTCAAACACCACGACGATGTTCTCAGTTATACTTGCACTCTCCCCGCGTGCAGCACTAACCCGAGGTAAGGCGATGCCAATGACAGTGGTGATGATAGACTGCGCCAGCACAGCCTCGCAGTTCAGTGGCGTGATGTTGTCGACCGCTGTGCGATATGGAGCAAAGGTGAGATTGTGATATTGGAGGGCGGTATCGATATACACCAAAGACGCTGGTGGCTCAAGGCTGGTAGCAATATGAAGAGCTCCCAGGGCCAAGAGTCCATTCATCAGAAAATCATACTGAAGAGCCAGGCGAGGAATGGCGATTTGCCACACATAGTGTTCCGAATTGGACGTGCACAGGCTTTCATATGTTTCAGTGGAAAACTTGTGCATTAACTCTAGATCTCGCACCCCAGAAATGCTCGAAGGAGTGGAGGCAGCGGGACTTGGAATCCCCAGTGGCCGGGGACTGGGGACACTGGCCACACTAGGTACACTGGCCACGACTGGGGCCTGGCTAGCTTCGACTCGAGGCGGCGCTCTCAGATATGTGCATGATAGCTCCCGCGAGATGCAATTGGAGCACGGTGGCCCTCTTTCATCACACTGCGACCGTTAGCCTCGTCATGATGCAGTGGAGCCTTCCCCTGGTCATCTACAGCTTGATACTCACCTTAACGCGACGACGCTTACACTGGTCACAACCCTGGCGGGACTTGGTGTGCGCTCGGCGAGGAGGCATCTCGGAACCCTCGGAGCCTTTGATCCTATCCAGTCGGCTTGAAGCCAGTCGAGATATGAAGTTAAGCGGAGATCCCGGCACGTGACTAACTATAAGAAGACAGCTGAGTCTTTCTTTTTCCTCTTTGGCGACTGTACATGCATACTTTGCACCTTTTTCCTATTTTGGAGTCTTGGTATTCTCGTGTTCTTGACAGATCTTGTCTTATCTTCACCCAGGTCAAACTACTATAACTATATGCACAGCCGTTGTGGCTGACAGCTTCCGTGCATGTCAATGCGAAGAACTTTCTACAGCTGGTCTGAAGATATCTCCAATATCAAGATCTTGAGATCTCGACACGGGCACTGCCTTCTAGAAACACTCTCGGACCAAAAGCAAGATAAATCTCCGAAGGATCAATGCGCTGATGTAGACGGACTGGGCCGCGTGGGCCGTGTAAGCGAACAATACGAGAACGAGAACGAGCGAGAACGACAACGATAGCGAGAGGCCAATCGCATTGTTTGATGCCTCTCTCTCATCCTGCTTACACTCCACTTGACGTTCAAAAAGTTGACATGGCCCCAAAATATGATTTTATATTAATCTCCGAGGTCGAGCTTGGGGTCCTTGGACCTTTTGATCATTTATAATCATATTCCAAGTGACGAACACCTCCTTCTTTCCTCTTTCTAGTCTCTCGTTACTTCATTTTACCCTTTCTACTCCTCCTTACGCTTTGCGCCTCTCACTCGATGGCGAGTTACGCGACCTGCTCCTCCGTGGGTCCTTTATGTCCGGTGGAAGCCACGACGTATGGCTATTACCCTAATTTTGGCGGAAATGTCTTCTTCACAGTGTTCTTTGGTATACTCGGATTGTGTCAAACTGGTTTGGGTATCTATTACCGAACATGGACATTCCTGACAGCCCTACTCATCGGCACCTTTATGGAGATGGCAGGATACATTGGACGAGTACTCATGAACGACAACCCATGGTCAGGCCCCGCATTCAAGCTCCAGATCGTGTGCCTGGTTCTCGCGCCCACCTTTGTCGCAGCAGGTGTCTACCTCACGCTGAAGCATATCATCTTGAACCTGGGACCTCAACATTCGATTCTGAAACCACGCCTTTTCACCTGGATCTTCATTGGTTGTGATATTGGATCTCTCATCTTGCAGGCCGCCGGAGGTGGTGTGGCTGCAGCCGCTGGCAATGATGATATGGCCATGCTGAAGGCTGGTGACGATATTATCATCGCTGGTATCGCCTTCCAGGTTGGAACTATGGTCGTGTGTGGTGCTTTTGCGCTCATCTTCTTCTGGAGGGTGTTCAAACATGGCGATGGATTTGCAGGCGAGAAGAACTTGGATACCGGTGTTTCGGCTATTACTCCCAAGTGGATGCCATACATCATTGGCGCCGAAGTCTTCGCCTACTTCACCGTGTTGATTCGGTGTATCTACCGGTAAGGAATAAGCAGCACTATTAGAGGGTGTGCATTTACTGACAAGAATATATAGTATCCCAGAGATGGCTGGCGGCTGGGGAAATCCCCTCATGCAGAAGGAGGACGAGTTCCTTGTCCTCGATGGAATGTGAGTTGACATTTTGAAGCTTTCAAAGATCACTAACTGACGCAACTACAGGATGATTGCTCTCTCCTGCTTGGCCTTTACCATTTTCCACCCCGGAGTCTTCCTCCCATCGATGCGCACCGGACACAAGAACCGCGCATAAATGTCACCCTTTAATTTCCGTGTTGATTTAGCGTTTTTGATACCAATCCCCCTTGTTTGTTACGGCCTCATATCGAGCCGTCACCAGGATCGCTTTGCACAAATTGGTTTCTGCCATGCCAACTAGATAATAGACCTGTCTATAGACTACATGCACGTAATACTGAGCAAGATGTTCGAGTATATTTATAGATCAGAAATTGAGGTAAACCAGTCAAACTAACTCCAGCACCTTCATGAAACGCAAAGAAATGCACCGCAAAACAAACAGATCGAGAGCATGGCCATGAATGCGATTGCAGGTCCCCAAAGGTAATGCAACCTAGTGCTCGCTCTATCATGCAGAAAACGAACACCGTGATAGATCTGACAAAAGAAAAGATCCAGAGAAAATCAGCAACCCCATGTTAAATAAATCATAAGCCACCATCCTATATTGCCGTGAATCATCCGACCATTTACTCCTCCAAACTGTCACGCACACATCGGCGAACGCGCTTCTTGAACTCCGCAGGGTCCTCACGCCATAGGCGGGCAGCCTCCACATTGGCGGGGCTTTCATCATTGGGACTGGACAGCATGGAAATCACGGACAGAAGGATGGTCTCGGGCGTTTGGACAGGGGACCAGCGTTCGGCGGCCGATTCGTAACCGTACTTGTCCTCCTCGGGAGGGTGCAGGATAGAGATACAGACTTCACCGCTCTCATAGACTAAAAAACAAAGTAGTCACGTGTGAGTATATCAAGTATAAAACCGGTATCCGCACATCGACGCCACAAAAAGGGAGATCACATACTGTTGGGATGGAAGAGGGGCGACTCGAACTTCATCTTGGGTGGGCGATGGGGATATTCGGCGGGGAAGGAAAGACGAGCCCGGAAGAAACCACCTATATATATCAGCAAGCAGAGCATGTTAGCTTATTCTACGTTTCCAAAAACTATGGTCCAGAACACGGCGCGGTTGCCGAAGAACATCTGCAGACCTCAGCCCTGGGGAGCTGAACGAAGGCCTAGACATACCTCCATATAGCTTAACATCATCCGAGATCATGAGCATAACCTCCCACTCAAAGACATTGTTATCGACCAAACCGCAACTGATCCCAGGAATGTCCTTATCGGACTGCATTTGCTGCAGCTGGCGGCCCAGCATGCGGCCCGCGGGAGAAGTCGCCATTGTGGAAGTGATGGAGAGAACAAAAGAGGAAAGAGAAAATGGAAAAGGAGTCCTTCAAACTTGAGGCTAATAACGAGGTTGAGAGAGGCGAGAGATGAGGGGGAAGCAAAAAGAAATGAAGGCGGTGAGCCCGAAGCGGGGGGGTGACGGGGGCGGTGAAGACGGAGATTCCAAGTTGAGATAAACCATGGGCAACTACAGATGATGTGGTGGTTTCGTATCATATAGAACGGTATTCATATATATAAACATGTTATAACATTCCAAAGTCGTGTAAAGATAGAAGCATCCAAGCACTCATATCCCGCCTTCCTTCCCTATAATAGGTCGAGATCCATACCATCCATACATCTCATTGCATTTTATACTCCGACTCGATTTAAAATGCGGGAGAATTGTCCTTGACAGGCTTGGCAGTCTTCATCATCAGAACGACTTGGCCACCGAGCACAAGGGCGGCAAAGACACCAAGCGCCACCTCAATGGCAAAGGTCTTACCCAAGACCTTGGCGTACCGAACGCGAGCAGCCCAGTCAAAGGTGGTCCAAGCATCCACGATACCAATCTTGCCACTGCCTCCGGTGATAGCAGGGTTGACTTTACCACCGAAGGAACGGTCGAAGGGCACGATGGTCTCATCTTCCTCGGGCAGCATAGAAGCAGCCACACGAACAAAGACGACACGAGCAGGGATGGAGATCAAGAAGGCCAAAATAGCGGGAACAACGCTGACGCCCATGAAGCGGAACAAGGCCACCATGGATGGCACTTCCTTGTCGTTGGAAATGTCGAGCCAGCCAGCAAAGTTAGCAATCGACATTGGGATGAAGAAAGCAGCAGCAGTGAGGATGTCCTCCACGGCAGCCGCAGGGGCAATCTTAATCCAGGATTTGTAGCTGGGAATTCGCTGATAGAATCTCTTGGGGGAGGGCTCGGAGATGACAATGTGGACCCAAGCCATCTGCCAGGTAGCGAGCAGAACGCTCAAGATGGACTGAACGAAGAACTGGCCAAGGTAAGAAGTAGTCGGGATGGGAACAAAAGAAGAAAGGAAACCGCGAGCGGCAGAGTAAGCCACGAACATGCCAATACCGCGGAAGCGCGACCAGAAGCCAGCACGGGAGCGCAGGTGCTTCACGGTAGTGCGCAGCTTGCTGGTGATGGGCTTGAGGGGAGTGGCAGCATCGAGCTGGGGCTCTTCCTCATCGGTGGGCTTGATAGGGTCGGGCTCGGATGCAATGCGAACATAGATGTCAGGGTTGGTATCTTCGACCGCGGCCAAGGTCGCAATCACCATGCCATAGGTATACTCGACCTATGGAGTGTCAGTAACACTATATCCAAAAGACATATACCAACTTACAGCGCAGAACATCAGAGCCAACACAACACCAGTGATGGCAAAGAGAGCCACCAGTCCCCCATGGGGCTCTGCAGTGTTGGGATTATTCGCAGGCCCCCGCAAGTGAGCGGCAGCAAGCTCGGTGCCCCGGCGCATAAGATGACTGCTAACAGACGACATGTTGCAGATTATATAAAATGATGAGAAAAAGGAAGTAAGACGGGGCGGGGAATGGGCCCTTTATGAATACAAAGCAGAGCAGGCAGAGCAGGCAACACACCACTAGCGCCTGAGCTTACGGTACTCTTACGGTACTTAGACTTTGCTGGGGATCCACATACAAGTGGAAGTATCTGACTCGTACCCTTTTACATCTCTGGGTAGCACCGACTCGACTTGAAACAATACTTGACTCGAGGTGCAGTGGTGGAATTAATTCCTTTTCTTTCACAGCCAAATGGCAGAGAGAAAATGAAGACTTACAGTCTGTATAAATATAGAACCCCCTAGATCGGGCCTTAGCAGCTCCGACTGTGCCGGTAATTGGCTCCCAACGTTAGCGCTAAGGATCATGTTTGGGGATACGCCACTCGGGGCCAATCCTTTTAACTCGCTTGTTAAGTCCATTAGCGCTGTACGAAAGGTGGTGTTGAGCCTCCATGATTCAGGCAAAGTGGGTATGCTACATACGCCTATGATTTGCTAGTTTTTGAATACATTCTAGACTGCAATTTGATTTTATAGGTAACGCCCCAATTTTTGGACTCTATAATATGGACATCTAAAACATACAGATGCGAACCAAGTCAAATCAAATCACCATCCGTGGATGGGACACAAAACGCTGCAAAAAACCAAAGTATCTACCAACACTACTCCATCCCTAGTCAAAGAGCTTCTTCATGAACTTGTGAGCCAGCTCAACACCAAGGAAAGTGGCAGCGTTGGCAGGCACCGCACGAGCCAGAGCCGGTCCGAAGCCAGGGAAGAAGGCCTTGAAACCACCGCTGGCGTAAACTGACCGGATGGTGCCGCCGATAGTCGGCTTACCCGGTGCGCTCTGCAGACGAGACTTGATTGTGTCGACGGGGAAGACGGGAATCCACATGGCAATACCAGCAGCACCACCAGCGCACAGAACCGCGGACAGAGATAGCTCGCCGGTGATGTTTCCATTCTCATCCTTGGGGGTCAACGAGCGCTTGATGTATTCGTAGGCCGCAAAGTACGCAGCGGAACCAGGGCCATCACGAGCCAGCGTCATGGCGCTACCACGGAACACACTGCGGATACCACCCTCCTTGTACAGTTGGCGCACGACATCGGTACCACCGGAGTACTTGGGCTTCTGGCCGGGGGGAGGAGGGTTCTGACCCTGGATCTGGAGGAGGACCTTGACACGCTCAAAAGGCGCGGTGATCAGGGTCATGGGAATGGCCGAGAAGAAACCGGCTGCGGAGATCTGTGCAATGGAGTATTGAGGAGTATCGTGCTTGACGGGGACAACCGAGAATTTGTTCACAAGGGTTTTGCCCAGATCGTAACCCTGGTGCGGTGTTAGCAGTGCTTCCGACCGGGCGATTGCAGGCTATTCAGGATCTAATATAACATACCCAGAAGCTGACAGCGACTATATGACAGGAAATATTAGCTCAAATTCGACCAATTGCTTATATGAGACCCGTCAAGGTCAATAACAGGGCAAACTTACACATAGGAGTAACACCGACGAGGGGCGCAGAGACACCAGCATACAGACCCTACAAACCAATGTCAGTTGGTCGTATGATCCAATTCCGTTAAATGATCGAATTCATACCCTGGCCAATCCCTCACGGGCAACTGTCCGCCTCACCACATCCATAGCACCCGAGTAGACACCCTTCTCAGCAGTCTGCAAGCGCACCTTGACCAGATCGAAGGGGTGTCCCACAATCACAGCACAAAGACCACCAGCTGCACCAGCACCGAGAGAGCGCAGCTGAGCAATGGTCTGGTTGACGGCCTTGGTCTCAGCGATCTTGACCTCATCTTTCAGCTGCTGCGGGGAAGAAGTGGAAGTCGACATTGTGGACTCGGGGCGGGGAGAGAAAGGGATAGGATTCAAGAAAAGGAGAGAAGAGAGAATAGGTAGAGAAGCAAATCCACCGAAGACCTAGAAATGGAAGACCCGCGAGAAATGATGACCGAAGCCGAATAGCGCTTCCCCAGACGAAGTATTGTGCCTCGGCTCGGCAGCGGAGAAACCGGCTTCCCGTTGATATGCGAGTTGACTCTCAAGTCAAATGTTAAATGTTTGACGTTGGACTATGAATGCTTTTTTTTTGTAGGATATAAATGTTCTCGACTTCGATGGTCTGCTCTGATTACGTCGGGGACCGCCGCGTTCGGGTGAACGGGAAACACAGTTGGACTACTCCACGTTTCCCCGCGGAATAAAGGATGCCGGATGTCCGTGTTGGGACTCGGTGTAGTTTGATGTAATGTGGACATTCAATAGTATCAGATTGAAGCTATAGAGAAACATATAAGGTACACTGGACATTAGACAGACAAGTATATACACCGAGGTCGCGATCACATGGAAATCCACATGCTCCGACGACATGGTCATGTGCCCACAGCTACTATGGAGATCTACATGTATAGCAAACACAGCCTTACTGTACAACAACAGAGGTATATGTGTAGAATTTCATTCATATTCCATCCATTAAGTCGGTCATTAGATTAACAGCTCCGAAGAGCAGGAGAATAAGTAATATTGTACCAATCATGACCCCGGTTCATATCCTGTACCTATACAAGCCAAACGGCGACACATGATTCATAACCCATAGATTACCAGAGGGACTCTGCTCCATCACATAGACGGGCAAATTTACAGAGCGAGGAGAGCGACCAGGCCGAGAGCACCCATAGCACCACTGCCGACTGTGGCCATAGGGACAGCAGCGCCAGTGCTGGTGGAAGGAGCAGCAGACCCGGAGGCAGAGTCGGACTGGCTGCTGGAGTCAGAAGAGCCGGAGCCGTTGGAGTCGGAGTCGGAGTTGGAGCTGCCGGAGCCAGTCTCAGTGGAAGAGGCAGCAGTGCCGGTGCTAGTCATGGTGGTCATGGAGCCGGACACAGTGCCGGTGCTGGTCATAGTCGTAATGGAGCTAGATATACCAGTACCCTGGGTAGGTGTCAGCGTGGTCAATCGATAGAGATAGATATATTTCTTACAGAGCCAGTGGCGGTAGCGGTGCCAGTCATGGAGCCAGTGATGGAACCAGTCGTAGAGCCAGCGGCGCCAGTAGCACCGGTTATAGAGCCGGTCGAGGTACCAGTCACGGAGCCAGTGGAGTCAGAGCCAGCACCGGCGCCAGAGGCAGTAGAGCTGGAGTCGGAACCGGAGCCAGAGGTAGAGCTAGCGTCAGAGCCAGCAACACCGCCTGCAATATAATGTTAGCTTCAGAGAACTTTCAGATCACAACAGGGTACGTACCAGGGCACTTGGCAACGGCCATGGAGAGGACCTGCTCGGCGTCGTCGCTGGGGCAGGCCTGCTTGGTGCAGTCGCGGATACCGAACTTGTAGTCGTCGGTCTTGCAAAGGCAGGACAGGTCACCAGGCTTGCAGCCCAGCTCAGAAGCCTTGTTGTTCATGTTGGAGACACACATTTGCTATGAACAAAGTGTCAGCATTGGATCTCGATGTTGAAGATCCAAAGATAGTACTCACAGCGCAATCGGATGCAGAAGGGTCGGCAACAGCGAAGCCGGCAGCGGCCAGAAGGGCCAGGGCAATGGGAGAGAAGGACTTCATTGTGATGTTTGAGAAAAGTCTCAATTGACTAGAGAGGTAGAGGATATGGAGATGTTGAGAAGTGAAGGGAAGACTGTGAAGGATCAGAACTGAACTTGAGAGCAAGGGCTTAGTGTTTTATAAATGGGACCTGTAAATCCTAGCTGAGAATCAAACTCTGCATGTAGCCGAGTCACAGCCACTTGCCCCGGACTGGAAATTGAGTGTCGGTAGTGGACGAAGCTCGCATTGGAGCCCAATGGCTATGCAGGATCAGCCGTGTGGATTGCCTTGCAGGGCAACAGTGTTGGCGCATTGCTACGGCGCCAACGTGGGTAAATTGGACCGTGGCCTGATCCTGTGTAGCATGAAGTCATCAATATCAACAAGCTGGATCTACTCTCTCGAATAAGGATTGATCGACCGGAGATAGCTTGCACCCTTTCTCATATATCGATCTCATTCGCTGGTCCAATGGGTCAAGCCACACAGGGGCCCATCAGGCTCCATTGAAGCCCAAGGTTTGCCTTTTCATGTGTTCCCCTGGAACGAAGCGATCTGGTTCTCTGATTCCAAATGATGCATCGTACAGGCTGCATGATTCAGTGCATTTGTCGCTCCAAAATCATGGCACAAACCATGACGGTCTTCGATGCAGCAAATGTGCCACCGGCGTCACACCGAAGAAATAGATTGCGGTACTCCGTAAATGAACAACCGAGGCAGAGGCCGGTGGGGCAGATCGACACTGAGATCCGAATCGGGGGCTCTTTGGAACTAATCCGAATAGTCGCTGGATACGTCGAGAGTCCGATCGCACTATTGAAAGTCTCTTCGTGTCACCGCTCCCAAGCCACAAACATTCCCCAGCCACCTTCCTCTCTAAGTGTTGCAGTCTCTGTTGCAGGTGTAAATTCTCGGAGGCTTGTTTCATGTAAAGGGAATCCCTTGCATAGCACATGGGCGGCCCTGGGGATTCACCGATGGGTTTGAGCCTTGAAAAGCCGATCGACATCCAATTTCCTAGTCCGATAGACTTTGCGATGAAGATCAAGGGATCGCTCGGTTCGATGGTCACTAGCCCCTAGTAACTCACTGATCATTTGATAATTTCATACTGGTCTGATTGACAAAGTCAAACGCGCGAACGCGCGAGATGTCCGACCTTCCCAATCTGGAAGGTGTCACGTCCTATAAGAGCGGTGTGGCTGGCAATAAAGAGGTCATCTTGAAGAATCTCTGGTCTACATCCAGCGGCAGGCATATGCTTGAAGACGTTTCAGTCGTGCTGTTGCTCCAGTGACGCCCCGCTGGTCCACGTCAAACCCCATACATGTAGTGACTCTCTGTGGCTTCGCAGATAATGCCCGTGACCCAAAAAGTCCACTCGCTGCAAGGATTGCAATGCTTGTGTTTAAGCTAAAGCCAAATATAGCTACAGTACACTCAGCCTGGGGACTTTCGATGTACTCAGGGGAACTTCTCTTACTGGCATACATTAGCACGTTCAATTGGGAATTCCAAGCTTTTCCTACCCAAGACTCAATCAATTCGCATGATGCCCCTGTGGTCACAGGCTCCAAAGTTTGGACGGGGTCCGGGGGCTGGGGCTCCCTTCGTGGATAACACAGGCTGTCGTCGTTTCAGCTTTTCATCGCCCTTGCTTCCAAGATTTGGCTGAGACATCTAGCTCCAGACTAGCCTTCCAGCCTTTATGATACATCTACAGCTACAGTAATATGGCTCTTTGAGGGTTCTGAGCCTTGGCGCGATACCTCTTCATGATTGACGCCTGCTGGCCTTGTCGTCCATCATCTCGAGATGAATCGATTTTAGCACTGTGGGCTGTGTCCCAATATCAGCTTATATGGTAAACAAAATGCATATGTGAAGTTACTTTGCCCATATACAGCTTCCTAACAGTATCTCACCCCTTCGAAACGGCCGACTCCCAACCCTTTTCTGGCCATTTCGAGTTGGTTTATGGTAATTCCAGGCTTGCCTTGACCGCAGCGCCTAATAACGCAGTCTTCCCATAACTAGCCAAGCGCTATCGGTAGTATCAAACATGGTAGCATAGCGACGTCAAGATGAATAGCCGAATATATAGCTTTTCTAGAGGCCGAATGACGAAGAACAAAGTACGGCTCCCAATGTCGTGTACACAGTACCACGAATCATCCATTAACTACAGTTATCGAAATCTTTACGCTGGTATGAATAATACGATTATGGATGACCGTAACAGCGCCATTCACAGCGTCACTACGTCCCGTGAATGGACCATCAGCATAATAGTTTCTTGGCTGGCAGAATGACGAGCACGTTAGTCTCACCTCTCACCCCCATATGCTCTCCCCAGTGCTCAAAACTTACCTGGCCATAGTTGTTTCACCTGTTCGACCCCAAGCGGGGCCAAGTTGTCGGATGTCTTTGTATCCGAGGATGACTGGCTTTATTAGTATCAAACTATTTACAGCGTTAGTGAAGGAGATACGCTGATCAATCCTTGATTTACCAGGATCATGGCAACAACGCCTCGCACGGGGTTCGTGATTCATAAGTTCCCTTACGACCTATACCGGTATACAGGAACAATGAAGTGGCGCAAGACGAGGGTCCAATTAAGAAACTATATGCTTAAATGGTGCACCAGAGGACGTTTGGCAGAAAAGGACTTGTATGGGATTGTGGGGATCGGAGACCGAGCTCGTTTTTATAAAATGAGTGCAGGGTCATCTGACCTAGAGTATGTCAAGGGTTCATATTCTTTGAAGGACGCCCAGGTCATTGAACGAATTCTACTTGAGATCCAAGATAATCTGTAGGGTTGTAACACCCGTCAAGTTTCCTTTTGTCTGTGCTTGCTTCAAACCTGGTCTTGTGTTATTGCCTGATAGCAATGGAGAAATAATGCTCTGGCTATCGCACGCTCTGAAATCTATCGAAGCTTGGCTTTTCTGTTAAGGAACTACCGCCGTTAGAAGCGTAACGTTGCACCAATTCTACGCGATTACTTTTCAAGTAGAAGTCCGACTTAAATTGCAGTATAGCTTGTGTCAACATCGAGTTGGCTATATTGCTCATAGCTGAGCATAATGTCAGTCGAGGCTGGAGTGGTGAGACGGTGGTCCGTCGGGGTTCCGGTCAGCTCTATAAGAAGCCAAAGGGAAAGTGGCAGGGCTTATCAGAACTTCCCCGCATCAACTCTTCTTCAATCCCTTCATCAATTTCAGCTATTTTCAAAAATGGTCATTAGAAGCACCAGCTCGCCATTGACGCCCGAGCTCGATGTCTTGGTACAGCAGCAAATGGACAAATGGAAAGTCCCCGGACTGACCATGGCGATAGTCCACGGCTCCAGCACCTGGTCAAAGGTAGATACACCAACCGATTGACTATTCTATGCTCAAATAATCTCAGGCATACGGCATGGCCGAATTCCCTGATCGGAAAATGACCACCGATACTCTGTTCTCAACATGTAGCACCACCAAGGCTTTCACCGCCGCTGCTGTCTCTCTCGCAATCCATGATAGCAAAAACACTGAGTCTCCTCTTCGCTGGGACACACCACTTGCATCCATTATCCGCGATGACTTTGTGCTAGGGAACGACTATAGTACAAATCATACAACGATAGAAGATGCTCTCTCACACCGGTCAGGACTACCCACCTACGATGCATGCCTTAGTCTCGCACATCCAAATCGACCTTTGCGCGAGGCAGTCCGATATTTGAGACATCTACCTATGAAATATTCACCCCGCAGCACTTTTTCATATAATAACCACATGTACATGACAGTCTCGCATGCCCTGGAACAAATTGAAGGCCGACCTTTCGGCGAAATCGTCAAAACACGCATTTTAGAGCCCTTGGGAATGAACGATACACACTTCTCCGTCCAGGAAGTCTCCAAGAACCCAACTCTCAGTCGTCGATTGGCAAAAGGTTACACCTGGGACGTAGGTTCAGACACCTACGTCGCAGAACCGTACATGACCGATGAAGCCGTGACAGGCGCCGGAGCCATGGTCAGCAATGTCCACGAGTACACCAAATGGCTCCGAACAATGATCTACCAAACAGGACCGATCTCACCAGAAGGCCATGCAGCACTCATCCAACCACGAACCGTAATCACAGACATGAGCGACCTCGTCGCACCCCCAGCACCACACCAGCTCTATGCCCTGGGGTGGTTTATACACAGTTATCGCGGCGAGCCACTGTACTGGCACAGCGGAAGCTTGGCGGGATTTGGTATAATGGTCGGCTTCCTCCCAAGTAAGAGATTCGGATTCGCAATGATGAGCAACACAGTGAATGGGCGACACGCAGAGGTGGAGATATTCCTGCACCTCCTCGACCAGATATCCGGCGGACCAGCGATTCCTCGCACAATAGGCCGGAGCCACGTAGCCGAGTCACAGAGTAAAGCCATACCTAAGGCCCAGACTATGAGCGAAGCGATGAAACGCTTCTATCCATGCCTGCCTAATCCGCCCATCCCTCATTCTCTCCCATTACACCAATATGTGGGGCGATACGAGCATCCGGGCTTTGGATCTATCACGCTTGACATAGAGAAAGGGCACCTGGGTGCCAATTTGCTCGACCGTGTTACAGCAGGGATTATGTCCTTCCACCATGCCAGTGGGGAATTCTTCGTGGGGTACTTCTTCCAGCCAAAGTCCATTGGAATGTTTAGTGGGTATTACAAGGCGGAATTTACCATTGATTCCTGTGGGGTTCCTACAGCCATGGGATTGGACCTAGAGCCGGCTTTGGGCGAGGAGAAGATTTGGTTTCAGCGCAAGTGATGTGGTGTCGACTAGGCAGATATATATTTGAAGCTGTGTTCCATTCGATACGAGTGGGTCGCCAATTGCCAACGTTCTCTAGTTATAGATCAAACTTTAAAATCTTTACTCAGTAGTCCATGTATGTCTAATCAAAGCTTATACTGGAACTTACTGAGACAGGCAATTTAAAAATAAAGCTGCCTAGTTCCAATGTAACCGAACTACTCACACATACTCGATGCCGACCCGCTCGGCCCGGTGGAGACAAAAAAACTTTGCAATCCCCAGGCAAAAAAATCCAAAAAGTTATTGACCGACGCAGGGGTCGAACCTGCAATCTCTTGATTCGTAGTCAAGCGCCTTGCCATTGGGCCAGCCGGCCTACTTGTTGAAGAACCAGGGCAAAATGTGCTTTATGTTTGGAAAAGATGGTATTGGGTATAACGTTTCACGTGATAAGTTACACATAATAGTAGTGGATAATAGATACAGAGACTCGAGATAGAACAGGTATGACAAAAAGGAAATAGGAATGGCACAGTGATGCTAGGTATTTGATGCAAGAAAACGCTGAAAAACAAGATTCGAAACTCATGCCAACCGGTAGACAGGTCATACATCCGACTCGGGCACGGTCAGATGGATCCGAGGCACCATGGGCGACTTCTCAGAATGAGTACCCTCTTCAAGCGAGACATCCTGCGAGTAGCGGGGTGAAGTCCGCCACCCGAAGCGGGCAGAGAAAGACATGAGAAGAGATCCAATGAAGAAGCCGAGCAGGCAAGCCGCGAGACCGGCGACCGCACCCAGCACAGCGGGCAGGATAATCGGGCGAACGATACGCATGAAAGCATTCTTCGGACGGTGGTGGTGGTGCGGATGACGATGACCAGAACGATCGTTGGGCTGAGTAGGCGCAGCCCAGAAAGACGAAATAGAGAAAGGCGATTTGGACTCAGTGTTGGCGTTGGAGTCGGAGTCGACAGACACATCCTTGTTCTCAATGTGATCCTCGGATTCAGTCGACTGCGATTCAGTCGACTGCGAATCATTATCAGCAATCGAGGCAGACGTCTTCGCATCGAAAAACGACCCGACATGCGTCTTCCAGTACTTCACAACCCACGGCCGACTCTTCTGCGCGAAGTGATCTGCCTGGTAACCGCCGCGCGCGGGTCGCACACGGACACGAGTGATTTGGTGAGAACCATCCTGGTAACTGACCAGGTCGACGACTGTAGCGTCGGGGGAGACGAGGTTCCCATGTAGATCGTGGAGTTCAACGCGCACCCGGACAATACCCGCTACCGAACCCACATTGTTTGCGGGGAGGGGACGGCTGTGGATGGTGTAAGTCAATTCCACGGACTTTTCCCTCTGGGTGGGATGAGAGGCTTGGTAGAGAGGCGCGGTGAGTTGCATTGTTGTTGATGGGGGGTAGACTTGGTCGTTGTTGGCGTAGAGGCTGCCATCTTTGATGGACCAGTCAATGGACTGTGGATTGTTAGAACATGTGTATTCTGTGGATTCTGTGTATTCTCGAGGGTGCACATACCAGAAGTGATTTGACGCCGGTTTCGAGGTCATCGGGCGAAGGAACAAAAGGAAGGCGGAGTTGGTGAGACTTGATGGGCGTTGCGGAGGCGACGGCCAAGCAGAGGGCCAACCATGGGAGACGCATGATGAATAGGAGAGAGTAGAAGGAAAGGAAAGAAAAGGGAATGTGGAAAAAGGAAAAGAGGCCAAGAGGTTAATAAGTAACAAAGAAGGCGATTGCACGGCTGAGGGGAAGCTAAGACTTTTGGACCCCACGACTCCGGGGGAATTACTTTGGAATGGCTGTCTGTCCGAGAAGCATAGAAGAATCAAGAGTGGATGTGGGGTTGTGATGTGGAATATAGGAGCCTAAACCTATCCTCTACTTCTATTCCGTGAGAACCGTGGAAAATAACCTCAATTCCACTTCAAAGTCCTCTCAGGTTGAAAGCTTAGCGTCCAATGTTTCAAGCGGGTCCCGAACATGCTCCATTCATTCCTTTTGATTGGACTTGACAGGTCTATTATTATCTGCCTGATTCTGAGCGATTTAGTGCTAGTTTGCTTAGCCTTGGTGATTGTTGCAGCGACAAGGCTTGACTAGCTGTATCTCCACTGTATTTTTTCCATGGTCGATCTCCCTAGAGCCTCACCTCAGTGGTACAGGTACATGTACCGTACGACCTTGGACTCGATCCTTGGCCCCCAATGTAATGTTCCCATTCTATTACTGACTAGCACTGCCCGGACAGGGGGCTGCTACCTTATAGGTGAGCTACAGTATTAAATTGCTGTAGTACTACTGTGTACAAATGAAACATACAGATACGAAAAAAGCAATAAAGATTCGGTGATAGCCGTTGGTCCGTTACTCCGTTGCTATAAAAAAGGACACTATTTGGTTAAAAAATTAGCAAGCTCCCTCACAACCCGTGTCTCTGTTCGGAGACGCTAAAACTAACGAGCTTTTTTAGCGGCGATCGACAAAGTTCTATGTTTGTCTCGGGTATCTTAGCCCGGGCTTGACGGGGGCCGCGGCCCCCGAGCCAGACAGAGATGGTGTGAGACACGCACTGCCCCGTTCTGGTTAAGCGCATGGGAAAAACAGAAAGGAAAAATCATTAGTCTTTCACTAAGCCTGCATGCTGGACCCTGAATGCAGGGTTTTTAGGACAACTGGCAATGGGAGATACCTAGCGATAGGAGCAGGCTACTTACTTGGCGGTGGTGATGCAGGTCGAATCTCACATCTGACTTCGCTTCGTCTTGCTGATAAATAAATATTTGGCCCCAACACTCCGGTTCAACACATGACATCTGCTACGTCTGGGAGAATAGCTATCAAAGATCGTCGGCGCTGCCTAGTTCCCGGCCCCGGGGCTAAATATGCAAGGCTTTGCCACCTTTAATCTCGACACGGAACGTGCTTGTTTTCCTCTCGAGGTGTGACTCAAGATTGGACGAACAGTTCATGATTCCATTTTGTTTTGTACTCGGACATATCCGATCTACCACGTGGAGAGACTGCTCGACATACTCGCCCGGGCGGCTGCCATTGATGCTAGCAAAGTTGATCGCCCTAACCACCTTTGGGGTTGGGGCTCTGGCGTATTTAGTAAAATGGGGCCACACTACATTATCACGTCAATTTACTTTCACAGTCCCTCTGAGCTCATTCGGCCCCAGAATGACTATACATGTACCCTAAAATCATCAAATCATGTTTCATGAATTATGTACAGATCCCTAGATAAACGGACTCCACGGCTCAACCATCTGAGTCGATCTACATTGCCTCATGCCACGTAATAAGGCGCAGTCTGCCAGAACTCACAGCGCGGGTTGCTGGTGGGATCCCGCATCGGTTGGATAGTATGGTTACCAATAGCCATAATCTGCGACCGCTCACCATGGCGCTTGAAAGGCGGAGCGAGATGCGACTTGGGCACACCGTGCTGCGCAAAGCTGGTGAAGAAGTCCTGCATCGCCAGTGCAACAGTTACATTGGCGATTCCGCCGAGGCCGCCGAGGGCACCAGAAGAGCTAGAACCATTATTGTAAAAGGTGTAGGCGACATCCTGACCGTGGAGCCCGGGCGGAACGACGAATTCGTACGCGTAGGTATGGTTGTAGTATGCGCGGTTGAAGTAGTCGGTGTTACACTGGAAGATCAGATCCGAGATAACGAGCGCCGTGCGCGCCACCGAGTCGGTGTATCCATAGGAGCCATTGTAGACTGCGGGATAGAGATCCTCCGTGATGAACTTGGTCACGTTTGCGGGAATGCTCGGTGACAAAGTCGTGAGTTGAGATGCCAGGCCAGTGCTATTGACACTGTCCGGCGAGGTGAACAAAAGTCCCTCATCTGCGTTATGTCCGACCATGATATTGAGATTATGGTCAAAATCACCACTGAGCAACAGCTGCCCAGGAAGAGCTGGTACAAAGCTGCCGTCCACAGTAGGTCCGTAGGTGAACGTGCCCCATGGAGACTGAGTTGCGACCTGGTATGCATTGGCAGCGATCAATTTGTCAGACGACAATTTGCGGGCTTCCTCAACTGTGCTGACGTTCAGGTAGCCCAGGAACTGCTGCAGAGTGTCTTCCTGCTGCTCCTCGCTGATGGTCGGGACCCAACCGGGACTCTGTACAATCGCTTGCTGGAAGGGAACAGGTCCACGGGTGCCTCCGTATGCTGTGATCTGGTGCATGATTGAACCCCCGCCGGCCGACTCGCCCATGACTGTAACCCGGGTTGCGTCGCCACCGAAGAGGTGGATGTTCTTGTATACCCAGTCCAGAGCGAAGCGTTGGTCATGGAGGGCTGCATTGGCAGTACCATTGGAAATGATGCTGTCGCCGCCGGACCAGCCAAATGCACCCAGCTAGAGATAGGATTAGATATTGCAATATATTGAGTTGAGCAAATATTACTTACTCGATAGTTCAAGGAGACGAATACAATGCCTTCATTTCCCCCAGCCATGCTGCGTTGAACCAGCCCAGATGCATCTGAGCTACTCTTTTCTCCCGCAACATACCCACCACCATAGATCCACACCAGCACAGGTGCGAGATTCTTTCGGGGGCGCGAAGTTTTGTTCTGTCCGCGGTCGAAGATCTTCTTCGGGACAACTACATCGAGGAACAAACAATCCTCAGTGGTGCGAGGATCCGGTTTGGCCGGCTTGTATTCATAGGACGAAATGTTGCTGGATCCGGTGAACGTCTGGTTATACAAATAGCTCAGAAGGAATGTTGCCGCGCCTTGGGTATTCCAAATCGGAAGTGCCTGAGGACACACGCGGCCTACAGAGCCATTCTGAATATGTTCTCTGTTTTGTGTTGGGAGTACAGGAGCGCGGAAGCGCAGGTCGCCGAGTGGGGGTGCGGCATAGCGGATATTGCTGAAGTTGTACAGGCCATGAGAGCTCTGCAATAGAGATTAGTACCGGCAAAGACAAGACGGAACAGAGGACTCCGACCATACGTTAAATGAGATAGCCTGGTGTCGCTCATATCCCAGATCAACCACGGGCAGCTTAGCAGCCAAAGTCGCTGTAGCAAGCGTCAGCAGCGACAACACAGCAACCATGATGAGGAGCGCAGAGGAATGAAGAGAGCAACGTACCTCAGCTCGGGCCTTATCCTTATAACATATCCGGGGAATCCGAGTCAGGCACTAATGCACCAAGTTCACTTCATTCGTTTATGCGTAAAAACAAACACCCAGTGGAGCGCCGGCGGAGGGCGGGAACTCCCTCCCAATTGCCTCGCAAGCTCATGTGGAGACGGACAACTAGATCGATGCAACAGGCCAATAGTGGTCTCCAGATTCAATCGGTGATGTACTATGATATCAAGTTTGGAGAGGAATTGCGGAAATTTTGCCGATTTGCCGATTCAGCAAAATTGTCAGCTCTGAACGTCAGTAAAGGACAGGGTGAGCATATCACATCGCAAGCTCATGCGCTACACTGAATGAGGAGCTGCCTCCGGTGGCTGAGCGGAGGAAAAGGCACAGACTGCGGGGTACATTCTACTACTGCAACATGACGCCATATGCCATATCCTGAAAGTATAGACAGTTGCCTGAAGCGGGTCATCTGGGCATTCTAGGCATCTGGGCATGGCTTTCTTTAAATCTGACTGGTGCTTGTTGCATGGGGACTTCATCGATCCTCGACTTCGCGGATCTTAAATTCGAACATCTGGTTTGAGGCCACTTCATGTTCATTCTCCAGTTTCTCTGCAGACTCGACGCCTGCTGCTGGGACACGATACTCGAAACGATTTCCTGGAGCCGGAACAGATCCATCTGGTAGGGCATAGGGGAATGGCAGGTACTCCGGTAACAGGCCAAGCTGAACTAGAACGGTCGCTTGGTCCCATGCGATATGTTCATGGAACAAGCGATCGCCGCGGATGTTGACTACTGATGTGAAGGGGATTCGCAGGTGCTTGCCTGTAGGGGGGATGCCAGGAATCCTAGGACACCATGTCAGCAATTCATTTTTGAATTTTGGGTGAAAGCACTCACATCCAGTCCATTTGCTTCACATGAGTGAAACAAAAGATAAACTCGTCGACGATTCGGTCTGTTCCAACTGTCCGGCTGATGAGCTCAAGTGCAGTATCATCGGGATTATTGAAGATAAAGTGGTTGAGATAGAAGTGGCTGAGACGAGCTCGTCCAATACCTCCAGTTAACTGTAATAATCAGTACATTGACTAGCCGGGGCTTTCTTTCCGGATTGACATACTGTAGGAACGTGATTGACATAGGGCTCCTGGACCATCGTCGCCATTGTCTTCTCGACAGAGCGATCTCCAAACTCGTAGTAGGTATGCTCATCCCAGATCTTCTCGAGGTCAAAGAATGGGCCGCCCAAGTGCTTCTTGATAAACGCAACACTGCGAGTATGGGCCACCCCTGCTGTTGACATTTTGAAGTCCGGATGCCCTGGGATCATGAAGTTGGCAGATGATACATCCGAGTATCTGTGCGTGATTTGATCTCCATTGCTCTCCTTGTTCTTGGGGAGATGGAAGAGAGTTGGTTGGAGGGCGATGTCCCAAGAGTCGAATAAGATTGCAGTGGCTAACTTAGTGTCTCCAGCTAGCACACCCTGTAATGTCTTTTCGAATTGAGAGTCATAGTCCGTCTTTGATCCGTTTACTGGCGTCGAGTAAGTATATGTTCTTGTAGAATAGTGGGCATCCTACCTATCAATCCGACCTTCTTGCCATCGCATTCTGGGCGTTCCAGTAAAGCATGCTCGGCGTTGCTAATAAGCTGCTGTAGAGGTGTGTCGTTAATCAACTTGTCCAAAGTGATCTGTACCACTATAAAGCTCTCCTCAGCCCACTTCTTCAGAGGCTCTGGGTCGAGAGTCTTGTTCTGCTCCTGGCATTTGGCGTGAGAAAGCGGCCGAACGAGGATCAATCCAGGTCCTTTGCCACAGCGGGAGAGAGGAGACTGGAGAATCATACACTGACTCAATTCCGCTTGGGACGGCAGGTTTGAAGAAGTCATTGTGAATATTCAGAGAGTTGAAAGAGGAACAAGGTCGGGGTTCGAGATAAGCGATTGCTATATCCCCCGCTCCAACCAGAGCAAAGATGAAACAAAGCAAATCAATGCAGTGGCTTTCAAATAACTTCAAACTTGCGACGAAATAATCAGCATTGCTGCTTCTTTCCAACTTGCTGGTCCCATATACCTGCACGTGACCTGTCATTTAAGCTTGCCGCGAGCTCATCATCTCTTCAACGATGCGCTCCAACACGTCCACAATGAATGCTCTCGTTCAGTCCTCTTTGACAGACGTTGAATCAAAACTCAATGCTCTCCTGACAAGCCTCACAACCTCCCCTACCGCCGCGGGAGCTCCCGCAGCGGCCATCGCCCTCCTCGAAGCGGACGACGCGTTGACCTCCGCCATTGAAACCCTCCGCCAGCACCAATTAAACCATGCCAAGACCCTCCAATTACGTACCGAAGCACAGCAGCTGGAAGATCAAGTGAAGGGCATCGTGAGCGACATTGAAGGCTTCGACAAAGCCATTCGCACAGCTTGTGCCGACAACGGTGATAGCGATAGCGATTTCGACTCTGATTCCGATGAAGAGCTTGGAGGAAGACAGAGAGTTCTACGAGGAATCAAAGAGATCGACTACAAACTCATCCTCGACTTCGCGCGCCGGATCAGCAAATACAACCACGAAGCAGCAGCCGATGTTGCAACGAGCGCAGCTGTGAAACGACAAGGAGCAGGCCCTCAGACCGGCGACAAGGATGTGAATATGTCAGGGGCCAACGGGGAACAATCGGCAGAGGATGGCGCACAGCCAGTGGCATCAGTCACCAAAAACGCCACGCAGTGGCTGGACGACTCAGCGAACGTCACGCGCGAGGTTTACATGCTGCCATACCCGATGGAGGAGCGGATACGGATGGGACTGATGGCGCAAATTCAACTTGCTCCAGGTGGTGACCCTGAAAAAGAGATGGAAAGGTTGCTCGCCGAAGCCGACGGTCGGGGTGCAGCACAACCACCAGCACCGGTGGAACCTGCGGAAAGCACAAAGCAGGCAGACGAGGCCGCAAAGGCTGCAGCTCATGCTGGATCATCAGCTGGGATGCCGCGGGCGCCTGCACCGGCTTCTGTGCCAGCGCCAGCACCCAAACCCAAGGCGACCCTGGATCTCGATCTCTATGACCCCGATGATGACGATGATTGAATTTTGGACAGCAGCGTTGCATTTATATTCCTTATGATACCAGCTATGACAGCATGAAAATTTCATTCAGCCTTTTGGCAACGATCAAGATTTGCATTCCAATTTATTGTTTGCTTAATGGGCTATCGAAGAGTCTACATCTTGTGCACCGAAGACTTGGCAGTCCATCCCCTGAATTTCTTTCCATAGAAGTAGAAGGGGATGGCACAGAGACACCACAATGTTGCCAGTGACATGTTCAACATGATGGGCTTGACATACCCGCTCTCTTCTATACAGGGGGTGATGAACTTACTGAAGCCGTAGCCCCAGAGATTCTTATTCACAGTGATGGACACGAAGATCGAGCCCGCCACAGGCTTGTAGCTGTCAACTGCATATGTGCTGGTGATGGCTGGCAAGGCTGCGACCTGAATTCCTGCTGCGGTATATCCGATGATCACAATCACCTACTGAGGTTAGTTGAGAAGCCTTTACGAGGAGAAAAAATTACCTTCCAGTCCCATTTATATTCATATCCAAAGGCAACGATGAAGTTGCCAATGATCGAGATGATAACATACGGAATCATCGCTGGCAGACGCATCTCTGGTTCTCGAATACCTCTGTTCTTTCGAGTGGCCTTCATGGAGATCCAATCCGAGAGGATTCCATTCGTTGTCAGCCCAATGAAGCTTCCGATCAAGATCGCGAAGTTGAAGAAACCAATCGTTTGACTGTTGAAGTTATACGGCGGCTGTGCAAATACTTGACTCTGAGTAAGATTCAGCGTGAGGAAACAACTAGCTGACCACGACACGACGAATGCAGCCAACTCCACAATGGGGAAGGTCAGCAGCTTCCATGGAGTAATGAAGCTAATCAGCACTGTCTTGATGTTGTTTCCATCCAGCTGCCAGAGCTTGAACTGCTTCTTTGACGGGGTACCCTTGTGCAGATACGGGTCACGATCGCCAGCTTCCGCATTTACATTCTCATGCTGTGTAATTTTCACTGGCTTCTCTGTCTCAGACTCCTCAGTTGCGAGCCCAGAGGAGGGTTGCCCTTGAGTTCCTTCATCTGAGCGAGTGCGATGCCACTTCGTCTCGGGGAATAGGAAGATTTGAAGGAGGAGCGTCAGTCCCAAGAGGCCGACATTCAACCAGAAGAAGCTGCGCCAGCCACTATGCTCAGCCATGGGTCCTGCGATAATAGGACCGACCTGCAACTTTTAGCAACAGTCAATACCTTATTTTGGGAGTATCTTACCATGAGAGACCCGAAATAGGCCGTGAAGTACATTGTGTTATAAGCACCACGCTCATGAAGGAACATGACATCGGTGATGATCTCAGGCTGAGAAGTCTAGAGTGGACAGTCAGTGTCGCCCATCAGAGTGTAATGATCATCCCCATACCTCTGCAGGACCAGCACCAATCCCGTTGAGCACACAAGCGCCCATATAGCTGCCATAGCTAGTTGCTGTAGCTCGCCAGATATTGCTGATGAGACAAACCAGCGTCGAAAAAATCAAGACCGGTCGCCGTCCATAGGACGTTTGAATTGGAATCCTGGATCACCAGTTTCAGCGAGTGTTATTGGAGACCATGCATACGATCCTCACCAGAAGAAGTTGCTGAAGCCCAGAACCAGGATGCAAACTCCGGTGAACTGCACGACGGAGGCTAAGTCGGACTCGAACGCCTCCATCAACTGCGGAAACATAGGAGCCAGCGCCAACGGACCGAATCCTTGACTGAACGATGTCAACGTAGATACCGTCATGGCGCTCATCTTCCAGAATCGGTTCCAATTCTATGTGTGTCCATTGTTATTCATCGTGCCAGTCAATGTCCAGAGAAGAATCACTCACCAGAGGATCATGGGGATCTTGCGAAGGCTGAGGCACCAACACCCGATCGGAAGTGGATGATGATTTCACAAAATGATGAGTACCCACATCTGCCATGATCTCCGTGCCGGGGTATATCACCGTCCCCAGTTCTTCCTCGATCCTGGTTCTGGTTAGCAGGCGCGACTATAAGTGGTATGTGAACATACTGATGGAGCGCCTGGGAGAGGGAATTGTTAGCCCATGAAACAACATAAGGGACAGACTTGAGCACAGCTTACCCCTTCATTGTAATTCATCTCCATCTTGACTAAATATAACCCCGGGGGGTTGTTTGATATGAACAATGGCTCTGGAAGTCTGCGGGAGAAGAGAGAACGGTCTCAGAAACGGCTTTGAGACGACTCAGAACGTGTTCCAGCTCGAAGACATGTCACTAGCTCCAGTCGGGGCTCTGACAGTTTTTATGTCAAACAAATGAAGCTTCGATACAGTCTTTACAGTGCGGAATTGACCCGGGAGAGATCAATGAATAATTACCGAAAGCCAATGGAATAGCCACAGAAGTTTAAGGAGAGATGACATCCCCGCACATCTCGCGTGGCGCGTCATTGATTTTAGGCCAATTCAATCAAAGCAACCACTAGCAGAGCACTAGTCAACAGATAGGGGAAATATTGCTCCATGACGGGTCTATACTACGCGGAATTATAGATAGTCGGCCCACCTCAACCCCGGATTCCCCCACATGACCGGCTTCATTTCCTTGGCTTCCACCTCTCAAACTCTCCTGAAAAAGTATATTAACTCGCCTATCTTTGCCACATAACCCTCCCCGGCAATCCCTCAACGATAGACTGCCGCGTTTGAGGGGGTTTGAGGTGTTCCCTGCCAAAGAGGCGTTTCTTGGACATGTTTGTAGTCGTGGATTATCTGCCGGATTATCTGTCTCTGACAGTATGGAGTCGTCATTTATTTTGCCTCGGGAGCTCTAGACTACCTCGGAGTGAATTTGGGACTTTGATAAAAGACAAAGGGGTTGACTCGGGAGTTGATGTGGGTGATATTGCCGATCGTGTAGGGAGCGTCGATCACTTTTCATGGAGTACCGTTATTGCTTGATATATTGACTACTGAGTTCGACTAGCTCTCAACGTCTGATTTGACTATAAACAATTCTAGTTAACATATTGACAGACACACCGATGAGCAGGTCAATTGAGGACCTGCCAATTCGCAATGAAGCGGCATTCCTTTCTACGACTGCGCCTTTACGATTCTTTTCACGCGCAATCGTCACGATCATTGCCACTCGCGCCCCATACGAAGAAGTCTGGGGACTCCATTGCGGACCAATTCCCGGAAGCTCCGATCTCGTCTCGGTTTCTATCTGAAGTCCAGCGAGATCGTTGAACTGGCTTCATGCATCTCTCCGGGTTATCGGGGTTTATTTGCGACCTATCGCCACCCTTGTGTCCACATCTTCAGACTAGGGAGGGACGAAGCATAAATTATGACGATACACCCAGTCATGATCCCCCGGATGTCTCCTCCACACAAGAAAACATGCGAGAGAGAAGCTTGGTTAAAGCTTGGTTGGGCTGGGGTCCAGCTCCCCGGACCAATCGGAGATGACTAGAAACCTCGATCTATAGCAGTGGGCTTGATCTTCGTCACTTACCATGAGAATCTTCAGTAGTTCCCAAACAGAAGAAAAAGCATTTAACTTGGTATATGCCCCCACTCTTTCTGCGATCTAGGATGGCTCTTTTCTTGGGTCTTGCTTTTCTGAAGACATCGCCTGATTCCCGTCAATCTATTCACCATGGTTTCCGAGGATGACCACCCCTCCAACGCCAATGGAGATCTGGAGAAGCAAGATAGTTCCAGCGGCCACGTTCGCTCTCCCGGAGGAACTCCCAGGCCAAGCCATGAAAAGAAAGAGCGCAGGAGCGGAGCCAATGGAAGCGGAAGTTCGAACGGGATTGAGAATGGAACGGTCGACGGCCACCGTAAAACAGAACTGAGCGAGGTGAGATGCTACGACAGGTTGGGTTACAGCTTTCCATGGTGGAAGAAATGGGCCATCATTTCGGTCATCTTCATGGTGCAGACCTCAATGAATTTCAATGCCAGTTTCTATGCGAGCAGCATCACTTTATTTTCAAAGCATTTCAGCATCTCTGAGCAAGCCGCGCGAGTTGGCCAAATGGCCTTTCTCGTTGCTTATGCATTCGGCTGCGAGTTCTGGGCCCCGTTCAGCGAGGAGTTTGGCCGATGGCCCATCATGCAATTGAGCTTGTTCTTCGTCAATATTTGGCAAATTCCCTGTGCGCTGGCTCCCAACTTTGGGACTATAGTCGTTTGCCGTATTCTCGGTGGTCTATCATCTGCCGGTGGCTCTGTGACCCTGGGCATGGTTGCGGATATGTGGGAGCCAGAGGACCAGCAATATGCCGTCGCTTTCATTGTGCTATCTTCCGTGACAGGCTCAGTCATTGCCCCGGTTGTTGGTGGTTTCGTGGCGACCTTCTTGGACTGGCACTGGAACTTTTGGATCCAGCTGATTCTCGGAGGCTCTGTGCAAATAATGCACTTTTTCGTTCCGGAGACGAGATGCAGCATCCTCGTCACAAGAGAGGCGAGGCGGAGACGCAAGCATGGGGAAATGGTGTGGAGCGGTGATGAGCTCAAGAAGACGCGCATGTCTTTCCGCTGGGTATTCATGGTTTGGGTACGGCCCTTCATCATGTTCCTGCGAGAGCCTATTGTCCTGTGTCTCTCACTTCTTAGTGGCTTCAGTGACGCCCTGATCTTTACTTTCTTGCAGTCTTATACCCCGGTCTACAAGCAATGGCACTTCACTACGATTACAACCGGGCTGGCTTTCCTTCCGTGAGTGCAAAAGACCCCGAGCGATGATTATACTAACAGTTCTATAGACTTATGGTGGGATACTTAATCGCCTATTTCTCGTTCTTGCCATGGATTCGTCGACATTGCAAAATCCAAGAAAGAGATCCAGATGGGCTTCAACCGGAGGCTCGTCTTTACTGGTTGCTATGGGGTCAGTCTTTGCCCAATGCTAGTCTGCTTCCATTACTTACAATGTCATAGTGGCGCCACTGTTGTCGATTGGTCTGTTTGGATTTGCGTGGACGAGTCTTGGACCACCCCACGTCCACTGGATTGCACCCATGATCTTCTCAAGTTTGATTGCCACTGCAAATGTGATGAACCCGCAACAGTCTTCTCTTTGAGGTCCATTACTGACTATCTTTGTCTTTTGAAGTATGCGATCTATATGGCAACAGTCGATTACATGATTGCATCATATGGCCCATACGCCGCTTCGGCAACAGGAGGCAACGGCTTTGCGCGGGACTTTCTTGCTGGTATCGCAGCCATGTATTCCCTTCCCAGTAAGTTTGCAGAGGTCTCCAGCAGAATATCCACTAATGATATACAGTGTATCAGCATATGGGCACAGAACATAAACTGGAATGGCCATCCACATTTTTGGGCTTTATGGCTATCCTTTTCACCATTCCGATCTACGTTTTCTACTGGAAAGGCCCCTGGATCCGAGAATTGTCGCCCTTCGCGCAGACACTGGCGTCCGACAGGAAGGCGGCTGGTCGCAGAGTGTCGTCTTGTGGTTCCGGCGACCCAGACCCTGTCGAGCGATATCTGTCATCGCGATCTGACCTGCCGGAGAGATGTTCCAGTCATTCTCATCATGGGAGTAATTAGACTTCAAGACTAGAGTTGTGTCCATGATCAATTGGCACAGGAGCTTACAGAATTGTTGCATAATTGCATACAATGGATGGAAAAGGTTTTGCGCATGAAAGGATTTCCTTTTTTGTTAGACATTCGTCGCGTGCTTATACTTGCCTTTTGTCTTTTGGTCAGTTACAGTCACCGTTGGGGATTTTTATAACTCAATAGAACCGTGTTTCCTTATTTTATAGAACAATGAATCCCTTTGTATTGACATGAAGTTTCTCTTCGGGAGATGTGCTATCACAAGCATCCTTGGTTGCGTGGTGGCAGTATGCCATCATCATGCACAGCCAAGGCACACACTTCCTCGGGGCTGATTTCCGATGGACCACGATAGTTTCATGAGCCTCACTATGTGACGAGAGAATCAAGGCGTATTCCAGGCAATGATCCCGGCTTTTGTGGTTCCCAACACTGAGTTTGCCTCAGCCCGTCATTGTTCATCAAACCACCAGGAGGGCATTAATAGCCTAAAAACATTATGTGTTCGGCAGTGAAATCCGATCCATTGTCTATATAGATGTACTCGATGGGGCCCATTATCTGATCAATTTATTGATTCCAAGAGGCCTGAAGATTCTGAACGGCATACTCAGTAGCCCAACCCAGATCAGCCTCCACGCCTCGTAGTAAATCAATAATAATCTGATGTTCTTCAGGGCTTTCTAGGCACTGTCCAACGGCGTAGAGAATCGGTATCATGAATATCCGCACACCACCGTGTGGGCGGCCTAAGGCAAGACCACAAACTTCACGAGAGCGGAACTCCACTTCCTTTGTAACCTCTCGATACCCCTGTAAGCGATCAAAAGCCGTAGATGGTGCACTCATTATATCTGGCGGTCGATTGAGAAGCAGCGCGATCCGCCCGAAGTGATAATGCTGCATAGCGGCAGCACAAGTGGTTAAGCCGTGGAAAATCTCAGGGAATGGAAGCTGGCTCCCTTCGGGTCTTGATAGATCCTTCGGGTGCTCGATCCTCACGGAGGGACGGAACGTCTCAGGGACGCCATCAAACCACGTTTGAAATTCGAAAGAAAGCTTGAGCCAGGTGCTTGTATCGGGATATGATGATTGGCTGCTGCTTGATGTGCCTTGAGCTTCAGGTGAGTTTGCTGGTGGGGAGCCTGTCCATTGTGCGATTTGGGACTCCTTCGATTTGGCTAGGAAGTTGATTACTTTTGACACAAGCCACGTCAAGCCGTTCGTTGCCTGGTCTTCCTGTGTGAAAGAGGTTGATCCGCTCGGGACAACGTTGAGTTCGTTTTTCTCATTAATCGAAATCCCGGCAGTACACCAGAGGGAATGGTTCTCTGGAATGAAGTGTGTAGGTGATCGAGTGAAGTAAGAACCGAGGTAGTCCTGACGAGCAAAGTTCCAGAATGCAGCCCGGATTCCATGGGAGAAAGAAGCAGATGCTTTTGAATGAACATTGAGAAGTGATTGGAACATAGGGCGAATTCCCGAAAGTTGTCTATCCCTGATGTGAGTATAAGAAAAGTAACAAGCTGCCGGGTTTACTTACTTATGCCAATCATATCCGTTCGCATCCAGAAGCCGATACATAGTCAGAAGCATGGCAGTAGCCAACAGCTCTTCTGTTTTCCGAATAAGTGGCACATCGTTTGGATCATCACTGGCAGGTCTTAAATTTGTCTGAGTCTGACGCGAGTTCAACCACCGACCAACGATCTCAAACGGTGATTCCAAGACAGCAGAGCTGGATACGGCGGTATAGCCATCCGAAGTGAGATTATTCAGATCAGATGCTGCAAGATAGTAGTAATTGGCAGCTTTTAGATACCAATCGACCTGGGTGCCATTTGGATAGACTTCAGTTGTGGCAGGGCTTGTATACATTCCCCCGGTGGGAGATTTGATGCCCTTGACACGACCTAGATGCTTGGCGGATAATGCGGAAATAGCATATTTGACGGATAGATTGTTGATGGCACGTATGGGAACATAGACTGTGAACCATTTTTGAGCATCCGTCAAGTCCAACCTAATTGTAAATTAGGATGCTGTGTGGAATAAGAGGGAAATATATATACATACCAGGGACCCAACACTTCAGAGTAATGACGGGTGAGAAAAGCGATCTCGTGTTCAGTTCCGGTCATGAGTTCCGAGAAGATATCCTGGAAATCCTCTTTCTCACTTCGATGTGGTGAGGTCTGGGAGGGTATCTTCCTTTGATCATCTGGCATGTCATTGGATAGTCCGAGGTAAGCCGTCTCAAAAGACGACAGCCCCCTCGTGCCAGACGTTGGTGAAATTGGGCTGTGGATCGTTTTTGTAGATCCAGTGTTTTGCTCAGTTAAGGAGTTAGTAGGAACAGAAACAGTCGGGTTTCCTGATATATTGATGGCTTCTTGCTGTGTGGTTCTTCGGAGATTTTCTGATCGGCTAGAAGGACCAGTCATCTCTATGTTCATTGGGCCATCGCTCGAGTCCAGGCTCGTCTCCCCCATTTGATGGTGAAGGGAAGGGCCATCATGTTCTTGTGGATGGTTAAATGGGATTTGTTCATTACTTGTTTGTGAATGACTTTGCTGCGCCGAGTCCAAATTATGCTCTGCGGTGGCCTATGACGAAAGATAAGGACTCACTTCAAAGGAAAGGGGAGAGGTGGCCTTTCACATACTTTGTAGGACTGAGCCCCGGAGCTCGATTTGGGATGAGCCTCTTGGTATGGAGCATAGCGACGCCTTACAGTTGCTCCTTGATCAATAAATTTGCGGGTTTGAACATATCCAGGGCACTCCACTCCAGCAGTGGTGCACCGCTGACAGTGAGGGCGGGTCTCATCACACTGTGAATAGTTAGAGCCCATTATAGTAAAACCATGAAACACTCTTGGACTGACCTTTATATGTCTCTTCTTGCAACGCTCGCAAGCCTTGTTGGAGGGTACCCCAGGCATTGTTGAGTTGCGTGATAGTATCGCGATAAGAGTGCTCAAGTGTTATGGTCATTGGAATGTGCCCCTTTGTAATAGCACAGCAACGTCATTCGCATTCACATATCGAAACTTATCCCAGAGCAAACAACCAACTTGACTAAGATAAGAGTTGATATCAAGTTCCAAAGGCGGTGATGTCTTCTCGCGGCTTTTTTTCGACCGAAACTCGGGACTGTATCCACCGCCCGGCAGAATATCATGGCCGTTTTCTGTACATGTTCATGTCGTCATTCACTCCTTCACCTACTGCTAATCATGCTACGGACGCCTCAATCTCTGAGTCAAGGGGATATGTCCTCGCCACTAGTTCGATCTATTGAAGATGAAGCTCCAGCTAGCTTCCAGATACGATGGAGCTCGATATCTTCCACACAGCCTGTTTTATCGAGACCAGAACAAGGCCGTGTCTATCAAGAATGGATTGGTTTGTTACCCATAATTCCGAGATGATCCTATTATTGCTAACTTCTTTCAGGTGCTGGACGGCCTCACAATATAGTTTGTTCGGAGTGCCGTCTTCCTGATAGTCTTATCGGATGTCAGACATGCTGCAGATCCTATCATACAGCATGTCTTGCAGATGTTGTACGCTCTGCCAATGCATTTTATTGCCCATCTTGCCGGGAGAGGGCTTGGGATCATGCACCACCTCAGTTTTCCGTGCCGCCTTCGGCTTCAGGTAGCCCTCGTGGCACCAATTCGGGTGTCCAGTCACCGCAGAAGCAAGACTCACCGTTCGGATCCACCTCAATTAGAGCTGAAGGCTCGCCGGCGGCTCCTCGACCTACCTTCAGCTTTTCTCGAATGCCACCTCCCGGCTTGAACCGGGTCGAAGACTACGATTCCGGTCTTGCACCGGACAAGCTGCCTCCTGTTGCAGAAATGTATCCCCAGGTTCTGGAATATCTTAATCTCCCAGGGGCTCAGACTGACCAGCTTGCCCAACTGCAATTCAAGAATCAACTGGGATTAATGATGAAAGAGATCGAATCATATCGATCGCTGCTCCAGGACCAAGCGAATCTCAGAGAGGACCATCTGAGACTACAAACCGAGAACACAAAGATCAGAGCATATCTCAATTCCAGTCTTGCGCCACGAGAGCCTGCACTTGCAAGCCCTTCGACATTCTCACACAGCATCCCGAGGCCACCAACAGAAACGAGAGGGAAATCATGGGATAGCATTGCCCTTGACCTGATTTGATGGTTCGCTAGATGGTCCTTTTTAAAAGACTTCATATGTTGACCATACGATGGCAAGAGGATCATCAAACCGAAGACCTGAAACTGCGATTGATGAAAATCTGCAACCGAGAAAGCTTTGAGCAGCGTGAAACTACTCTCTTAACCATGGGTCTTCTTTGAACACTTTCAATTTCACAACAAACCATCAAAAATCCAAATATATGGAAGAGATGGGCCTCCGACATTTAGCCGACACTCCGACCGGCCGATCGCAAACTGCTACTGTCACCCCTCATACACCGTCCCACGTCCAATTCGGAGCAGCGCAGAAAGGGTTACATTGAATATTGAAGAGAATCAGTCGGCTTCAATCCCATCACTGGGCCAGCGCTCGGAACTCACGGATTGCCCCTGGGACACCACGTTCCCCGCAGCTCGGGGTAATTGACTCGCCCCGCGCCCTGATCTCAATGATCGACAGTCGGCCAGGGACCCGAGTCATTTAATACTATATTGGAAGACTGTTTAGGCATCTTTCTTGCGCATCTTTGCGGTTCTTTCCGCTCCGTGGCCCCTTTCCGTATAGTGGAAAGCAAATAAGCGTTACACGGTGTATTTGCAGGGCACTGCAGATGTGACACCACAGCTTTGGCCGCGACCGATGCTACGTGACTCGGTTGGAAGTGAAGCATTCTCAATTAGCCCCCGATGTGACTGGATGGCGCTTTCCCTGAGCTCCTCGAAAGGCAGGCCGCATGCCGATCGGGGAATGCTTCCCCCGCGACTCATTACCGATCGGTAAATAAGTAGCTTAAATTCCCAACGCGTCTTCTTGAATACCGGAATTCGAAGCTGTTGGCGAATCAAGTTTGTGGATAGTTTTGAGTTGATCATGCCATCAGAACATCCCCTCCGTATGGGGGTTCTTGGTGCATTCACGACAGCTCTTTATGCCTCTTGTGCTCTAGCTGCGACAGATGACTCTGACGTGTTAAAATATGTCGATCCTTTGATCGGAACTGCCAATGGAGGTTCGTTTTAGAACTACACAGCTTTTTTGTCTGGAAATAAGCCTAACAACCTTCTTAGGCCATGTATTTGCAGGTGCGACGTTGCCATTTGGTATGTTTATCCACAATACATTGAAACTTCTGTCGCAAGACTAACAATCTTAGGCATGGCTAAGGCCGTTGCAGACACGTCGGGTGAGAACCAGGCTGGCTTCGCTTATGATACAAATGTTGTCACCGGATTTTCGCACATGCACGACTCTGGAACCGGCGGCGTAGGTTTTTCTGACAGTGTTTAGATTTTGTCTTTGTTTATTAATTCACCCTATTAGTCTCCATCGATGGGCAATTTCCCAATCTTCCCGCAACCGAATTGTCCCGGCGATGATATCCATCAGTGCAAATGGCAGCAGAGGGATCGTGCGGTGACCTGGAACAGGGAATCCCCTGAGGCTCGCCCTGGCTATTTTGGTATTTCATTGGCCAATGGTGTTCACGCAGAGATGACAACAACAAATCGATCTGCCTTGTACCGGTTCAAGTTCAACAATACTTCCAACCAGCCGCTCAGCCCGGTTATTCTTGTCGATTTGATGGATTTACCTCAGTCACGAAGAAACGGAACTGCTCATGTCGACCGCTCAACTGGTCGGCTTTCTGGAAGTGGTACTTTCAGCCCAAGCTTTGGAATTGGCAGATATAACTCTTATTTCTGCGTTGATTTCAAGGGAGCGGAGCTTCGTGAAACAGGATCCTGGTCTAATAATGGAGTCGACTTCAGCAAACCGAGTTTGTCGCTCGGGGTCAACTCATCTTCCACAGTATCCGCTGGCACATTTGCCAGATTTCGCAGCCCCAAAGACGACACCATTCTTGCCCGAGTGGGTGTCAGCTTCATAAGTGCCGACCAGGCATGCTCCAACGCAGAGCGAGAGCAACCTGAATTCGACTTTGAGGGCACCGTCTCCGCAGCCGAGGCTGCTTGGCGGAAGAAGCTAGGGGTCATTTCCGTAGATGCCCAAGGAGTTTCATCTGAGCTGCAAGAAGTCTTTTGGAGCGGAGCATACCGCTCATTGATTAGCCCTCAAGACTACACAGGAGAGAACCCCCTGTGGAAGAGTGACGAGCCATACTATGACAGCTACTACTGGTAAGACGATCTGATCTGCAGGCGCATGAACAGAATGCTCACAAGATAATCGCTTAGTATTTGGGACTCGTTCCGCAGCATTCACCCACTCCTGACGCTGGTTGACCCCTTGTCGCAATCTCTAATGATGCGCAGCTTGATTGACATATATCGACACGAGGGCTATCTGCCCGACTGTCGCATGTCCCTTTGCAAGGGCTATACACAGGGTGGGTCCAACGCAGATGTGTTGATGGCAGATGCGTATTTGAAAAAGGTCGACGGCATCGACTGGGATACTGCCTACCAGGCTGTGGTCAAGGATGCGGAGGTGGAGCCTGCGAACTGGGACGTCGAAGGGCGTGGTGGTCTTCACAGCTGGAAGCACCTCGGCTATATTCCATTCCAGGATATTGATCCATACGGCCGGGGCACGCACACTCGCAGTGTCTCACGGACAGTGGAATATGCGTACAACGACTTTTGTATTGCTGAGATGGCGAAGGGTATGGGTCACCATGCTGATTATGAGAAATACACGATGCGAGCCGGAAACTGGATTCACGTATTCAAGCACGATCAAAAGTCAAGCATCAAAGGCGTGGACACGGGCTTCACCGGTTTCCTCCAGCCTCGGTATCCGAACGGGACATGGGCTTACCAAGATCCGATATTCTGCAGTCCTTTGTTGAACTTCACGTCTTGTTACCTTAACCCCGATGGCCACGAGACATATGAAGGCAGTGCATGGATGTACACTTTCTATGCACCCCACGACATGGGCTCTCTAATCAAGACCCTCGGTGGTGCCGAGTCCTTCACATCTCGCCTGCGTTATCTCCACGACTCCGGATTGCTCTACATAGGTGACGAACAGGCATTCTTGCCTGTTTATCAATACCACTACGCTGGACGACCCGGTCTCTCTGCGTACCAGAGTCATTCCTACATTCCGTCTCAATTCAACACTACTGTGGCCGGAATCGCTGGCAATGACGACAGTGGTGCAATGGGTTCATTCGTGGTTCTGAGCATGATGGGTCTGTGGCCAGTCCCCGGTCAGGACGTCTACCTGATCACTCCGCCGTATTTCAAAGAAGTCAGCATTCGCAATCCTGTCACCAACAAGGTTGCCACTATCCGCAACATCAACTTTGACCCCAGCTATAAGTCCATTTACATCCAAAGTGCTAAGTGGAATGACAAGCCATGGACCAACAACTGGCTCACTCATGACTTCTTTGCTGAGGGTGGTGTTCTTGAGCTCGAGCTTGGGCCCAAGGAGAGTGACTGGGGAACTCACATTGAGGACCTTCCTCCGAGTATCAGCAAATACGAGTAAGGTTGATAACCAGGCAACGTTATCCCCTCTCTCAATTGTGCTCTGGATTTTGGGAGAAGGGATAAAAAGCCATATTCAGGGATGCATTTTTGAATGCTCACACACCGCATGTCCGGGATGGCAGTTCGAGATTATTCTTCACTATATATAATCTACAAAGCCTGATCGCATTCGAGTTAGGCACTGGTATTAAAACTTCTATTCTGAATCCTCTTTTTATAGACATTTGACCACAAGGATCCGAAATAGTTAAGTTATAACGTATTTCGCCACCGAGCCGCCACCCTATCAAAAAACGCGTCAATTGATTAGACTCTCTTTATCAACCACCTACCATGCCACCAATTCGCTCTCAAAGCGAAATCGCACAGAGCAAGAGGGTAGGATCTTATTCGCATAACGTATTTCACTACCGAGTGGATCACACCACCGAGTGGATCAGCGACGCGAAAACGCGTCATTTTATTAGACCTTCCTTCTTCAACCACCCACTATGCCACCAATTCGTACTCAATCCTCTCGAAATTTAGTAGAGCAGGAGGGTAGGATCTTATTAGCTATCCAGGCTATTAAAAAGCGAGAAATCACCTCTATACGCGAAGCATCACGTTATTTTGAAGTACCATTCTCTTCTTTACGGAACCGCCTTAACGGCCTCACAAATCGCTCCGAAACTCGCGCTAATAGCCATAAATTGACCGAAATTGAAGAAGAAACGCTTCTAAAATGGATACTCTCCATAGATTCTCGTGGATCAGCCCCTCGGCCGTCTACTGTACGAGAAATGGCTAATATTTTACTCGCGTCGCGTGGATCTACCCCGGTTACTTCGGTCGGCGAAAATTGGGTTACAAAATTCGTGAAAAGGCATCCAATCCTATCATCTCGGTTCTCAAAACGGTATAATTTCGATCGTGCGCAATGCGAAGACCCGAAGGCTATTAGCGATTGGTTTTCTCTCGTCCAAAACACAGTCCTTTCCTATGGTATCGATCCCGATGATATCTATAACTTCGACGAGACTGGTTTTGCAATGGGCTTAATTGCGACAGCGAAGGTTATTACGAGAAGGGAATACTATGGTCGCCGAGCACTTTTACAGCCCGGAAATCGCGCGTGGGTGACTACAATTGAATGTATAAATGCTTCGGGGTGGGCGCTTCCTCCGTGCGTGATCTTTAAGGGCAAAGCCTATATCGAATCTTGGTTCGACGGCCTCCCGGAGGATTGGCGCTTCGAGGTTAGTCCGAATGGATGGACTTCCGATGAAATTGGCCTTCGGTGGCTCGAAAAGCTCTTTATTCCGTCTACTTCTTCGCGTACGAAGGGGAAGTATAGACTTTTGATACTCGACGGCCACGGAAGTCATTTAACCGCGGAGTTCGATCGAATTTGCGAAAAGAACGATATTATCGCAATTTGTATGCCTCCGCACTCGTCTCACCTTTTACAGCCTCTCGATATTGGCTGTTTTGCGGTGTTAAAGCGCGCGTATAGTCGGCTTATTAAGTCAAAAATGCGGGCTAGAATCAACCACATTGATAAGCTAGACTTCCTCGAAGCCTACCCGTCCGCGCGAATTGAGGCATTTAAATCGGAGACTATTAAGAATAGCTTCGCCGCTACCGGTTTAATGCCTTATAATCCCGATCGAGTGATCTCGAAGCTCGATATTCGCCTTCGAACCCCGACACCCCCTCGAGCCGAGGAAGCGAGTGGGAGCCAAAAACGCCGTCGAACTACGTCCAATTACAAAAACAAGCTTCGTTAATTAAGGCTTTGCTAAAACAGCGCTCAAAAAGCCTACCGAGCCCGCTTAATTCCGCGATTGATCAGGTTTTGAAGGCCTGCCAAATTACGATGCAATCGGCAGCTTTGCTCGAGAAAGAAGTAAGCGAATTACGCGCTGCAAACGAGACGAAGAAGCGAAAAAGGACTCGATCTAAAAGGCAAATAGCTTCCGAAGAAGGCCTCTCTGTTTTAGAGGCCTCTACATTAGCAATGCAGCCGGAGCAAGCAATTATAGCACCAATACCCCGCCAGGCAGGACCGGTTCCGGCACCTTTACAGCCACGTACGAGGGCCTTACCGAAGTGTGGAGCATGTGGAATCGAGGGTCATAAGAGAAATGCGTGTCCAAATAGACCTCGTTTTTAATTTATTGAATTTAATGGCGTTTTGGTTGAGATAAATGCATTTAAATCTACTAGGTTGTGGGAGCTGATCCACTCGGTGGTGTGATCCACTCGGTAGTGAAATACGTTATCCAGGATATTAAGAAGCAAGAAATAAGCTCTATCTTTCTCGCTGCTCGTGCTTTTGGAGTGCCGCGTTCGACTTATGCGACCGCCTCTCTAGCTGTATAGAACGAGCTGTTTCACGCGCAAATTCATATAAATTGACTGAAATTGAAGAGGAATGCTTGTAGAATGGATACTTAAGTTATGACAGTTTATGCCTTCAAATTGAGGTGTCCGTTCTGTCGGACCTTCTCCGTATCCACTCTGCTCCCCGCAACCTAGAGACGCACTGTATGATGTACTTGTACGATGTACAGAGTGTTTGCAAGCTCTCATGTCTGCTACTAAATCACCCCCACAGAGCCCAAGGGCTGATTTACAAAGCCGTCAGCGCCCCATAGCAGAGCAAGCATGCAAGGAATGCCGCCGGAGGAAGTCCAAGGTGCCGCCAAGAACTTGAAGCTCTCCCTACAGAAGCTGACCGACTCGCAGTGTGACCGAATTGTCCCAGTGTGTGTCCTATGTCACAAATTTGGTCGGAGATGTGTCTATGAAAGACAAACCAAAACGCCTCTGACTCGACGCTACCTGACCGAGGTGGAAAGCGAGCTGGCGCGAACAAAAGCATTGCTGCAGCGATTTGTTCCGGATGAGCAAAACTTGGATCATGCTCTCGCATCAGAGCCAGGAGGACCTGAAAGAGCTTTGCTACAGCCCCCGAGAGGCTCTGATGCACAGCATTTTCGGAATGCCGGGCTAGTGTCTGGCGGTCGGACTGGGTCTGCTGCGGTCAGTACTCCCAATATCACATCTCAAAACTACACTCCGACCAGGACTCCAAATGCGCCCATACTGCCTGTCACGGGCCCTTCAGAGCGAGCACCAGAAAGGCAGTCACTAGGGCCCTCCGAGCCTCGCCCCTCGGGCCATCAGGCTTGTCCTTGGAATCTCCCCCGTCATCCAGTAATTTTGAATGGGATGAACGAACGGGAAAGGCCACAGGCGATAGGTTTGTCGACGGTATGGCTAGTCTGACAAGTAGTTCAAGTGAAAGCGGCTATCTAGGTATGGCCCAGAACATGTTTATGAGCTTTTTTCTAACAGCGAGGTAGGCGTCGCATCTGGAGCCGCATTACTGCGGATAACAGACACCCAATCGAACAGCGAAGACTATAATTCAAGGCCGTACCCTGAAGGATCAAGCCGGCAGCCTTGTGGCATTCCGTTCTCCCTGACGTCTCTCTCCCAACTAGAACCATTTGTGGATGCATACTTTTCATTGTACCACCAATCTTATCCTATAGTACACGAGGCTAAATTCCGGGCTCAGTTCATGGAAGTCATTCCTCGACCCACAGGTAATGCCTGGCAGGTCCTACTGTTTGTTTTGGCCGCAGTGGGTGCATTCACTGCTTCAACCCAACCTACTGATGTAGACCTTGGTCTGTTTGAAGCTGCTAAGGCACGGCTTTCTATCGATATGCTGGAGACGGGAAACCTGCTACTTGTGCAAGCCTTGACTCTCATCTCAAATTATATGCAGAAGAGAAATAAGCCAAACTCTGGCTATAACTATATGGGACTAGCACGTCGCATTGCAATGGGAATTGGTCTGCATAAAGAATTTCCGACCTGGGAGACCAATTTGCTTACCATTGAAATGAGGCGGCGGGTATGGTATTGTCTGTATATATTCGACGTTGGCGCCATCATCACCTTCTCCCGACCTCTTGATTTCCCCGACGATGGAATTGAAGTTGAACTTCCTTTGAACGTACATGACAGTGTGAGTTACCCCTCCATATGACTGATGCTGGTGTCTCTGACTTTCGTACCCAGGATGTCACGTCTGGAACGAAGCAAATACCACAGCCAGCCAACGAAACTACTGTTTACACCCATCTACGAGCACAGGCAACGTTCCATATGGCCTCGAGTCAGATCTACTCCAGGATCATATCATCGCCATTTCCATCAGCAAATGAGCTTATTGAGTTGGATGACCGACTGATTGGACACTGGCTTGCTAGGATTCCGGCATTCTTCCAAGAGAACGTTGTCCAAACACCAAAGTTCCGACTCTGTCACTCCATTGTATGTTGGCGATATCGAAACTTCCGTATCCTAATGTACCGCCCTTTTCTAGTAGGACGCCTGATGGTTCGCCCAGAACGAGGAGCATCTACCGTTCAAGAGAATGGCATGCAAGTGGAAATTGCAATCCAGCGCTGCTTAGATGCAGCTCGGGAGTCAGTACAACTTATCTCTTCATTCTGGGCACAGGAGCAGAAAAGCATGATGGCCTGCTGGTACGGACTGTATTTTCTGTTCCAGGCAGTTCTCATCCCAGTCATCTGTCTACGCAACGACCCACAATGTGCGCTTGCAACAGGCTGGCGCGATCAAATAACCCAGGCGATGCATGTGCTTGAATCAATGACACGGCTTAATCCCACAGCTTCTCGTTGTCTGGGAGTTATTCGCTCTCTGTGTGGGTCATACTTTAATCCTTCTGTTGATGGTTGGGGTCCAACAGAAGAGTCGCCGCAAACGCAACTCGCTAATCTGTACCCATTGATGTGGCCAACATTGGAAATGGCGCAATTGGACGGCACGGATTCAACGCTGTAAGTCTTTGTGTTCTGCTACAGATATATTCCACTCGGTATTAACAATCTGCAGACAGGAATCAACCATTTTGGACTTTATGAATCAACTGCCGGGCTTTGAGTAGATTATACGGTGTATAGGAACACTGAAATGCTATGTGTATAAAGTGTGTTGAATTTTTGCCTCCTGTCTCCATGGAGGAATCGATATATGAAAGCCCAACGGGCACCTCCTACAAGGAGCACCAGTCATAGGCCATAAGGCCTTTCACACCCACATCTTTATACAATCTACATGATTAACCCGAGGAACGCGAAAATGGGCAAAAATTAGATAAAAAGGGGGTGAAAACAAATGCATGAAATGGCGTACTCCTTTTGAGGCTTTCGTGTACTGTCCAAACCTTCATCAGCGGCACTGTATACACGTTTATAACCTCTGCTGTAGGTAATTAGGCTTTAATTTGTTATTTACTTTGGCTAAAGACCACATTGTACCTTAAGGCAAGGTATATCCGCCATCAATAACAAGGTTGGCACCAGTCATATAGCTGGAAGCGTCGGAGGCGCAGAACACATAAGCCTTAAGACAGTTAGTAAATTTCTCAATGAGATTTGTAAATACTCACCCCCTTTAACTCGTAACATTCCGCCATTCTCTTAGCAGGGATCATGCTGAACCACTTCTCCTGCCATTCCTTGGGATGAATGTCCAGAATGTCGGTAGCAATGAACCCAGGCGAGATACAGTTCACTCGGCAGTAGTCAACCCACTCGACGGACAAGCACTTGGCCAGCTGCACAACACCTGCCTTTGACGCATTGTACTGCCAATAATTAGCAAAATCAACCAGCTATAATCGGAACACCTACCGCAGCCTGTTTCTGGGGCACATTAACCAAAGTCGCACTGACCGACGCTGTGAATATAACATTCCCATAGCCCTGAGCCTTGAAAATGCGCCCAGCCGCCTGAGCAGAATAGAAAGCACCGTCCAGATTGACCTTCATAATTTCGCTCCACTGATCGGTAGTGTAGTCCTCAGCGGCAATAGACGAAACAATACCGGAGTTCACAACCATGATATCGAGTTTACCGAAATCCTTCGCGACCTGCTGCACGGCGGCCTCAATCTCAGACTGAATGCCCACATTAGCCTGATACGCCGCTGCGCGTACGTTGTTGGCGCTTGCAATCTTGGCTGCAATGTCATCGGCGGTCTTGGAAGTGTTATAGATCAGGGCGACCTTGATCATCTGTTAGCTTGGAGTTCTGGCGACAGAGGGGAAGGGCAATTTACATTAGCTCCAGCTTCAGCCAATGCTTTCGAGACTTCTAGTCCGATTCCGCGAGCTCCGCCTGCAAATTGTTAGAGATATTTCTCCAAATGGCGTGTGTTGTACCAGTGATCACGGCAACCTTGCCGGTGAGGTCGAACGCTTTCATGACATGCTGGTTCGGGGGTTGTGAAAGGACCATTTTGGCGTGTTTCAAACGTTTCAAGCGTATAAAATGTAAGAATATGAAGATAATCGCTTGAACTTGAAGCCCGAAACGTTACGTTGTGTCCCCCTCATCGGGTCAACTCCGACCGGAGGCTGTTGTCCGCGCGGGCGACGATGTCCGACTTGCGCGTCAAACACGGAAAACCGGATTTCTTGTGATTTGCCTGTTTTGCTGGTCAGATGGTTTGAGCTGGAAGTGATATTATGTAGCAAGGCTCTTCCGATAAACGCCTTGGGTAGTTTAACACTGCCAATGATAGCTTGTAGTTGACCTCAGTATAAGACCACTTCTATAGATAAAGACGGCATATGCTAATTATCAAACGAGGATCATGCAGAGCAAAGAGATTAGCATTCTATTATAATAACTTAAGTATACAAGTCTTCACGATACGCCAGCGAAAGAAACAAACTAGGCAGCATGCTCAATATGCTCTCCTTTCCCATCAAAGTTCACTGCTTTATCAAATATAGCTCCACTGGTCACAGGCGAGGGACCATCAAACACCTCGGCGATCTCTTCAAGGGAGTATCCCTTGGTCTCCGGGAATGCAAACCAAGTTACAACCAGCACCACAACATCAAAGCAGCAGAAGAAGATGTAGTAATGCCACCCGATATTATCAAGTGCGATCGGGTTCACAAATGCTAATACAATAAGTGAACTATAGACGCTCAGCAATTCCACAGTCAGCCCTTTGCTGCGAATGGAGAAGGGGAAGATCTCGGTCGGATAACCGAGGAGAAGTGGTGTATAAGCGATGTCATAGTGAAAGTAAAAGATGAACACAAATGCGATCACCGTCGAGCCTAGCGCGTTGGCTTGTGTACTATCAAACACGGCAGAGCATGCAGTCCAGATCACGAACGAAAGGAGCATGCCTGCTGCCGACCATAAGAACAATGTCCGACGACCAAGTCGATCGACAAGAAGGGCACCACTTCCCGCTGCAATGAAGTTGAATATTTGCAATAGGCCGTTGATGAGAGTCTGAGTATCTGAGTCTTTGATTCCGACAGTGTCGAGGACGAGGGTGAGGTAGTAAGATACAACCGCAACGCCCTATATGGCATGAGGTTAGTCGACGACAACACTGGTGCGACCGAGAAGACACTCACGTTCCATTGCGCAAAGGCACCCACGCAAACTGCAATGAAAGTGCGCTTTCGATTACCTGGAGTCTTGACTAGAGACGACCATTTGGTCTCCGCGGCCTGGCTTTCCATTTCAATGGTACGGACGATCTCAGCCATCTCGAATTGGATCAAAGGATGCGTTATATCTCCGGCTGTATGAAAACGAGCAAGTAGTCCCTCGGCCTCTTCTCTCTTTCCATTTGCAATTAGCCAGCTAAATTCTATATGTCAGTATACTGTTCATGCGGACCCTCCCAAAAATACAACTCACCGAGGCGACTCTGGGACCAACCACCAGAGCAAGATTTGAACAATGGGAAATCCAGCTTGAATGATCGAGGGGACCCTCCAGCTCCAGTCTGAAGATGCCATATGCTTTTGGGTACCATAAGCTGTCCACGAAGCTAATATGGCACCAAGATAGTACATAGTCCAGAAAGCACTGGTATACTTGCCTCGATGAGTCGGGTATGCTAGCTCTGTAATGAGCATCGGAGAGGGCTGCACGACTAGCATGGAGCCAATGCCAACCAAGACACGAGAGAATACAAACATTCCATACTGCACCGATGCAGCCTGAATAATTGACGCAAAGACAATCACGATGGCACCCGACAACAGCGTCAAGCGTCTTCCAATACGATCGGACAAGATTCCAACAAAGGGCAACGAGATCACACTTCCAATAGACTGCGCTGCATTGACGACACCGAGTATTGAGCCCGATGGGTTACCGAAATACTGCTTCCATTCGGAAATAGATTGGAGGCCATTCATGAGGGATCCTATCCAAGATGAGCTACCCAATACTTCAGGTAATAGAGGAAAATTACCTACCATCATATCCAGCCACAGCTGACGACAGCAAGGGAATGATGAGAATGAGATTGAGTTCTAAGAGGTGCGGTACTCTGAACCAAGGACGATCATATTGAGGCAGGACTGAAGCCAGTGCCTCACCAACGATATCTTGGTTTTTCATTGTGGTATGGGTGCCGGGTCAAAGATGCAGACTGGAATCGAAACCGATGAGCATTCAGAGGGACAAGGACTCTCATATATCCGGTCTACCTCCTCGGCATGCAGGGATAGAAGGCCAATGGCGCCTCAGCATAGACAGAACCAGCTAACCTGGCCTAGATGGGAGTGGAGCAGGTCGCATGTCTTCCCCGTGGGGTAATCTTTGCAGCATGACGTTGAAACACTTCCTCCTGTCTTTGGGCTCTGCCGTCTTTCTTTGTCCCCGCGCGGATCGCCATGTCCGGTCGACGGAGACTGTGTCCGTCCCTGACGGGATCCGACATGAAGATCAGACCACTCGTAACTTGGGATGCCGAGATGGACCTCAATGGGAGTTTCCATGAGTAATGTTACAGTGGCACTGTTGGATTCGACGGACGAATGTCTCCATGTCCGGACGGCAACAATGCGGCTGGACACCGGGGTCGTCTTCTGAGAGCCTATATGAAGCCACAGGGTGGGAGGAATGGCATTTTGATCAAAAAAATTAACATCCGCACCAGCCCTTCCCTCCCCCACTGTCACTTTTAACATGGTTCACAAGCAGAGCATCCGTTGCCCAGCCCCAGTGCTACCGGACAGCGTTTTCAAAATGTTCCAGATGCACGGGAAAGTTGCTATCATCACCGGCGGCTCTGGTGGAATTGGATATCAGGTTTCTCGGGCTCTGGCAGAGGCCGGTGCCGACGTTGCTCTGTGGTATAACAACTCGACCCAAGCCGAGCAGCTGGCTGTTTCTCTCGCGGACGAATTTGGAGTAAAATCGAAGGCATACAAGTGCTCTGTGCAAAATTTTGACGAGGTTAGCCGACGTCTTGTCAATCTAAAAGAATAACGAAGGAAATTTCCTAAGTGCATTCCTGCAGGTCCAAGCCGCAACCGAAGCAGTGGTGCGTGACTTTGGTAGACTCGACGTGATGATTGCCAACGCAGGGATTCCCTCCAAAGCAGGCGGCTTAGATGACAAGTTGGAAGACTGGCAGCGCGTGGTAGATGTGGATTTTTCAGGCGCGTACTACAGTGCCCGAGCTGCTGGTGCGATATTCCGCAAGCAAGGATCAGGGAATATGATTTTCACAGCCTCCATGTCAGGACATTCAGCCAATGTCCCACAACAACAGGTGAGCAACTCGATGGTTTCGGGAGAAGAATATTGACTGTGTATAGGCATGCTACAATGCTTGTAAAGCAGGTGTCATTCATTTGGCCAAGTCGCTCGCTGTGGAATGGGCTGGCTTTGCCCGTGTCAATTGCGTGAGCCCTGGCTATGTTGACACTGCAATCAGTGGAGATTGTCCTTTTGAGATGAAGGAGGAATGGTACAGTCTCACACCTCTGAAGCGAGATGCAGATCCTCGGGAACTGAAGGGTGTTTATCTGTATCTTGCAAGTGATGCTAGCACATACACAACGGGATGTGATGTTGTGGTTGATGGGGGTTACACCTGTCGATAGAGCAATAAGATTATAGTAAAATAAAAGCTTAAGCCTCTTACATCTTGCGAAAGTGCGTGGTCGGATACTTTCTGCGCCTAGAGATGAAGTTCTATACAAAGTTACAACCTAAACGCCCAACATGGGATCTGGACATATTTTGGACTGCTCATCGCATTTCCGGTCACTTTCACTGATTGGCAGTCGAGGTGACCGGGGTCTATCTCTGCCACGCTTACAATTTGTCTCGAACTCAAAGCCAAAACACCAATAAAGAAAGCAGACAACTTTGAAGTGCAATAAAGACTTGGCATTGGGAGCGGGGTGGATCCTCCGTCAGCGGAGCGGGTGCTCCACGTAGGGATAAGTGTCATACGGCGGGGGAGTACATCTGCAAAGTACCCAAGTCGAAGAATAATGTAAAAAGCAAGCCCCCGCGATGTCTCATGCTTCAACAATTTCCAAGTCTTGATTCCCAACCTGATCATGGGCAGCCCACCACAAACAAACCCCTCGTTCGTCCTTCGAGCTGTCAAGGATGTCGTTTTTGAAGACCGTCCAGTTCCAACTTTGAAAGACCCATGGGATGTACGGGTGCAGATCGCGCAGACGGGAATCTGTGGAAGTGATGTGCACTACTGGCAGCGAGGACGGATTGGAGGTAAGTGCTGCAAAAATTGACGAAGAAAAGACTGACTCGGTACATACAGACTTCGTCCTTGAATCTCCGATTGTTCTCGGGCATGAAAGCTCGGGCACCGTTGTAGAGGTTGGATCTGCAGTCAAAAACCTCAAAATCGGAGACCGAGTCGCGATCGAACCAGGCGTGCCATGCAGACAGTAAGTGGCATCGTGTCGACCTTCTCGTATCCCTAGGCTGATAGTGCCTAGCTGTGATTATTGTCGGAGCGGGTCGTATAATCTGTGTCCAGACACGGTTTTTGCAGCAACTCCTCCCCATGATGGAACCCTCTCCAAATACTATATCACGCAGGCCGACTTCTGCTACCCGCTGGCATCCCACATGGATCTTGAAGAGGGTGCACTGGTCGAGCCAGTCGCAGTAGCAGTTCAGATCGCCAAAGTAGGCAACGTCAGACCGAATCAGACGATCGTCGTATTTGGATGTGGTCCTATCGGTCTGCTCTGTCAGGCAGTGAGCAAGGCGTACTCAGCTCGGAAAGTGATCGGTGTGGATATCAGTCAATCGCGTGCGGATTTTGCACGTACATTTGGTGCCGACGATGTATTTGTGCCGCCTCCTAAGCCAGATGGGAAGGACAGCTGTGCTTGGAGCGAGGAGCTGGCAAGGGTTATGAAGGAGAAGTTCGATCTGGGCGAAGGGCCGGATGTGGTACTTGAAGCCACAGGAGCTGAGGCATGTATCCAAACAGGCGTCCATCTTACCAAGAAAGGGGGCACCTACGTGCAAGCTGGAATGGGACGAGAGGTGAGTCGGATGCTACGTCTTATGGTGATGGAATAATGCTTATTTTACTGTTAGAATGTCGTCTTCCCCATCACCACTGCCTGCATTCGCGACTTGACCATCAGAGGCTCTATTCGCTACACAGTTGGGTGCTACTCAACAGCTGTTGATCTCATTTCCAGTGGCAAGATTGATGTGAAGCGACTTATCACTAATCGATACAAGTTCGAACAGGCCGAGGATGCTTTTGAACTGGTGCGGCAGGGAAAGGAGAGTGTGATCAAAGTAATCATTGAGGGCGTTACTGCATGAGACTTTGTATGGTGAGAAACCAAGAGTCCGTTTACAACTCATTCATAATTCATATCCTTCCTAATCTCATGAGAGTAGTAATAGTTTTAACGGCCCTTGCCGTCGTTTCTCAGCGCTATAAAGCATCAGCCTCATCCTCGTCGGACTTCTCTTTCCTTTTCCCCCAACCAAACATACTTTTAGCTTTCCAAGCCAAGCAGCTGTATCCCTTCCATCCCATCATTTTATCCATTCCAAAAGTTTCCTACAGGACTTTCTACGTTGTTCCCTCACGAACGCCAAAATGGCCAAAACCCTCACTCCCAAGAAGGTTACCAAGCCCTCTTCTGCCCAAGGCACTCCCAGCAAGGCCACAAAGCCCAAGGACGCCAACATCGACAAGGACCTCCTCTTTCTTTGGTCTTGTCTCAAGACTGCAGAAGTTCAAGTAAGCACAAAACTGTATCGTTTCCCTGATGAAATATAGAATATCTGACGTTGTCCACATACAGTTTGACTTCCCGGCAGTTGCTCAAGGCCTCGGCATCAAGACCAATGCCGCCCGTATGCGCTACATGCGTCTGAAATCCAAGATCGAAGCTATGGACAACGAGGCACAGAAGGGCACTGCTAAGACTGAGCTTGAGGACAACGGCCAGCCTGAGAGCGAGAGCCACGAGCAGCGCAAGGTGAAGGAGGAGATGGAGGATGATGAGGCAGCTCAGCTATGAGTCCAACAGACCGATGAGGGCTGAATGCCCGTTTACAAGGAGGAAGTGAGGTCCGATATCATAGGGCCTTGTGGAGAACTGTCATGGCTGGTTGTGTTTTCTGGCTTTTGCTTTTGCTTTTGCTTTTGCCTTTGCTTTTGCTTTTGCTTTTGCCTTTGCTTTTGCCTTTGCTTTTGCCTTTGCTTTTGCCTTTGCTTTTGCCTTTGCTTTTGCCTTTGCTTTTGCCTTTGCTTTTGCCTTTGCTTTTGCCTTTGCTTTTGCCTTTGCTTTTGCTTTTGCTTTTGCTTTTGCTTTTCTGCAGATCAAATAATTTGAATCATCCATCACTGAGTCTACATGTCCTTACGAAAAGTGTAGTAGCAAAGACTTCTTGTATTCCGCTTACAATGTACATGTGCTGTCTGCTTTCGAGTCGTATTTGTCATTATTTGTCAATTAAGTAAAATAGCGATGTAGATATGCTACCAAATGCGTGGTGAGACCAGCCACTATTCCAGAGAACAGCTTTCTCGCATGAGGTGATTGAACTGACCCCATCCAGCTTCCCTGGCGTTCTTCACATGAGATTCCTCAACATCGTTTGAATCGTTTGCTCAGCACTTCAGACATATAAAAAGGACCTTCGTCCTCGTTTCCCTCTCTCTCACTTGATTCCCTTCCACAGCAAACACTTTCATGCTTCTGATTTTCATGCTTGATCATCCCTCTACAGAGACATCTAACGAAGATTGTACTCAGCCACCCATCACCCACTCCAAAATGGGACCCAAAGTCGCAACCCCGAAGAAGGTCGCGAAGGCTTCAACATCTGCTGGTAAAAGCCCCTCGAAGTCTGACTCCGACAAGAACCTCCTCTTTCTTTGGACGTGCCTCAAGTCTCTTGACGCCCAGGTAAGCTTACAGTACTATCTTAATTTCATGAAATATGATTAACTTGAGATTTGTCATCCGCAGGTCGACTTTGCCGTCGTTGGCCAGCAGCTCGGCATCAAAGCAACTGCCGCTCGGATGCGTTTTGTTCGTCTCCGACATAAGCTCGATAACATGGAGGACGAGGAGGAGCAGAGCCCTGCCAAGAATGAGCACCAGGACAATGGCCAGCAGGATGACCCAGCCGCGCTGTGAGCCGAGCCGAGACAGCATAAATGGAGAGGCCCTCTGAAGTGATTCTGCACAGTGTAGGGTGGCTTGGGACACTTTCTTTTTTTCAGGCATTGCGTTGCTTTTTGTGTTTTCTTTTCCTTTGCTGGTTCACTGTCCCCTGCTCATTTCAGCGTCTCAGATGGTTTGAGAACAAAGCCCAATTTATTTGCACTCCTTTGTAATTTTCCAATGTACCTTTCTCAGGTACAACAAGAAAATGAGACATACGGCAATGTGCTGCCAGTCAATATTCCTTGCCATATGGGCGGTGAAATTAACGTATCATTGAAGCTCTAGTTTTCTGCCCTATTTGCTTCCTAACCCAGTACCCTTATTTATGGTGTGAATGATATCCTTTGTACTATGTTTCTGTTTCCTTCCTCTTCTCTATTGCCCTTGGTTTGCGTCAAGATATAAACAATGATATCGAGGACATAGAGTAGAACAAGATGGTGTTCTTTTAAACCGGGCTCGGTTTTGCCGGTTTTACATTACATACTTATATCAGATGCTTGGTCCTTCTCTTGGGATATCTTTTGTAATATTATGTAAGTTACTTGATCGTACAACAGCTCTATTAAGAACTAGGAATGACATATCTCCGACCATCATCGACCGTATTTCCTATCCACGTCCACTAACTCTACCACACTATTCTCTGAGCGTGATGCGTAATTCACCGAGTAGCTAACAGATTTGTTGATATTGCTGTTCCCTTCGGTTTGTCTAACATATTCCGCCGCATTCGATGGATATGTTCGGCCCCGAGAGCCTCCCAGAAGGCCGGGGAACCAGCGACCGATCAGGGCTCTGAATGCAGGGAGACAGGCACACATGATGGCAATCTGAGTCTCAATGACAGACCAGTGGATGAGAGGATATAGACCGAGGGTCTGGTTAGCACCCCAGCGGTGGTTCCAGAAGACGACGACTCGGATAATGGCGATGATAGTGAGGCTATAGCAACGGTCAGCGACATGTCCAGAGGCTCAGAAAGGACACAAGGGGGAATGGTTACAGTGAGCCCACGACAAACATCAGTGCCACAGTAAGCTTCTTCTTCAGAGGCAACTGCAACTGAACGACCTCATATACCGGCATGACAATCATGATAGAGTCGACAAAGATGTTGACCAGACAGTTGACAAGAATCGAAGAGATAAAGTCAATGCAATGACCTTCTTCCTCATTCATCCAGCCAGTCCATGTCAAGTGGGTCGGCAAGCAACGGAAAGAATCCACACAGGCCCAAGTGATGCCAGTGGCAGCGTTGATGCCGATGAGTGCATATGCCATATAGCGGAACGTGCGGGACTGGAAAATCCGCAGCAGGAAAAGGCAGACTGAGATCTTGGCCAGAGATATTTGCAGCTTATACATCACGGCGAGACCTTGGAAAAGCTGTGTTTGTTAGCTTAGCAATGGGCTGCAAAAGGGGAGACGAACCTGGTAGAACTTGGTGATGTCGTCGAATGGGACATCCCAGATATTCTGACCGAAGCCGAAGCGGATCACTACTTTGTTAGTATCTCTTGACAAATTCAACATGGTGGGTAGACTTACTGTAACTATTCAAGACGTAGATAGCAATACCGAGAACCTGCAAGACTGTTAACATCGCACCCAAGGACATGACAAGTGGGACGCACGAATGAAATAATGATAGTGTAATCATCCCATCCCCATCCACCAGCTAGGCCGCCACTCTTGGCCATAATTCGCGCCACGAAGAAAAACGTGGCGAAAATGAGAGGGACTAAAGTTGCGCCCTCGACCACAGAAGGGCCTTTGAGGGGTGTGATGTCACATTTCTGCTCATAGAGTCGTCTCGTAGCTGAGACTGTTAGGACTAGGCTATGCGATAGACGATCAAACACTAGTGAAACTCACTAAAGTACTCCTTTGTCGTGCAGTTGCTCGCGGCACAGTCGAGCAGAGCGGTCGGGCGTGTGTTGCTCTCACAGAAGCATGTCTTATTGCTCAGTGAGCATTCCGAGAACAGTGCTTTGTCGCAGGCAAGCTAGGACCTGTTAGCCACAAACTTGACTTTCTTGAAGAAGTATACATACTGCGCAGGAAGGGAATGTGATCGCATCCGGCTCAGACGCGTGCAGCCCCACGACCAGTAGAGCCAAAAGAGTGAAAAACAAAAGGAACTTCATAGTTATGAATGAATGAGAACAACCCCAATGAAGATTGAAATGAAAAACATCCTGAACCGGGGCAGCCGCCAGTTTTGTTACGGCTTCGGTACCAATGTCCCTATTGAGCGTGGAGAATCGTCTCACGTGTTAAGGTTATCTATTTCGCACGATGGCTTCGTAGATCTCGGTCTAAATCTACTCAGCCAGTGCATTTTCGGGGATTCAGCTGTCAATTTCCCCATTCCGAAAGTCGGGTCGAGTGAAACGAGCCCTAATCTCGGCGCCTCCGGTGAAGTCCCAACCGGGCAATTTATCCGTTGAATGTCTGAGAGAAAACGGGGCTTCCTTATGTCGGGGGAACCACACGAGGTCTCCATAAGAATGATAGGTACAGATCGATTGTCTCCGCCTCATTCCACGGATCCTGTCAGCCTTAACTATTGAACACTGTTCTTGAAAACACGCAACGCCAAGCTCTGCAGGGCTAGAGCCGCATGTGTAGGTTTTTTAACCCTGGAAGTGGGAAAGTGGGAGCGCCTCGGATCTGAATCAGACCAAACTAGCTCTGAAGCTATTGAAGTAGCGCAGCATGCAGGGGCGAATGTTCTGCAAGAGGTGCATAACATTGGCTTAAACACAATTTGCACTGCTTGCATACCAGTCCTCGGCTGTTTCAACTCTTACCTCTCAAAAATATGGAGAGTCTGCCGTACATCAATATCTGATTACTGAACAACTGCACATCTTCACGTCTGCCTATCTGATAAAATGCCCGAGGTGCATACATGTAATTATAGAAAAGTTTTCGCCTCCGCCAAGCATCCAGATCGGGACCTCTCAATTCTAGGCCCTAAAAACCAACAAATACGACCATTTCGCATCTCTTGAATTAGCCTAACTCGGCGGCTGAGCTAACATTATTGTTCTCCTCGATGAAGAAGGGCATTTGATTGAATTTCATACTTGATCACGCATTGCACAATTGTAGCGATCTCATCAAATTGAACCTTTTTTGCAGTTGTGGAGACCATTATTCGGGATCGCCATAGACTTCAGACCGTTGTTACAGACTCCAACTCGATTGAAATTGCGCAACCAAGCTAAATAGCTAGGTCTGTTTACATGTACATGACTGAATTTGTTGATTTTGCCTTGATTTACTTCGAAGCCATCAACCCTGCTAGGTGGATTTGTTTCTTCAAAAACAAGTGGATTCGAATGGAGCCTTCTTAGGTTGTGCTGCACCTCTTTTCCACCTTCTACAAATGAACATTTGTCATGCATGGGTATCTCTCTATTATTCTCAACTAAACTTGACCTCGACTCAGCCCACTTTTCTCTTCTTCGATTCCAGGTTCTTGACTGGATGTAGGAAAATAGGGGGAAGACAAAGTCGACTATTCTCTTTTTCCCACTGCTTGCCGTTAGAAAGAAAAGCGATTGTTTGGTCCGAGGCAAATCACGTACCTCTTCGGCGCCATCAAAGCCCATCCAGGCTCTATACAACTTCTCTGAAAACTTCGAGTTGAACATGAAAGTCGTGTTGTAAATGATATCATTATGCTTGTCCCAACTCCAAATACTGTCGATTCCAGCATTGACCATGCCAGGCTCACCCGGATTGGCCCGGCGATTCAATACCTGTGGGTCCCACTTGGACTCATGGTACACCGGGTGAGGAATCTGAACAGCCTTCAGACCATAGTACAGAGCCCAAGATATAGGCGACATCTCCGAAGCGAGCCCAACTCCCATTTTCACTTTATCATGGTGCAAAAGGCGAAGTAACCGCGCCGAGACGCGAGACATAGCTACGACCGCAGCTCGTCGGGGCGTCTCTTGTTCTTGGGGGAAAGTTGAAGACCCGGTCTCGGAAGGGCCAGTCCGTACCAGTCGGATCGAAATGGGGGAGCCAGGTAATGAGCTCGGCTTCTTCACCCACGCCCCATATTCCGGACTCTTCTTCTGGATGTGGAACGGGTGGCAAAGGAGATTGTCCTTCGATTTCGATTCCCTCCGCAGGGCGAGGGCCCCAGATACTGTCATGTCCAGGCATTTCCTGGTCTATCTTTTTGGTGAACTCCTCCCAGGTGCCATGGACGGCGGGAATGTAGAAATAGGAGTTACGTTCCCATAGATATTTCCGGGGCTGCTGTTTCGCGAACTCTGTTGCTTGGTGTAAGAGGTCGTACATATGCCCGGTATACCGTGCATCCATCTCAAACTGCCAGATGTATTCGTATTGAGGATGCAGCCGTGAGAAGATCTGTGTGGGCTGGAAATATTGCAATATCGCTCTAGTAGAGAGTCAGTGAACAAGCCTCTTTTTCTCAGAGAGAACACATACACATGGACGTCAATCTCAGGATACCAGTCCTTGAGCATTTTGTCATTGAAAAAGACTGCCAATCCTCGCAGTTCTTGGGGTAAATGCTTCTCTTTGAATGCGGTCCAGGCAGCGTCATCGTTCTCTTTGGGCAATTGCTTGTCCTGGCAGTCGACTAGGAGAATAACCTCGTACTCTCCTCCCGAGTAGAGAGACAGCTCCATGATCATAGACCGAATGTTGTACAAATCGTTCTCGGTATACTCCATACCAATCCATGAGCGCAAAATAACACCCGTCCGAGGCTTCGGCTTAGGCTGGGCTGCTTTTCTTGTTTCCTCCAAATGCTTAAGAGATGATTCCGGAGGCGGCGTCTTTTGCATCTCCGGATCGAGCGACCTGTAGAGACCCCAGATACTCTTCTCATTTGGCTCGGTCGTACTATATCGGAGGGCATTGCGCTGCAGGCATTCCTGTTGTAACTGGGCCCAGTCCACATGCTCCCAGTCGATTTCGGCTGCCTTGCTAGATCTAACTGATTCGCTATGCCAATCGTGCATTCGAGATGTCTCGTTTCCCTCGGTATATCCGTAAGCACTATATCGGGAGTAGCGATCGGCGCAAAGACTGCGGTTTAGATTCCATGATTCGTATGATCCAAAAATGGGCGTGGGGAAGTCTACATTCACGATTAGTTTCCTTTTAAACGACCTTTCCTGTATCTGCTGTCACACCTGAGATGTTCCAGTGGTAGCCGCTCATCATCGTGTCTTCCTCTTGACGACTGAGAAGCCGTCCGTGGGGCCCAATGCATGGCCGATACGATCCTTTCGACGCGGAGATCCATTGCAAACTATTATAGTCTGGATAAGGGTCATTGATGACGTGTGGTGAGTCTATAGGCTGTTGAGTCGCATAATCAGTCGGAAAAGGATCAACGGGAACCTCGATAGGTCTAGCATAAGTCAGAAAGCGCTGAGAAACCAGTAATCACACAACAGAAGAAACGGGATATGCAATTACTCCGTCAATTTGGCGCGTAATGGCACAACAGCGATAGCTTGCTCTCTACAGTAAGGAACAATCAAGAGCACAAGCAAGAGCAGAAGAGCAGCAACAGCAAAACGGCGCCTCGGAGAGCCAAACAACCCCCGCAGCGCCACGAGAGAGTCCATCACGGCGAAAGAAGTATACAAAACGCGAAGAGATAATCTGGGAGCCTCGCCATTTTCTAATTTCCGCGTGAGGCGTAGCGGCTTGGCTCGGCTTCACGGCGCCGTAGTCTGGTTTCTCTTCAGGGCTATCGAGCTGATCGGGCCAATGGCAGGCTGGAGATATTGCATGTTGGGGGCTTGCCGAGACTCCAAGTGTTTTCCAGGTGATGCTTTATAAATAAAAGGGGTTCACAAAAACATACAGATGGAAAGAGTCGAGTGTTTGGCATTTGTTCTAATTTAAAGTACTGTGCTGTACAATGTGTCGATCGCACGGAGAAACGTGGCGGCTCACGCTTGCGTTCGGCAGCTTCCGAGAGGTGCCGGATCTGCAAATACGAACATTGTGTCTCACATATTGTGTGGTATTTATTTGGCTAGAATGGCACGACGTTCTGGGATGCAAGCAATTAAACTCTATGCATTTCATGAGATCTCAAGGTACGTGCTCTCAAAAGGGGGAATATCGCTATGTACTCAGATACAGAATCAACCCAAGCTCCTAAACATCACTCCGACAATCCAATGACAACCCACTGTAATGGGCAGCTGCATGTTTCGTACAAACAGGCTCTTCAATATTGTTACATGTAATTCTCAACCCCTATCATGATGGGGCTTCATTATTGGCCCGTCGACCCCATCCACTGAAGAAGCCCCCTCCCCCGGTGTTGGTGGCAGGGGGTGTCATCACTTGCTTTGACGGTTCTGTGGCAGCTTTAGCAAGGCTCATTCGTGACGGCGAAAGACCAATGAAAGAATGGCGGTTCTCTGCCTTGGCCGCCTGGGATGGACTGATCATCTTTCGTAATGCCTCGAGCTTGCCCTTCACTTCCTCAAGCTCCTGCTTTGCGACTGCCTCCGCAGTCTTGGAAGTGACCAGTTCCATGAGCAACGCCTCTTCGCCAGCCGGTCTATTGTTCTCGGTTGCCAACACATTTTGGAGACCTAGGCTACTGGATCGTTTGCTGTAGGTTGGGCTCTTCGTGGAGTTGGTGCGGGTGAGCTTGAGCTCACGCAGACCATTCGTGGGGGAGTGCGCCTCTCCATAATCAGTCGCAGATGAAGGGGACGTATCTGGTGGTGTCGCTGAAGCTGAAGTAGGTGTTTTAATGGTACGTAGTTCTCTGTTCATGCGCTCGAGTCGCTGTCGATCGCGATAGCCATCCTGAATCCGGCCTCGGGCTTCTCGTAATTGTTCTTTCAGAGATGAGTTCTCTTTTTCGAAATCGTCGATGCGACGGGTCAGATCCAAACAACGGCCGGCTTCCACCTCGTGCATTTCCTTCCATCGGGCGACATCGTCGTTTAGTTGGAGCTTGGTTTGGGTGATTGAAATACGCCTTGGCACGCTAGGTTCAAACCGTGCCTTGGCCTTGTTGATCAATTCTGTCGGTGTTTCAGCTGGCATTTCTTGGAGGAGGCTCAACATTTCCTTGGCCAAGGCATGGTCTTCTTCACGGTCCTCTCTCTCCTGTTGCAATTCACGTGTCAAATCGGCTTGTTGGCGTTGTAAGTCGCTGAGTGCCATTAACAGATCTTCAATCTGAGTATGAAGGTCGCGGTCCTTGTGATGTGAGGACATATTAGATTTGACACGTGATTTATGGCCATCGGTGCCTGTCATGGCAGTTGAAAGCTCAGTAGGAGCAGTACTCGCGTCAGAGGTAGTTTCGACAGAGTTAAGGGTGGACGTGAGGCTTTGTTTAGAAGTTGAGCGACGGATGGTGCTGTTAGGACGTGTCGGGCTCGAGTTCGGGTTGAGTGATTTCACTGATTGATGAGAGTTGGAAGAGCCAGCCCATAGCCTCCCAAGGAAGCCAGAAGCTGTGGCCTGCATCTGGGGGAAGGAGATCCCAGTGGGGTTACCCTGGGATTGATTGTAACTGGCTTCAAGGGTTTGAAGACTCTCGTTTGTCACGAGAGAGGTGAGAGACACAAAGTCGTTGACCAAGTCATCCGCATTGAACGCGTATCTGTGTCACCAGTCAGTGTAGTTCTTTGTTTGTGTGATCACAAAGACTTACGTGTCCCACAGGCTTCGAGATAATAGCAATTGCATCACGTCCTCAAACTCGGTGCAAGCGAGAATTCTCTTCTCGTTACGCTGCATCAAGGAAAGCGCAACTCGCATTAGAGTCTCACAAGCGCCTTCCAGGAAAATGACGTCGTAAATTCGGAGGAGCATGGGGAGTGGACATGCTACCGCAAAGAATGACAAGAACCACTGTGACACGTAAACGGGTTCAACATGCAGTGACTCTAAGTGTTCAAAGAGAGCAGGTCGATGACGCGCGAGGAGATTCTGGAATTGGTAGACATGAAGATGAAGACCAGAGAGATCGGGAAGGTAGCATGTTCGGAGGTTGTAGTGGTCCATGAGACTGTACTCCAGTCAGTACTTGGTCCAACTTCCATCGTCTTCCACCCTCACCCAAAGGGACTTACCGGACCAAAACACAGAAGGCCTCAGCATCTGTCATATGCATGAGCAGAGGGCCAACCACAAATCCAAGCCCTTGGCAATAACCAATCTTGGTATCATAGAGACTAAAACATCTCAATACTCGAGCGAGCATCTGCTGGCCCTCGCCATTTGGGTCGCGGAACATCTCCACATTGGGGAAACTCCGACCAATATCCTTGCCAATCAGCCCGTCATACGGACTACTTTCTCCCTGCAGTCGCTGGAACTCTTCCAAAAGGGTCGGGTCGCGAGCACCCGCTAGACTTGGCCAAACCACTCCTCGCAGTGGCGGGGGTACACCTCCCTGGATCTTATTCGAGGTCAATGTCGGCAAGCGCTGAGCCGTCTGATGATAATCAGCCACCAGCGCAGCCCAAAACTCCAACTCGGTCATCGGTGGAGGAGGCAGCTGAGAGTATCGCAGCTCAGCCCGCGCCGGGTCCTTGATGAGTCGCTTGATCTGGTGCAGCGACTCCGAGCGGGATTGCCGCTGATGTGTCTTGTGTGGAACATTGGTAATGCCTGATTTGGGGTTCGTTGCTAACGCGTTGTTCTCTTGTTCGAGTCGAGCGAGGAGGAGGGCGGTGGACTAGAAAGAATGTCAGTGCCCGCATTCCACCACTCGCAACTGTCAACCCACATCGTCGGACCCTTCCCCACGCGGTTCTTGCTCCTCGGTCTTGTCCAGATTCTCCCAGTTCACGTCATTGTCCCCTTCCTCCAATTGCTTCTCTCCGTTCGCGTCGGGTGTCGGCATATCGTCCTCGGGGGTAGGGGTTGTCCTGCCGTCCTGTATTGCTGGGCAAAAAGAGTCGGTCTCCTCCAGGTGGGTTGCCACCACTGGCGTTGGAGGAATGTCGAGGTTGCGCCAATCGGGTTGTGTATGTTCGGAACTGGACTGGATATCCGATAGAGAGACGGTGACCATAGAATCGTGGTTCAACGCGTGCGGACCGGGGGATACTGGCTCAGGACCCTCCATTGTGGAAATCATGTATGGATCACGGGGCGCGTAAGTAGGTTATATTTCGACGCGGGACAGAAGCGCGGGCATCCACTGCATAGCTAGGATTTCCACTTGAGCTCAATCGAGTAAAAGCGACAGTTCACAGTCTTAACCCGCACAAGAGGCTGGAGAAAGGAAAAGGGGAGTCAGGAGAGCAAATCCACTTTAGCCCCTTTAGCTTTCCCCTCCTGAAGTCTCGGCCCCGTCGATCCTCTTACACCGACTGTTTTGACATTTCTTTTTTATATTAACCTATGTTTACACTATGGACGTCTATACTTATTTACACTTACTACCCGTGGACGTGAACCAGTTTCCTACTCTCTTCCGTTGACGTTCCATGGATCTTCGCCCCACGTTAATATGAGCTACAGTACGGAGTACAGAGTACAAGTAGTAGAATAGGTAGGGGGCTATTTTGCGCACTCAATAAGACGTGTCCTCTTTTCGGGTTATTATCAAATTTTGCTATATAATTATCAAATTTCTGCATATGACCTGCAGCTGCACTCGAACTATTGTTTATGTATCCCCTGACGAAACCTCTGGATGTGTAATACACCAAGGGCTCCATATGTAATTCTGGTACAATTCCATTGGTCAGTCCTCTATCACTTGGCTCATCATTGGCGGTCTGCGACGTTGCTCCTGTACTGTAATTACGCGCCACCGTTTCACCTTAATCTTCTGGATGTCACTGGGACAGGAGAACTACTGTAGAGGCTGGCCAGCGTCATGTCTCTTCTAATGCGATTCTGCATATACCCCGAAAGCCAATGCTATTCTACTATCCGAGACCTAAATACATTTAACTCATCCTGGCCTTTGTTCTGTGGATCGCCCGGTGGCCCCTGCAGTCCGCCTGTCAGGGCGAGGTTTTGAGTCCATTCGGAGGCCTCGAATTTTTTTCCATTGTGGACAATCCAGTTGCTACATGTAATCAGTGCGAGACACTTCTCGATTTTGAAGGATATCTTGCTTATTTGGGGGGTATGCTCATCTTTTGGCTTTCAGGGCTAGGGGCTACCACATCAGAAAAGCTAGATACTTGGCTTGTTTTTTGATGTGTTCTCATTATAGCTTTACTTGGCAAAATCGAAGGATATGCCCCCTTGCTTAATTAGTTATTACTCTACATGTATGTCAATCAGCCGTTTCAGTGCCGGTAACTCTAAATATCCCGGTTGGAATGATGCTTGGAACCATGCAAGGGCCATATGGTGTACAAAACCCCACGGCTGGGCCTATCAATGCAAAAATCTATACAGTACATGGCAAATGAGTATGTCTTCCTTACTCTGGTCATCTGTGAAGTTTTAGGTGCAAGGCCAGATTATGATATATACCAGAGGAAGTCGGTATTCCATCCACTGCCATTCAGATACGACTCGAATTGCCTTTACACTCTTGTGATTTACATTCAAACATCTATTAAATCGTACATTGTGACATCAAGGGCTGTTTCAAGGTAACACAGTCAAGGTAACACGGTCCACAGTCCCAACTGAGCAAGCAATGATGCTTGCGTATATGTAGTGACCACCGGGGTCATTATAAAACAGCCGGTTTTCAAGCTCCCAGGGTATATAAACCCTTTGACTCATATAACCCATCTCTATACTGGCTTATTGTCAATTCTAGCGCCTTTGTGGGGTCAATCGATTTTAAGCGCATGCGCCAAACTATATATAGATACTGATAGCTCGATTGGCGCTGGATGCGCTCAACGGTAGGATTCTCAGAGACAGAACAGGCTTCATCTAACTGCATGGGTGCTTTAGGGGTATCAGTTCTACATTATATAAGAGCCACTCACTTTGACATGGATTAGAGCATGAGGGGAAGCAGAACCCGTGTCGTTTGTTTATAAAATGCCTATTTGGGTCTCCCCTGCAGGCGGTGAGGAAAAATGATGATCCGAGTGGTCAGGAAGTACACACCGCCTTCATAGTCGGGGAAGTCGCGTTTCAGGCAAAAAACAACATTGCGGCGCTTCCCCTCTGCATTCCTCTCTTTTCTTCACCCGCTCTCAGAGTATGTCGGGTCTTGAGTGATTCTCCATTTAAGCTTGTTTAACTGGCGTTGTCATTCATTTCGCCCAATTCCGGAGCCTTTACCAGTGGGCAACGTTTCTACATCAGTCTTGTAACAGCTCACCAATCTTCTCATCATGGATGACTCTCTGATGGAAGACTCGGTGTTCGAGGACGAGGGAGGTAGCTCTGACTTCGTCCCCGAGCCTGCGCCGGTATGAAATCGCCCCCAAACACGCATCAGGGCCTTTATCACTGACATTACACGTCTCCAGAAACCTAAAGCGAAAGCAGCCCCCAAGAAAGCAGCAGCCGCTAAGCCCGCCGCCAAAAAGACCACCCAGACCACACTCAAAGCCAAGCCAGCTGCCAAAACAACTGCTGCTAAGAAGAAGGCTAAGGCCGACAGCGAGAACGAGATGTCCGACGCGCAAATGTCCGATTCCGATTCTCTGCTCATGGACACCCCCCGAAGGCTAAGAAAACAGCTGCCCCCAAGCGAGCTGGCTCAAAGCCGCTTGCTGACGTCGAAAATGAGTCTCATGGGGGAGACGCGCCCAGCGAGGGCCAGAGCAAGAACGGCGATGCATCAGAGAAGTACCAGAAAGTAAGCCGCGTTGCCGTTGCATCAAAATTACCGAAGACGTATACTAATGCGAATTATCATCATAGCTTACCCAACTCGAACATATCATCAAACGTCCCGATACATATATCGGTTCGACCGAACGCACCACCCAGCAAATGTGGGTTTACAACTCAGTAACCGAGGTCATGGAATTCCGCGAAGTCTCCTTTGTCCCGGGTCTGTACAAGATCTTTGACGAAATCGTCGTCAACGCCGCCGATAACAAGCAAAACGACTCGAGCATGAGCGAGATGCGTATCACCATTGATCGCGAAGCCGGTGAAATCAGTGTGTGGAACAACGGACGTGGTATTCCCATCGAGATCCATTCCAAGGAGAAGATCTACGTTCCCGAGCTCATTTTCGGCCACTTGCTCACGTCGTCCAACTACGACGATAGTCAACAGAAGGTGACCGGTGGTCGTAACGGTTTCGGTGCCAAGCTTTGTAACGTTTTCTCCACCGAGTTCTCACTTGAGACCCAAGATTCGCGCCAAAAGAAGAAGTACAAGCAGACATGGACGCAAAACATGACAAAAATGGGCAAGGCAAAGATCACCGAGGCCAAAGGTGACGACTACACCAAGGTCACCTTCAAGCCCGATTTTGAGAAATTCGGCATGGAAGGTATTGACGATGACTTCGAAGCTCTTGTCAAGCGTCGAGTCTACGATTTGGCAGGTACCGCCAATGTCGCTGTCAAATTGAACGGCACACGTATCCCCATTCGCAACTTCCGCAAGTACATGGAAATGTACACCAAAGCCATCCGCAAGGAGCGTGGCGACGAGGGCGCTCCCACAAAGGATGAGATCATTACCTGCAGCCCAGACCCTCGGTGGGAGATTGGTTTTGCCGTATCAGATGGTTCATTCCAGCAGGTTTCTTTCGTCAACTCCATTGCGACAACATCTGGTGGAACTCACGTCAATTACATCGCGGACCAGATCTGTAATCGCCTGGCTGATCAGGTGAAGAAGAGAAACAAGACAGGTGCCACTCTCAAGTCAGCACAGATTCGGAACCATATCTTCATCTTCGTGAAAGCCCTGATTGTCAACCCAGCCTTCAACTCACAGACCAAGGAACAATTGACGACCAAGACAAGTCAGTTTGGTAGCAAGTGTGTCCTCGAGGAAGACTTCTACAAGAAGGTTCTCAAAACCGAGGTCATGTCGAACATCCTGCATTTTGCGGAACAAAAGGCCGATCAGATTCTGAAGAAGGGTGATACAGGCCGCCGCTCGCGTATGAACAACCCAAAGCTGGTCGATGCCAACAAGGCTGGTACTAGGGAAGGCCACCACTGCACACTGATCCTGACTGAGGGTGAATCTGCCAAGGGTCTGGCTATGGCAGGAAGAGCAGTGGTTGGACCGGACTTGTTCGGTGTTTTCCCCCTGCGTGGAAAGTTGCTTAATGTCCGCGATGCTTCTTTCGACCAGATTTCTAAGAACGCTGAGATCCAGAACATCAAGAACTTCATTGGTTTGCAGCACAAGAAGGAGTACACTGAAACTAAGGGTCTGCGATATGGCCATCTCATGATCATGACTGATCAGGATCACGACGGTAGTCACATCAAGGGTTTGCTCATCAACTTCCTTCAGGCGCAATTCCCCAGTTTGTTGAAGATTCCCGAGTTCCTCATCGAATTCATTACCCCCATTATCAAGGTTTGGAAGGGTGACCCGAAGAATCCTACCAAGCTGAAGTCTTTCTTCACAATGCCTGAATATGAAGAATGGCACGAGCTTCACAAACACGAACGTGGTTGGGAACACAAGTACTACAAGGGTCTGGGAACCAGCACCACAGAGGATGCGCAGGTCTACTTCCGCGATCTCGATCGCCATCTGAAGGAGTTCCACACCATGCAAGCCGATGAGCCCGGACTTATTGAGCTAGCTTTCTCCAAGAAGAAGGCCGATGAGCGTAAAGAGTGGCTCCGTCAATACAAGCCTGGCACATACTTGGATCACTCGGTGTCGAAGATTACATACACCGACTTCATCAATAAGGAGCTTATTCTATTCAGTATGGCGGACAACATGCGCTCCATTCCGTCTGTCGTTGATGGTTTGAAGCCCGGTCAGCGCAAGGTGCTGTACACCTGTTTCCGTCGCAATCTTAAGAAGGATATGAAGGTCGTGGAATTGGCAGGTCACGTCTCTGGAATGACAGCCTACCACCACGGTGACGTGTCCCTCCAGCAGACAATCGTTGGTCTTGCTCAGACTTTCGTCGGCTCCAACAACGTCAATTGCCTGGAGCCTAGTGGAAACTTCGGTAGTCGACTTCAGGGTGGTGGCGAT